GGAGGTGGTTTCAACCTGTGGGGGCTGTGCTCTCTTCGGTTTCGGTTTTGGTTTTTCGTTCCTTTAGGAGAGGTTTTCTCGAAACTGAAACTTGCTGAGAGAGCACTTTTAATCTCTGAATAAATAATTCCAACACGCCCTCTTCTAGCAGTTTCTCCTATGGGGAGCCATTTGTGCCCAAAATATCAATCGCTAATGATAAAATTCAATCAAATCTTGCTTACTTTCTTAAAATCTGATAAGGGAAATTGAAATGAGTATATGGGTAAAGACAGACCGGTGTCCTAGCAGATTTGGACCCCCCTCTGCGGATTTGGGCCCCCCAAAGCCTACACAGAGGAACATCACTAGCCCTACGTAAACCTGGGATCTGCATGAGGGGAGTTGAATTGCCACAGAATGAAGTTGAACTGAAGACCTGTTCACTGTTTGTGGCTCCGAGAAGTTTCCTCACCCACCCTAGGAGAGCCACTTGGAAAGAGATAGGATAAGGATTCTAAAAGCTAACGTATATATCTATAGAGGAATCATATCTCTTCTAAGGGATAGGGGAAGTGGATTCCAAACAAAATCTTCTCTGAGTGAGGGGTGCAAATAGGGATACTTGAACACATTCTACACAAAAAAAAATACTTTGGGTACCTGTAAGATTTAGATGGGATCTCCCTACCAGTTCTTTGAAACCAGTTTTACAATTTAGACTATATCATCACTAAGGCCTTTCCTGGGTGTTTTTTTCCCTTGGCAGTTCCTGATTTGTAACTGAAACTTTTCCAATTGAGAGAACTTCTGGCTTGAAACAAAAAAAAATTGGAACCTGTGGTAAAGCTTGTAGGAGGGAGGGACCCTCCCTCAAAGAAGCACAAAAGTTTTTGGTTATAATTTTCCCCAAACTTATAAGTAATGGTGTTCTAGTATAGTCAAAGTTAACATACAGGTGCTTTGTAGCAAGTTTTATATTTTAACCCCTTAAATCCTAAGAGTAAAAAGTTTCAAATTTCTCCTTGAAGCAATACTACTGAAATATTTATTATAAAGACCAAGCTGGGATTGAAACACAAATTCTCCCTCTTGGTACCAAAGGAAATGTGCAATTGAGAACAGTATGAAGAATATGCATACTGATATAAAGGTGTAAAGGGATAATTAATATGTTTACAGAATAAGAGCACAAAAATTATCAATTTAAGTATTTCACAAAGCAAAGCAAAGACAAATGACAATTGAGAAAAACTAAATTATTCAGCCTGTTTTTTAAACTTCTGTTCACCTTTACTTTACTATCCCATTAAGGGCTCACTACAAACTGTGTAATCTGCTCGGCTATAGGAAAGAGTAACAAAAATTAGGCTGTTTACTTCTCCACTAACGCAAATGAAAGGCTGTGTCTAAATCTGAGAAATGAGGATAAATCTGTGCCCCTTGAAAGGCTTCTCATTCCTACATGTATCACTAAAGGAATATTTCATTTACTATATTGCATGTCTTGTAAAATATCATCAACTTCCGGACTGAGTCTCTTGTTACACTGAGCTAGCTTTATTTTGTTTAGAGCTGTTCTTGTTCTGGTCTGTTCACTCCATTAACTGCTGGATTGTGCACCTCTATGCTGGGATCATTATGCATCCTAATCAGGACATCTGAGATCTCATGTGGACGACGTCCTGAAATTGGCACCAACTCACAAGTCCCTTTGCACTCTTCGGAGTTATCCAGAATTTCCCTCAATTTTCGGATGAATAACACCACCTATAAGTTACAATGAAGAGAAGTTCCAGTTAGATTGCATCTCACCTCAAACAAGCCATATTTATAAGGACCAATCCCAAGGGCAGGGTACTTCCTAATAAAAAGCTAATGAGGATGTGCTGCTGGATGGCTTGCATTTTCATAGCTGAATTTACTATTTAATAATGGGTTTGCAATTTCAATACAGTTCCAATAATGGGGTTGCACTCTTCCAGATTTTAGGATGAGACAATGTATGGCCAACTGGGAAGATTCATGGTCAAATGAGTCGATTCATGTTAGGATGAGTTACTTAGAAGGCTTTCTAAGGCAGATACATTAAACAGAAAGTGACTAAGTTGGGAAGGTGAAAGTAACATTCACTTAAAAGCGCCTTAGATGGGATCTACAAATGACCACAGAAGAGATTATTGGGGGAGGGTGGGGGGTTCTAAGTAGCCAGTGGTATACACACAACAGAAATTGACCCAATTACCCAGGGATCAGCCACAATATTGTTTGGGGTGATCAGATCAGGATTCTCTTCTACTTTGAAAATCAAAGAGAAAATACTAGAAACTAGCCTACCTGATGATCCTGCTCCTTACGATCAAAGGGGGCGTCTGCATGCTGAGACATATCATAAAGGTTCATCAGAGGCGTGGCATACTCCAAGATAAAGTGGTACCTTTCTACTGCTCCATCAGGGCGGGGCATTTCTATCTTATGTACCGAATGCTTGTACATTTCTTCCTTAATTCCACCCCTACTAACTTTAAGCTCTGGGAGATTGCCGACCCATTTTACCCTGGGGTCTGCGCATGTGATGTCATCACAAATGAAGCACGTTTTGGGCACTAAAATGAAAAGCTTTTTCTTTGTTATTTCATAACAAAAAAGCTCTGATTTGCCAATCTGATCTTTCAGTTTCGGTAGCACCAGCCTAAGATAACCAAAGTAGTAGCCCCAAGCCAGCCCATCGGCTACATTCTTGTTTTCCTTTTCAATCAAATCCGATGTTTCTACGGGAGAGAGCTGTCGAAGGCCCACAAGGAACAACAACTGACCAACCAGGAAAGAGTTCAGGAAAAACAAAATGACGAAATCTGGACGAGACAATATTTCGTATCCTTCATACAACTGATGGCAGCATACTATGAAAGTGGAAACGAAAGCAGCGACTAAAACACGCTTGCAATAATTGAAAGGGAAAACTTCCTGAAAAAGTCTCTTCCACTTTCCTCCGTATCGCGAGTGTCTGTGTCTGAACTCCTCTGACAGTAAGAACAATCTTCGTATCATTTCTCCGAGAACGACACTCAAGGTCTGCAGGGCTACTGTAAACACCGGGGAAGGAAACTCTTTCTCTTTCCCTTTCACCGTGAAGAATAGCATGGCGCCAATAATCACAACCGCGATAGCTGAAGCGACAATAGCAGTTTTCCCACGACGCTTGAAAAGTGGTCCAAAGCCATTATTTTCCTGCTGAACAACGTCATCTCCTTGAGGAAGATGATTTTCAGCCATGGTGTATATAATATTTTCCTCCTAAACACAGAATATATGTACTCGCAAAGATGGTCACAACAAAATGCGTGTAACAAGGGAGCGGACCGATTGAATTCGTAACATCATTTACTTGGAAAAACTCTGGCCTTGATTGGCCAGGAGTCTTAAAGTGTCTAAGATGCCAAATTTGGTTTTGCATTGTTTGCACTGACAGCTGTTTTTAAAATTAGAAATAATCGACCTTAGCGCCTAACGTGTTCTCCTAGACCATTTTTTTCGTGCATTGAAAGTACGATTTGACGGCCAAAAAGTCTCCTCCTTAAGCGCGCGGCCAAAACGATCATGTTGCATAGCCGTGACGTAGAAAACTGCGATGACAAGTCGGCAACTACGGTGGAGAAAAGAGAAATCTAGAAGAAAAGATTAACATATTGCGTGGCCGGAGCGCCAGATGATGTTAGCTTCATGAGTAATACACATACACCAAGTATTTCTTTACACTACTTTCCAAAGGATGTAGCTGTATGGCCAAAATGGACGCGTTTCGATCGTCGACACCGAGGAGATTGTGCTCTTCAGTGTCGTTGGCATTATGCTCCGTACCCGCTTCAAGGACGCCTGTTACGAACATATATCGCTAGTCAAATCAGGGGAAGATAACCAATGAATTCAGCTGGAGAGAATGCTTATTAAGGGGTCCGTTCCCGCACCGTACACGATTGTTCAACATTCTTTTCGGCTGACATTTCGCAAGCGAAGAATAGTGAGCTCCTTATTGATGTTTATTTCACGCGTTTGAGATATACTCATACTCCTTGTCTTTCCACATGACTACATTTGCGCTTTTCTTGTCGTATGGAAATCTTACCATTTTTTTTTTAATTTTTGTTTTTTAATTTAAACATAATCATCATTGTTTTCCCAAAAGTACCCAGGCTTAACGAAGGCGATTACAATATTACAAATATAAAATCAATTTATTCAGGCTCACACACAAACAGACACACAAACTACACACACAAGTTGCAATAAAAACGAGTTTAACTTTCTAAGATAGGAATATGTTATTTAAATAATCAATCAATGGTCCCAGAAAAGCGATTAGTGTTAATTGAAAAACTTTGTACTTCGCGAAAAAAAGCACAGTTGACGTCGCAATTTACAGACTCAACACCATACAATAAAAAATTTAGTTTCTTAGGATCGCTACTCGATGACCATGTTTCACCTAGAATATTAGCAGCAGAGGTGAGGACATCACGTTAAGCGGCATACCTTGGGCAGTACAAGAAAAAGAGTTTCATCGCTTCAGAGTCAAAACTGCACTCGCAAATAGGCGACACACAACTATTAATTTTGAAGAGATATTCTCTTAGACAAGAAAACCCAAGTTTAAGGCGGGTGTGATCAATAGATGCATGCCTGGTAAAAGAATAATCGACTAACCTATTGTAAGTATGCGGAAAGAGAGTTGACCGAGTTTTCGCTTTAAAAGTGGGAAGAGATACAGAGTTTCGGACATCTATGTCCAGAGAATTCCAGCAAGTGATTGATGATGGAAAAAAAGACTTTTGAAACGTTGAAGTTCTATAACGAAGTTGAGTGAGGTTTTCTCTTGATCTGAGACGAAAATGTGTTCGTTCACTAAATATTTTGAGCAATAGTTCAGTTAAATAACGTGGAACAAGGTTCTTGACCATTTTGTAAAACTCTAAAACTGGCTTAATTTATGTCGTTCTCTTCTGATACTAAGAGGCTCCCAAGCAAGTTCATCATGTAACCTCGCAGAGCTGGTTCCCTTAATGGCTCCTGTAATCACCGTTGCGGCTTCGTATTGAAAATTATCCAGTAAAGCTGAATCACGATTATGACAGTTGTTACAGCTAACATCCCCAAATTCCGTGAGAGTTCTAATGAGGCTTTTGTAGAAGCATGTTAAAGTGGATCTATCAACTTTGTATTTGACACATTTCAGTATATATTTAATCGTCTAGAGGTTTTCTTGTACATCTCAGTTAACCATATGATTTCTCCACCACATATTACTCTTCAAAGTAAGGCCTAAGTGAGTGTGAGACTCAACGTCTTTGACGACCTTGGTGTCAAGAAATAGAGGCGGGTGATCTTGTTCATTACGCTTGAGAGAAAATAGAACATTGCGAGGTTTAACAGGAATCATTGTTACCAACCATTTGTCAGCCTACTCGGAGATCTTGTTTGGATCAGAACTAAGGCGACCAGCTGATGCGGCTGGCTTGTCAACAATTTTAAACAGTGTAGTATCATCGGCATAAATCAAAGGAAGGGAGGCGAGATCATCAATAATATCATTGATGTAAATAAGAAATAGAAACGGTTCTTTCAGAGACCCTTGAGGGACTCCGGAGTTGACTATTCGCCAATCAGAGGATTGAATAAAGGGGGTAAGTTTCTAAAGAAACCATGGTACTGCGTCGGTGGGAGGGTATAGCAGGTAATTCAGTGTTAACAACTGAGTTGAAAAGGTAAATTGACCATCGTAAAGGGTTAAAAAAGGTGACGTTTCGAGCGTTAGCCCTTCGTCAGAGCGATTGGAGGAATTGTGTTTGTGTGGGTTTATATGCAGAAAGTGGAGCTACGCTATTGGTGGGAATATGGTGACGAGAAAACAGGAATAAATTAGTTGAATGAAAAGCGCTCGTTGGGGATTAAGGGTGCCGATTTGGAAGATAAGTTTTTGATCTAGTGTTTTGCGGCTTTCCGAACTGTCTAGATGTAGGGAAAGGCCGCAAACTGCCATATTCTGTTTTGAATGATCAGGGAGATTAAAGTGTCTAGCGACTGGCCTTTGGATGCGTCCTTGTCATTTCTTTCCATGTCGCGAAGGTGTTCTCGGAATCGGTCAACTAGTCGTCTTCCTGTTTCGCCAATGTATAACTTATTGCAATAAGTGCAAGTTATGCAGTAAATAACATTGCCGGAGGTACACGTAAAGTGATCAGTGATCTTAATGGATTGTTAGTTTCGAAACGCGTAACTTGGGTACTTTTCTCTTAGGTTTGTTCCGGTCTATTATTTCTTCGTTGGTTAATGATTATTACTCAATAAGTTTTTTTTTTTTTATCTCAATCAATTCATTTAAGCACATGTACCAGATCTTATATTTCATATTTCATTGCTATAAGTTGCCTTCGACACCATCAATTTTGTCTGCTATTCACGTATGATCCGCTATCAGCGATTTATCTACAATCATTAGGAGCTAGACCAAAGTAAGTTTTTCTTTATTTCACATTTAAGATATTTCCTTTTTTTTGATACGTACATCGATTTATTTCTCGCTTTCAGTTCACTTTATAATCGCTTCATTGTTAATCAGGCTAGGGTTACATTTCTCAGGGATATTTTCTTAGTTTAGTTTCTGCTGCATTTTCTTTTACTTCGAACCACACAAATTCAGCTACAACGTTACCATCAATCATAACTACGCTATCTTCAATCTTACTTCGCCCTTTTCATATGTGATTTCACACCGATCTCCTTATTTTCGTTTGTAATTTTGATTACGTACTTCATTTGATTACACCGTGAGTTATATTGTGCGTTCGGATTGTCTTCTCTGCTACACGGTTATAAACTGAGTGAGCTCCTCTCCGATAGAGGAGGTAGCGCCGATGCAATCGTCAATGTAACGGCCGTAGAGTTCAGGTTTTGGGCCGTGGTACTGATTAAAAAATTGATGTTCGATGAAACCTACGAAAAGATTGGCGTAGCTGGGCCCCATTTTAGTACCCATGGCCACGCCATTAGTTTGTTTGTAGTAGTTACCACTGAATGAAAAGCAATTGAGTGTGAGTACTAATTCGGCCAAACGGAATAGTGTTTCAGAGCTAGGTTCCTTAACAGTGCGATGATCGAAAAAATGTTTGAGGACCCGGAGACCTTCGTCATTGGGAATGACAGTATAAAGAGATGTAATATCCATAGTAAAAATAAGTTTGTTTTCAAAACAAACTTATTTTTACGTCACGAAAAGTCACGAAAACTTTCAAGTGCGCGTTAGCTGTCCTTAATGTAAGATGGTGAAGTTTGGACGATGGGTGCCATAATTTTGTCTAACTAGTTGGAAATAAGTTCGGTAGGACAACTGCAGGCAGAAACAATGGGTCGACCTGGGTTGTCAGGTTTCTGGATTTTTGGTAAAAAGTAAATACACAAAGTTCTAGGAGTGGTGATGGAGTGGTAATGGTGAGATTTTTAGCAGTGGCCGGCAATTCTTGTTTAGCTTTAGGATCGTTAATTGTATTTTTGACAATGTTTTGGTTAATGAAAGTGAGATCTTTGTCGACTTTAGCATAAAATGAGGTGTCGGAAAGTTGCTGCAAGGCTTCTTTTTGGTAGAGGTCAGCCCACCAAACAACAACTGCGCCACCTTTGTCGGCCGCTGTTTTGACTATGTCTTTGCGTTTTTTAGACTTTTTAGTGCCGACCACTCTTCCGAAGAAAGACTGGAAAATTTGGTGTTACGATTGAATTAAAGTTTGTTGATATCGTGGCGACATTTTTTGATGAAAAAATCTAAAGATGCGAACTGGCCCTCTGGGGGAGTCCATTTAGACTTTCGAATCTGAAGTGTTTTGAAAGTATCTTTGTTCGAGATGTTAGAATCATCCTCTTTGTCATGAAAAAGGCTTTTAATGGAACGCCGCGAAGTAATTTTTCATCGTCTTGCTTAACTAAAAATTCGTCGATTTTTTTGGATTTGGAAACAAAATTTAAGCCCTTACTGAGAACAGAGGATTGCCCTTCTATAACTACCCGCTACTTTCGGTTAAGCAAGTAACTTTCAAACCATTGAAGTAAGGGCAGCAGTACCCCTAGAGCCTACAACTTACACAACAAACCAGCATGCCACACCTTGGTTTGCCTATATCTAGGAAAACAGCACGTGTCTCTCTACCACTCTCCAAGGCTTCAGAGATTTTGTGTAGAAAGAAAATCAGCTGGTTGATTGCTGAATCACCGGGCCTGAAACCAGACTGCAGTTTATAAAGAAAACCAATCTCCATCAAAAAATTGTACAAGTAAAAGAAAACAAGCTTTACACAGATTTTAGAAAAACTTGCCAGCAGAGGAACAGGACGGCAGTTCACTTTGAGTTGACGGTTATCATTTTTGAATATAAGAATAACATTTGCAAGCTTCCATTCACAAGGGAAATGACCAAGTGAAAAAGACATATTGATAAAACGAGTGAAATAAAAACCATCACTGCACATCTTAACAATCCTGTTGTTAACTCCATCATAACCACATGCTTTGGAGGTATCAACGCCCGTCATTAGTTCAAGTACTTGCTCTTCTGTAGCAATAAAAGGGGATAAAAACTGTTGAGTCTGATAGGGCGGGATAATAGGAAAATGGTGTTGGCGCCTGCAAGCTCAGTCTGTAACACAAAGTAGTCGTTGGAGATACACGCTTTTTCCTTGGGATCAAATATGGGCCGTTCGTTTTCGACAATGGTTGGAATAGATGAGGAATTTTCTCGACCACATACTCTCATAACGACTAACCACCATTTTTTACTGTTAATGTCAGGATTGCTCAGATCCTTGTTGACTCTTCATAAAAGGCTTTTTCGGCAAATCGTACAAGTGAAGTAGGAAGGTTATGTTGAGCCCGATAGCGTTCCCACGTTGTTAGAGATGGGCGTTTTTTTGTGAAATCGGAGCAGGTGGTCCCGCCTCTTAATTGACAGGTGCACTTTACTATCCGTCCATGGTTTACTCTTGGCACGTATTGTTACCGTTTTCAGTGGAATGTACTTCTCAACAATCAAACGAAAGTAGCCATACCGCCTTGAATATAATGTCTTTGATGTTTTCACACGAAGAGATCCAGTCTAATTCTGATAGTTCCCCATTCACATTTGTAGTGTCGACGTTATTAAAATTCCACACCTGCCTTTTGTAAGATCGACTTCTGTAAGCGAAGATATTCATATTTGCGAAGATAAAAGAATGGTCACAATTGGAAGGGAGACTTAAAGTTTCAGAAGTACTAGAATGCCCAGGACAATTTGTGATGACTGAAGCCAATATCGTCAAACTGTGACAAGTGACACGAGTTGGCTCCGTTATCAGTTGTACCAAGTTGTTATTTTCTAAGAAACTATAGAATTTTTCACCTACATCGCTATTCCGCCCTGAATAGAGTCGTGATGAGCATTGAAATCTCCCAATATAACAACGCTATATTGTTTAGGTAGTTGACGAATTTTATCAAGAACCGGCTGAAAATATTCGAAGAAATTAGCAAGGGAAACACTGTCATTGTCGGGCGGCCGGTAACAAATACCACAGAGAGCATCACGGTGTTTGATGCGGAATTCAATCCAAAGGAATTCTATGGTGGCAAATTCAAACATCTAACCTACGCTTAGCTACGAGGGTGTTAACCGTGAAAAATGCAACTCCACCACCCATTCTGTAGTGCCTGTGAAGTCGGATAATAGGGTTGTACCCTGCAATTTGTAAACAATCACTGCTTACGCGATCGATGAGCCATGTTTCAGTGACTGCAAAACATCAAACTCATTCCCCCTCACCAGCAAAGAAATCTCTTCAAACTTATCACCCACGTTCAAACTTCTGGCATTTAAGTGACCGAACTTGAAAAAAGGTCCTGGATTTAGTTCAACATCACTAGAAAAAACTATTCTAAGAACGATACACAATTCAATCCATGAAAAATCAAGGCAGCGTCTGTGTGGCTCAAAGAATAAACAAATTTAAAACGCCATATTCAAAAACAATTAAATAGCCCAATAGCCGCTCTATATGCCTCCAAACTAACCTCCATTATCGTATATTAACAGAAAATAAAACGCTACCTCTAGCTGCCTGTTACAATAAAAGTACAAACAAACACTAGAACGAAGGTTTAAATAAATAGGGACAGAATAAAAATATAAAGAGACCAAAACACCAAACAGTTAGGGGCAGCGTAAACTTACGAAAGGTACAAACTAGCACTAAGGCAATATAATAGAAATGGTGACATTCCTTGAGTCCTGAAGTAACATTATAAAAACTGCTCTTCCAAGGTTCGTCGTTACTTGAAAAGTGTAGTTTCAAGTTCACAATAGTTCATATTTTGTGAAGTCTAACTGATTAACTTCATGAAATCTTTTACCATCTGATTTCCGTTTTACAAAAGTCTTCCTGTCCGAAGTCCAGGAGGTATCAACCGTTAGTACACACTTAACTCGATCATTGTAAAATAGTTTCTGATTACTTTTGGTTAAGTCTTCATTGATGTAAAAGCCAGAATCCTTAAGATTTTTTCTGGTGAAACTATCAATTGTAGTTTCCATCTTATTTTAACTAAACGCATATTTGCGTTCACTCGGGCTTTCTGTTAGAAAGAAATTTTGTTTTTTTTCTATGTTCCTACATGTGCCTAAGTTTCTTGGGCAATTATTGGTTTATCCTGTTACTGTTTTCTGTCTGATTTTGTACCGCAAAACCTTCTCTTGGTCCGCCATTACTTCATGTCGTGTGCTCATTAGTCAAAACGTCGCTCATGCTTCAGAGTCAAAAGGATGCGCATGCGTAATGAGGACTTGACAGCGTTTTGTGTCTCAAGACAGAAATTAATGACGAAGCCCAATTTATAACTCGGGTATTCCAAAGGAAGCCCGAGTAAGAACAGAAATACATCTTTAGTAGTTAAGTTCAAGCCCTTTCCTGAGCTGACCGATATCCTGTTGCGTAAACAGTGCGAAACCTCTTGCTTAAACACAAGCTCGAAGGGGCCATGTATTCTTCTAACCTAGGTTTCCGAAAATCCATCCCACGAGCCATCAATCCCCCCCCCTGCCCTCAAGAAACTAAAAGTAGCAACAGTAGCAATATCATTGTGTAACTGCCTGATGACTTTTCGGTGTAAAATCATTGTGCCCAGTAATACAGCGGATTCTTTCGTCTGAAGTTAGCTTTTGGTTTACCAAGGGATTTTCTCAATAGCAATAAAATTCAAGAGCACCGACCGAGGGGAACTGTTGCTGCACATAGTAGGAACGAATAAAATGTTAAGGTAACAGAAACGAGCACAGCTAACCATTCTTAACATAGATTCTGCAGTAGAAAACAAAACACAACCGCAGCAAACTAAACATTCAGTAATGGGAATTTTTTGTTCCAATCTTGACCTAAACATCGCAGGCAAGAAAGGTAGAGCCTTTTCAATACAAAATCTTAAATAGTATTCTCTACACCAATAAAATCCTATATAAAATGAATTTGGTTCCTTCTCCGATGTGTACCTTTTGTGGAGATCACGAAGAAACTCTTGAGCATCTTCTAATCAGCTGTACCTACACTAAAAACTTTTGGCTTTCGGTTATTTCTTGGTTAAATACTTACAATATGAAAATTGATAAGCTTGATGAGGTAACAATCCTCTTTGGTATTTCCGATAATAACCCTGGGAATTGTTTGTTAAATCACATAATCATTCTTGGAAAATATACCATTTATTCATGTCGTTGTAAAAATATCAAGCCGTCTGTATCCTTACTGAAGGCTAAAACATCTGAAACTCGGAAATTTGAATTTTTGATTGCAAAAAAGAATAAAAAAGAATCTATTCATTATAAAAAATGGGAAAACATGTTATTGTAACTCAATAGATGAGTATCGGGTATTAACAGTTATAGACGCAGTTGTATATACAGTCGTTCTACCAAAAAAGGAATTTGATGTGGAAGTATTTGTACAAATTAGGCTTATATTATTATATAACCACAACATAAATAAAATCTAGCCGACTGTGAATGTAATGTAATGTAGTATTTCGTAATTAGTGTTAGTGAGTAGCGTAAGCGTTAGTGTAATTAACTTTGTATTTGTTTGTATTACTCTAGTATTTGTGCTTTAAGTGAAAATAAAAAAATTGTTTAAAAAAAAAAAAAAAAAAAAAAGAAAGGTAGTTATACATTACTATCGAACATTATTTCAAGAGTATTTCAACGCTGACTGATGCAAATTACATGAGACGTGAGAGAATTGTAGGTGTCAACTGAGAGGTTTAAAAGTTTTTACGTCATCACCGCTAATTCGTTACCAGTCCACGGGACACTTTGAAGACAAAATAGGAGCACTTTAGGGCCCGTAGAAGCCGAGTTTTAATTTTTTTAAAGTTTTTCTTCTATCGGAATTGATTTGTTCATATGATAAGCTAAATATTTAGGCAAAAAAGAAAAAAAAAGTTCGTGTCCCAGGCACTTTGAGGGTGTCCACCATGGAAAAGGCCCAAAATAGGGCGTGATGGAATTATTTGTTCAGAGATTGAAAGTGCTCTCTCAGCAACTTTCAGTTTCGAAAAACCTTTCCCAGAAGTAGGAAAAACCGAAAGGAAACGCGTTCGTTTCCCACACCGTGTGGAGCCCCCACAGGTTGAAACCACCCCGCGCACGAAGTGGTTCTCACATAGTGTGTGATGACCGTGATTAAATTTAAAGAAAAATTATTTCACCATCAGGCTTAACAATGCTATTCTCAGCTCGGTTGAATTCCAATACCACCACTAATATGGAGAACAGTTAACATTAGCTTGCTGGAGATAGCTCTGCCATATTCAGGCTTTATTCAGGTTTGGTTCACCGAGGAGCATCGAGGGACCGTTTTACTTTAGTGCCAAATGGGATCATATTTCCTCGTTCCTTCAGGAAAAGCACCCATCCATACTTTTACACGACTTGCGTGAAACACACGCCACTTTGCGATGTAAATGGCACGAAACGTCTTGATTGTTATTTCAACGACGATAAAGACTTAAAGTGGCGAAAAGTAGCAACGGCAGACTGCGAGTGCAATCATGAACCGATATCGTACTTTGTCATTGAGGAGTAATTCCCACACAATTTACCAGCTCTCTCTGGATTGATAGTTATCGTTGACTTGTTCGGGTCAAGTTACAAGGATAGATAAAAAATCTAAAACCTGGATGTCCTGTGTTTCTGTAAGAAGATAATAGGATCTGGATAAAGAATGCCAGTCAGGGTCTAGGTTATTGTCTATCTTAAGAACAGTACTGGATAAAAGAAGTACGTGCCATCACGATCCTTGACTTATATCATTATTAGTAACATTGAGATTCATATTCTTTTTCCAATAGCTGCTAATTTGAATTTTGCACATGTGGTTTTTAGCGTTGCAGTAAAATGTATTGATAATGACAGCCTGTGGTGAAGTGGAAAACATTGGGCTCGTCCAAACCAAGGGTATTCAATTAATTACAAGGAAGAAGTAGATTTCATAACAATGCTTGCCAAGAAGGCAATTAGTTTGTTTACCTGACCAATCTTCTTTTCGGAGAGACAAAATATCATACAGGGGCATACAAAGACTGAAAGCACACAGTGAAATGTATTACATTTAGTGGGCAGGGATCTTGCAATTCTTGGTGTGCAGCGTATTTATAATTCGCCCCATTATTCCTCCACTGTTGAACCTACCCAGTGGAACACCACCAGCCTTAAGTAATCCTGGGATCTGCATGAGGGGGGTTGAATTGCCACAAAATGAAGTTGAACTGAAAACCTGTTCACTGCCTATGGCTCTTGGAAATTTCCTCACCCACCCTTGGAGGGCCACTTGGAATGGGATAAGGTGAGCATTCTAAAATCTCAATTGTATTTGTAGAGGAATTATATCTTCTCTGAGGGATGGGGAAGTGAATTCTTAACATAATCTTCTCTGTGTGAGAGGTGCAAATAAGGGTATTTGAACATATTCTACATACACACACAAAAATGGGTACTTGCAAGATGAAGAGGGAATCTCCCTAAGAATTCTTTCAAACCAGATTTACAATTAAGGAGCACTAAGGCCTTCCCTGAGTGTTTTTTTTTCTCTTAGCAGTGATTGATTTGTAACTAAGACTTTTCCATAGTAAAATCTTGGCAGCTTATTCTACAAATAAGAGGACTTCTGGCTTGAAACAAAAAACACTTAAACCTGTAGCAAAGCTTGAAGGAGGGAGGGAACCTCCTTCAACCAAAACAAAGTTGTTGGTTATAATTTTTCCCAAACTTATAAGTATTGGTGTTCTAGTACAGTCAGAGCTGACGCAGAAGTGCTTTGTGGTAAGTTTTATTTTTAACCCTTTCAATCCTAAGAGTGACAAGAATCTAATTTCTCCTTAAAGCAGTACTACTGAAATATTTATGATAAAAACCATGAAAGGAAATGATTGCCAAACTAAAAAGCTGTGATTGAAAGACAAATTCTCCTTGTAAGGAAATGTGTAATTGAGAACAGTATGAAGAATATGCATACTGATATAGAGGTGTAAGGGGATAATTAATATGTTTACAGAATAAGAGCACAACAATCATCAATTTAAGTATTTCACGGAGCAAAGCAAAGAAAAATGAAAATTGAGAAAAACTAAACTATTCAGCCTGTTTTATAAATCTCTGTTCATGTTTTTGTTACTATCCCACTAAGGGCTCACTACAAATTATGTAATCTGCTTGGCTATAAGGAAGGGCAAAATAAATTAGGCTATAGCCTTCTCCACTTACACAAATTAAAGGCTGCGCCTTTGAATGTTTTCAGAACACAATCAACATAGATCTGCAAGATGAGGAATGTCCCTTTGCTACCCTCTCTAAAAAACAATGTTAGTCTCCTTAACCAACATCAAGTGGTATCTATTATGGGTGAAATAAAAGTATAAGCCCCTCGATGCTCCTCAGTGAACTAAGTCTGAATAAAGCCTGAACATGGCGGAGCTATCTCCAGCAAGCTACTTTCCTCCATATTAATGATGGTATCCGAATGCAGGTGAACTGAGAATACCATTGTTAAGCCTGATGGTGAAGTAATTTTTCTTCAAATTTAATGACAGGGATCACATATTATGTGGGAACCACGTCGTGCTGGAGGTGGTTTCAACCTGTGGGGGCTGTGCTCTCTTCGGTTTCGGTTTTGGTTTTTCTTTCCTTTAGGAGAGGTTTTTCGAAACTGAAACTTGCTGAGAGAGCACTTGCAATCTCTGAATAAATAATTCCATCACGCCCTCTTCTAGCAGTTTCTCCTATGGGGAGCCATTTGTGCTCAAAATATCAATCGCTAATGATAAAATTCAATCAAATCTTGCTTACTTTCTTAAAATCTAATAAGGGACATTGAAATGAGTATATGGGTAAAGACAGACCGGTGTCCTTGCAGATTTGGACCCCCCTCCGCGGATTTGGACCCCCCAAAGCCTACACAGAGGAACATCACTAGCCCTACGTAAACCTGGGATCTGCATGAGGGGAGTTGAATTGCCACAGCATGAAGTTGAACTGAAGACCTGTTCACTGTTTGTGGCTCCGAGAAGTTTCCTCACCCACCCTAGGAGAGCCACTTGGAAAGAGATAGGATAAGGATTCTAAAAGCTAACGTATATATCTATAGAGGAATCATATCTCTTCTAAGGGATAGGGGAAGTGGATTCCAAACAAAATCTTCTCTGAGTGAGGGGTGCAAATAGGGATACTTGAACACATTCTACAAAAAAAATGTACTTTGGGTACCTGTAAGATTTAGATGGGATCTCCCTACCAGTTCTTTGAAACCAGTTTTACAATTTAGACTATATCATCACTAAGGCCTTTCCTGGGTGTTTTTTTTCCCTTGGCAGTTCCTGATTTGTAACTGAAACTTTTCCATAGTAAAATCTTGTTAGCTTATCCTACAATTGAGAGAACTTCTGGCTTGAAACAAAAAAAAAATTGGAACCTGTGGCAAAGCTTGTAGGAGGGAGGGACCCTCCCTCAAAGAAGCACAAAAGTTTTTGGTTATAATTTTTCCCAAACTTATAGGTAATGGTGTTCTAGTACAGTCAAAGTTAACATACAGGTGCTTTGTAGCAAGTTTTATTTTTTAACCCCTTAAATCCTAAGAGTAAAAAGTTTCAAATTTCTCCTTGAAGCAATACTACTGAAATATTTATTATAAAGACCAAGCTGGGATTGAAACACAAATTCTCCCTCTTGGTACCAAAGGAAATGTGCAATTGAGAACAGTATGAAGAATATGCATACTGATATAAAGGTGTAAAGGGATAATTAATATGTTTACAGAATAAGAGCACAACAATTATCAATTTAAGTATTTCCCAGAGCAAAGCAAAGACAAATGACAATTGAGAAAAACTAAATTATTCAGCCTGTTTTATAAACTTCTGTTCACCTTTACTTTACTATTCCATTAAGGGCTCACTACAAACTGAGTAATCTGCTCAGCTATAGGGAAGAGTAAAAAAAATTAGGCTGCTAACTTCTCCACTAACACAAATGAAAGGCTGTGTCTAAATCTGAGAGATGAGGACTGTCCCCTTGCTTCCCTCTCTAAAACACAATGTTAGTGTTCTTAACCAACATCAAGTGGTGTCTAATATGGGTGAAGTAAAAGTATAAGCCATGAGATGAATGAACATCTGTGCCCCTTGAAAGGCTTCTCATTCCTACATGTATCACTAAAGGAATATTTCATTTACTATATTGCATGTCTTGTAAAATATCAGCAACTTCCAGACTGAGTCTCTTGTTACACTGAGCTAGCATTATTTTGTTTAGAGCTGTTCTTGTTCTGGTCTGTGCACTCCATTAGCTTCTGGATTGTGCACCTCTATGTTGGCATCATTATGCATCCCAATCAGGACATTTGAGATCTCATGTGGACGACTTCCTGAAATTGGCACCAACTCACAAGTCCCTCTGCACTCTTCGGAGTTATCCAGAATTTCCCTCAATTTTCGGATAAATAACACCACCTATAAGTTACAATGAAGAGAAGTTCCAGTTAGATTGCATCTCACCTCAAACAAGCCATATTTATAAGGACCAGTCCCAAGGGCAGGGTACTTCCTAATAAAAAGCTAATGAGGATGTGCTGTTGGATGGCTTGCATTTTCACAACTGGATTTACTATTTAATAATGGGTTTGCAATTTCAATACAGTTCCAATAATGGGGTTGCACTCTTCCAGATTTTAGGATGAGACAATGTATGGCCAACTGGGAAGATTCATGGTCAAATGAGTCGATTCATGTTAGGATGAGTTACTTAGAAGGCTTTCTAAGGCAGATACATTAAACAGAAAGTGACTAAGTTGGGAAGGTGAAAGTAACATTCACTCAAAAGCGCCTTAGATGGGATCTACAAATGACCACAGAATAGATTATTGGGGGAGGGTGGGGGGTTCTAAGAGGCCAGTGGTATACACACAACAGAAATTGACCCAATTACCCAGGGATCAGCCACAATATTGTTTGGGGTGATCAGATCAGGATTCTCTTGCACTTTGAGAATCAAAGAGAAAATACTAGAAACTAGCCTACCTGATGATCCCGCTCCTCACGATTAAAGGGGGCGTCTGCATACTCAGACATATCATAAAGGTTCATCAGAGGTGTGGCATACTCCAAGATAAAGTGGTACCTTTCTACTGCTCCATCAGGGCGGGGCATTTCTATCTTATGTACCGAATGCTTGTAAATTCTTTCCTTAATTCCACCCCTACTAATTTTAAGCTCTGGGAGATGACCGACCCATTTTACCCTGGAATCTGCTTCAACGATGTCAGCACAGGTGTAGCACGTTTTGGGCAGTAAAATGAAAAGCTTTTTCTTTGTTATTTCATAACGAAAAAGCTCTGATTTGCCAATCTGATCTTTCAGTTTTGGTAGCACCAGCTTCAGATAACCAAAGTAGTAGCCCCAAGCCAGCCCATCGGCTACATTCTTGTTTTCCTTTTCAATCAAATCCGATGTTTCTACGGGAGAGAGCTGTCGAAGGCCCACAAGGAAAAACAACTGACCAACCAGGAGAGAGTTCAGGAAAAACAAAATGACGAGATCTGGGCGAGACAATATTTCGTATCCTTCATACAACTGATGACAGCATATTATGAAAGTGGAAACGATAGCAGCGAGTAAACTACGCATGCAAAAATCGTTAGTGAAAGTTGCCTTAAAAATTCTCTTCCAGTCTCCTCGATATCGCGTACTTATGTGTTTGAACTCCTCAGACACCAGGAACAATCTTCGTATCATTTCTCCGAGAACGACACTCAAGGTTTGCAGGGCTATTGTAAACTCTGGGGAAGGGAACTCTTTCTCTTTCCCTTTCACCGTGAAGAATAGCATGGCGCTAATAATCACAACCGCGATAGCTGAAGTGTATGTTGCAGTTTTCCCACGACGCTTGAAAAGTGGTCCAAAGCCATTATTTTCCTGCTGAGCAACGTCATCTCCTTGAGGAAGATGATTTTCAGCCATGGTGTATATAATATTTTCCTCCTAAACACAGAATTTACGTACTAGTAAAGATGGTCACAACAAAATGCATGTAACTAGGGAAGCGGACCGATTTAACTCGTGACATCATTTATTTGGAAAAAATCTGGCCTTGATTGGCCAGGAGTCTTTATCGACCTTAGCGCCTAGCGTGTTCTCCTAGACCATTTTTTTCGTGCATTGAAAGTACGATTTGACGGCCAAAAAGTGTCCTCCTTAAACGCGCGGTCAAAACGATCATGTTACATAGCCGTGACGTAGAAAACTGCGATGACAAGTCGGTAACTACGGTGGAGAAAAGAGAAATCTAGAAGAAAAGATTAACATACTGCGTGGCCGGAGCGCCAGATGATGTTAGCTTCATGAGTAATACACATACACCAAGTATTTCTTTACACTACTTTCCAAAGGATGTAGCTGTATGGCCAAAATGGACGCGTTTCGATCGTCGACACCGAGGAGATTGTGCTCTTCAGTGTCGTTGGCATTATGCTCCGTACCCGCTTCAAAGACGCCTGTTACGAACACATATCGCTAGTCAAATCAGGGGAAGATAACCAATGAATTCAGCTTGAGAGAATGCTTATTAAGGGGTCCGTTCCCACACCGTGCACGATTGTTCAACATTCTTTTCGGCTGACATTTCGCAAGCGAAGAATAGTGAGCTCCTTATTGATGTTTATTTCACGCGTTTGAGATGTACTCATACTCCTTGTCTTTCCACATGACTACATTGTCGTATGGAAATCTTACCATTTTTTTTTAATTTTTGTTTTTTAATTTAAACATAATTATCATTGTTTTCCCAAAAGTACCCAGGCTTAACGAGGGCGAGAGAGAGTTGACCGAGTTTTCGCTTTAAAAGTGGGAAGAGATACTGAGTTTCGGACATCTAGGTCCAGAGAATTCCAGGAAGTGATTGCTGATGGAAAAAAAGACTTTTGAAACGTAGAAGTTCTACAACGAAGTTGAGTGAGGTTTTCTCTTGATCTGAGACGAAAACGTGTTCGTTCACTAGATATTTTGAGCAATAGTTCAGTTAAATAACGTGGAACAAGGTTCTTGACTATTTTGTAAAACTCTAAAACTGGCTTAATTTATGTCGTTCTCTTCTGATGCTAAGAGGCTCCCAAGCAAGTTCATCATGTAACCTCGCAGAGCTGGTCCCCTTAATGGCTCCTGTAATCACCGTTGCGGCTTCTTATTGAACATTATCCAGTAAAGCTGAATCACGATTATGACAGTTGTTCCAGATAACATCTCCAAATTCCGTGAGAGTTCTAATGAGGCTTTTGTAGAAGCATGTTAAAGTGGATCTATCAACTTTGTATTTGACGCATTTCAGTATATATTTAATCGTCTAGAGGTTTTCTTGTACATCTCAGTTAACTATATGATTTCTCCACCACATATTACTCTTCAAAGTAAGGCCTAAGTGAGTGTGAGACTCAACGTCTTTGACGACCTTGGTGTCAAGAAATAGAGGCGGGTGATCTTGTTCATTACGCTTGAGAGAAAATACAACATTGCAAGGTTTAACAGGAATCATTGTTACCAACCATTTGTCAGCCTACTCGGAGATCTTGTTTGGATCAGAACTAAGGCGACCAGCTGATGCGGCTGGCTCGTCAACAATTTTAAACAGTGTAGTATCATCGGCATAAATCAAAGGAAGGGAGGCGAGATCATCAATAATATCATTGATGTAAATAAGAAATAGAAACAGTCCTGTCAGAGACCCTTGAGGGACTCCGGAGTTGACTATTCGCCAATCAGAGGATTGAATAAAGGAGGTAGGTTTCTAAAGAAACCATGGTACTGCGTCGGTGGGAGGGTATAGCAGGTAATTCAGTGTTAACAACTGAGTTGAAAAGGTAAATTGACCACCGTAAAGGGTTAAAAAAGCTGACGTTTCGAGCGTTAGCCCTTCGTCAGAGCGATTGGAGGAATTGTGTTTGTGCGGGTTTATATGCAGAAAGTGGAGCTACGCTATTGGCGGGAACATGGTGACGAGAAAACAGGAACAAATTAGTTGAATGAAAAGCGCTCGTTGGGGATTAAGGGTGCCAATTTGGAATATAAATTTTTGTTCTAGTGTTTTGCGGCTTTCCGAACTGTCTAGATGTAGGGAAAGGCCGCAAACTGCCATATTCTGTTTTGAATGATCAGGGAGATTAAAGTGTTTAGCGACTGGCCTTTGGATGCGTCCTTGTCATTTCTTTCCACGTCGCGAAGGTGTTCTCGGAATCGGTCAGCTAGTCGTCTTCCTGTTTCGCCAATGTGTAACTTATTGCAATAAGTGCAAGTTATGCAGTAAATAACATTGCCGGAGGTACACGTAAAGTGATCAGTGATCTTAATGGATTGTTAGTTTCGAAACGCGTAACTTGGGTACTTTTCTCTTAGGTTTGTTCCGGTCTATTATTTCTTCGTTGGTTAATGATTATTACTCAATAAGTTTTTTTTATCTCAATCAGTTCATTTAAGCACATGTACCAGATCTTATATTTCATATTTCATTGCTATAAGTTGCCTTCGACACCACCAGTTTTGTCTGCTATTCACTTACGATCCGCTATCAGTGATTTATCTACAATCTTTAGGAGCTAACCCAAAGTAAGTTTTTCTTTATTTCACATTTAAGATATTTCCTTTTTTTTTGATACGTACATCGATTTATTTCTCGCTTTCAGTTCACTTTAAAATCGCTTCATTGTTAATCAGGCTAGGGTTACATTTCTCAGGGATATTTTCTTAGTTTAGTTTCTGCTGCATTTTCTTTTAGTTCGAACCATACAAATTCAGCTACAACGTTACCATCAATCATAACTACGCTATCCTCAATCTTACTTCGCCCTCTTCATATGTGATTTCACACCGATCTCCTTATTTTCGTTTGTAATTTTGATTTCGTACTTCATTTGATTACACCATGAGTTATATTGTGCGTTCGGATTGTCTTCTCCGCTACACGGTCATAAAATGAGTGAGCTCCTCTCCGATAGAGGAGGTAGCGCCGATGCAATCGTCAATGTAACGGCCGTAGAGTTCAGGTTTTGGGCCGTGGTATTGATTAAAAAATTGATGTTCGATGAAACCTACGAAAAGATTGGCGTAGCTGGGTCCCGTTTTAGTACCCATGGCCACGCCATTAGTTTGTTTGTAGTAGTCACCACTGAATGAAAAGCAATTGAGTGCAACCTTCGTCATTGGGAATGACAGTAAAAAGAGATGTAATATCCATAGTAAAAATAAGTTTGTTTTGGCCGAGGAAACTAAAGTCACGAAAAATTTCAAGTGCGCGTTAGCTGTCCTTAATGTAAGATGGTAAAGTTTGAACGATAGGTGCCATAATTTTGTCCAACTAGTTGGAAATAAGTTCGGTGGGACAACTGCAGGCAGAAACAATGGGTCGACCTGGGTTGTCAGGTTTCTGGATTTTTGGTAAAAAGTAAATACACAAAGTTCTAGGAGTGGTGATGGTGAGATTTTTAGCAGTAGCTGGCAATTCTTGTTTAGCTTTAAGATCGTTAATCGTATTTTTGACAATGTTTTGGTTGATTAAAGTGAGATCTTTGTCGACTTTAGCATAAAAGGAGGTGTCGGAAAGTTGCCGCAAGGCTTCTTTTTGGTAGAAGTCGGCCCACCAAACAACAACTGCGCCACCTTTGTCGGCCGCTGTTTTGACTATGTCTGCGTTTTTTTAGACTTTTTAGTGCTGACCACTCTTCCGAAGAAAGATTGGAAAATTTTGTGTTACGATTGAATTAAAGTTTGTTGATATCGTGGCGACATTTTTTGCTGAAAAAATCTAAAGATGCGAACTGGCCCTCTGGGGGAGTCCATTTAGACTTTCGAATCTGAAGTGTTTTGAAAGAATCTTTGTTCGAGATGTTAGAATCATCCTCTTTGTCATGAAAAAAGGCTTTTAATTGAACGCCGCGAAGGAATTTTTCATCGTCTTGCCTAACTGAAAATTCGTCGGTTTTTTGGATATGGAAACAAAATTTGAGTCCTTACTGAGAACAGAGGATTGCCCTTCTATAACTACCCGCTACTTTCAAGTGCAATCATGAACTGATACAGTACATTGTCATTGAGGAGTAATTCTCACCCAATTTACCAGCTCTCTCTGGATTGATAGATATCGTTGACTTGTTCAGGTTAAGTTGCAAGGATAAATAAATGTTTTTCTCTTATTCACAACCCTTGATTCGCAGTTACAATCGGGAGGAATTCTGTCTAAAACCTAGGTGTCCTGTTACTCTATAAGAAGACGATAGGATCTGGATAAAGAATGTCAGCAAGGGTCTAGGTTATTGTCTACCCTACCAACAGTACTGGATAAAAGAAGTGCTATCACGATCCTTGACTGATATTATTAGTAACATTCAGACTGATATCCTTTTTCCAATAAGTACTAATTTGAATTTTGCATATGGGGTTTTAGTGTTGCAGTAAAATTTATTGATAATTACACCCTGTGGTCAAGTGGAAAACATTGGGCTCGTCCAAACCAAGGGTATTCAACTAATCACAAGGAGGAAGTAGATTTCATAACAATGCTTGCCAAGTAAGCAATTAGTTTGCTTACCAGATCAATCTTCTTTTCGGAGAGACAAAATATCATACAGGGGCATACAAAGACTGAAAGCATACAGTGAAATGTATTACTCTTAGTAGGCAGGGATCTTGACATTCTTGGTGTGCAGCTTATTTATAATTCACTCCATTATTTTTTCCCTGTTGAGCCTAAAAAGTGGAACATCTCAAGCCTTAAGTAAATCTGGGATCTGCATGAGGGGGGTTGAATTGCCACAGAATAAAGTTGAACTGAAAACCTGTTCACTGTTTGTGGCTCTTGGAAATTTCCTCACCCACCCTTGGAGGGTCACTTTGAATGGGATAAGGAGAGCATTCTAGAAGCTCAAGTGCATTTGTAGAGGAATTATACCTCTTCTGAGGGATGGGGGAGGGAATTCTAAACATAATCTTCTCTGTGTGAGGGGTGCAAATAAGGGTATTTGAATGTATTCTAAACAAAAAAATACTTTGGGTACTTGCAAGATGAAGAGGGGATCTCTCTAAGAATTCTTTCAAGCCAGTTTTACAATTAAGGAGCACTAAGGCCTTCCCTGAGTGTTTAGCAGTGATTGATTTGTAACTAAGACTTTTCCATAGTAAAATCTTGGTAGCTTATTCTACAATTGAGAGAATTTTTGGCTTGAAACAAAAAAAAAACACTTTAACCTGTGGCAAAGCTTAAAGGAGGAAGGGAACCTCCTTCAAAGAAGCACCAAAGTTGTTGGTTATAATTTTTCCCAAACTTGTAGGTACTGGTGTTCTAGTACAGTCAAAGTTAACACACAGGCACTTTGTGGCAAGTTTCATTTTTTTAAACTGTTAAATCCTATAGTGACAAGTATCTAATTTCTTCTTAAAGCAGTACTACTGAAATATTTATTATAAAACCCATGAAAGTAAAAGGAAATGATTGCCAAACTAAAAAGCTGTGATTGAAACACAAATTCTCCTTGTAAGGAGATCTGATCTTTGATCTGACCAATCTGATCTTTGGTCTGACCAATCTGATCTTTCAGTTTTGGCAGTTAACCAGCTTCAGATAATCAAAGTAGCAGCTCCAAGCCAGCCCATCAGCCACATTCTTGTTTCCTCTTTCGTCTAAATCCGATGTTTCCACAGGAGAGAGCTGTTGGACACCCACTTGGTACAACAACTGCGGAACCACGAAACAGTTCAAAAAAGACAAAATGGCGAAATCTGGGCTTTCTTTGATATCTCGTGCGTTTGTGTTTGAACTCCTCAGACAACAGGGACAACCTTCGTAATAGTTCACCGAAAAAAAAACTGAGGGTAAGCAGCGCAGCTGTAAACACCAGGAAATGAAACTCCTTCTCTTTCTCTTTCACCGCAAAGAATAGCGTTGCGCCACTTATCACAACCATGATAGCTGAAGCGACAGTAGCAATTTTCCCACGACGCTTGAAAAGTGGTCCAAAGCCATAATTTTCTTGCTGAACTAAGTCATCTCCTCGGAGAAGATGATTTTAATGATTTTCAGCCATAGTGTATATAATACTTACTATAATCCGGCTCCTAAACGCAGAAATCACGTACTCGTAAAGATGGTCACAACAAAATGCGTAAAACTGGGGAAAGGAGATCGATTTGGTTCGCGACATGATTTACTTGGGGAATCCCCCAGATAAAAACTCTGGCCTTGATTGGCCAGGAGTCTTAAGGTTGTTCTGCTCCCCGCTATATATAAGGAAACATCCTTGGAAAGGGCGTGTTGGAATTATTTGTTCGGAGATTGAAAGTGCTCTATCAGCATGTTTCAGTTTCGAAAAACTTTCCCAGAGGAATGAAAAACCGAAAGGAAAACGCGTTGGTTTCCTACATAGCGTGGAGCCCTCACGGGTTGAAACCACCTGGGGCATGAGGTTTGACCGTAATTAAATTAAAGAAAAATGACTTCACCATCAGTCCTAACAATGATATTCTCAGCTCATGTAAATTAGAATACCATCATTAACATGGAAGACCGTTAAAAGTAGCTGGCTGGAGTTAGCTCCGCCATATCCAGGCTTTATTCAGGCCTGGTTTACCTAAGAGCATCAGTGGAACATCAAGGGCCGCTTAATTCTAGTGCCAAATGAGATCATATGTCCGCGTTTCTTCAGGAAATGCACCCACAGATACTTTTACACAACTTTCGGGTAACACACGCCTCTTTGCGATGTAAATGGCGCGAGTCATTTTGACTGTTATTTCAACGATGATAAATACTAAGTGGTGAAAAAGTAACAAAGGCGGACTCCGAGCGCAACCATGAACTGATACCGTACACTGAGGTGTAATTCCCACACAATTCACCAGCTTCCTCTGGATTAATAAATATTGTTGAATTGTTCAGGTTAAGTTACAAGGATTGATAAATGTATTTTTACTCGGGCTTTCCAAAGGAAACGCCCGAGTTGAAACTTCGGCTTTGTTTTCAGTTTACGTTCGATCGTAAATTGTAGTCAAGTCCTCATCACGCATGCGCAGCCTATGACTCTGACGCATGCGTGACGTTTTGACTCATGAGCACATGGCAGTGTAACGGCGCATGGAGGGAAGCTTTCGCAGTGCAAAATCAGCGCAGACACTGTGTATATTACGCTCAAAACGCATACACACATCGCTCGAAGTAGACCCACGCTAAATGATGTCGAGCGTTTTCGGAACGGGTCGGTCCGCGAACCTTATGAGAGATCTCTTTGCGAGCGAACTTTTATGAATGAACCTTTCATCGAGAAACATGTTATATCAACTGAGCTATCTAATGTTAATCGAGAGAAGCATAGACGCAAATCTCGTCGTGTATGTAGACGTGATCGTGAACCAAGCAGAATACCAATACGAAGTTTGAAAAGTTAAAGGAACAAGAGCCGCAAGGTTAGAAAATTTGTCTATGCACGTATTCTCTCATGTATCCCCATGTCATCTAAATTGTACTGTTATGTTAATGTTAAAAAACTATTAAATAAAAGGACGTTTAAGTTTAACTGTCGTGAAATAATTCGTCAAAATATAAAAAAAAATGGTAAAATATCTTGCCAGTCGATATTTAACATTGTTTTCTTGTAATAAACTGATGTGTTCTTGAATGAATGAGGCTCATGAAGCAAATTATTGCAACTATAAATTAATTAGAGACGTAGAAAAAAATTCTGGCCCTCCAACATATGTTAACCCTAACAAAACGATAGTAGCTCCATAAAGTCTAAGTAACAAGTTAGTTTTTGGACATAATGCAGGACAACAATGTGTTGTAACGAGTTTGTGTTCTTTGATTTACAATAACACACAAGGGATCAGCTCTGCAAATGATCTTATACAAAAAGTGAATATTGGAAATCAGCTTTACTCAAGTTTGTCGCGATTAGCTAGACAGGCACATTTAATGCAGTCAGAATTACCAACAGCATTAAATGTGTTTGATACTAATTATCAACTGGAATACAGTGAAAGCTACTCCAGTACTGCGCACCAAGAAATTGCTATAAAGTGATATCAGTGTTGTACAACTTTATGAAAATCCTCTGAGTCACTCATATCTGAAAGCTACATCAATGACTTACATTAATGTTATTAAATGCTAAATGCTTTGTGACCTTTTGTTTCTTTACATCTTTTAGAGTGATATTCATTTGCCCATGAAATAAAGAAATGACTATTTAGTTTGTAGTTGTTGATAAAGAACAAAAGAAAATAAGAAATTCACAGTACACCACCAACTATTAATTACCCTATTCTTTCATGGAAAATGAAAATTACCCTAAACACCAACCGTTAGTGAAACCACTCTAACCAATAAACCAAAATGTATCAACTAAAGTATACTAGCCTTTTAACTCCAAATGGAAACAAACAGAGTTGGGAGGTAATAGTACAAAATATGCTAAAGTATATTTCACACATTCATGAGAACCACTTCAACAACCCCATAAAATTAATAGTTCACCTGGTAATAACCTTTGGTGGTGAATTTTTGTTTTCTTTTGATTAAGTGCCATCACCCTTGCACTTGGGGCTGGTCATAATTAGAAAAAGAAAACATTAGAGGATAGCCTGTTTGGCAAGAGACTTACCCCCCTTAGACCCTTAACCCACAAAACAAAATTTAATCAAGTCAGTACTAAAAAAAAAAATTAAAAATAAAAAAATAAAAATAGTGTCTTGTAATAAGTTTTGAAATAGTAGCCAATTATATATGGCACTACCTCCCCCCACCTCACCCCAGAAAAGGGTCTTCACATTGCATAAGTTTAAACAAATGCCGTTTTCAGCACTGTATACATATGTGAGAAACCTGCATCTCTGGCTTATCAAGAGAAAAACAGTTACAGGATAAACCAATAATTGCATAAAAAAAACTTTCAAATGCAAGTGCAGAAAACAAAGTTTCCAACAAATGCAAGTATGCATATAGTTTTAAAATTTATTCACAACCCTTGATTCTTGATAACAATCGGGAGGAAATCTATTTAAAACCTGGGTGTCCTGTGATTCTGCGAGAAGATGAAAGGATCTTCATAAAGAATGTTAGCTACATTGAGGGTCAGGTTATTGTTCACCTAAAGAACAGCATTGGATGAGAGAAGAACTATCACAATCCTTGACTGTTATTATTATTAGTAACATTCAGATTCAGAATCTTTTTCTAATAACTGATAATTTGAACTTTGCATAGGGGCTTTAATGTTGTAAATAAATTATTGATAATCAAGCCCTATGGTCAAGTGGAAAATATTGGGCATGTCCAAACCAAGGGTATTCAATTAATCATAAGGAAGAAGTAGATTTCATAACAGTGCTTGCCAAGTAGGTAATTAGTTTGTTTGCATGATCTATCATCTTTTCGGAGGAAGGGAGCACCTTCATGGACAGACGATAAAGCATACAAGGGCATAGAAAGATTGAAAGCATACAGCAAAATTTATCACTCTTAGCGGGCAGGGATCTTGACACTTTTGGTGGGCAGCTTATCTCTAAATTTGCTCCATTATTTCTTCCCTGTTGAGCCTACACAGAGGAACATTACCAGCCTTAAGTAAACCTGGGGTCTGCATCAGGGGAGTTAAATTGCCAGTTGAAAGCCTGTTTACTGTTTGTGGCTCCAGGAAATTTCCTCACCCACCCTTAGAGGGCCACTTGAAATGGGAAAGGGTGTGGATTCTAAAAGCTCAAGGGTATTTAATGAAGAATTAGTAACTCTTCTGAGGAATAGGGGGAGGGAATTCCTAACATCAATCTTCTGTGTGATGGGTGCAAATAGGGATATTTGAACATATTCTACACAAAAAATACTTTGGATACTTGCATGATTTAGAGGGAACCCCTATGAATTCTTTCAAACCAGTTTTACAATTTAGGCTACTTGATCACTAAAGTTTTCCCCTTTTTTGTTTTCCTCAGCAGTTTTGTAACTAAGACTTCTCAATAGTAAAATCTTGGTAACTTAATCCACAATTGAAAAAACTTTTGGTTTGAAATGAAAAAAAAATTGAAAGCTGTGGCTTGAAGGAGTGAGACCCTCCTTTAAAGAAGCACCAAAGTTGTTGGTTACAATTTTTCCCAAACTTATAAGTGCTGGTGTTCTAGTACAGTCAAAGTTAACACACAGGTGCTTTGTAGCAAGTTTTATTTTTTAACCCCTTAAATCCTAAGAGTGACAAGTATCTAATTTCTCCTTAAAGTAATATTGCTGAAATATTTATTATAAAGACCATGACAATAAAGGAAATGATTTCCAAACTGAAAAGCTGTGATTGATACACAAATTCTTCTTGTCAGTACCAAAGGAAATGTGCAATTGATAACAGTGTGAAGAATATGCATACTGATATAAAGGTTTAAGGGATGATAAATATGTTCACTTAATAAGAGCACAATAATCATCAAGTATTTCACATAGCAAAGCAAAGACATGACAATTGAGAAAAGCTAAACTATTCAGTATGTATGAAGATTTTACATATATGAATTCAGCATGTTTTATAAACCTCTGTTCATGTTTACCATCCCATAAAGGGCTTGCTACAAACTGTGTAATCTGCTAAGCTATAGGAAAGGGTAAAATACATTAGGCTGTAAACTTCTCCACTAACACAATTGAAAGGTTCTGCCTTTGAGTGTGTTCACAATACAATCAACATAAATCTATGAGATGAGGAGCATCTCTTTCCTATCATCTCTAAAAAACAATGTTTGAATCCTTGATCAACATCAAGTGGTATCTATTATGGGTGAAATAAAAGTTTGAGCCACAAGATTTAGATCAAAATTTCTAATGAACATTTTTGCTCCTTGAAAGGCTCCTCGGTCCTACATGCATCTCTAAAGTAATACTTCATTTATTATATTGCAGGTCCTGTGAAATATCAGTAATTTATGTATACAGTGTTACAGACTGAGTTTTTGATTACACTGAATTAGCATTATTTTGTTGAGAGCTGTCCCGGTTCTGGTCTTTGCACTCCATTAGGACCTTTGAAATCTCATTTGAATCTTCTCCTGAAATTGGCACTAATTTGTAAAGCCCTCTGCACACTTTACAGTTCTCCAGAAGTTCTGTCAATTTTTGGTAGAATAACACCACCTATAAGTTACAATGAAGAGAAGTTCCAGTTAAACTGCATCTTATCTCAAGCCAATGATATTTATGAGGACCAGTTCCAAGGGGGTACCTCGTGGTAATAGACTCATGAGGATGTACCACTGGAAGGCTTGCATTTTTACAACTGGATTTACTATAATGGGTTTGCAGTTTCAATACCGTTCCTATAATGGGGTTGCACTTTTTCAGGATTTTGGGGTTAAGATAACTTATGGTTCTTAGGGATTTAAAAATGGGAAGATTCATGGTCAAACAATTCATTTTAGGATGAACTACTTAAAAGGCTTTCTAAGCCTGATGCATAAACAGAAAGTGACTAAGTTGGAATAGTGACAAAAATATTTACTTAAAAGTCACTTAGATGGGATCTATAAAAGACCACAAAATAGATTATAATGGGGGAGGGGGAGGGTTCTCCGTCGTCAGTGGCATATACACAGCAAAATTTGACGTAAGTATCCTTCCCCAAGGATCAGCCAAAATATTGTTTGAGGTAATCAGATCAGGATTCTCTTCCACCTTGAAAATCAAAGGGAAAATACTAGAAACTAGCTCACCTGATGATCCCGCTCATCATTCGTTAAGGAGTCATCTCCATTCCTAGACATTTTGTAGAGGGTCTCTAGAGCCGTGGCATACTCTACGAGAAAGAAGTATTTTTCCACTGTTCCATCTGGTTGGAGCTTCTCTACCATATGAACTGCATTCTTGTAACTTCTGTCCTCAATTCCACCACTATTTCTTGTCATCTCTGGCAGATCGACGACAAATTTTACCCTTGAATCAAAAGAAGCGATCTTACCATAGATGCAGCACGTTCTGGGCACCAAAATGAAAAGCGTCACACTTATCTGATCTCGAAATTGCTCCGATTTGGCAATCTGTTCTTTCAGTACTGGCAGCATCAGCTTCAGATAATTAAAGTAGTAGCCCCAAGCCAGCCCATATGCCACACTCTTGTTTCCCTTTTGAATCAAATCCGATGTTTCTGCTGGAGCGAGCTCTCGAAGACCGCAAATGTGCGACAACTGATCAACCACGAGAGAGTTCAGGAAAAAAAAAATGACGAAATCTGGGCGAGGCAATATTTCGTATCGTACATTCAACAGATAGCCGCAAACTATGCAAATGGTAATGATAAGGATAGCAGCGGCTAAACTACGCTTGAAATAATCGGTAGAGAAAGTTGCCTCAAAAATTTTCTTCCACTTTCCGCCATATCTCGTGTCTTTGTGTTGGAACTCCTCACACAATAAGAAAAATCTGCGTATCATTTCTGCGAGAATGACACTCGAGGTATGCAGGGCTATTGTAATCAACTGGGAATGGACTTCTTTCTCTTTCTCTTTCACCGTGAAGAATAGCACGGCGCCGGTGATTATAATGGCAATCACCAACATGGTAACTGAGGCGAAAGTAACTGTTTTCCCACGACGCAGGAAAAGTGATCCAAAGCCAGTATTTACTTGCTGAGGTAAGTCATCTCCTTGGGGAAGATGATTTTCAGCCATGGTTTATATAATATTTCCTCCTAAACGCAGAATTTACGTACTCGTAAAGATGGTCACAACGAAAGGTATTTAAGTAGGGAAGCGGATCGATTTAGTTAGTGACATCATTTACTTGGAAAAACTCTGGCCTTGATTGGCCAGGAGTCTTTAAAGTGTCTATGACGCAAAATTTGTGTTTGCATTTTTTGCATTGACAGCTGTTTTTAAAATTAGACATAGTATGTATTACTGTAGTATTCTCCTTGCCTTTTTGTGTGCACTTAAAGTACGAATTGGCGGCCAAAAAGTGTCCTCGTAAAGCGCGCGGCCAAAACGATCATGTTACATAGCTGTGAAGTAGAAAACTGTGAAGACACGTCGGCAACTTTGGTGGAGAAAAAAGAAATCTAGAAGAAAAGATGAACTTATTGTGTGGCCAGAGCGCCAGATGATGTTAGCGTCATGAGTAATATACATACACCAAGTATTTCTATACACTACTTTCCAAAGGATGTAGCTGTATGGCCAAAATGGACGCGTTTCGATCGTCGACACCTAGGAGATTTTGCTCTTCAATGTCGTCGGCATCATGCTCCGTACGGCTTCAAAGACGCCTGTTACGAACACATATCGCTAGTCAAATCAGGGGAAGATAACCAATGAATTCAGATGCAAAGAAAACTTATTAAGGGGTCCGTACCCACACTGTACAAGATTGTTCGACATTCTTTTCGGCTGACATTTCGCAAGCGAAGAATAGTGAGCTGCTTATTGATGTTTATTTCACGCGTTTGAGATGTACTCATACTCCTTGTCTTTCCACATGACTACATTTGCGCTTTTCTTATCGTATGGAAATCTTACCTTTTTTTTTTTTTTTGTTTTTTTAATTTAAACATAATTATCATTGTTTTCCCCGAAAGTACTTAGGCTTAACGAAGGCGATTACAATATTACAAATATAAAATCAATTTATTCAGGCTCGCACACAAACAGACACACAAACAACACACAAGTTGCAATAAAAACGAGTTTAACTTACTAAGATAGGAATATGTTATTCATGAATATTAATGATTCGTTTTAATCCTTCCCTTGTCTCGATGCTGTCAGTAAATTTTAGGATCTTGTCTTTTTTCTTCCGAATGTCTGAGATCTGCTGCTTGCTGATGCCAAATTCTTGGGCTAAATTTGTTCCTTTCTCTCCTTTATCCAAACGTGAAATAATTATCTGCTTATCTTTAATCGATAGAACGGTTCGCTTTCGCTTCGTAGACATGTTTTTGATTTGAGTTTAGGATCGATCGCTCGTGTGTTTACATAACCCATGCGGAAGGAACTAATCAAGCTTGAAATTCACGTGGCAACAAAACAATTGAGCCAATCAGATATCAGCTGAAAGCATCAGAATATTTCTTTGTCTCGTCGCACTTTCGACTTTTGAAAGTGCACAGGATAAGACGCTGCTTCAACAATCTTTTGAAAGGATTATAGGGCTTTTTGCGACTTTGAGTTTTCAAGATCACAACTAATTAATTTTCATGAAAAAATTGGGACCAGAGAAAAAAGTCCGGATAGTCGAATAGTCCGGATAATCGAGGTTCGACTGTAGGTATCATCGACATAAATCAAAGGAAGAGTGGCGAGATCATCAGCAATATCATTGATGTAAATAAGAAATAGAAGCGGTCCTATCACAGACCCTTGATGGACTCCGGAGTTGACTGTTTGCCAATTAGAGGATTACCCTTCAATAACTACCCGCTGCTTTTAGTTAAGCAAATAATTTTCAAACCATTGAAGTAAGGGCGGTAGTGCTCCTAGAGCCTCCAACTTACACAGCAAACCAGCATGCCACACCTTATCAAATACTTTGCTTATATCTAGGAAAAAAGCTCGTACCTCTCTACCACTTTCCAAGGCTTCAGAGATTTTGTGTACAAAGAAAATCAGTTGGTCGATTGCTGAATCACCAGGCCTGAAACCAGTCTGGAGTTTTTAAAGAAAACTAATCTCCGTCGAAAATTGTACAAGTAAAAGAAAACAATCTTTTCAGATTTTAGAAAAACTTGCCAGCAGAGAATCAGGACGGCAATTCACTTTCAGTTGACGGTTATCATTTTTGAATATAAGAATAACATTTGCGAGCTTCCACTCACTAGGGAAATGACCAAGTGAAAGACATATTGACAAAACGAGTGAAATAGACATGAAAACCATCACTGCACATCTTAATAATCCTGTAGTTAACTCCATCATAACCACATGCTTTAGAGGTATCAACGCCCTTCATTAGTTCAAGTACTTGCTCTTCTGTAGCAATAAAACTGGATGAAAACTGTTGAGTCTGATAGGGCGGCATAACAGGAGAAATTGTGTTGGCTCCTGCAACCTCGGTCTGTAACACAAAGTAGTCGTTGAAGATACACGCTTTTTCCTTGGGATCAAATATGGGCCGTTCGATTTCGACAATGGTTGGAATAGATAAGGAATTTTCCCGGCCACATACTCTCTTAACTGACCACCATTTTTTTACTGTTAATGTCAGGATTGCTCAGATCCTTGTTGACTCTTCATAAAAGGCTTTTTCGGCAAATCGTACAAGTGAAGTAGTAAGATTATGTTGAGCCCGATAGCGTTCCCACGTTGTTAGAGATGGGCGTTTTTTTGTGAAATCGGAGCAGGCGGTCCCGCCTCTTAATTGACAGGCGCACTTTACTATCCATCCATGGTTTACCCTTGGCACGTATTGTTACCGTTTTCAGTGGAATGTACTTCTCAACAATCAAACGAAAGTAGCCATACCACCTTGAATATATTTCATCTATGTCCTTAATGTTTTCACACAAAGAGATCCAGTCTAATTCCGATAGTTCCCCATTCACATTTGTAGTGTCGACGTTATTAAAATTCCACACCTGCCTTTTGTAAGATCGACTTCTGTAAGCGAAGATATTCATATTTGCGAAGATAACAGAATGGTCACTATTGGAAGGGGGACTTAAAGTTTCAGAAGTACTAGAATGCCCAGGACAATTTGTGATGACTGAAGCCAATATCGTCAAACTGTGACAAGTGACACGAGTTGGCTCCGTTATCAGTTGTACCAAGTTGTTATTTTGTTAGAAACTGTATAATTTTTCACCTACATCGCTATTCCTGATGGATTTGTAGAGTCGTAATGAGCATTGAAATTTCCCAGTACAACAACGCTATTTTGTTTAGGTAGTTGACGAATTTTATCAAGAACCAGCTGAAAATATTCGAAGAAATTAGCAAGGGAAACACTGTCATTGTCGGGCGGCCGGTAACAAACACCACAGAGAACATCACGGTGTTTGATGCGGAATTCAATCCAAAGAATTCTATGGCGACAAATTAAAAAATCTAACGTACGCTTAGCTACGAGGGTGTTAACCGTGAAGAATGCAACTCCACCACCCATTCTGTCGTGCCTGTGAAGTCGGATAATAGGGTTGTACCCTGCAATTTGTAAACAATCACTGCTTACGCGATCGGTGAGCCATGTTTCAGTGACTGCAAAACATCAAACTCATTCCCCCTCACCAGCAAAGAAATCTCTTCAAACTTATCACCCACGTTCAAACTTCTGGCATTTAAGTGACCGAACTTGAAAAAAGGTCCTGGATTTAGTTCAACATCACTAGAAAAAAACTATTCTAAGAACGATACACAATTCAATCCATGAAAAATCAAGGCAGCGTCTGTGTGGCTCAAAGAATAAACAAATTTAAAACACCGTGTTCAAAAACAATTAAATAGCCCAATAGCCGCTCTATATGCCTCCAAACTAACCTCCATTATCGTATATTAACAGAAAATAAAACGCTACCTCTAGCAATAAAAGTACAAACAAACACTAGAACGAAGGTTTAAATAAATAGGGACAGAATAAAAATATATAGAGACCAAAACACCAAACAGTTAGGGGCAGCGTAAACTTACGAAAGGTACAAACTAGCACTAAGGCAATATAATAGAAATGGTGACATTCCTTGAGTCCTGAAGTAACATTATAAAAACTGCTCTTCCAAGGTTCTTCGTTACTTGAAAAGTGTAGTTTCAAGTTCACAATAGTTCATATTTTGTGAAGTCTAACTGATTAACTACATGAAATCTTTTACCATCTGATTTCCGTTTAACAAAAGACTTCCTGTCCGAAGTCCAGGAGGTATCAACATTAGTACACACTTAACTCGAGCAGTGTAAAATAGTTTCTGATTACTTTTGGTAAAGTCTTCATCTATGTAAAAGCCAGAATCCTTAAGATTCCTCCTGGTGAAACTACCAATTGTAGTTTCCATCGTATTTTACCTAAACGCATATTTGCGTTTACTCGGGCTATCTGTTGGAAAGAAATTTTGTTTTTTCTATGTGCCTACATGTGCCTAAGTTTTTTTGAACAATTATTGATTTATCCTGTAACTTTTTTCTGTCTGATTTTGCACCGCGAAAGCTTCTCTTCGTCCGCCATTACTCCACATTGCTCCATGCCATGTGCTCATTAGTCAAAACGTCGCGCATACGTCAGAGCCAAAGGTTGCGCATGCGTGATGAGGACTTGACTGCGTTTTGCGTCTCAAGACAGAAATTAATAACGAAGCCCAATTTATAACTCGGGTATTCCACAGGAAGCTCGAGTAATAACAGAAATACATCTTTATTAGTTAAGTTCAAGCCCTTTCCAGAGCTGACCGATATCCTGTTGCGTGAACAGTGTGAAACCTCTGGCTTGAACACAAGCTCGAAGGGGCCGTGTATTCTTCTAACCTAGGTTTCCGAAAATCCATCCCACGAGCCATCAATCCCCCCCTGCCCTCAAGAAACTAAAAGTAGCATCAGTAGCAACATTATTGTGTAACTACTGCCCGATGACTTCTCGGTGAAAAATCATCGTGCCTCGTGATACAGCTGATTCTTTCTTCTGAAGTTAGCTTTTGGTTTACTAACGGAATTTCTCTATAGCAATAAAATTCAAGAGCACCGACCGAAGGGAACTGTTGCCGCACATAGTAGGAACGAATAAAATGTTAAGGCAACAGAAACGAGCACAGCTACCCATTCTTAACATAGATTCTGCAATAGAAAACAAAACACAACCGCAGCAAACTAAACATTTAGTAATGGGAATTTTTTGTTCCAATCTTGACCTAAACACCGCAGGCAAGAAAGGTAGTTATACATTACTATCGAACATTATTTCAAGAGTATTTCAACGCTGACTGATGCAAATTACATGAGACGTGAGAGAATTGTCGGTGTCAACTGAGAGGTTTCACAGTTTTTACGTCATCACCCGCTAATTCGTTACCAGTCCACATGACACTTTATAAGACAAAATAGGAATACTTTAGGGTCCGTATTTTAGAAGCCGAGTTTTAATTTTTTTTTAAGTTTTTCTTCTATCGGAATTGGTTTGCACATATGATAAGCTAAATATTTAGGCAGGCACTTTGAGGGTGTCCACCAGGGAAAAGGCCCAAAACAAGGCGTGATGGAATTATTTGTTCAGAGATTGAAAGTGCTTTCTCAGCGACTTTCAGTTTCGAAAAACCTTTTCCCAGAAGAAGGAAAAACCGAAAGGAAACGCGTTCGTTTCCCACACCGTGTGGAGCCCCCACAGGTTGAAACCACCCCGCGCACGAAGTGGTTCTCACATAATGTGTGATGACAGGCTTAACAATGGTATTCTCAGCTCGCATGAATTCCAATACCACCACTAATATGGAGGACAGTTAACATTAGCTCGCTGGAGATAGCTCTGCCATATTCAGGCTTTATTCAGGTTTGGTTCACCGAGGAGCATCGAGGGGCCTGAAGGGCCGTTTTACTTTAGTGCCAAATGGGATCATATTTCCGCGTTCCTTTAGGAAAAGCACCCATCCATACTTTTACACAACTTGCGTGAACCACACGCCACTTTGCGATGTAAATGGCACGAAACGTCTTGATTGTTATTTCAACGACGATAAAGACTTAAAGTGGCGAAAAGTAGCAACGGCAGACTGCGGGTGCAATCATGAACCGATATCGTACTTTGTCATTGAGGAGTAATTCCCACACAATTTACCAGCTCTCTCTGGATTGATAGTTATCGTTGACTTGTTCGGGTCAAGTTACAAGGATAGATAAAAAGTCTAAAACCTGGGTGTCCTGTGTTTCTGTAAGAAGATAATAGGATCTGGATAAAGAATGCCAGTCAGGGTCTAGGTTATTGTCTATCTTAAGTACTTCTCTGTGTGAGAGGTGCAAATAGGGGTATTTGAACATATTCTACACACACACACACACAAAAATGGGTACTTGCAAGATGAAGAGGGAATCTCCCTAAGAATTCTTTCAAACCAGTTTTACAATTAAGGAGCACTAAGGCCTTGCCTGAGTGTTTTTTTTTTCTCTTAGCAGTGATTGATTTGTAACTAAGACTTTTCCATAGTAAAATCTTGGCAGCTTATTCTACAAATAAGAGAACTTCTGGCTTGAAACAAAAAGCACTTAAACCTGTAGCAAAGCTTGAAGGAGGGGGGGAACCTCCTTCAACCAAAACAAAGTTGTTGGTTATAATTTTTCCCAAACTTATAAGTGATGGTGTTCTAGTACAGTCAGAGCTGACGCACAGGTGCTTTTTGGTAAGTTTTATTTTTAACCCTTTCAATCCTAAGAGTGACAAGAAATATTTATTATAAAAACCACGAAAGGAAATGATTGCCAAACTAAAAAGCTGTGATTGAAACACAGATTCTCCTTGTAAGGAAATGTGTAATTGAGAACAGTATGAAGAATATGCATACTTATATAAAGGTGTAAAAGGGATGATAAATATTTTTAACAGAATAAGAGCACAACAATCATCAATTTAAGTATTACATAGAGCAAAGCAAAGACAAAGGACAATTGAGAAAAACTAAACTATTCAGCCTGTTTTATAAACCTCTGTTCATGTTTTCTTTACTGTCCCATAAAGGGCTCACAACAAACTGTGTTATCTGCTAAGCTATAAAGATGAGTAAATTAAATTGGGCTATATACTTCTCAAAACAAATTAAAGGCTGTTCCTTTGAATGTTTTCACAACTCACTCAATATAAATCTGAGAGATGTCGGAGGTTAAAGAATTCAAAACAACTCAAAGCCTTGAGTTATTGACTCCACAAAAAGACTTGAACACATATAAAGTTACATTAGGGTGTTTGTTTCCTATCTAAAGAGTACAAATAATCAATTTTTGGCCTCTCAGAGTTCACACTATGACAAAGTGACATTTTCAGCTGCCTTAAATAGGTATCTTTTGGGATTGCATGAAATGAAGTGTTATGCTGTTTCAGTTAAATTCAAGTTTCTAAAAAGAGTTTACACTTGATGCATACCTATAGAGCCTTAAAGCATTGTGGTATGCCTGAATTTTCAGAGAGGAATGATAGAGTGAGAGAGAATTCAAACATCACATTTAAAATCAGCTTAGGGTTATTTATTGTTGAGGAAAAATATACCTCAGAGCAGTATATGATTATTTCTGCAGCTATATAACATTAATCGTATTTTAAAATGTCACAAAGTTTCACATGATTTGTTTACTTGCTGAGGTTTTTTGATGAGCTGGTGGCAATGCAATGGGCACATGTTGGAGAATATCTAGTAAACTTTAATAAACCCTTAAGGCAGATGGTATGTCTGCTGATGTGTCAGAGAACTGAATATTGGCTGAGAAGCATAGCTTTGAGGGCAAATTGGAATTGTTATTAATTTTTATTATTTTTTTGAAAAATCATGTTTTGTGGCGCTTTCAAGAGTTCATGAAAAGTAATTTGCCATCTCTCTTTGAGTTTTCTTTGTTCGTTCAAGTCAAATCTAAATTTTGCGTTCCACAAAGATGAATACTCGCAGAATGAAGTTGAACTGAAAACCTGATGACTATTTGTGTTTCTGGACAATGTACTCACCCACCCTTGGAGGGTCAATTGTAATCGGGGCAGGGTGGGTATTTGAAAAACTCTGACAGTCAATTCACCAGCTCCCTCTAGATCTATAGATATCGTTGAATTGTTCAGGTTCAGTTACAAGGATTGATAAATTTTTTTTTCTCGTTCACGACCCTTGATTCGTAATTACAATCGGGAGGAAACCTATGTGACACCTGGGTGTCCTGTGACTCTGTTAGACGATGAAAGGATCTGGATAAAGAATGTCAGCCAGGGTCTAGGTTATTGTTCAGCTAAAGGACAGTACTGGATAAGAGAAGAGTTATCACGATCCTTGACTGATATTATTATTAGTAACATTCAGATTCAGATTCTTTTTCTGATAACTAATAATTTGAACTTTGTATAGGGGCTTTGATGTTGTAATCAAATTATTGATAATTAAACCCTAAGGTTAAGTGAAAAACATCAGGCTTATTGAAACCAAGGGTATTCAATTAATAACACAGGAAGTAGATGCCATAACAATGCTTGCAAAGTAGGCAATCGGTTTGTTTGCCTGGTCAACCTTCTTTCCAGGAGAAGGGAGCACCTTCATAGAGAGATACTGAAGCATACAGAGGCATGCAAAGACTGAAAGCGAACAGTGAAATTTATCACTCTTAGTGGGCAGGGATCTTTACATTCTTGGTGTGCAGCTTGTTTCTAAATTTGCTCCATTATTCCTTCCCTGTTGAGCCTACACAGTGGAACATCACTGGCCTTAAGTAAACCTGGGATCTGCATGAAGAGAGTTGAATTAGCACAGAATGAAGTTGAACTGAAAACCTGTCCACTGTTTGTGGCTCTAGGACATTTCCTCACCCATCCTTGGAGGACCACTTGGGATGGGATAGGGTCACTGAGCATTCTTAGAGCTTAAGCGTTTTTTAGAGGAATTATATCTCTTCTGGGGGACTGGGGAAGGGCGATTCCAAACAAAATATTTTCTGTGTGAGGGGTGAAAATAAGGATGGTTGAACATATTCTACACAAAAAAGTACTTTGGGTACTTGCAAGATTTAGAGGGGATCTCCTTCTGAAGTCTTTCAAACCAGTTTTACAATTAAGGCTACTTGATCACTGAGGACTTCACTGAGTGTTTTTTTTTCTTAGCAGTTACTGATTTATAACTAAGATTTTTTTGTAGTAAAATCTTATTGGTAGCTTATTCTACAATTGAGGGAGCTTTTGGCTTCAAACAAACAAAAAAAAACTCTTAAACCTGTAGCAAAGCTTGAAAGGGGAGACTCTCCTTCAAAGAAGCACCAAAGTTGTTGGTTATAATTTCTCCCAAACTTATAAGTACTGGTATTCTAGCACAGTCAGATTTAACACACCGCTGCTTTGTGTCATGTTTTATTTTTAACCCTTTTAATCCTTAGAGTGACAAGTATCAAATTTTTCCTTAAAGTAATATTGCTGAAATATTTATTATAAAGACTGTGGAAATAAAGAAAATAAATGCCAAACTAAAAAGCTGTGATTGAAACACAAATTCTCCTTGTAAGGAAATTTGCAATTGAGAATAGTAGGAAGAATATGCATACTGATATAGAGGTGTAAAGGGATAATTAATATGTTTACAGAATAAGAGCACAACAATCATCAATTTAAGTATTTCACTGAGCAAAGCAAAGAAAAATGAAAACTGAGAAAAACTAAACTATTCAGCCTGTTTTATAAATCTCTGTTCATGTTTACGTTACTATCCCACTGAGGGCTCACTACAAATTATGTAATCTGCTTGGCTATAAGGAAGGGCAAAATAAATTAGGCTATAGCCTTCTCCACTTACACAAATTAAAGGCTGTGCCTTTGAATGTTTTCAGAACACAATCAACATAAATCTGCAAGATGAGGACTGTCCCTTTGCTACCCTCTCTAAAAAACAATGCTAATCTCCTTAACCAACATCAAGTGGTATCTAGTATGGGTGAAATAAAAGTATAAGCCACAAGATTTAGATAAAGATTTGTAATCAACATCTTTGCCCCTTCAAAGGCTCCTCATTCCTACATTACAGACTGAGTTTCTTGCTACACCGCATTAGCATTATTTTGTTTAGAGCTGTTCTTGTTCTGGTCTGTGCACTCCATTAGCTTCTGGATTGTGCATCTCAATGTTGGCAGCATTATGCATCCCAATCAGGACATTTGAGATCTCATTTGGATCATTTCCTGAAATTGGCACTAATTCATAAGTCCCTCTGCACTCTTCGGAGTTCTCCAGAATTTCCCTCAATTTTTGGATGAATAACACCACCTATAAGTAAAAATGAAGAGAAGTTCCAGTTAGATGTGCATCCCACCTCAAACAAATCCTATTTGTGAGGACCAGTCCTAAGGGGGGGAGGGGGGTACTTCCTAATAAAAGGCTAATGGGGATGTGCTACTGGATGGCTTGCATTTTCACTGCTGGATTTACTATTTAATAATGGGTTTGCAATTTCAATGCAGTTCCAACAATGGGGTTGCACTCTTCCAGATTTTGGGGTGAGACAATGTATGGCCAATTGGGAAGATTCATGGTTAAATGAGTCAATTCATTTTAAGATGAGCTACTTAAAAGGCTTTCTAAGGCAGATACATAAAACAGAAAGTGACTAAGTTGGGATAGTGAAAGTAACATTCACTTAAAAGCACCTTAGATGGGATCTACAAATGACCACAGAATAGATTATAATGGGTTGGGGGAGGGTGGGTTCTAAGAGGCCAGTGGCATATACACAACAGAAATTGACCCAATTACCCAGGGATCAGCCACAATATTGCTTGTGGTAATTAGATCAGGATTCTCTTCCACTTTGAAAATCAAAGAGAAAATACTAGAAACTAGCCTACCTGATGATCCCGCTCCTCACGATTAAAGGAGGCGTCTGCATGCTCAGACATATCATAAAGGGACATCAGAGGTGTAGCATACTCCAAGATAAAGTGGTACCTTTCTACTGTTCCATCAGAACGGGGCATTTCTATCTTATGTACCGAATGCTTGTAAATTCTTTCCTTAATTCCACCCCTACTAATTTTAAGCTCTGGGAGATTACCGACCCATTTTACCCTTGGGTCTGCGTCTTTGATGTCAGCACAAGTGAAGCACGTTTTGGGAAGTAAAATGAAAAGCTTTTTCCTTGTTATTTCATAACGAAAAAGCTCCGATCTGCCAATCTGATCTTTCAGTTTTGGCAGTACCAGCTTCAGATAACCAAAGTAGTAGCTCCAAGCCAGCCCATCAGCCACATTCTTGTTTTCTTTTTCGTTTAAATCCGATGTTTCCACAGGAGAGAGCTGTCGGAGACCCACAAGGTACAACAACTGCGGAGTCACGAAACAGTTCAGAAAAAACAAAATGGCGAATTCTGGGCGAGAGAAAACTTCGTATTGTTCATATAACTGATAACATAATATGAGAGCGGAAGCGATAGCAGCGACTAAAATACACTTGCCATAATCGAAGGTGAAAGTGGTCTTAAAAATACCCTTCAACTTTCCTTGATATCTCGTGCGTTTGTGTTTGAACTCCTCAGACAACAGGGACAACCTTCGAAATAATTCACCGAAAACAAAACTGAGGGTAAGCAGGGCAGCTGTAAACACCAGGAAATGAAACTCCTTCTCTTTATCTTTCACCGCGAAGAATAGCGTCGCGCCACTTATCACAACCATAATAGCTGAAGTGACAGTAGCAGTTTTCCCACGACACTTGAAAAGTGGTCCAAAGCCATTATTTTCTTGTTGAGCTAAGTCATCTCCTCGAGGAAGACGATTTTCAGCCATGGTGTATATAATATTTCCTCCTAAACGCAGAATTTACGTACTCGTAAAGATGGTCACAAAGAAATGCGTTAAACTGGGGAAGGCAGATTGATTTGACTCCCGACATGATTTATTTTGGGAATCCCCTAGATAAAAACTCTGACCTTGATTGGCCAGGAGTCTTGAGGGTGTCTTTGGGCTTTCCCCCGCGAGGGGAAATTCGGAGATTGAAAGTGCTCTCTCAGCAAGTTTCAGTTTCGAAAACCTTTTTCCGGAGGAATGTTAAACCGAAAGGAGAATGCGTTGGTTTCCTAAACCGCGTGGAGCCTCCTTAGGTTGAAACTACCTCGAGCACGAGGTGGTTCTCACATCATGTGTAAAGACCTTGATTCAATTTAAAGAAAAATTATTTCAGCTTTTTCTCTCTGTCTAGGTTATTGTCCAGCTAAAGAGAGAAGAACTATCTCGATCCTTGACTGTTGTTATTATTAATGACATTCAAATTCATATTCTTTTTCTAATAATTAATAATTTGAACTTTACATAGGGGCTTTGATGTTGTAATCAAATTATTGATAACTAAACCCCATGGTCAAGTGGAAAACATTGGGCTCGTTGAGACCAAAGGTATTCAATTAATCACAAGGAGGATTATTCTTGGTGTGCCGCTTATTTATAAATTTGCTTCATTATTTCTCAGGAACATCACTGGCCATAAGTAAACCTGGGATCTGTATCAGGGGAGTTAAATTGCTACAGACTGAAGTTGAATCGAAAACCTGTCCTCTGTTTGTGGCTCCAAGAAATTTCCAACCCACTCTTGGAGGGCCTTTTGGAATTGGATAGGGTGAGGATTCTAAAAACCTTATGGGTATTTATAGAGGAATGACATCTCTTGTGATTGATGGATGGGGGAAGGTGATTCTGAACAAAATCCTCTCTGTGTGAGGGGTGCAATTAGGGATATTTTTAAACATATTCTACACAAAAGAATACTTTGGATACTTGCATGATTTAGAGGGGATCTCCCTATGAATTCTTTCAAACCAGTTTTACAGTTTAGGCGACTTGATCACTAAGGCCTTCCCTGAGTGTTTTTTTTTTCTTAGCAGTTTTGTAACTAAGACTTTTCCATAGTGAAATCTTTGTAGTTTATCCTGCAATTGAGAGAACCTCTGATTTGAAACAACAACAAAAAATTGAAAGCCGTGGCAAAGCTCAATGGGGGGAGACTCTCCTTCAAAGAAGCGCCAAAGTTGTTGGTTATAATTTTTCCCAAACTTATATAGGTACTGGTGTTCTAGTACAGTCAAAGTCAACACACAGGTGCTTTGTGGTAAGTTTTATTTTTTAACCCGTTAAATCCTAGAGTGAAAAGTATCTAATTTCTCCTTAGAGTAGTACCACTGATATATTTATTATAAAGACCATGGAAGTAAAGGAAATGATTGCTAAACTAAAAAGCTGTGATTGAAACACAGATTCTCCTTGTCAGTACCAAAGGAAATGTGCAATTCAGAATAGTATTAAGAATATGCATACTGATATAAAGATGTAAAGGGATAATTAATATGTTTACAGATTAAGAGCACAACAATCATCAGTTCAAGTATTTCACAGAGCAAAGCAAAGACAAATGATAATTGAGAAAAACTAAATGATTCAGCATGTTTTATAAATCTCTGTTCATGTTTACTTTACTATCCCATAAAGGGCTCATTACAAACTGTGTTATCTGCTAGGCTATAGGGAAGAGTTAATTAAATTAGACTATAAACTTCTCCACTTACACAAATGAAAGGCTGTGCCTTTGAATGTTTTCACCACACAATCAACATAAATGTGTGAGATGTCAGAGGTTAAAGAATTCAAAACAACTCAAAGCCTTGAGCTATCAAGCCCAGGAAAGGATTGGAGCACATATTGTTACATTTGGCCTCTCAGAGTGTACACCATAACAAAAAGTGATATTTTCAGCTGCCTTAATTTGGTATCTTTTGGGATTGCATGAGATAAAGTGTTAGGCTGTTTCAGTTTAATTAAACTTTGTAAAGAGAGTTTACAGTTGATGCATAATTATAAAACCCAAAATTAATGTTATGCCTGAATTTTACAGAAAGGAATGATGTAGTGAGATTTGAAGTTTTCCTTTATAAATTTGTGAAGTGTGAAATATTCCTGCATGAAACCCAATGAGGACTGTCCCTTTGCTAAAAAACAATATTTGCATCCTCAACCAACATCAATTGGTATCTTTTATGAGTGAAATAAAAGGTTGAGCCACAAGACTTGGATCAAAATTTCTAATGAACATCTGTGCCCTTTTAAAAAAAGGTCTTTTACCCCCCCTTTAAGATCAGGATCAAACATCTCTGACACTGTATTTTTTTACACTCAGAAACACAGCTCTATACATGTGTAATGTGTAACAGAGTTCCTTCATCATCCATACTGCTGCTGAGGAGCAGCAGTCACTTATCTGCTCTATTGCCTTGTTTGCTCATCAGTCTCGTCTTCTAAATCTATGTTGCTCGCACTGTGCATTCCCACAAGGACATCCGCAATCTTGTTTGTGTCATTTCCTGAAATTGGAACCAATTCATACTTTCCTCTGCATTCGTCAGAGTCATCCAGAATTTCCCTCAGCTTGCGGATGAATAACACCACCTAGGTTACAACGAAAATAGTTTCAGTTGGTGTAAGCATCAGCTTAACTCTTCAGCTCTCAGTAGTGATTAACCCGTAACTTCTCCATATAATATTCATAAATTATCCAGCAAACAGTTAATGAGAATACTCAAACTTATCAGGTAGAAGTTGTTATCTTGATTTAATGCCAAATTCTTGTTACTAATTTACAAGGAAATGTGTTTAAGCTAGAAGGAGGAATATACAATCAGATCTTGGGAGTTAAAGGGTTAAGCTACAACAATCGCTCACAAAATTTGTATTTAAAAAGTTACCTCCAAAAGAAATTCTAAGAACAAAATTAATATTTGTCATCATATATCTAAAATCACACAACAGATCACACTTGTTCACCTGATTATCCCGCTCTGGACCACTCAAGGGGGCCTTTGCATGACTAGACATTTCGTACAGGGACATAAGAGGCGTTGCGTACTCCAGGACAAAGTGGTACTCATCCACTGTTCCATCTGGGCGGGGCATCTCTATGCGGTGTACCGCATGCTGGTAACTTCTCTCCAAAATTCCAGCCCTGTTAATTTTACTCGCGGGGAGTTTGCCGGCCCATTTTACCCTGTCATCTGCTTTGAAGATTTCTTTAAATGTATAGCACGTTTTTGGAAGTAAAATGAAAAGCTTTTCGTCTGTAATCTTATGACGAAATTCGTCCGATTCGGAAATACGATATCCCAGTCTTGGCAGCACCAGCTTCAGATAACCAAAGTAGTAGCTCCAAGCCAGCCCATCCGCCACATTCTTGTTTTCTTTTTCGTTCAAATCTGATGTCTCTACAGGAGAGAGCTGTCGAAGGCCCACAAGGAACGACAACTGCGGAACCACGAGACAGTTCAGGAAAAACAAGATGGAGAAACCTGGACTAGAGAAAATTTCGTATTGTTCATACAGCACAAAACACAATGTCAGAGCGGAAGCGATGGCGACGACCAAAACACTCCCGAAATTTTCGAAAGTGAAAGTCGTCTTGAGAACAGCCTTCCAGTTTCCTCGATATCTCGCGTGCTTGTGTTTAATCTCTTCAGACACTAAGCACAATCGTCGTACTATTTCTCCGAGAACGACACTCAAGGTAAGCAAGGCTGTTGTAAACACCAGAAAATGAATCCCTTCCCTCTTTTCGTTCTCCTTCACTGCGAACAAAAGTATCGCACTACTAATCACAACCACGATCGTTGATGTGATCGTAGCAATATTGCCACGAAGCTCGGAAAGTGGTCCAAAGCCGTTATGTGCTTGCTGAGCGACGTCATCTGCTCGGGGAGGAAGATTATCAGCCATGGAGGATAAAACTTTTCCTTTCTCACGAAGGACTTATCTCACTCGTGAAGTTAGTCACAGCTAAATGCGCCACCTAAAGAGAGCTGACCTATTATTGAACTTGAACGCCATTCACTTAGTTGGGGAATCCCCTAGATGAATACTCTGGACCTGATTGGCCAGGAGCAACAACATGGATATCGTAAGGGTTACCCCCCTGGGGGAAAGCCCTTAATTAAGGCGGGTAACTAGAAGTTATAAAGTGCTCTCTCAGCAACTTTCACTTTCGAGATATCTTTCCCAGTGGAATAAAAACCAAAAGGAAATCGCTATTCTTAAATGGCCCGTCTGGTGTCCACACAGGCTAGAGAATTTGTAAATCCCTCTAGGCACCTTGTGGAAAAATTTTGGTACTCGCGTGAGAGCCTTACAAATGGTTATTCAGCATTAATATTCAAATACTTGCCATTACGTGAAAGCCAATGAAAATATAAAACTTACAAGAGTTTGTTCCTCATTCATTTATTTTTTGTGCTTGGCGTAGAGAGGGGCATCGAGGAACATCAAGGAGCATCAGGGGACGTTTAAAGCCAGTGCCAATTGAGATAACACTTCTACGTCCTTAAAGAAGATACATCTACATAAAGCGAGCATGGTTGTGTGAAAGATGTAAATGGCGCAAAACGACGTGATTGTCATCAGCGACGATGAAGGAGACTTTGTCAACAAAAAGATATCGGAGGAAACACAAATTATTGTTATCGATGAGGACGATGACATTGTCGAATTGACGGAAACGACGAGCAATGTCATCGAAACAATCGCAAGTAGTCAAGTTAAATCTGAGTCCTGTCGTCCGTTGAAAAATTTGAAATTCAGCGAAAATGGCGTTAAGAGGCTCCAAGCTCAGGTAAAGCTCATCGACATTGGAAAATCGAAGAAGCCACTGAAACTTAAAGCTGTGAAACCAGAGAATGACGAGGTAGTTGCAACTAGTTCAACCGAATTCAAAGAAACCAATTCATCGGTGCAGCAGGTGAGAATTGAGATGGAAAGATTCCCGTTCTTCCCATACTTATTCTAAAACAAAGTCTCAGTGTTAATGTATTGTTTGGCCATTGGTTTCTTTTATCCAAGTACTGTAAGCATATCGAAGTATAGGGTTATACGGAAATCTTGCAGAGTTTTCTTCAGAACTTTTCTTCCAAGCTCTGAAGAAAATTGAATTTCTTGGAACAAGAAAAATTACAACCCAATCTCTTTCATTCAGTGTAGTGTCTGGCCAGATCTTCATGAGCATCCCTAATCCAGATAAACTAGTAACCAAGCACAGTGTTTGGATGTACTTTCTAAACCACAAGGAGGCTTATTAATATCAAGGTTCCTTCATATCATCGTAAAGCGGTTCAAAGTTGGTAATGTTGTTACTTAGGTTAGTCTAGCTTACTCAGTGGACAACAACTGCCATACTGGGGCTTATAGTGGTATCGGCTGCATTGAGTTACCAGGACAACATGTGTTACTTTTCCTGGACAGGATGGTGGTTCACTGCAGGGTATCCAATGCTCACTTACTCTCATGCTTAAAGTTGTGATTGTCACCAACCAGATTCTCTTGACCGAAAAAAAAAAAAAGAAACACTTGAACATTAACAGACCTGACTGGTACATTTTTTAAATGTTTCATAGTTAGATTAAGAGCTTGAATCAATCTAAGTAGAGGGATATTTTTTCTAATAATCTTGCTTTCCATGAAACCCTGCGATATTGAAAGGGGACACAAGAAGAAAGGTTGTGTAAAAACTCTTTGAGGCTTTGTCAAAAGTTTTTATAGTTTCCTTGAATTTCTATGTTTTTTTGGGGTTATAATTGGGTCCTCTACAAAAAATACCAAATTGACTTTGACTTTGACTTTGAAAAAAGTTGATGGATGCATTACAAGTCTTTTTGCAGTCATCAAGTGTCACTGAAAGTTTGTTGTCTGAGGTGGAGAGAGGCAGTGTTTTGGTTAAGTGTGCTAACTACAAAACTCTCATCTTTCCTGTTGACTGATTCCTAATCCTCTATATGTTTCCAGGTTAAGACTGAAGAAGAGGATGCACACCGTGGGGAGTTAAGAATGAACCTCTTTGAGAAATTCTGGTCTGGTAAACAAGAAATCATTGGCAACAAACCTGCAAAAGTCATTGAAAGTTTTGATGACTCATACAAACACAAAAAGGCTAAAAGCCCTTGTCAGTCTCCATCTTCATTAAAGCAGAGGAGACTCACCGCTGAGAGTTTCTCTCCTAAGAAGAGGCCTCCTTTACATGGGATTGTGAGAGATGGAGAGCTTTTACATTACACAACACCTTTACACTGCACAGTTCCACTGAAAAAATTAGAACTTGCAAGCAAACAAGAAGAAAGCTTGAGCAAAACCTTCACTGAAAACCAGCTGAATTCATTGCAGGCTCTTAAAGAAGAGAATTTTCACAAAACCTACCTGGAAACTGTCACCAGCTTTATGAGTCCACGTCGTAAGCCACCTCCATCCCTTCTGTTTTACCTGTTCAATAATATCTTGCTCTCCAAGCAAAGTGGCTGTGGTACAGAATGTTTTAGAATTCTTTTATGGATTCAAGAATTGCATCCTGCTGAGGTGGCACAGATGTTACAACAGAAAATTACATGGGAGTTTGTTTCCATGATAGTGAAGCTAGCAGGATGCACGCAGTCTCACACAGTGGAAAGCTTTAAAATGAATGCCTCCATGGCTTTGTCTTTTCTTGTAAGTGTCATGGAAAAGGAAGTTGAGAAAAAGAAAGTCTGCCTTGTCAAGACAAGTGCGCACCGATTTTTCTCAGTAGATAGACTTTCGGGTAATTTTCATGATGTTGTAGAGTGGGTTAAAAAGGCCACAGAAGAACATCGCGAGGAACAATTGGACCAACATTGTGGGCATAACTTCTGTCCACTATATTTATTACAAAGAATGCTTCAGTTGTCAGTGTTAGTCAGTCAAAGACCAGAGGACACTGCTGTAAGACTAGCCAATGATTTAGTTTTGGCTTATGTAGAGTTACCATCTATCAAGTATAAAACATTGTTGCTTCAGTCAATACAGTCACATTTATTGAAGACAAAGCTGATTGAAATTGTGGTGAAAAACTGTTGTTCTATTGATGAAGAGTTAGAGGAAGAAAGAATGACTAGCTCTGGATTAAAAAATGTGGTCTTAAACTTCAAAAGATCTCCACCTCTCTCTGATGGCATTGTTAGCACTACAAACTGTGAAGAATTTGTTATGCTTCTTGCATATTGGCTGCAGAGCTTTATTTTCTGTCACAAGAGGTCTTTAATGGCAAAAGGAAAAGAATCACAGCGAGTTTTGTCCCTAGATGATGTGGAGGTGCTGAGGAGAATTGAACAGGAAGTGTCTATTTTGACAGCTCGTTTAGAGTTATTATGTGACTCTACACTCTCCCCAAGAAGCTACCAATTACTGCAATTAATCTTGTCACTAAAGAGTTTTGCACAAATTCCATAGATGATGTTGCTGCAAATTGTATGATGTCATGTAACAAGGGTGATTGAGACTGTTTTGTTGTACTTAAGTAGCTTGATGCATGATTACAATCAAGAGAAAATCTCACCAAAACCGTGATTTCTTGTGCTTCTGTTGGAAACTAAAAGAATCAGGATGAAGAATGAGTCAGGTTGGTTTGGAAAAGTTTAGGACAAAGAACATGTGATGCGAATTAAATAGTTTATATTATAAATAAATACCATTCATATTCAGAGTACATTTTGTGGCAAGTCTTTTTTTATAACCATTTATTTGAATGATGTGGGGATTTAGGAATGTTGTTTTAAATCCAGATTCACTGAAATCCAGGATATTATAATTTTCTAACCACCTGAAAAAAAATTCCAAATCAATACAGAACAGTACTGACAATAACTTATTAATTATTACTGTTCACTACAGCGATTTTATTTTACAGCAGTTATCATTAGCATGCATTATCCCTTCTTCCAGGTCACTTAATCCTTTGACCCTCAGGATTGACCAAGAAAGAATTTCTCCTTACAGTGTCAATACAATATCAAGCAGACAAGTGATGAGAATAAAGAGAAATATGCATATGGGAATTATTAGTTGATCCAATTTGGAATTCATAGAACTAACATCATAAGAACTGTATGGTAGACAGTAAGGAGAATTACTATTGAGATCTTGGGAGTGAAAGGGTTAACCCTCTTGGGTTGAGCACTCTTCACTTGTGCAACATATACAATGAAAAAGTTATTCCTTTTAAAAAATGGGTGAATGCATTTTATTGTCAAATAATTCCCTTGCGTTCATCAAAGGTATATCCAATTATTTTCTAATAATATGCACATGGTTAAATTTTTATTTGCTAAGGAGAAGGTTTTAGTTCAATTTTTGAACCCACTGATGTCAAAGTGGAAACACAAGGGAATAAGAGTTGAACTTCTCACAGCTGATCATTTTTAATTGCTTATCTTTCAGGCCATTTCTAATTTTCACCAGGAACTATGCTTAGCTGATAACATTTATGCTGTAGAAATTTTCTGCACTCTGTTTTTCTGAGAAGTGGTATTTTGTTGGTTATGTAAGAGAATTAAGACAATTAATATTTAATTTTGATAGGACTGTATGTGAAAGTTAGAAATTATTTATTTTCAAGGTTTTGTATATGATACGTTGGTGAGAATAGTGTTTCTCCAAATGGAAATAAAAAGGATAGAATTGTATCCACCTTTTGCTTATGCATTTTTAAGAATTCTTTCAGAGAAAAGCTAAAATTGTTCCTTATCCCAACCAGATCAGTAGTTAAGAATTCCAACAGGTGATGACAAGAGGCCAACTTACTAGAGCAGGTGGGTACCTTGCTACTTGTAACTATTCTCATAGAGGACCTTGTGCCTGTTAAGAGTGGTTTGTACTCATGCCCTAATAATTTCCCTAGAGAACTAGCAGTATGCCATAGAAAAGGAGTAACCCTCTTCTTGAGACAAATTATATTCTTTAATAGTGGTGCACTTTTTGCTCGAGTGTTGCTACACCAAAACCAAAGCTGAGCATTTTGCAATACAAAGAAATGTGTAGCAATTAGAGGGGAGAATTAACAATCAGATCATGGGAGTTAAAGGGTTAGCTCATAATTGTTTATTACCCAACTGACCATTTGTTATTTAGAGTTAGATGGGAGGGTGGGGAAGGGGTTGGGAGGAAAGTTGAGGAGATATTCAATGCCCCACCCCTTCCCCTCTCCTTTTTTGATGTCACTCACCACCTCTGTATAAATTTATTTCTCTCCCCAGCCTTCAGCTGCCATCAAAACTCACCAACAGATTACTATGAAATTGCTTGCTAAAATATTGCATGATCTATAGTCTAAGTGTGTGGTAGAGGGGGAGGAACATACCATTGCTGAAATTTTCCATGAAAAATAATTTTTGTGACCACTTCTTAACTCATGCTATGGCTGTTTGAATGTTATTTCCCCAAGCACAATCCTCATGAAATAATGTGAATAGATTACAATACTAAATATTTTACTAGGCTAAATTATTTATGATAAGCAAGAAATGTTGTCAGCACTGAAAGGTAGGGGGGTGGGGTGGGGAAAATTGCCTGCCAAATGGTTTTAATTTTTAACCTAATTGATTGAGAAAGTTATGGAACAATCACAGAGTGAGGAAGGGCAAAACTAAAGCACTCAACCAAACATTTCTCCATGTAGGATAACACGTACAGTCAACTCTCCACTAATGAACTCTTGTGAGCAGACAGTTCTTCATATGAAAACTCTTTCAGATTCTCTTTTTTTGCCTCCCAGTCAAACTCTGTATTTACACATTTCCATAAGAGGACACTTTCCTAATTGTGCACAGACATTTTTGAAATAGAAAAAATTTGAGTTTTCTTACTCTGGCAATAAAATCTGTCTTGAATTTGCAAATCATCAAATATAAGACCTTTGATAGAGCAATGGAACAGTAGAATACAATGGAATACAATAATAAAGAAGAAGGCGTTCCCAAAGAAGTTTGGTGCAGTACATTGTATTGATCAGTGGATTTTGTGCGGTCCAGCTAGCAGTGGACAAGCGCCACTATAGTGTTGGATGACGCAGAAATCGCTATTTTGTGGCAATGTAGTCAACATGCTCATTGAAGCTTTTGATCACCTTACTTTTGCCATGGTTTTTATTGACTTGCATCATGTGTTACCCAAGCAAACAAATCACATAACATAAGTAAATCATGGGAATTTCATTTTACTTTTACGCTCCATTTTTAGGAGTCATTAAGCCCTTTTAAACAGAGAATAAATACTTTTTCATGTCTCTGAGGTCATATGACTCACAACTTGAGAAAAATTATGATCCCCAATACCCTTCCTATCTCCTATGCCGCCTTTGAAATGGGGCATATCCTGGTCTTGCCTTCTTAATTTCATCCCATATCTTGCCTTTAAAATTTCTCGTATCCCACATTCCTCCTCAGTTTAAGCTTCATTCCACATCCTGCCAAACCTATGTTGGACCCTCAAAATTGAGATGTCTGTTAATTTTTAAAAATTTTTTTTAATTAGATCTTCTTATTCAAATATGAATCAACAGCTTTCCACAGAGCAGTTATGTTGCCTGCTCCAAATCCTGTGGCCCCACATCGCTGGATAACCTCCAGGAAAAAGGTTTCTTTGTTAAAAAGTGGTCTAGTAAAAACCTGCATCAAATACCTGTAAAATAACAACAGTAGTTAATTCACCACAAATACCTTCCACTAACAAAACGTTAGATTCCTCTTTGGAATCTCAACTTAACTCACTTGTTGTCAGCATCTTGGTTTACATTCATATTTTCCAAAGATGAGGCAGTGCTTTTGCTAGAGGTGAAGCTCTCTGCATCCAACAGAATACCATGTTTCTGGAGAGACTCCACACTCTCTCCTACATCTCTTATTTCCTGCACTTTATCTTCCTGTGAAGTGAGATTGATCTTGTCAGACTTGTCCTCTTAGAAGATTTACCAGTTGCCTATAGGCTCTTGCAGAAAAAATTTGGATTGCCTAGCTCCTAAAAACTTTTGTTAAAACAAAGTCACACCCAAACGAGAGTCCCCTCAAAGACCAAAGTTAGCTGACTTTGGCACCATGATTCTGTTGAGAGTGAAACCCTGATACACTGGCTAAGCCACAACTACACTTAAAGATGAACTAATGTGCATGTATGGCAAAAAGGAAGCCAATTGTGATGACCTTTCCAAAGATTGTTATCTTGATCAAACACCAAATTCTTTCAACTAATTTACAAGGAAATGTGTAACAGTTAGAGGGGAGAATTGACAATCAGATCATAAGAGTTAAGGGTTAGCAAGAAGTAACCAGAGTTAACCCTATGAAATTGAACTTGGTTACCTCCTTCTCTACGGTCCCCGAGCCTCTTACATGTATCCTAAATTAATCATCACTGTATAGCTTGCATACCTCAGAATAATAAGCAGATGGAGGATCAATAAACTTGACTCCACTTTCTTTTAATGCAGCAACAGCTTCAGTTATATTTGGTGTATGCAGACCTATGTGCTGTATGCCTGGTCCTCCATGCTCTGTCAGGAATGTTTGTACCTGGTTAGGACCTGCAAAAATTAAAAAAAACCAACAATCTTAACCAAAAAGATACCCATTTTTTGTTTAACAAGTAACACAAACTTTCCAAATAATTTCATCAGCCTACAATCACACCCCTTCCCCATTTTTAGTGTTAGAACAATACATCAAATTCAGGTCATTTTTTTAACTTAACACTTAAAAAAAAACATCTATGAAATTGTTACACCTCTGGCTCCCATGATCTCATGACTAATTCTTCTTAATATCTACTTTAATTTTTTTTACTGATGCTAGTTCATAGAAATCAGTATTGGCCAGATTGCTACACAGTATTCAAAATAGCAGCCCCTGTATTCAACTTTTCAACACATATTAAGACAATTTTCAAAAGTAAAGGTTACTTTTCAAAATCTCAAAACAATGTGTGTTACCATTTTACAAGTAACTTTTAATGCTTAAGATGAAAATCATATGGTAACAAATGAAGTAATTTCCTCCTTTAAACTTGTTGACGGTGTAGAATAAAGGAACTCTCCTTTTTTCTCTAGGTAAGTTTCTAAAAGGCCCTCTGTAGTATATTGCACATTACAGCTACAGGTGCTTGTACCAACATTAGTGATATTACTGTACAACTACTGAATGATGTAAAAGTACTGAAATCAAGTAACATGATTGCACTAAATTTTTAGATAGCTGATTGCTCAACAAAGACAAAATATAGAAAGCAAAGGAAGAGTGAGTGTCTACTGACTGAACCACTAAATGAATACACAACACCCCCCATGGGCTTATAAGCCCACTCTCTAGAGCCGCGGGAGTTAGTCAACCCTCGAAGGGTTTATTACACAACCCTGAATGATTTTGTCAATTGAAACAAATGCTCTAACCTTGTCCAGGGAGAGGTTCTGCGAAAACGAACTTGACGCCTCCTCCTGGTTCATCGGTGTCTATTCTCAGCTCTGATTCCGAGCAAAACCAATACTGCATGGCTGCCAACTTCATCCCGATGCTCGCTCCTTGTATTGAGCTCTGCACAATGAAGCCGTCCGATTTCTCGTCAGAGCTGATATTAAACCTACTGAACCCAAAACATCGCTCATACCATTTCATTATCGCCTGAGAAGTCCCTAACGAGCATGCAAACGTAATGTGATCAAAGTGTGTTAAAATACGATCGCCAATCACTGTATTCTTGTTTGACGAGATCGATGGGGTTACATAATCAAATCCTTCGCGTAACGCTCTCTTGTCACTTCGATGAAAACCCGGCAAAAATACACCGTTGTAACCAGAAGCATTTAACAATGTGTGAACAACGTTCCCTACAGGAGTTTGTATAACGGCAGATTCCACCACTCCATTGCTATCAGCCAATGTTTCTGGTCTTTTGATAATTTTCCCGTCATTTCTTTCTACATTATCCACCGCATTTTTCACATCTTTGACTTCAAGGGCAACATTGTAAACGGTGTCTCGCTCACCGGCGCCTTCGCTCAAAACAAAGTTTATAGAGTCCCGGTTCAGAGTGACCCGATTAGGAAAGGAAGACGAAGCAAGCACTCTAAACCCAAAGTGTCCGCATAATTGCCTCAAACTTTGCTGAAGATTTTGACAACGTATTTCGACATGATGCAAACGAACCACCATGTTTCCTTTAATTCAGAACTAGTACCAGTCTCTACTCATGCGAACCAAGTCCATTTCAGCCCAGAACTTTAACGGGAGGGGTAGTAACGATAAAATGCAACCTAGTGCGGTGAGATTGCTCATTCTGGGTTCGTTACCGGCGGTATTGCCCTCAGTAGCGTAGTATTTCACAGGCTGTAGCTTGCGGAGTAGTATTATCGGAGGTGGCCAGAGAGGAACGTGTGGCACGGCTTATACGCGCGGGTTGAGCCCAAGCGCGCGTGAAAGGTGGGGTTACCTCACTAAAGCTGGATACCTTACTTGTAATCCCTTACCGAAGCACTGCAGGTTACGGTACCTCTGGATCCTTTACTTCTTGAATTCCTCATCTCGAACTTGTGGCTTTGTAACTCAAAGTTTTGTCCCTTTTGTATCACTCTAGTGGTTCCTTCTTCTTTGCCGCAATCAGTGAACTGATCGATTCAGACAAATCATGCAATGAGTTTTTTTCAAACCTTTATAAAGGTATTTCACGTAATTTGCACCTAATAAGGTCAACGACTATGCGTGTGACAGTAGCACAGGGAGGTGATTTTGTTAGGGATATGTGAATAGTCAAGGCCTAAGAAATTCGCAAATTGTATTCGCATCGGGGCACCAAAACGACTCACACCCACCCAAGAAATACGCGCCAAGGTGCAGATTTGCTTCGGAGTTTTCACAACTTACATGGGCGGTTCAATGCGTTTTCAAATGCTTGTCAACATTGTCGAGAAACATTTATGATCCTGATTGCGAATAAAAATTGTCATTGAAGATGGGGGAGCTCGCGAAAAAAGTAAATGGACTTTAGTCTCAAATCTTTCTTTTCTCTCCGAATTACTTTACACGTTCACCCACTCAGATAGCAAAGGCTAAGAGTGCTTATTGTGGAAAGATTATAGTAAACCTTTTGAGTTATTTATCCATTTTAAATTTTCTAAGCAAATCTCCCATGTGAATCAAACTTCGCTCTCAGGGAAAGACCCTGGGTCGACCATGGGAGCGAGGCTCCTAACCCGCCCCTGTAACGCCCCCTTTCGGCTTCAGATGAATGCCGGGAATCTACAGCGGGAAAGAAACAAGAGCAGAAAGACTTCTCTAGTGTTGGGAAATTCCGAGGCACAGTTCCACGTGTTATATTCTGGTAAGGACAACTAATTTACGAACTTAAGTGTTTTCGATTATTGCTTCCTTGATTTCGTGGGTTTCACTCCACGGTGCGTAGATCGATTCTTTGAAACTACTTCGTGATACAGAAAACTCGATTTGGTAGACGTGCACTTGAAATATAATTAGTTAGCGCACCTCGTACATTTTTGTAAATTCTCGATTGATAGCCGTTGCTCCATTTTAGGATATATCTTATCTTAGGCAAACAGTGAAATCTTTTTGTTTCAAACGGTTAACGTGAATGTAATACTACGGCGAACAGGTACCAGAGCCCCGTGAATCAAATTGAATCTCAAGTACGTTTACAAATAAACGTATCGCCTACCGGTACTTTTGATGAGAATGCTAACGCGTAAAATAAACGTAATACTACATGTTACATTTCATTTTCTTATTTTTGAGAAATTAATCTATGAAGTACAATTTAACCCAGATTGCTCTCAGCTTAGCTGATTACAAAATGTAGTGATCATTTGCTTAACTACTTTATTGTGAATAGGTTTTGTTTGTTCATTGTGGTGAATGTCGTAGTAATAAAGAATGTCCTTTGTCAAGTAATACTTATCTTCTTCATATGATGAGGTCAGTCAAACTGTTTATGCACTTGACCTCCATCTGCATTCAGAAAAAGAGATAACTCACAACTGTTGTTTTAAAAAAAAAATCCATAAGGAGAATCCTGTAGGATTCCTCCAATGTAAAAATCTTGTTAGTGTTTTACATAGGTTTGCTTCGTTTAGAATGTTACTGGAGGGATTATAAATAAATGATGCAACAAAGATACACTTTTTTTCCTTTATTAAGAAACATGGAAACGCCAAGATTGGAAGGTGGAAGAATTAATTTGGATGCCCCACGTTATGACCAATCAACGTTTCTTGGACGTGCTAAACACTTTTTCACAGTTACTGACCCAAAGAATATTTTGCGTTCAGCGAAAGAACTTGATGATGCAAAAGAACTTCTTCTAAAGTACAGGTAAGGAACCAATTGTCCTGGGAAGTACCAAGTTCAATTTAGCTGATTGATTTTGCCTTACAGTTACATTAAAAAAAGATATGATACTTAAAAAACATGAATGAGGCAAGGTAGCCAGTGGGTCTCTATACGGGCCCAAGTGGCCCATGGGGCCAGTGCTTAACTCAGGTTTTAAGGTAGCCAGTGGAAGCCAGTAAATCTCTTATAATGGACTCCCCTGTAATAATTCTTTACTAGTATTACAATTTGAAATACCAATTTTGTGATTGTAAGGCTATCTATCATATGTACTTTTTGACTTTGTCGAAGGGCTTAAAGGGAAAATATCTGGCTCAGGCTTTTAACAAAGAGATCTGCTGCAAAATATTGTCTTATTCAACTCAAACTGACTCACTCATTAAGCGTTTTATAGAAGGATGGAGTTTCTTTCTCCTTCTTCCTTTCTTCTTTCACACAGCTGTAGGGTTTTTTCTGGTTCTGCTTGCTTCATTGGGTATGCCCACCATGCAGGGATTTTAAGAAGTGTTCTTCAATAGAAATGCACATGGGTTTTATGGGACATATGATAAATATTATCCTTACCCATATAAGGTTGTGATCTTAAGCTTAGGTTAAAAAAGTGAAAAAGACAAAGAAAGGGAACAAGAAGGGAAGATAGACGAACACTCAGACACACTTCAAAGAATAAGGATTGCATTTGTGTAATTGTTTTTTTTGTTTCAGAGCTTATTTGCAAATATTTTAATTAATATGTTTCTTGTTTCCTACTGCTGTGAGTTCTTTTTGTTCAGCCAATATGATTCAATAGCATTACAGTGTTAGATTTAGGTTATCAAATAAGAAAGGCACTAAATTTTACACTTATTACTAGTTACTCATCAATTTTTGCAGGCAGAAAAAAGAACCTGCTGGAACTACTGATGCTCAAATATGGACTGCTAAGAAAGTCTATGAGTCAGCTTTCCATCCTGATACAGGAGATAAAATGTTCATTATTGGACGAATGTCAGCACAAGTACCAATGAATATGTCAATATGTGGTTGTATGTTGACATTTTACAAGTTAGTATCTCATGTTGTATTTCATATCTTAGTGTAACCAGTATTAATAGGGCACACAATATATCATATAATAAACACAATATATTTAACTCCCAAGATCTCATTAGTAATTCTCCTTACTATCTCCCATACAGTTCTTGTGGTGTTAGTTTGGAGAATATGGTATTGCATCGTTTTATAATCCCCTGACTGATATCTTTCTTTATTCTCATAACTTGTCTGCTTGATATTATTTTGATATTGTAAGGAGAAATTCTGTCTTGGTGACTCATTGGAGTTAAAGGGTTAAACTCTTAGCAGAAATGGGTGAAAAATCAGTAACATTTTGAATCTGGTAGTTTCAGTTTAAATCTATTGTAATAATGTTATGAAACTTTGGTGGAGCTCTAAATTTTCAGAATGTCTGAAATCATGATTAATGAATTTTTTTTCAGGAGCACGTCAGCTGTTCTCTTCTGGCAGTGGATCAATCAGTCATTTAATGCAGTAGTGAACTACACAAACCGGAGCGGCGACTCACTAATAACAAATGAGTAAGATTATATCTTGGTTCTTTGACAATTTATTGCATGTGTTTGTAGAATATCTATATTTTAGTATAATTGTTCAGGTGATTATGGAGATGTGTATGCTCTGATTGGCTGAGGATTGCATCATATCTTGCTATTTTCATTTCTCGTCATATTCCATATTTAAGGTGGCTGCATTGCATTTTGTCAATGTGTCTGAGGAAGTGATAAACAAAATTTAGTTGAGAAGAGCACAAAAGATGCTACTGAGATTGATGGAACACTTTTCAAAAGAAAGTTATTAAGTTTTTACTGATTTCATTGAATAAACCTGGTAAAACTTCTTGCTTATAGTGATACAAATTATCACTGCAATTATATAAACTATGCACAGTGCTTTCCTAAAGACCCCTGTATTTTTAAGTTTAAGGGAAGCTTTTTTCAGACAGTTTATTAAGTCATGGTGTTGTTAACCACAACAAACATACATCTTAATGGTAGAGGAAAAAAAAGAGATCAAAATGAGTTTTGACACTAATATTTTATGTTGAAGTGAAATTCCTTCTCCATGTGACAATTCCTTTATAGACCTAACTAAATTGTTCAGTCACTTTGCATGGCTGTGTGGCCTTGTTTGTTTGTATTTTTGTTTGGTTCAGTCCTTTTTGGTGTCTCATAATCTGTTTTAAATGTTAAGTATTTAAAGTGTATACTAAAACGGTGGATAACATTGAAGGCATGCTCTGATTGGCTAATCATACTCTGAATACCTTTTGCTATTCACCTCCTAGGAATGCAATGGGATTTGCACCCAAACATATTGTAATTGTTGAACGAATAAATAAGTTAAAATCATCTTTTTGTGCTATCTCTGTCTCACTGTCGTAGTATTAACAATAAAATAACTATTCAGAACTACTAACCACTAATTACCATCAATGAATATTATGTTACTTTGAATGATATTAATAACTATTAATTCCTTTGACACAGACAGTTGGGAATGGGATATGCATTTGCCACAACAGGAGCTGTTGCTGTTGCCTTGGGATTAAACCACTTGACTAAGGTGAAGTGCAGTCCCTTTTGCATATTCAATAGGCTAGCAGTAAACATGTTTCGATAACTCAGTTATTAGACAGGCCAGGCAATGGTCAACCATGGACTTATAGAAGTTTTTGGTCCAACTGTAGATCTAGAAGTTTGTTGGGTGCCCAGTGGACAGAAGCCTAAATGAAATATATTATTTCATGAGTCTGCTGCTGTGTTTTGGTTAATCAATTGACGAAAAGTTATCTGTTATCTGCACTTTGTAATACCGTCAACAACCCACATGATTTTTGCGAGAAGGGCACTGATTTGTTCCCATAATCCAATAACTCCAAAGGATTAATGGTGATGGATGAAGTTCAAACTTTATTGTCTATTATAAGTCTATTTGGGATAACCATTAATTTTGATTGGTTAATTTTACAGTCAGCTCCACCTTTGATTGGTAGATTTGTTCCATTTGCTGCTGTTGCTGCGGCAAACTGTGTGAACATTCCTCTTATGCGACAAACGTATGTGGACTCTCCTTGCTAACTATTAGTATAAAAATTAGGTAATAACGTGATTTCAAGTGATATTTGGTGTTAATAAGCAAGAGTAAATTTTTCCTAGACAACAAAATTGCATGACCTAGTAGGGCAAGTGCAATTTGTAGTCTGAAAAATTAACAAGTGCTTATTACACCAAATTGCAAGAGAAATCATGTTATTATTTGTTGATAAGGCACATGAAAAAACATCACAGAAAGTCAAGAAGGATGTGCATGCTAAATGCACTCATTTTCAGTCAATCAGAAGGGTGTAATTTCTTCATGTTTATTATTAAGTTTTAAATAATTGTTTTAAGTGCATATCTTTTACATAACAGTAAAATAGGTTTGATTTTTTTTACATGGTACAAATACAATTGCTTCAAAGGAGCACTAACTTGTCCTTTTTTAGTATGATTATTGCATCAACAGAATGAAAATCTTGATTTATCCTAGATTTGATTGATCTTCCTTTATTTGCATGGGACTTGAAATCCTGGATCTTACATTTTTCTCTTCATCAGTTAGCTGTTTTACTTTGAAGTAGAAAAGAGTTTGATTAATTTTATACTTGTCTTTCTTTAATTAAAGTAAGTAATTTGTTTCTGGTTGCAGGGAGTTATTGAGGGGAATTCCTGTAACTGATGAAGATGGAAACAGAATTGGAGAATCAAAGGTGAGCATTTTCTTCAATTGCAGTTTCTTTTTTCAGATTATACTAACTTAATATAGAAGTCATTATTTTTCCTTTTGTCCATCCTCTACTCCCCTCCCCCTTCAAAAAAAATTGCTCAGCTTCCCACAAATTTTCATTCTACTCCCGCGCATTTTTAAATAACAATTTTTGTTATTTCACCAGCCAGCTCAGAATTTACCTCCTTTCTTACTCTCTATAATGTAAAAAGATGTTTCACTCTGTATCGCACCTTGTCTACGCCTTAATTAAATCTCGCTGGCCCAGAAACTGCTTGAGTTGATGGAAAATAGCCAAGATTTGCTGACAGACAACCAGTAGTCTGCCATGGAGAACTGTTCTTCACTTTTACTCAGACAGCTTGACCTCCCATCATTTATTTTCAGTTCAACATATTGCACCAAATTTGTATAAACTCTGCCAGCTCAACCATTGCATTTTTATCTGCTCTTTTCACATTTCAGGCTGCAGCACGGAAAGCCATAGGAAGTGTCGTGTTTTCCAGAATAGTTATGGCATCTCCTGGAATGTGTAAGCTTACTATAATGAGTTTTTTCTATGGTTCATAATATGTAATTTAATGTTAGACATTGTCATAATATTATTTAATACTACTTAAGTTAGCCAACAGACCTTTAACATGTAAATTATTAAGGATTACTTGCACCGCACATATTTTCTACATTAGTCAATGGTATACTACATTATTGTATCAGAGTTTTTTGGGATGCTTTAGTGACTGGCAATATTGCTGAATCTATGAGATTTTTATTAACTTACAATTATTAGATTGACCACCACAAAAGTGGAGAAGATGTTTTAGCTTGCCATGGTGTTGGTTTCATGTGCAATGTAATTTGAGATGTCCAGCAGTAGAGCTGTTAAAACAAGCTGAACAAGACACACAAAACTACTAGATAAAGGCAAGCCAAGATGCTCTGAGTGCTTGTTAGTTTTCTTCATTGGGCTACTGCCATTTGACTATGATAAGGGTCCTTTTGGCAGGCTTGTAGTGGATGTGTTTGTAAACTTGCAGTAAACCGATTAACAGTATTTTAACATTTTGCATCTTTTACTTTCAGCTATCCCACCAATTATAATGAACTATCTAGATACAAAGCCATTTATGAAGGTAAGCTTTGGTTAAACAAGTTTGTCTTAAGCTATTTCTTTTTCTCTAACCCAGCTTTGCTAAATTTAAAATTTTTGTCATTTTTATGGACTGAAATAGGTTCAAATGTACTTGTAAATGTTAAGTAACTGAATAGTTCAACAAAGAGATGATTGGATAGTGAAATAAACTTATGAATGATGAAGTGAATAAATATTAATATTTGTTGATTTGATTATAATTGCTGACAAAATACAGGTAATATACATTGATGGCTTCTTGACTGCGCCTCTCAAGAGAGTGGTGTTTGTTTTTCATTAAGTAATGTTTGAATATGATATATAAAAATTCTGTCTTTGTTATAATCTTAGCGGTGGCCAATTTTAGCTTCTCCAATTCAAGTTGGATTAGTGGGATTGTGGTAAGTATGATACATACAGAAAACCATACCTTAAGAGCATGATACAGCATTCAAAAGTTTTGATATTATATTCGCTTGAAAAGGATTCAAAGAAAAAGACAGTGGAGTATAACTTGTTACTAATGATTAGTGAACAAGAGCAATATCAGCCTCTTGAAATTGCTAAAAAAAAATAAAAGAACCAGTACTTCATGAAGAATAATGGATTCAAAGCATCACACTGGCTTTTGAGGTTATGGGTGCAAGGTAGTTTTGGGAATTCTTTTGCGGTTTATTTCCTGTAATTGTCAGGGTAGCTGTGAATGTAGTGATCACAAAAGCTGAGTAAAAGAACTGAATGCAAGAACTACTCTGACTTGCATTTGTCATTGATAATTACATAGAGATTATTCCATGGAAAGTATGCATGAACAATTTTTATTCACAAGTTGCAATGCGTCAGCAAAATAAACAAGTGAGTGAAGCAAATAAGTGAGTTTGTGATCCATCGCAACAAGAGCCAAAAAAATCATTCAAGCACTTTCCACAGTATGATGTTTTTATTTCATACAAACTGAGATTTTATCTTACTGACCAAAACATTTCAAAGATGGGAGGCGAAAGACTAACTGTAAAAGAACATTTTTCATTCAGTCAGAGACATGAATGATAGTACTTCTTGGTGTAAATCTCAGTTTGTTTGAAATAAAATCTTTTTTTGGGACTTATAGCACTTTTTCTTTTATTCTTTTAAGCTTGGTGTTTGCAACTCCCCTGTGTTGTGCAATCTTTCCACAAAAGAGGTTAGTACACTGTATTATAGGCTGGGATACTTTCCAGTTTAATTTTCTGAAGTTGAAAATGCCAAAGCATTGTAGTTGAAATTGTGCAGGACTCCTATTAAAACCATTTATTCAGCTTTTACCCTAATCAGCAAGTGTGAAGTGGGTGATTAATGAGCAACATATTATGCAAACTTTGACCAAAAATATGCAAATAGAAAATCAGTAAACAGCTTTTAGACTGTTTTTTCCAATTGTCAGCATTCATTAATGCTGTGATTTGTCAAATGTCCCTATGAAAACTGGCAATAATGAAAGTTGTCAGATCCCTCATTTAATCTTTGTAGGAATTTACTACTTTAGAGTTAGTGGTGAAATCATAAATACCAAGGCTATCGTGGTTTACACCAAGTGTTTGGTTCACAGATTACATGAAGAATGCCTCATCAAAATCACATTTTTCAAAAGATGAAATCCACAAATTATGCACCACAAAATACTACTGTGCGACCCTTTCCTCTTAATGGGGAGCAAGAGGTTATGGGAGATAAATTTAGGATGGAAAGAGATACATGTAGGAGTGACTACAGTGTATTGTCTTGAACTGTAGGAGAAGAACAGTAAAAAAAAAACAAATAAATTGAGCAATTGTGATTAATTTCCAGCTATAAAACCAGTTGTTTTTTGCCTTTCCACCTTGCAGCTCTATAGCAGTCTCAAAACTTGAACCTGAACTTCAAGAAATCATCAAACAAAGAGGAGGAACTCCACTGAAATATGTGTACTTCAACAAGGGACTTTGAATCATGATGTTACTATTAATTTATTAAGAGGAATTGATCAGAATTTACCGGTATGTGGAATTGTTGTGTGCATCTTATAGCATGCTAAAAATTTTTTTAATCACCCAGTGTATCAAGTGAATTTTGGTATACTTTCTGTAAGGTTCAATTGCAATAAACTTTAAATCAACTACATCAGAGGTATGTTGAAGTGAGCATATAATTTTTATCTCCACCTAAATTGCAAGTTTCCAAAGAGTTGCCTGGTAACCTTTTGAAAATTGTGTCTGACTGTTTTAAAATTTGGGCTGTTGGTGGCCCCATTTGACATCTTGTCCAGCAATGAATTTTCATCCACACAATGTGGTTTTGGTCACTCAGGTTGGACTCCTCAGTGCCATGTCATTGTGGCCAGGTTACCAAAGTTTTTTTCTTCAAAGTGATATATTCCATAATTAAATTTTTTTCTCATTTGAAGACAACTAACAACAGGTTTTGCAACTCTTTGGAATCTCAAACAAGGAGTAATAGTAAATTTTATGAAATGTTTTAGATGGTAGAAATAGAAAACATATTTTTCTGCAGCATACATATTCAATAATTCATATCTTAATTTGTGAATTTTTCACTTCATGAATTCATCCTATTTAAGTCACAAAGATAAGTTATCAGAAGAAATAAGATATTTTTCATGGTCTTGATCTCAAGCATTGGGAATTTATGCAATGTTACATAGGATTTTCTAAATTTTTGAGGGAATTTAACCCTGTAACTCCCAAGATCTAATTGTTAATTCTCCTCTCCAGCTGCTACACATTTCCTTGTTGATTAGTTACAAGAATTTGGTGTTAGATCAAGATAACAACTTCTAACTGATAAGTTTGAGTACTCTTATTACCTGTTTGCTGAACAGTGTGTGGATATTATAGGGAGAAGTTACATGTTAATCGCTTTTGGGGGCTTAATGGTTAAGCATACGTGAATGTGTGTTCAAGTTAATAAAAATATGGGAGTTAAAATTTTATATACTATAAATGGTGGTGAGTGGCAGTTTTTTATATTATCAATGGTAATTCAGTTTCATTCGTGGAATTTGGTTTTTTGCAATTATTAACATCATAAAGAACCAGGACTTTAAATTAATTGTGTCAAAAAAATATGCACTGGTATCCTTTATGTAACAAACATGATAACATTTTAAAGGAGGTCAATTTCTGAATAAACCATGGTGCTTTGCCAGTGGGAGGGTATAACAGGGTAATTTGGTATTATCAACATTATCAACTGAGTCAAGAAAAAAAATTGGCCTTTGTAAAGAGTTTCTTTATGGTGGAGAGGGTTTTGAAACTCTTTACAGTGGCCAATTTATGTTAACTCAGTTGATAATAGCAAATTAACTGTTAATCATGTTCATAATTATGGAATTTTCCAGAACTGCAAATAAATCACATGGTATTTGCTTTATGATCATGCTCTTTACTTTGTTGTTGTTGTTGTTTTTTTATGGGGGGGGGAGGGTAAGGGACCTGGCTCTAGAGGCAGGATCATAATGGAGGGATAAGTGCAAAGCATTGGTTTGAAAGTAATCTATCCCTTTCTAGCATAGACAATTCTACCTAGCCTAACTATATTAAGGGCGAGGGTTCTACAAAAACTCATAGCCCTATGTCTCCCAAGTGGGACTAGCATCCAATAGTCCATGAAGGGTGGAGTCAGGACAGGGACTTAGATTGGTCCACGAAAGAGGTGGGAGAGGCAATTCACAACAAAGCCCACAAATGGACCCTAAAACCAAAGCAGGGGATAAGGGATTCATACTTTCAGTGTACTGCAAGCTTTAAATGCTGTTTTTTTTGTTTTTGTTATCGTTTTAGCTTTTTTTCATAGTGCTGTATAGCATGGGAGATTGATAACAAAATGATCATCAATCACTAATGGGATCACAAATTACAATTTTCCTTTCTTCACAAGATGTATTGATATTTTCTGCTTTTCGCTTGTTTGTGCTTTTTCTGTGTTTTCTCAATGGGGTAAAACAATGAAGAGTGCAACCTTGACGGCGAGGGATTGGGCCGTCATATTCCAAATATGGTATTTCTCCAATGAGAATATAAACAAGTCCTCAATACTGGTCGTTCTTTCTCTCACGGTCGTTGTGGTTGGAGTGGAATAGGAATTTCATTACGGAGTAACCGTTGTTACGTTAACAAATTGGGTTATAATTTGAAAGACGAAACTTTATTTTTTGTGATTCGCCTCAAATTTTTTCGTTTTAATTTGTACTTTAAACCGCTTAAAATGCTTCGCCTTTGTGCTCGTCCATTGAACAGAAATCTGTTTCGTGTGACGAGATTGTATTCTACTCCAGCCGCTGCGACCAAACATCAGCTCACACCTGAAGACATTTTCAAGCGGGAGGACACTTATGGCGCCCACAACTACCATCCTTTACCAGCAGCTTTGGCAAAGGGTGAAGGAGTATTCGTCTGGGATGTGACTGGAAAGCGATACTTCGACTTTCTCGCCGCTTACTCGGCTGTGAACCAAGGACATTGCCATCCTCGAATTGTGAAAACGCTTCAAGACCAAGCAGAAATCTTGACGCTGACTTCTAGAGCGTTTTATAACGATGTTTTGGGGGAATTCGAAGAGTTTGCTACAAAACTTTTTGGCTATGACAAACTACTGCCCATGAACACGGGAGTCGAGGGAGGTGAAACAGCTTGTAAGTTGGCGCGAAAATGGGGTTATCAGGTGAAGGGAATTCCAGCAAACAAAGGCAAAATTGTCTTCGCTGAAGAGAATTTTTGGGGAAGGACGTTAGCCGCGGTGTCATCGTCATCTGATCCAGACTGTTACGGTGAATATGGTCCTTTTATGCCAGGCTTTGAACTCATTCCGTACAACGACCTTGCTGCTTTGGAGGTGAGTGTTGTGATTATCATCAGACACTAGTTCAGTGCCACGTGTTCTTAAACTAGAAATGTAGAGAAACGGGTGTGTTATTACAAACACTCTCCCTGAATGTTCCTCCTTATCGCATTGTCGTGTTAAAAATATATGAAAAGACCTTAAATTCTCGAGGTAACACTTTTCAGTTATCCTTTTCCAATAAAGAAACCCCCTATTTATTGCTAAAAATCAAAATAAGCGCCCAATTAAGGGAACAATCTTTGAGACAATGAAAAGAGTTCCCTAAATATAGATGTGCCCTCAATGAATGAAACCAATAAAAAGGTTACACAGAACTTCTGCTTAGGTGATACAATAAAAATAGACCATAGAGAGAATATAAGAATACAAAGGTCACAAGGAGTCTGCCTTGGAATTGGGGTGGGGAAGAGGGGGTGTGCACCTTTGAGTGAGGGTAACAGCTACAAACATAATGTGGAACCTCTTTCTAGAGGAAACCCTTTGCACCTGAGTAAGGTCAACCATGAAGGGATGGAAACTTCAGTTAGGGAACATCTGCTAGACTGTGATAAATGTTGGGGATTGGCAATTAGGGATCACCTTCAATGAGGGTAATTGAGAGAAGTGAGGTAAAAAGGGTTATTGCACTTAAATTACTCCTTTGTTCAAGGCTGTGTTCTAGCAGTGCCTGGTCACCTCAAGGGACTAACATTTGGTCCCAGGCGACTGAAAAAATATTCTGGTTGCCCAGCCAGGCACTCAGCCCCTTGAGTAGCATTTGCCTCTGTGGTAAATGAGGTGATTGATTGACACATTTTTATTTGGTTGATTAATAAGCATTACTAGCAGAAAAATATTCTTTTGCGCAACATGTAGTCAAATTATTCACATTCAAAGATCTTGAAGTTACTACCGCATTTCGTTCCACATGATTTCACACAAACTTAAATTACAATAATTATTGAAATAATAGTTCGTTTCACTTCACGCATGATGAACTGCACAGACATTGCAAGAATTTGCGTTGAACACTGCAATTTTCCTTGAGATAATAAATGTCTGATTTATTTCAGTGTTTTGATGGATTTGGAAAGTGCAGTGCTTTTATCTTTATTTCAAACCAAGATTCATTCTATATGCAAATATCCAGCAAGTCAGCTTTGTTGGTAGTTGTTTATTGATGGCTGTGATAAGTGACTTGCAATTACTTTATGAAGATTTGGCGAGAACTGAGCTTATAATGATTTCTTATCTAGTCTTGTTTATTTTGGTGCTTTCAAATGAAAGTTCTTAGCAGTTTTAACATATCCAAGGAAGCACAATTGCCATTTTGAAAAACAACACAGGCTCACTGCTAAAAATAGCTACACACTGAAAGTCTTAATATTCAGAGAAAGATTTAAAATGTATCTTTTCCACAATCCCTCAGCTTTCCTGCAAGTGTAAGAATTATTGAAATTTATGGTTTGATTAAATATAAACTGATTAAAACACAAAATAAATTAATTATAAATTATTAATTACTAGATTGATTAATTAATTTATTAATTTCCTAGTTAATTAATTTTTGGGCAACCAACCTGGAGGGCTGGGCACCCTAGCTGGAATGGTTAGGAGCCATTTGGGCTCCCCAAAAATTTTCTTAGAGCACAACCTGGTTGTTGGGTCCACTGCTTGATTCAGCCTACTCTAAGTCAACATGGTTTCCTTATATTCACTTTTTTTGAGCTTAGGACTGGTTTTCCTTGCATTTATATAGAAATCTATAAGTGATCCAAACACATGTGCATTCATGGTGGAACCAATACAAGGAGAGGCTGGAGTAAAGATTCCTGATGATGGATACTTGAGAGGTGTCAGAGAGCTCTGTTCAAAGTACAAGGTTAGAGCTTTACTATGGTTTTTTTAAGTATGGACCGTTTGTACAGTGTCTTAAAAAAAAAACATGGATATTTTGGAACCTAATTTTCAAGACCAGAAAAAATTACAGACTGAAACTCAAGTCCTGTAAAAAGCTAAAAATGCCTGAAGTTTTCTGCTTAGTGAAATCCTTATAAGGTAGGTAAATTTTTTAAAATATTAATTTGAGCTTAACATTTTCAGAGGGTGTTTAGAAGACTACATTTTCTAAGCAAATGGACAAAAACTGCTATTCAAGCTAAGTGATTTTGCTCCCAACCTAAGTCTGAGAAAGAAGGTGTAGAAAAAAATCAGGAAAAGGTTGTGATCAGTAATAAAAAAAGAATGGCAATCCCAAGTGTTGTTTTTCTGTTAATGTCAAGAGCAGTAATTTTTCCGCAGTTAAAACATCCTGTGTTTGGAATCATTCCTAACTGAAATATCTGCTTTTGGAATCTTAAGAGTTGATGATAAGCAGCTCATTTGTTGCTTGTACTCAATGTTTCAGGTTCTTTTCATTGCTGATGAAGTACAGACTGGCCTTGGGAGAACTGGAAGGTGTGTATCTGTTTTGTTACGTTATTTTTGTAAAAGCACTGTGTTGCAGTCAGTATAACATCTTGTCTTTTCTTTTTTTTAACTTAATTTGTAATATTTTTTGAGAAATGTCTTGGTAATTTTCATTTTCAATCTGTACAGCACAATGATCATACCTTAACTAGTAGTTATAAATATCCTTTAAATTTGTTATAGAGCTTTAAAGTGCCAAAGCCCTGTTGCCTTAAAAATAGTTTCACCTTTAATTGAAACAAATGATGTTTTGGCCTATGGTTGTTATATGCATGAAATGTCATTTCTTTCACTGAATTGGGATTCAGTTCCTTTACGAGAAGAAATAACCTACTAAAATTTGTCACTCCACATATGACTTTGTAGCTCAGTTGGTGCATGATTAGTAGCATCTAGCTAGTATCTTGGAGGCTCAGGTTTGAATTCCATCAAAGCCTTAATTTTCTCAAGGGTCTTTTCTGCAATTTCTTTGATTGTTGTCATTTAATAACATTTTTTTATGTTGACTTTTGTTTTTAAATAAATTTCTCCATTGCAGTCAGTGTTTATAATCTCTGTCCTGAACCAGCCTCATTCCTTTCATGTCTGTTCTCAGCTCTTTGGCTTTTGCTTACCCTATTAATTGTTACAGCTTTGTTCCACTTGACCCTGACATGACTCAAAATAAATAACTACACAGCAGTAAATTTTTTTTGTATTCACTCAGAACTTTGGTGGCTAATATCTAACATATTTTGTGACTTCAGGCGCTTGTGTGTTGATCATGAGAATGTCAGACCAGACCTTGTTGTCCTTGGAAAAGCTCTCTCTGGTGGAGTTTACCCAGTAAGTTACATTCAGACTTGTCATTACATCTCATGTCCTTGGTCTGTCACCCCCTACACACATTTGACTCTTTTAATGAAACAAACCTTAAGTTAAAACCTCCTCAATTAAAATTTGTACCGAATAATTTTTGGTTTTTTGTGCTCACCATCCTTTACTCCCTGAATATGTATCATTTTTGTACCTTTTGATATGGATTTGTTAAAAAGAATTACCTGCATGGTCAGGTAACCCTTTTACCAAAAACAGAAATATTGATGTTGGCTTACAACAAGTCTTGCGTAGTTTTAAGATTTGAACTCACTGCTGCTTTATATTTTTTTGTGCTGTAAAGGAAATTCTATATCAAACCCTACCTTCCTTTGATGAATTGTGTTTTATTAGGTTTCAGCAGTTCTCTGTGATGATGAAGTTATGCTTACCATCAAACCAGGACAGGTAATGCGAAAACTCTAGTCAGACATAATGTCATTTTCTATATTTTTTCTTCCAGTATTTATGAAAAGAATGCTACATGTGCATTAAGGTGATCTTTGCTTTTCTTTCAGCATGGCTCAACTTATGGTGGAAACCCACTTGGCTGCAAAGTGGCTGTAACTGCTTTAAAAGTAAGATATGAAATTAAGATCCTGTGAATAAAATTCAATCTTTGAATCATGAATATTATCGATAATTATAGTGAATGTTTGGTTTCATGTCGAGCTGCCTAGCTTTTTTTTCTATTCAAGAACTGTTTGGCAAATGCAGCATGTTTTTTGGAAGGGAAAAGATGAGATGGACTTTTTTCTCATTCAGAACCATTCATTGTGGTTCAGTGTAAGCTATCTTTACCTTTTAGTGATATTGTGATGTGCACTGCTCATTTTGTTCCTGGTCAAGAAAAGTCTTCATTGTGCCAATTAGATTTGTAGAAAAGTGTATGTTGTAATTGATTAGTAGAAGTTTATACAGAAGTTGCTGTGTTTTACACATGTAGGTTTTGGAAGAAGAAAAAATGGCTGAACGTGCTGCCAGGCTTGGAGACATCATGGTTCCAGAACTGAAGAAGCTGAACCCAGCTGTTGTCAAGACTGCTCGTGGCAAGGGACTTATGAATGCTATAGAGATAAGGCCGACAAATGGTAAGATTTGCAAGCATTAATTATCACTGTAGTGTGACCTTCAAGAATGTTCTAGAAGTAGCTGTGTCATGCTGAGTCATCGCTGAATCAATATATAAATAGAATCTGTTGTAATGTTACAGGACGTTGTAGATCCTCAACCATACCTATAATTAAAAGCCGAGCTAGTAACTAGATGTAGCGAGTAGTTTAGTTGCTGGTATAGCCCGTCAGTTATCAGTAAAGGTGTATGTTGCAGAGTACAAGAAGTCCACACTTCAATCACAGAATCATGAATATAAGCTTTGAAACATAGAATGTTTTCAAACAACAAGCCCATGAAACACCCCCAAAAAAATGAAAAACAGGGAATGTGAAGGGTTGTATAGAAAAAGAACTAAGTTAATTTTTTCCCTTAACTACAGCTGAGGTTCAGCTCCATTTGCTGATGTTACTTTTAGTTCTAATCTGTTCCTAATCTTGTCCTTGCTCTGTAGTTTCTCAAGGTTGTCTTGTTTTTCAAAGAGTATGAGCAATTGATACAAAGAATTACACTTCAGCCTTGATGCAACACACTGTAAATGCCATAAATCTTAAGTTCCCCTGTGCAAAGTGGACATTTTTATGGTTGTCATTGGCTAGGAAATTGTCAGAACAAAATTTCTCTTAAATTACATCAAATTTTCATAGGCTTGTGTATGTGACTAATACAGATCATATACCAGGTAATTTTTTAAACTTTTATCTTTTTTTTTTTTTAGACTTTGATGCCTGGAAGGTGTGTTTAAAACTGAAGGATAATGGTCTTCTAGCTAAACCTACTCATGATCACATTATTCGCTTTACACCACCTTTGGTGATCACAGAGGAACAGCTCCACGAATCCCTTGGAATAATTAGGGACACTATTGAGTCATTTGCTTGAGTGTGACAGTATTGTAAAGGGTATTCTCATTTTTTTTTTTCATTCTGTTTTGTTTTGTTGTTATTTTTGTGGTTGTAATATGACATGTAGGAAAAGTGTGTTTACCTGAAATGCATTTCATTTTTTTTTTCCATTTTTTTTGGTGACAAAACTGATGTAAGGAAACACCAGGGCAGCCCTTGGGGTATCTATCTCCAGATATGTTGAATTTTCGTAATAGGAACTAAACAATGTGCTAAAATTAACCAACTATGGTTTTGACAGTACTCAATTAGACTTACTGATAGACTTTTACAGGACTTTTCTTCCCTCTCTATGTTCACTGTTGTGATGATTTGGACAGAATTCACTTGGAATGACCTGTGACGTTTGGTACAAGTAATCTCAAGCGAGCTTTTGTATTGCTTGTTAAAAAACAGAGCGTAATTATTAAGGTACAACTGTAGGTTATTTTCGTGAATTGTAAACAATCTTAAGATACAGTGAGCTTCTTTTTTTGTTGTATATCGATGTAAGTGGGTTGTCAATAGACTTTTCCCTGCTCAAAAGACTGCCTAAAAGGGATATTTCACCTTAGCCATTGTATTAGGAAAGTTTGAATGTTTCGTCATTTAAAAGGGCCATTCTTTAGGTTAGCATGACAGATAAGACTGACAAGGGAAAAACACAGTCACAACACTCATTTCATTCCATATACTAACAAATCTTTTGTTTACTAACAACTGTAACTGATATATTAGATCGTAGTAGCACAAGAAAGTTAATTAGCACAATTATTTGGCAGAATTGCACAAGGTAAATAGTCGAGCAAGCCAAAACATAACAGAAGTATAGAAAATTATCACACTAATAGTCATTAAAACAATGTAACATTATCATAAAGTAGAGCACACTGCACAACCCACAGCCTTCACATTTGGTTAGCTTTTGGAAGCAGACCTCACAGTGAATGGTGGAAGAGAAGAGAAGCGAAGCCAAACCAAGAATCCTTTTTGTGGTTGATAAACTCATGGAAGTTATCCCCAAGGAGGTGTATTATTTTTTGTTATATTTTTAATGTTTTTGTTTTTTTTTTTGAGGGAGGGGCACAATCATTCATGAGACAGAAGACATAAGACTGAAGTAAAAACTCAAGGAGTTGATGGTGTTGCATGTCATTTTAAGGAAATTTATATAATTATTTGAAAACTGTATTTACACAGTCCTGCCAGTATTCATTTACTAGTTCAACATAATTTAACATGGAAAAAACAGTTAGATTATCAATTATTTTTATATATTTTTTTTGTTTTAGCTTTGAGACAAATAATTTACATATGAGACAAGATGAATTGAACTTGCCAATGTGTTTACTAGAGAATCCATTTGCTGCTTCAATTCTGTGTGATACACCGTGTTAAAATACATATATGTAACAGCTAAGTTTTAAAAGTTATAGACAGTATTAACAGTAATTTGCTAACAATGGTAAAATTTTGGTACAGCCCCATGCTGTTATCAAATAAAGTCTTAGTGCTGAATGCAATCTTGCTATTGTTTCCTTTAACTAAGAACTGTATGCATAGTGTAGTATGGGGCTGTGCAGAGGAAATCTTACCCTAACAACAGACTAAGCAATATAACAGTAGAGTAATGTTAAGTACTAATAAGACAATATATCCCTTCAACTGGACTGTGTTGGTGCAGACCTGAAATGCCCACCGTCTGAGTTGAGGAAGAAGATGATGATGATGAAGAAGCGGAAAATGAAACTGAAGTGTCTGAGTGGTTGATAATGGTGTATCCCACTGGATCTTCATATTTCTTGTACCAAGGATGCAAGTGTAGTACTGTGTCAATTGGTTTTCAAGAAATGCTAACAGAAACTGGACAAGACAGTATAGCAAACAGCTACAATGGACAAAAAAATTGACTCGTTTGTTTTTGTTTATGTCAAAGTGTTGTGTTACAGTTATCAAGAGAATCTGTTATGTTTTTGTTTGTAAATGGAATCTGGCAATCCTGTGCCTCATTCTTTATGTGTATCTATAAACCTAGCAACTGAATACCATGACTGAATGAAATCTGTGCAGTGCTATGGAGGTGTGTGGCTCTCCTTGGAAAGATTAAATTAGGAACAGACTGTTGAAATATCCACAAGTGACTAAAACTGACGTAACCAGGAAACATTCCAGTGAAGAATCATGGAAGTGGAAGGACATCACTGGTTTGACTTCAAAACAAGACTTGTTACTTCACGCAAACGTTAAGATAGAAACCAGCTAAGCAATCAAAGTAAGGTGGAACATATGAATGACTATCTCATGGATTTTAAGGAGGGGTTAAGGAAATGCCTCCTTCTTATCCTTTGTGTTCTTGGACTGAAATTTTTTAGGAAAAAATTGTATAGGCCTCCAAACAAGACAGAGACAGAGACAGAGACAGAGATCAGGAACAGACAAGACAACAAACAGATCAATTTTTAACAGTTGAAAACACTACGTACGAAAGAGGAATCCATACAGAGGGGAGGGGAGGAGGAGGAGGAGGCAAATAAAAGTTGCACAGCTCTGCAGAAAGAGCGGCGACAGTGACCCAAGCAAGCATCAGCAACAATGACAGCAGGTGGAGAGTTGAAGCCATGAACTTCCTCTACACCTGGTGATAGACTATTTTACGACAAAATGTTAACTACTCACTATACTTGAACTTTAAAGTGGAATGAAGTGTGTGAAGAAGACAACAAAAAGAGGAAATCTTACCAGGAGATATGAAAAGGTCCAACAAGAAACTCTTGAGCACAAACAGTTTGTGGACAGCTCACAAACACAGATTTCAACAATGTACTAAACATGTATCACATTAACAAGTTAATCAACTAATTAACAACACGACTTGACTGTAAGGAACATGGTGTGTCCTCAGAGAAGCAGCAAATATTTAACTCTTCCACCCCACTAGTGATCACACTTTAAATTCTCTTTACAGGCTTGATACCCTGTGAAACAGTCAGGTAATAAGAAGTAAGAAAATCATCGTATAGTTTGGATGAAATACTTAATCTTTGTAGTAGTTAAAAAAAAGAATATTTTCCTGTTGGTTGGGAGTATTAGTTTACTAATCTGGAGAGAAAACGTGTCACGGAAGCTGTACATTTACATCTTTTTCAGTGAGACACGTCTCTTTAGTTGGTTTCAAGCTGTAATTTTGAACTGTAGAAATGGCTCTTTAAGGTTGTTGTGCTTAATCTTTCTAATGACATGCAAAACATCATTCCAGACAAACGAGACTGTACTGAGACTAAAACCAATGGTACTGTTATTTGGATATGGTAGAAATTACTTAAGGGTTCAGAGAGTCAGTGGCTAGGGTGAAATGTCCATTTCAACAAATGTTTTTTTTGTTTGTTTGTTTGTTTGTTTTTTTATCGTCGTTTTTCTTAAGCAAGAACAGTGAATATGGCAGTGTTACACTTACAACACTAGGGAACCAAACCTTATGTTTTGTCAACGATAGTATTGTTTTGCAACTTTTCTCCAGCATGGCTCTTGTGAGCCTATGATTAAAGCTTATTGATGTTTTTCTTTTCCGTTTTTTTTTTCTCATTTTTTCCTTCACGTTTTAAATCCGTAGCAAAGTATTTAAAGGTGTTAATGTGAGTTGAACTGAGTGTAGTATAATTTAACTTTTAATGTTAGTAGAAAAACTCTGTTCCTGGTTATTACCATCATGTGTTGAGGAACTTTGTTATGTTTATCTCTACACCCACCCTACGAATTGAGCCCCATAGATCATCTATCTGGCAAGCTCTAGCTTGGACACGTCTTAGTAATGCGTTGACAAAGCACCTTGTTGTATCTTTATTTTACTATCATGGTAAATAATAGGGATATTAAAGGTCTGACTAACTTATCAGTGTAGCCTTGTAAAGTAATCTTCAGTACCACTTTTCCCCTCCTCCCTCCGCTAAGACCTTAAGTCTTTAGGTCCTGAACAAACGCTTCGAGCTTCCTTCCGGGAACCCTTTCCTGTTAAGCGAGAGAGAAATTTGGGGGAAGCAAGGAATAATCATAATCATACTAATGATGATTATGATGACGAGGACAATAATAATGATAACGATAATAATAATAATAATGATAATTTATCAAAATATATAGTTTGTACTGCACCTGTCTAGGCCAAACAACAGTGCTACCGTGCAACCATTTTCATGGCACATTGTAGCATTTTTATTTTGCCTTGCGTCTTGGTTAAAAAGCAAAGGAACAAAATTGTGTAAAAAGTGCTCGGTTACTGATAAGGTGAGCAGTTGTATCTGAATTCCGCGTAGCGTTTCGTCTGCCAGAGCCTGGGACTGAGCTCCCTTTGATGACGCAAGCAGTGATGCACGCCGCCTTTTTTCACTGAGCGATAGTATTGTGAAAATGTGGGTCGATACTCTATGGTTCTATTACTTCAATCGCGCGAAATGATAACCTGATTGCTTTACACATTAGATTAAATGGGAATGTGCATTCTTTGCTATTGCTTTTGTAACAAGGCCAAATTGGAACGGGATAATATTCGATTTCCTCTGATTGTGTAGAAGTACTCCTAAAAGAAATTGATTTGTCCTGTGTTCTGGTCATTTACTCGTGAGTTTTGTGAGGTGGATGTTTGAATGGCGATGTGGTAGAATAGAAACAGAAAGAAAGATAGTCTTTTTGATTTTATTTTTCACACGGTTTATAGTGTATGAACGTGAACTTATTTCTGGGTTTGGGAGTATACTTTGTTACAAACTACTAAGGACTCCTATGTCAAAACCGAAAAGGAATAACCAAGATCAACAACATCTCTGCTAAATATCGAATTTTACTGCAAATTATGGCTACTGATTAACGTACATCGTACGTTATAGAAAGTTTGTTTCCACTTTATCTTACAAAAATATGACGCTATGATCGGTTCATGATGGTGTCGCATCATTTTTCATACCGAGAAAGCTGTTCATTTTAATCCAATGATTAAAATATATTTTCACACTAATGATACGAGACAAAATATCACATTTATTAAAAAAAATGCGATATTTCGTCTCTTGAAGACTCTTGTCTGCCTCAGAAAGAAATGAATAGATGAACTTCACTGGTTTATGGGGGAGGGGAGATCTTTGTGTGAATTTAAGTGGTATGTTTGGCCAGTTTTCATTGAATATGATTGTACGTGGGCTACGTGGGCTAGGAAAACCGACTGGGATCAGTGCATCGAGTCGAGGTTTGTAGTAAACTTCTTGGGCAACAAGTACTACAAGCAAAAGCTTTTTGAAGGTTTGGTTTGATTTTGGCTTCTTTTCTTTTTTTCTTTTTTGTTTTTTTCTTTTCCTCGATCTTGTCTTTTGCAATGGGACTTGGTAAAACAAAAGTTTTCTTTTTAGAAGGTCTCTTTTTACTGATCTGCGATGAAATCTTTCTTGGGCAACACAGTATTCAAAATTTTAACGACGTTGACAAACATGGGGTAATTAAAAAAAAAGTCGTTTTTTCAAATATTACGAAACCAAAAAAAGGGATATTTTAACAAATCACAAAAATTGAGAATCTCTGAACTAACACTATTACAAACATTTTCTTAAAACAGATATTAAAATAATTCGGAGGACCACCCTTTCTTAGGAACTTCAGGTCCATCTATAACAATACATACGACACGCACCCAGCAGAAAACTGCCTGAAATAGTACATATTTCTCGTTAAGAAGCAACACAGCTGGAAAGAAGGCAACTCTCGAGTAAAATACTCATTTTCAAACAAAACTTTTCCAGTTTAAACTTAATCACTCCTTTTTTAACACTAAGAAGTGAAAAAAATTTCAAAAGAAACTTTGTAAAATTCTCTCTTAACTGATTATAAACTTATTCCCAAGCTCTCTCTTCCAACTGCACCCCAAGGTTTCTATCGCATTCGCATAAGGAGTTAAAAGGAGAGGGACTGGTAACAACATTGAAGTAATTTACTTAAGTTGCCTAAACAAGAGAAATCACTCCTTTCTGACTAAACATATGCAGCAATTTAAAAAAGCCTAATATGGCTGCCCAGCTTAATTAAACGGACTACATGTCCGATGGCAAACTCATTCATTCAATACGTAAGACGTGTGGCAGTATGAATTTAGCGCTCTTTTTCGGTTTTAAAAAGACGTCCTGCGCCCAGTTATATAACCAAACAGACAAAAGTAATGGTGAGATGCATCGATTCTAAAAACTAAGAGATGCAGGCGATTCAATGGCCAGCGGTGTATTAAGGAACGTTGGATAAAAAGGATTCTTAGTGGCAAGAAACAGACGGCTGGGAACGCAAGGGGGCGATTGGTAAATGTGATGTGACTAAAACCATTTTGATGTATTTACAGTTCTGGCTAAAAGCGTTGTGCTGCATGACATAATTATTGAGCAAACCTTAGAAAACTTCTTGAAAACTTTGATCTAAAATCAGTTGATGTTTCATAAAAATTATTATTACTGGTTACTCTAAGCAGAAAATTGGTGTTATAAAATCAGTCTAACTCCACTGAAACATAAACGTTGTAGAAATTACCACTGCCTTCCAATGAGTCGCTGGAAACTGATCGGGAAAATTTTTAACACGAGAAGTGAATGTTAGCTAAACGGATAGAATTTCCGAAGGGATTGTCAAATAGAGAAAGCATACTTTTTTCTTACAGTAGACTAAATTGTGTAAAACTGTTTTTACTACGCGTGTGAAAGCATGTGATTTTGTGCTTGTCCAACGTACAGTTAACCCCATACCAATAAAATAATACTTCACAAAACTCTGCTACTGTTTGGGTATCACTACAATCTCCATGACATCCTTGCTCTTGTTGTTGTACGATTTTCTGATGATATCCACAGCCTCAGCGTGTGTGGCATCTTGAAGGCTCTCGCCGTCCACTGACAGAATTTCATCACCACTCTAATACGCAAGAAAATACAACACATGATGCATTAGCACAAAGCCCGTTTTAATTTTTCATATACCAACCTTTTCACAAGCCGGATGCAACTGCGCATGGCGAACATTTCTTTATGAAAAATTCACTTGCTAAAGAAAATAATCCATTGTAGCCTTTCGCGCAAGCCCTCATTAACAGCGCCCGCGGGAAGACGAGTCGGGGAGAAGTTGGCCGGAGGGGATGTGTTTGATTGTTTGCTTTTTTCTGTTCACGGCCTCATATTTTAACCCACGGGCGGGGAAAAAAAAAACGCTCGTGCCGAAGGGCTAGTGATGAAGGCCAAACTTCAGGTTAAATCTATTGCAAATGTGTCTGTATCTCCTTACCCTGAGTCTTCCATCATCAGCTGCAGCGCCACCAGGAAAAATTTTCTCTACCCTGACTTCGGGTTGCGTCTTGGAGCCTTTTCCTCCAGAAATACTTATACCTAGACAAATAAATGAATAAATAAACCCAAATGAAAGCGATCCCAATGCTATCATTGCTAACAAAGAAAAAAAGCCGCATAGGATTTCACGTTCCGTGGATTAGTTCGAATATGAACACACTGGTTTTTCCTAAATTTCGGAGGATAAAAAGTCCCTTACCTAAACTTGTTCTCTTTTTCGAGAGTAGTATCGTAACTGCTTTGTTGTCATTGGAAACGGAAATAACCGGAACAGCCATTGAAAAAGGAGACCCTGATGAAGTGGACGCCGCAGGAACTGCTTCCTCGTCATCCTTGTACTCGATCGATACTCTGTCGGGAACAAGGAGCGAGTTCGACGCCACGAGTCGTTCATTGTCGTTTTCATCGTGTTTCGTTCCTCTGGACGCCTCGCCGTTGTTCACCTGTATCACTGGAACATCAAATGAAGTTGGAGCATTGCTACTTGTGGTCAAATCTTTCTCAGCAACGGAATCCATTCTATAGTTTTCCGGTAGACGTATGAGAGCGTTTGGATTGTTTGGGACTCTCGTATGTCGATCGAGAATGCTGCCTCCCAGCCAGGCCGTTTGTTCTCGCTTTTTTGCCATCTCTTCCTTTTCCTGTTTGATTTTCTCCACTTCTTCTTTCGTTCTTAATTGAAAACTCCCTCTGCTGTCTGTGAATGTGAAGTAACAAAAATAGTCAATTAAAACTGTAACCCAGTAAACGTAGAAAGAACTCTTTTCCCCGCGAAGCGCTTTCGTTAGAATACTTAACCCCTTTTACACACATTGTGGTTAAAAAATGATAAATGAAGAGCGTGGGATGTTCTGCCTTAAAACAATTCACAGCAGGCACTTCTCGTTACCGAAAAACAAAATAATTATCTATTGGAACACAAAGCAAAATATTCCATCCACTTAAATGTGAGATACTATCTTGGTCATTACTTATTTACGGCTATGTTGCCTTTAGACAATTTACGGCACCCAACAGCTGCGGTTTTAAATAACTAAAATGTTTCCTCTCTGCATCCCTACTTAATCTGAAATTATACGTTAATGATCTTGAAAGAATATTCTTTATTTCTTCCCCCAAAGGATCGCTCACTTTGAAAAATGGAGGCAAAGTATAGGTGTAAAAAATAGAACGACAATCCTGAGTTTTGAAACTTTATTTAAGTTTGCAAAGTTTCTTTCAAGCTAAAATCTGTGTAACAAGTTTGCTGAGCCTTCGGATAAACGTCATATCATGTAGTCTGTTCATAAACGGGACGATATGGAATCAAAATTCTGAAGACATACTGAATGACTTACCGAACAAACCAACTTGAAACGCCTTACTAAAAATGTACTCAACTAAAGGAGGGATTTTTCAAACAAAATAAATTCTCCAATTCGCTGATCCGAGATCACGCAGAATGCGTGTCGCCTAATGCTTGAACAGAATATCGCTAAAACAAGTTCCTGGTAGATATTTTCCTAACCTCGAACTGCCAATATGTGTTCGCACAAAACAAACACAAAAAACTAGGCCAATTTTAAGCTCAACGCTCATTAGCCTGGGAGCAATGCAAGCCCACATTAGTGGCGCTTCGGCTCGAGCCTTTCTTCGCCTGTGGAAAAGTGGCGGTAAAACTATCCCCGACTCGTCTCCAATCTTCCGGCAGGCGAAGAAACGCGCTTGCAGCTTCCTGCAGCGCTAATGAAAAGGACCCACCCCCTGCCTAACCGTTTATCTAAGACACTACCTTGAATTGCAGCCACAAGTTGACGTTTCGGTTTCTCAGCAACGGTAGGTATTATGGTTGGCGAACCTTTGAAAAGAGAGACAAATATGAACATCGCATCAAACAAAGAATTCAAAACCACTAGCACTTTCATATGCTGGAAGTAATCTTGAGACTATTTGCTCCTACCGGGCACGAATCCACTGAGGTACTCCAACGCTTCCTTTTCATGCGCTGACACCATAGCATCGAACCTTCCAAGGTCGTAGGGTAAAACTAACGTCCTGTCGATGAATTTAACAAATTATATAAAACACATTTTCCATGTAATCTTTTCACAAAGAGGAATCATTCCTTGGGGAATTTTCATTTATTAAATCTATCCACTCTGATAAAGATTTTTCTAACCACTGTACACGGGGAGTGAAAGCCCGCAAATCACCTGCATAAGGGTGCACCCACGCTCTCTTACATTCTTTTATCATGCCAAAATGATGGCTAATTAGTTTGAAAGATCTCCCAGTTCTTATTCTTACGTTCTCCTTCCATCGGCTGTTCATTGGCAGTCAATTTTCAATAGTTTCCCCCCTCTAGACTCTGTTAGCAACGACTAATCCCCCTGTGTTCCCCTCAAAAATCGTCCGCTCCCGTTTCGTGTGAAAAGAGAATGACCAGTTATTATACTTCACTTACGAGTTCAATTCGGTTTATTGCTGGGTCACTTTAAACGGGGAAAAAGATTTTCATTAAGATTCTCCCATCCTTCCCCCCCCTTTCTGTCAAATGATGCGAATTGTTACAGTGAATTGTCGCTTCCTGTATTGGTAGCGAAGATAGTTGCAATGACGGCGAAGATTCCTTACCTGATATCTCTCAACAAAAGAGCCTTTTCTGGCTTGTCCAGTATTGCTAGCAGTTTATTAACAAGAGATTCTACATCTGAATCTTCTTGGTACTACAACGGCAAAATATAAAGGTTTTATAACAATTACTCATAAATCAAAAGGATAAAAATGATTCAAAAACAAAAGCAGTACATCCAGCAATTCTCGTAAAAAGTTACAAACCCGAAGTTTGCAAGAATAGAAAAAGGAATGAAAACCTCCTCCTTCACCCTTCATCCACATTTGTACGCAAAATTGATATTTTTTTGTGAATATTGGTAAGGTGGAGTACAAGATTTTCGGTATTTTGCTTTAGATTCTCATGAAACTTTGCAGATTTCCTTAATTCAGAACAATCTATTGCGAAGTAAGGATAAATTTATTGTTGGAATGAAAAATCTCGAAAGTCTCACTTTGCCAAAGTGGTGAATTTCTGTGATATCTTAAACCCTATGTTCGACAAATATATTTTCCTCATTGGTTTCCAAATGTTTTTTTCTGTGACGTCAGTTACGATAATTTGTCTATGATCAGGGAAATCTCTTTTATGTGAATAAGTGACTAAATCCTTCATTTTCATCTCTTTAATTTAAGATTCTCTTCTCATTTTATGAGGAGAAGTTTAAGGATGGTCATTCTTGAAACAGTAAGAATAAAGCCAACAGATATAGCGCGGACAACATACCTGTTTGATGTGCCTGATAACAGCATTGTATTCGTCCACTACCAGAATCTTTTTGGCCTTCTCCTCAATGTACAGTAACATCTGTTGTCTTGTGGAGCCACCTAACATTAATTGAGTACCAAAACCCTTCTCAAAAATGGGGGTTGCATGCACAGGGAGTTGCATCTCACAACAAACTAAACATGAAGAAGCAACAAGAAACATAAAACAAAAGCAGACACAAGCAAGACATTAAAAAGAAAAATCCTAGGTCATCAAGTTAGAGTTGTTAACAAGTTTGTGTCTGCAACTGTTACTTTTTGCAGTATCTAGACAGAGGATTATTGGAGAGAGATCAGCTGTTATTTGTTCGTTAAACATTGTTGCTAATTAGAAGAAGCTCTTTCAATATTATTTTATTTAGCAAAGGTATTAAAACATCAAACAATAGTTGCTGAGTATGCAAAAGATTAACAGAAATTGCAAAAATGATTTCAAACTCACAAACAAAAACCTTTTTGCCTTGAAGCTAAATTTTACATGTTAATGGGTGTATTTCCTGTTTCGATTCTTAATTTAATTCCTCTTTTGAAATATCTGTTTTTCTTAATGAAGCATACTTATTCACTCATGCATTATCAAATAATTACTTTCAACATAACATTTAAGTATTATTATAGACTTCTCTTGCATTTATTTTAAAACACACATTCATTGGTAAGGGTTAAGTTACTGTAATTCAGTCTATTTAGGATATTACAACATGTCATTTGAAAATAAAATTTTTAACTGCAGAGCGTATCAGCTCATATTGACTAATAATTTTGTTCTTTTGATGAGTGTGACACAATTGTTATAGCTGCAACAGGTTAACTTATTTACATTAAGCTGATCTTAATCGTATGTTAGCTTAATTTAAAAGAATGACTCATTTGAATGTACTACTGGTGACAATAAGTTTTCTATTAAGAGCAAAATTATGTTACACACAAAAATTAGTTATGAGATATAACTTTCAACTTACTCTTTTATTTCAAATTAGAAACAAAGTGTCATGTCTTACTTTCTCTTTACCTCGATGTGCTGCCCAACAACAATAACAACAATAACAAAAAGAAAGAGGAAATAGTTAAGAGAAGAAACGATCTCCACAAACACATTGTGAAAGTTAACAAACACAAGATGAGATGCAACAAACTGTACGTAGCACCCCATGACACCTTAGTGTGAACAGTTGTTTGTAGATTTAACAATGCCTACGGAAAATTCTGAATACTCCTGGACGCAGCTTAGAAACTTCCTCCTTTGGCTTTATGTTTGGTCAAGAGCACAACAAATGAACTCCTTGGTCACATGTTAAGGGAAACCACACTTACAAGTAAGATCCAGCCCTTTTTTCTTATTAGTTCTATTGCACTGAGAAGATGGAAAAGAAAATTAACACTGGTCACTAATTTTCTGCCTTACCTCTTTGTTCAACTTTTGGTTTTCCTTTCTTCCTGAAGCTCAACTTTGATTTGATTTTGTCCCCATGTTTCTGAAGAAAAGACTTGGATTTCTTCACTTTCCTTTTGTCATTCAGTTCACCATCACTGCCACTCAAAATGGCTTCCTCCTTGCTCATGCTAGAAACTGAATACCTCTTAGCCATTTCCTCTCTACTGCTGCTGACGCTCTCAAAAGAATGCGCTGATCGAATTGAGTTCTGCTTTTCACTGTCATCACCACTATTAATTGATGATGTTGCCAGACTTTTAGAGCTCTGTGTTCTTTGTAAATCTGCAAAATCCTGTTTCACATGAACAACTACAACTTCCTCTCTTGTTTCTGGCACAGGTTCTGGAGGAGGTTCCGGAGAAGGTTGAGGAGTCTGGACACTAGCTTCGCGCATCTGTGGTCTGGGACTGGGTGTGTCCCTTGTTGGCATTTCTCCTAATTCAGGAAACTGGGCACTAGAATGACTTAGCTCTAGAGAGGAGACTGGAGAGGCTGGAGCTGAGATAGATCTGGTAAAAGTTTCTTTTCCTTCTAAAAAAATTAAAAATTGAAATTGAGGGGAAAAAAAACAATGAGTGAATATAATGATTTATAATTGAAAGCAAGAGGTTATTAATACAAGTTCTATACAAAAAAATACTGGAATCTTGGAACTCTATTTGCAAACACCTGCCTTTCTTAGTGATGATTTTATTTTCTCAAGTGTGCCAAGATTTTTGTAGAAGACCTACTGGTAATCATATTTCTAGACACCAAAAGATTTCTGTAGGTATCCTAAAGACTTCCAAATGAGATTCTTCACATGAAATTTTCCTCTTGTATGTAGTGGTTCATACCAATTTCACTAAATACATCTGTTAAAATTTGGTCAGCGAAGGCTGTAAATTATGCTAAAACATTTTCTGCCAGGGGTGAGAGTCATTTATAAAGCAAATAGTCAAAACCAGTTCAGTCAAATTTTTCACGTTCTGGTTTGTTGCAGAAGATTACTTACCAACCACAACACTTCCATCAGGATAAACCCAGCTGATTTGTGAGTGGTAATGCTTTGCCTCTGGAAGTCTTCCCACTGCCTGAAAAATGATGCAAAATATGGGAAAGTTTATTGTAAAATCAGGTTATGGTCATCTGTTGTGATGGTCTTGTCATACTAAAAATTGTATTAGCAGAGGGAGAGTCCAGTAAACAAGTGAAAAACTACTGTTAAGTTTATATGAATGGATCGATGACAGTATCTGAGCTACTACACACCTACCCCTCCCCTACTAACCCCAACAGTAACCCTAACTTGTTATCAATTGACTGTTGTTGGATTAAGGGAGGGGTAGGTGCACAGTTTCTCAGATACTAACATTAATCCATGTGATACACAACAAATAAAAACTTTTAACCCTTTACACCCTAACATCAGTATTGATATTCTCCATATTGATATATATACATTTCCTAAGAAGCTGATGAGGAGAATTTGTTTAACAATCAAGAGCTTCTTTAGTTGGTGATCATTTCCTTTGCTCTCATGATCTTAAATGAATGATTCAGTAGTGTTATTGTAAGGAGAAACTAGATTCTGGTCACTCTTAGGGTTTAAAAGGTTAACCACTTCACTCTCAAATTATGCCAGGTATGCTGCAAAAGTTATTGATAACAAATCAGGTAAAAAGGCGTAGAGCTAATGTGGATGATGAAGTATATGAACATATAAAATCCTATCATTCAATGAAAAGCCTTAATTACAACCATGATCAGAGAATCTCTATTGTATAAGTGGACTGACAGCTTAAAAGTTAAGGAAATGGAAGTAAATATTACCTTTAGTGTAACCATTATGTGTTTTTGTGATTTAATAAAATCAACTGCCTCTTTGTGCTTGAGGTTTTCAAAGTTCTTTCCATTCACTTCCATGATCTGATCACCAACTTTGAAGCCAGCTTGCTCTGCCAGTGAACCACGATCAATGCTAAACAAAGTATAAATGATCTATTAACCTTTGAAATGCTAGAAGTGATTAGCATGTAACTTCTTGCTATGACATCCATACATCATCCAGCAAACAGGTGATGAGAATACTCAAACTTATCAGGCATAAGTTGTTATCTTGATTTAACACCAAATTCTCACAAATATTTTACAAGGGAACATGTAGCAGCTAGAGGAGAGAATTAACAATCAAATCTTGGGAGTTAAAGGGTTATTAGGTCACAGTTTGTTCTAAGCATGGCATCTCAAGATTTCTAAACCTCACAAAAAAAGGTGACAGGATTAAAAGGAAAAAGAAGTCTGATAGAGAAATGGAACGCTGTTTGACTGTGTGTTGTTAAAGAAAAACCAAATTTAATTCATAGTACTTTTGTAGCCAATCAGAACAAAATGCAACTCAATCATTTTGTCACAAATTCAGTCAAAAGGCTAAAAAATCCACTTCACTTGAATGTTTGGGTACTCACTAACCAGAAAAAAACTTTGATACAAAACTTTATCATTATCACTCCAAGGATAAGTGCTTGAAAGATTGTGTCTAAATTTTACTGAAAGCCATAAGACATGGGATTACATAACAATCAGAGCAATTTTGTTCCTCAATCAGCCTGGCCAAGAGGCAAAATCCAAAGAAAATCACAGATGAAACAATGAAACATTTTTAGAATGTACAAAGACAAATTCAGAATGTTGCCTTAAAACCTATACCAAATTTTTACTACATGACTCAATTTTGGACCAGAAATTACAAAACTTTGGCTGAACAGAAAATGCTAGTCCAACAAACTAAGAAAATTTCTGTTAAAAAAAAAATTCATGTATATTGTTCTTACCCGGATACGAAAAGACCCAAGCCATATTCACTTCCACCACGAATGTTAAATCCTATGAAACCATTGGTTGTTGACTCAACTTGAAGGTTAACTTTCCTCTCATCAGCTTTGTCCAGCAAATGGGAATTATGTTGAAGAGCTATGCTACTACTGCCACTTCCACTGCTGGCCTGATCACAAAATATAAGGTTAACCCTTCACTAATCCATACCTGACCATGACAGAATTTCTCCTTACAATATCAATATTGTGATAAAAAAAAAAAACATTTAATTTGGCTAGATAATCATTAAATCAGACAACTACTTGCAAATTGTTTGGGAGGTTAACATTTTAAATTGGAAAGTAACCCTTATACTCTCAGGATCTAAATACCAATTCTCGACACTGTTTGCCATACATGTCTTCTAATTTCTGCTCTCAAATTTTAGTGTTGCATCAATTAATATCCCATAACTGATATTTTTCTGTGTTCTCATCACCTTGCTGCTTGGAAATGGATTTATGCAGTGAGGAGAAATTCTTTTTTGGTCACCCCTTGAGGTGTAAAGATCAAGATGGATGACATTTGTGCTGGGAAGTACCCTGTAATTTTTTCTCTCACATGGATCTGAGCAAGTAGTAGAACATTACAAGGAAAGAAACAAAGACCACTGATACTTTAAAATTTTCTAGCTTGCAAAAGCTGCCAAATAATTATGCCAAATATATCTATTTAGCAATTAAAGAGGACAAACTCCTTTTAGACAACAAAGAAATATTAAGTGTCAGACACAAAATGAATTCAGAATTTGCAAAGTACAAATACAAAACAGGATAACTCTACTTCCAATAATAAATATAAATATGGACTTGAAAAATTAAGTTTTTAATTAAACTACTCCAAAATTTCTCTCAGAAGAGATAATTGTCAACTCAAACAAAAGGCTGGTTAATTTAATTTGAACCCCATGACTACCACATGAACAGGGGAGAATTTGATCACAGAGGTACCATAAATATATAATTGCAATGGAGGAAAAAGAGAAGTACCTCTGCACCTTTCAAAGGACAAAAATGTATCTTTGATTGCTGCAACAAGTGGTTGTACAATATGACAGGTTTTTAAAAGACATTTACCTGCAAACTATCACTCTCATCTATTCCATTGTGAATAACTTTACCATTCCTGTGACCCCTTAAATGAAAAATCAAAATACAACAAATCAGTTTAAGTGTTAATCATCAAAGTTTAATGTTCTCTTAGAGTGGAAAAAGTCTTCTATCTTAACCTCTTTAAATAACCTTTCCACTTCAATAAATAACCTGAATCAATGTCACAAAAGTATTCAAAAGATAAAATGCTTTGCTTTTTGTAATTCTAAATTCTTCCCACATAGTTTAACATATTGTGGGAGCACAAAAGAAAACAACAACAAAAATCATCACCCACAGCCCTTTTGGGATATGAATGAGTAAGTTTTGTAAAGTATGGTGTGATTTAAAAAATTGAGTCACATTGTTGATGTACAAGTTTTGTTAACATCATCTAATTTAGATATATCATAAATTTGGTGATGTTCCAGTTTTTCAGAAAGTTAACCCTGTACTAAAATATTTTAGATCTCATATTATATTGAGATATGACTGGATATTCATAAATTTAACAATAATTGGTCACCCTACAGATTAACAGTTAATACATCAACAACTTAATCAAAATTACATTTTATGTACTCGGTCTCCCAGCAGACAAAGATTTTCCTTTTCTTGAAAGTTTCTCCCAGTTTTAAACTCAAAATTAATTAGCAATATCTAATTTTAAAGATACAGGTGAAAGCTTCAGAGACATTCCAATGATTTTATTACTTTAAGTAGCTATAATAGGAACTTGTTGAGGCATGATACAGACTCTCACAAATGGCTGTTTCGGAACAAAAGTTCTTGATGATCGAGGAGTCAAAACATACAATTATATTCATACTACCCAATGTCAATACTTACTAAGTGATCACTCGACAAATTTCATCAATCTCATTTATTGTAATAGTTTCCGCCGCCGTTTTAAGCCGTCACCCTTAAAATTCATGCAAGTGGAACGGTAAAGGGCAAATCCAACAATAATATGCTACATTGTTCAGCGGGTCTTTCATCGAGTTAGCTTTCCTACACACGGTAACGGTAAATCAACGTGATAGACATTGATATTGGCTACAGTGGGCTAAAGCGGATACACTAAGCACTTGAAAAGCATCGATGATTTTACTAAACGTTTAATCCAAAAAGCAGTGAAGTGCAAAAATGGCACGCAACATGCTGACGTACTGTTCAACAGTGCCGCGACAATGACGGCAATGTTTATTAGAAATAAACTAATCTCTATGTTAACTTTGGTGGCAGATTAAAATCTTAACAGAATTCCAATAAAGCAAGTTAAATTATTCAGTGTTACATGTGTTTGTTCTGAAGGTCAAAAATGCGGCGTCAGGTCAAAACGTGAGTATTTAGCTGGACTTTCACGAAAAGCAATCATTTCAACTGGAAGACGACCATCTCTGAAAATATTACTGTCTGGGCAAGGTATTCTTTAGTAAGGGGTATACCACCAACAGATACTAAAATGCAACTGTAATTTTAATGCGATTTCCATTAATTGGAATGACCATGAATCAAATCATTGGAAAAAAGGTAGATGATTCCAGCTTCGAAGTTTGACATAACAGCTACAATATTCAAACGTAAAAAAAGTACCTAAAATTTGTCGCAAAATTGGCGATAATCATGCTGCATAGCAATATCAAAAGCACCGCAAACCACGACTATATTTGCAGTTTGCAAAATAGAAAAAATCTATGTATTTTTTGGCACAAAAAAATGTACCTGCAGTAACGTGCATTAGCGAAATCTAAGTGGACGTCACGAATGGATAAACAAAAAAGTCATACGCGTGTAACTTGTTATTTCTGCCGTTGTAACAATTGTTTTAACGCATATGTACTTCTGCAAAGCGTAGTGCAAGTCTTTGAGTGAGGTTTAAGAGGGGTAAACATAAAACTTAAGGACTGGGATAATATAAATGACTCATCTCTCAATCTAGTTTTGATAGTTGGATACTTACCAGGAATCAGATAAATCAAGTCCTGTTGCAACACCAACCGACTTGACGACCAATTTCATTTTATTCATCGTACCGAGAAGGTTCTCTGCGGAACTTTTGGTTATCTTCTCAAAATCTATTCCGTTGACCTCAATCAACTGATCTCCTTTTTTGAGACCCTGTTTAGCAGCAGAGGAATCATCGTCTACCTCAAAGATATACAGTACACTGTCAGAATCCCGGCCCCCTCTTATTTTGAAACCCAATGAATCTTCGGGAGAAGTTCTTGTCAAGGTTATCACTTTAAAAGAACCGCTATTATTCGGCGAGGAACTCCTTCCAAGAGCTCGCAACTCGCTGTTTTTGTAACTGTGGGGCAAACTCTCCGTCTTCCGATGCGGAGCTGCGTGATTAGGTGGTTCGAAGGGATGCGCCATTTCGCTGTACGGAGCTAAACTATCAAACTTGCTCAAATGTGCGGGTGGAATGAGGTTTCGAATATCCACAAGTAGGTCCTTCTTGCGAGGATTATCCAAGCATGATTTGAGTGCAAGCACCAACTTTTCAACCGACTTGTAAGTCTGGTATTCTTTAAGCGTATAATGTAAATAATGACGATCATCATCGGATAGTAAACGATGTGCATTTCGCTGAAATTCCTTCACTTGCTCTTTCCGCTGAGAATCCCCAATTTGAGTCATCTTAAACTAGAACTTAAGTTCTTCAATCAAATATCACATCTAGTGTTATCTTGTAATCATAGATCGAGTATTTGCCGGGAAACAAAACATCCTGTAAAACAAAGAATCGACATGGCTACCCACGGTTCGAACGACGCTCAATTCACTGTCTTCGTAATTTATGCATCTCTATGCATCTGTATGCATAATTTGGACACCTCTGTCGTCAGTGTAAACAAGAGGTATTGTTCTACTGAAAGGCAGATTTTCACTGTACCTGCTTATCGCTGCTGATGTAATCGCGTAGCTATTCAAATTGTCGAATAAGAAAAACGATAAGAAAGGAAAAGTTACTAAAACGAGAATTCAATCTCATATCCATGAAAGATCATACATGGGGAAATGAAATGAAATATTGGTGAAAGAGGAAAAGGTTTACCATATGTTCACCATGCGACTTTACTTTAAAGCCACCATCTGGCGATTCAACCTTATGGTTCTATAAAAAACTAAAAACAAATTCGAAAAACAGAGAAACAAACAAATACACTTAGACGTGTTTTATGAAGCTGAATTCTGGGTCACAGAATCGTAACATGTACAACATCGTAACTAGTTGTACCACGATCGAGCTTTGATTGCAAATCGGCATGTTGTAAAATATCCTAACGTCTCGATGTAATGAGTAAGCGATCATTCCATCTCGAACCCAAGAAAAGGAATCTAAAATTTAATTATGAAAAAAATTACGTGTACTCACCCAGTTCGTCATTTGAAAGAGATTATAAATCTCTTGTCATTTACTATCGTCTCTGTTTCCCGATCGTTTCTTCCTAAAAGGGTTAAAGCTGCCTCCTGTACAAATACTGAGTCACGTAAATTGCAAAACTCTTTTTTCTTTACATTTTGAACTACCAGACGCTCACATGGGCCATGTAAACGACTCCAGGTCGGTCTTTAACCAAATTACCATGGAGAAAGCGACATCTCCTCTACGCGTCACAGAAACTATGTCTGTATTAGAAACTGATTCAAAGGACTCTTAACATAAGTCACGTTTCGGTAAGGGCTCTCTTGTCATTACTTAGAAAATGTCTTAGGAAGTAATTCGAAAAGGAGTCTTGAACCTCAATATCGAATCCTCGTGGTTTAGAGATCCACTGCCGCAGATTAACCATGCCGTTACTTTTATGAGACACGGAACTTTAAGGTACCCGGGTGACTCTCGTTGTGACAAAGGGCTACCGCTCGAAACTTCAGCTTTAAAACTCTCTACGGTGGCCAATTTACGTTATCAACTCATTTGATAATACTAAAGTACCTTGACTGTCAAGTTAGTATATAGATAGCATTCGAGGGAACTGACTGGAATCTTCTCCTGCAGCACCAAGATTTCGAACAAGAGATCATGGTAATTTTCATCGGAGAGCTAGCTTCCAGTTACACTGATCATTAGACAACACTTGACTCTTAATGAAGTCTTCTCGTGTGCTCTCAACTTAATAATAGGACTCAGATACACTGAGCATGAGTAGTCAATTATGCAAACTTCTTCAAATTTTAGCTCCAGAGTTGCAGATTTAACAGATCATTTACTGGAGCAAGCGATACTCAACTCACATTGAAATTGATACTGAAATCGGGGGATGAGAGTCTTCCTGTGCAACATATTCTCGTAAACAGGTTTGGCAGAGATCATCTTTCGTCTGAAAAAAAAGGGGACTCAGCTGTAGTATCGGAAGATTCGACAAGAGATTCTAAATCATGTCTCTCTATGGGTTTCCAAGTCAACATATGTAAAAATCTGAGTACCCAGACAGAACCTGTCACAGCGGCTTCGCCAAGAACCCAGACCTCTTCAGACATCTGTCGTTATTCAGCCGAAGTGAGGCAAGATGGCGGAAAGTTCGGGCGATGAAGACGGACTAGAGGAAAATTTCGTGTTTTATCACGATCGTGAAGAATGGAAAGATATCACTCCTGTTGAACAGGATGATGGACCTTATCCAGTTGTGAGAATTGCGTATTCTGATAAGTGTATGTACTGGTTGAATAGTTCACACGCTCTCGAGACCTAGTTAAATTTGTTTTGTGGAATTGGAATCTAAAGCTCGTATCTTATCTTAACTTCTCTTGATGTCTTTATCCCTCATGAAATAAAAATTGTTAAAGAAGCGGTAGCAATGATTAAGAAAATAGTGACATAAGCAGTGTTAATTAATCATGGCGTGCATAAAGTTATTCCAATTTGTCATGCTGTAACAATTCAGTTTAAACGATAAGTTTTTGTACAACTTACACATGTATACATCTTGACGTGAGTATTTGCATTTTTGCAGTCAAGGATGTCTTTGACTACTTCAGGGCAGTTCTGTTGGCTGACGAGAGAAGTGAACGTGCTCTTGAGCTCACGGAAGACGCCATCAGCCTTAATCCAGCGAATTACACAGTCTGGTTAGTAAATAAATATGCCCGCTCACTTTTTCCTTTTTGTTGATCCTCACAATTTAACAACCTCATCAAGACATTGGCCCAGTTTTTCAAAAGGAAGCTAACACTACCCATTGAATAAATTGCTATTCAATGAATTAGTGTTACAAAACATGCGACACAATGATTTATCCATTGTAAAGCATTTGTTGCCCTTCAAACAACAAGGTCATTATCTTCACAAGTTAAAACTACCGTTATCCTCTATCCACATCAAGAATTATTAGACATGCTTTACCCTTTTACTCCAAGGTCAAGCACACATTTCATGAGAATAAAGTAAAATATCAGCTAGGGGATTGTAATTTGATCTAACACCAAATTCCTAGAACTGACATTAGAGGAAACATATAGAAAACAGTAGAGAGAATTACTTTTGAGATTTAGGGATTGAAAGTGCTAAGCAGTCAACAATGGTTGAGGAGCACCCAGAATGCATTTTCAAGATAAATTTTGAGAAAGTTCTAAAGAAAATACATGATTGCATTAAAATTATTAAAAGAATGTAACTGTAAAAGAGAATGTAAAAGAGATATTTGGTGCTTCAGTTGAAAATGGATTGGCCTTTTTTCTCAATTCCTAACCTGGGTAGAAAACTGCACATCTAAATGTTTCCAATTTCCGTTAGTTTACAGTACTGTTGCCATGGTTTCTTGCAAGAGGCACATGAAAGTTGGTGACCTGTGCAGTTGTTTTTCAGCTCTGTGCCTATGGGTTTAGAGATTGACTGCTTTGAAACAGGGAGTTTACCACCTGAGGAGCTTTTAATACATGTCTGTCCCCCCCCCCTCCCCCTCTGTGATTTCATAGCCTAAGTGGAACAAAAAATTTTGTATGCATGTCCATTGTACCTATCTTGGTTACCACGCTGAGATCTCAGTTCACTGTTTACTTGGGGGAAATGTATTGTAAATCTATTACAAAGAGCTATGGAAGGTTGTGAGGTAATTTAATAAAATTGGACACAGAAGCTGTGCTAGGTGAAAGAGCCTCTGCTGTAATTAGATCCATTTTTTTGGGAAAAATGATGAAATTTTTTTTGCCAAACAGACATTTTTCTGAAACAGATATGACTTGGTACCAAAGGTTGATTTAACCCCTTTAACTACCAAGATCTTATAAGTAATTCTCCCCACTGTCTACCATGAAATACTTGTGATTACAATTTGAAGAATTTGGTATTGGATCAACTTGCAGTCCCCTAATTGAGTTTTCTTCTTACTCTCCTCAATAGTCTGCTTGATTCTGTGTTGATATTTTAAGGAGAAATTCTGTCTTAGTTACTCTTGGAAGTTAAAATGTTAAAGAACAGAGTGGTTAAAGTAAGTAATGAAGAAAATAAAATCACAATCATTGTGACTGATTTACTCTTTGAAAGGCATTTCCGGAGAGTGCTGCTGAAATCTCTGAAAAAAGACTTACAGCAAGAATTACAGTTTATAACTGATGTCATCAAAGAACAACCAAAAAATTACCAAGTTTGGTAAGTATAGATTAGTGCCTAGTTTTTCCTTGCTACAACAGTAGTTTTGTTAGCAATAAGGGCACAGAAATCCTTTTTATTATCAGCCAAAATTTGGTATTCAACTCTTTTTATAGAAAACACATTTCTTTTCCTTTAATTTAAGGCTGAAATATTAACCAAAACATCAGTTGTTTTCAACTTTTTTAAAAATATATTTTTTATATTGTCTAGTGCAATGTTTTCAGTTGTTGTCAGATATGGGATAGTTTTATATGCATTTTGAAGCTATTTTGGAAATGTCTCGATAGGCACCAGTTTTTTTGAATGAGCACGACATCTCATCAACAGTTCTGATTTATGTGTTCTACCTTCCTTTAATCCTTTGACCCCTGAGAGTGACCAGCATCTAATTTCTCCTTACAATATCACCCATGAAACACACATTGAGGTCATGAGAATAAAGGAAATGATCACCAACTAATAGAGCTCTTGAATTTTAAGCATATTCTCCTTAACAGCACCTTAGGAGATTTATATGGAACAGTATGGAGAATATACAAACTGATGTTAGGGTGTACATGGTTAAAAGGAAGAAAAAGAGATAAATAGTATTTAAAATGAATCAATTTACCAGTAATTAAGTTTTATTCTTGTTTTGTCAGGTATCACAGAAAAGTCCTTATTGACTGGCTGAAAGATCCCAGCAATGAACTGAAGTTTACTGAGGATATTCTACAACTGGATGCTAAAAACTATCATGCTTGGCAACATCGACAGTGGGTCATCAAAGAGTTTGGTTTATGGGAGAAAGAGCTTGATTATGTTGACAAACTTTTAACTGAAGATCTCCGCAATAACTCTGCCTGGAATCAAAGATATTTTGTAGTCTCCAAAACTACAGGCTTCACCAAAGATATTGTAGAGAGAGAAGTGGAGTGAGTATGTAATAGTTATACAGATTTCTCTAAGAGAGTTTAGTTAAGGGAAACCACCAAATTCTGAAAATGGTAGGTCCCATCATTTTTTGGAGTTAGCTAGCCAAATAAGCAGGAACTTTTAGGTAGCCACAACTGTATCTCAACTTGTGGATTACTATGAGTGTCTTGAATTTGGATGGCACACCTACATAGTCAAGTATTAAGATTGAAGAATGTTTTCATTAGGATGCTGGCATATTATTATTTTCCTCTAGCAGTTTATTTTTTTAATTTTGGCATCCTTTCAATGGCGAAACACTAAGCTGTTACATGGGTATGGATGAAGCCATTTTATTTCTGCTCAAGGCCATTCCTTAGAAATACAATTTACATCCCTATTACACATGGTTTCACTTGTTATTCAATCATATGGTAAATTAGAAGATGATGGCTTTCCTAGATGGAAGAATTTTCTTTTAAGATGGTTTGCTGACTTCTTGTTTTCTTTGATTTAGTCCATTAAATAAATTCAAACAAATTCTCAATGCAGAGTGCAAAATAATCCTTTGAAAGGTGCTCCTCAAAGAACATAGAGGGCCCTTCTTTGTTTTGAAAAATGAAATTCACACAAGGACAATTATTTCAGGAAGGAATGACTTTGAACACTTTCATGTGTAGTGCGGTCTTCTCTAAACTGAAAAGTTAGCTAATTATCATCTAAATTTGTTCTTTTGTAGGCTCACAATGAATCTTATTCAGAAAGTGCCAAACAATGAAAGCGCTTGGAATTATTTGAAAGGGTAAGCATTGAGATTTCTTAAGAGTCTTTAACATATCTAAGAAATGATGAAATATTAATTTGAAGTTCATGCAGTTGTTAAGTGAGGAAGTTTCACATGAATTTCATGATCTCTTCATGGGGATTTAATGATGGAGAAGGTATATGTCAGAGAAGGGAAAGCCCTTGCTTTGTTCACTAGCCGTGGAAAACTCAGGAAAGTAAACATATCAGTTGCAAAGTACATAGCTTGATCAATAGTATAATAATATGTGTATGCACAGCACACATATTGCCACCTGGTTAGGTTATGTTGTAGAGTACAGGCTGTGGTGCGATGATGTGGATGGTTAAAGCTTCAAATAATTGGGGAGAATGTGCTGCTTTTGCTATGAAATCCACAAATGGTTAAACACTGTAGTCTTCCTGGACAAGGATGATACACCCCAGGCCCCATCTCCTGCATTTTCTCTGTATTGGTTCACAGGGAATGTTAAAGAACCCACACACCTCTCCCTAAGAGTAAGAAAGGTAGCTCCTGGTGTTTTGGTCTTGCTTTGTTTCCAAATTTGGGGGCTATCGCAAGTTTTCCTTTCAAAAAAATTAACTGCTCAATTTAGTCTGGCCAATAAAAATCCCCCACAAAGTGTGGTAAACTTCCATGAGCTCATGGATGTGGCACTGTGGACTGAAATCCTTCCATTGTTGTTGTTATGTATGTTGACTATAAGTTTGTATAATGTTGTATATATACTGCTAGTAGCCTTATGTGTTCTTAATATAGAGGTAGAAGTATCCTCATATGAAATATTAAGCTAAAAGTTTGAACAAGAAGGGATTAGAACAAGACACAGACATGACAAGGTGTTTCTCAGTTGTAACTCAGGCAGTTCAAGCCAAACCGCATAGTGCATTATTTTGCTTTCCCCTTATACAATCCAGTATCTCCACAACCATAAGAACAACCAAAAAATACAGGTTTATTTACTGGTAGTTTAGATGTCACAAGCCTTCAAATATTAAAGAGAACTCAATAGGTTACAAATTAAAACTTTTCAGGTTACCATGTTCCCACCAATAGCATAGCTCCAACTTTCTACATGTAAATCACACAACCCACAATTCTTCTTGTCCTCTGACGAAGGGCTAACACTTGAAATGTCAGCTTTAGAAACTCTTTACAGTGGCCAATTTACATTTATTTATCAACTCAGTTCATAAAACCAAATTATCCAAAAAATAGAAGATAAACAAAATAACCTTTCCTTAAAATAAAGTTGGTGATTGATTTTTTTGTCCTTTAGAGTTCTGGCCCCTACTGGTCTTAGTAAATACCCTGGCCTGAAGGACACTTTGTTGGAAATGTACAGTAATGGAATTGACTCTCTCTATTTAATGGCTACATTGATTGATATCTCTGAAGAAGAGCTCGAGGGTGGAGTCAGTGACCCAAACTGTTTGGAACAGGCTTTGGAGGTATGTTGGATGCCTGATTGTACTCTTCATTTTAACTCTTTACACCCTAACATTAGTATGTGTATTCTCCATACTGTTCTCTATATGTTTCCAGAGCTGCTGTAAAGGAGAATTTCTTTTACAATCAAGAGTTTCTTTAGTTAGTGATCATTTCCTTTACTCTTGAGACCTTCATGGTCAATTCAAGGGTGAAATTGAAAGGAGAAATTGGATGCAGTAAGTCTTAGGGATCAAAGGGTTAACTTATTTAAACCCTTTGACAGAGTTCTCTTATGTACCACTTTTCTTAACCTAAAAGTTACCCTTAACACCAATCTACAAGCTGCACCTCCATTTTGGCCAGTCAATTTTTGTACTGTAAAAATGCCTTGGTTATCACTGACCATTGTGCCACTGTGTCTCCACAAGTCATTGCCATTTTCTTATTATGGATTAATTCTTTGTTTTTTAAGTTGTGCAATAAACTTGCCACAGATGCTGACTACATCAGAAGAGAGTACTGGAATTACATCTCCCGCAGTCTGAATAACAAATATGGACGACCACAATGACACTATTAATAATAAATAAGAATTTTAATAGATAAATAGCAGCTATAAAATAAAGTTCATTAGTAATTGCTTACAATCTGGTAGTACCAAAAAAAATTACCAAGTAGTAGGTAGACGGATTTCTTGTTTCACTCCTTTTTAAGTAGCCAAAAAAAAAGAAAAAAACATCAGCAGAAATTCAAGATCTGTTTTCTCTTAGTCCAATTTACATCAGATTTAGAGTAAGTGACCATGTCTTTAGTTCTTAGAGGAAAAGCAATGTACACATTACTCTGTCATAAATTGATTGTGCTGAAGAACTGGAAAACAAGGAAAACCTCATTTGGTTAGAACTTGAATTCCTTTGTTTAACAACTGCATCACTAAGTGGAGGTTGGGTGCCTGAAACATCCAGGAGCTTCCACTATCGGCAGCCAACTCCTAGATAGAGACTTCTCCCATGGCTGGCAAATCCTGGCAACCCAGCCATGAGCTCCCACACAGGAAAGGGAGACAGGCACCCATCACACTGAATAAACAGTGGAAAGAGGGAGGGAAGGGGTGGGGAAAACTGCTTGGATGATGAGCTGGCACTCCTCACAATGCTGCAAGTTCACACTCAAAGCACATGCAGGAATACCTCAAACGAAGAGCACATGGAATTCCAATTCATGTGCATATGCAAAAAACCACTGACCACTAGAGAATGCCAATGCTCTTTGTTTGCAACTCCTTTAAATTGCATTTCACTGCATTTAATATTTACTTATGCCAAACAAAATTATGTTCTTCTTGTCAAGTACTGTAACTTAATTTCAGATAGAAATAAATGTTTCATCATTTCAAATATTGCATAGTTACTGTACTTAATATTTTTAAAATAAATATCCTATATTTTTTTAAGTTAATTTATTTTTCAAGCATTAGTTAAAAACCCATTTCTGATGCCCAATAGATCATTTTCACATGACATCTGGGCAGCCCGATTTGTTACCAAACTAATGAGATGGTGAACATATTGATGTACGAAGCCAATCCTGACTGATTTGAACTCTTTTCTCCCTTTTCTTATGTTAACATTCTCTTTTGATGAAACTAGACTATCCTATGTCATTGCACACCAATTCATTTATTCAGTGTAATATTCTGCACAATTGTATTTGAGGATAAGCTCCACAGCTTGTGCAAGATTGTCCACATATCCATCAGGTTTTACAGCAGGGTGGTTTTCATCTTCAGGTCTACGACATGAAAAGCATTTTATCCAATGTGAGAATTTAAGGTATCGGAAGCAAAAATTCATGATTTGCATGCTTGCTTCCCCATTAGAACTTTGAGGCCTACATTGTAACAGCTTACATTGGTGGCTGAAGGTTTTCCCCCATTTTAAGTTTGCCCCTGATCATCTTTGCAAGTATGCCCCCTGCAGTAAAACAAGTTTGTCTGCACCTTTACTAGTTCACCCCCATAATCTTTCGACTTGTTTCCTTACAGCAGAACTTATTCTTTTGAAATCATGATATCATTTGAACAACACAAAATTTTGGATATCCAAAGTTTGACGTTTGACATATTTGAGGAATATTTTTTACATATTGGGTGACTCCTTGGAACTTCAAAGTGGGATTAGTGTCATAATTTCATGTACAATTTTTCATGGTGGAGATAAATAACATGGTTTATGGAGCATACTTGTCCTCCAAAAAATGCATGCCTAGCACACAAAATAAAAGAATGCTTCATGATACCTGTATTTTCCAGTCCTAACTTGTACTCCTCTGATCCCGCATGCCTGGGCCCCACCCACATCTGATACAATGTCATCTCCAATCATAACTGCCTAAAAATTAAAAGGAAAAAAAAGAGGATGATCAGAAAAAACTACAAAAATTATGATATCAGGGGGTGAAAAGTTTTCTCAAATAAGAATTAAACTAACACTTACATCTTCAGGTAATACTTGAATTTTGTCCAAAGCAGTTAGGAAAAAAGAAGCTGAAGGTTTACCAATAACCTCAGCTTGAACATCACAGGCAAACTGGAAGACAGAAATTATCATTAAAATAACAAAACAACTCTTAAGGGAAATATATTAAAGTTCACACGGCAACCAGGTGGACAATCAGACATATTTTGATGCTACTCTGGCTTGCAGATTTATTGAATGTAACCGAAGAAGTTACAATTCATAGACCCAACATTTCGACACTCCTGTCTAGTGCCTTCATCAGGGGTGATGATGATGATTGCACTAGACAGGAGTGACTAAACTCTTAAGGGATATGAAAAAATAGCCATTTTCAAACATTCAACTTATTGACAGAAAAAAAAAAAAAAAAAGAGGTAACAACTAACCTCTAAGGCCTTTACATATGGACCTGCATCAAGGACTAGATTGGAACCACTTCTGTAATAGCGGCTGAATAACAACATTAAAAAACATCAGAAATTTCAACAGCATTGTCTTATATATAATTTTAGACTGTAGGGTAAAGTCTGAGGTGTAACTGAGTTATGTCTAGCACTTTACATTGGCTTGCAAGTCTCAGTTTTGATCTTGTTATAGACAGAGAAGAGGGTATTTGTTCACTTGACCTCTCTTGAAACCAAATGAAGAGAGATGTTAGGGATTTTTAGACTGGGAAACAAACCAGGCTGAGACCAGGGAAAAACTAATAAGAGTCAACCAGACCAAGTTCCACATGAGTGAGACTTCTGTCAGCTTACCTAAGTCTGTAAATGTAGGCAACCGTTTACAGAGGTATCAAGTGCTTTGACTACAGTGATGGAAGAATTTTGGAAGAATCCCTGATTTTACAAATCCCAGAGTAGCAAATGTTCTTTGCCAGTCCTCCTTCCTTTGGTAGGGATTCTACAATAACTCACCCATGTCCTAAAGCAAAAAGAACTGGATTATCTGAAGTTAAAAGCAGTCTAAAGGCCTCATTCATGCGTGCATAGGTAAATTGATCTTCAGCTCCTCCAACGACAACACAGTTGGGATTGGTGCAATCCACTCCCTCGTATTCTGCGAGTCCTTTGGGATGAATCAGAAGTAACGGGCGTAGTTTACGATCCTGAAGAATCTTTCTTGCAACAGGAGATGGTGCAAGTAATTCATTGGCTGACAGGTTGAATCCAAATTGTCCAAGTTTGAGGACAAGCTGCTCTCTTGTGCAAGTATCCTCATTTGTGCAAAACTGCACCTTGTAACCAGCTGCTTTCAGCCTTCAGTAAAAAGTAACAGAAAAAAACATGATGAACTCAGTCACTGTTTGAACTTAAAATAAGTCTCGGAACTTCTATGAAAATTTAACTCAGTGAATTAAATATTAAGCAGCTAAGTCTTTCAATCAATTTTGTACTACCACAATAATCACTGTACCTTATTCAGGGGAAAGCATATGATTAGTAAAATGACTTATATGAGAGAGCTAACAAAAAAATGTCAGAAACGACGCCACTGTTTATCACATCTCTCAGTTGGTACATGCACTGTGATTGCTCAATTTCACTGTGTGGCCTGTTAATTTCAAAAGTGTTTGAATTGAAATCTTCACAGGCTAGGGGTATATATCAGACTCATTATAAGCTCAGGTTGTCTCATTTACATTCAATAAAGAAGGTTAGTTTCTAAAAAAAAAAACTGTGGTGCTACATTGGTGGGAGAGTATAACAACTGAAGATAATTAGGTTTTAACAATTGAGTTGATAATGTAAATTGGCTACTGTAAAGAGTTTCAAAGCTGACATTTCAATCTTCAGCCTTTCGTCATTTGCTCAGTTGATAAAACCCTATTATTTAATTAACACACACCCATGAATGGGTGGGGGAGGGGGAGGGGTGTTAGTGAAGTGTCTCACTTGCTATACCCTGCTTGCCAACCTCTTGCACATTTGATTCCCATCTTCTATCCTTTGTTGCCAAACAATGCTTATGATTAATTTAATTTATGCCCTAACATCAGTATGCATATTCTTTATACTGTTTTTCATACATTTCCTCAAGTGCTGACATGGAGAATTTGTTTAGGACTCAAAAACCTCTTCAGTTGGTGATCATTTCATTTATTCTCATGACCCTGATACGTCAGGGATGATATTGTAAGGAGAAATTAAATGCCCGTCACTCTAAGGGGTCAGAGGTTTATGTATGTTCTCATTCTGCTGTTCGGCTGCCTATCAGCCTTCCTCCTTCTGTACCCTTTCAACCTCTTTTTCTTAGGCTTCTACACCCCCCCCCCCCCCTTTAGAGAAAATTTGGGCATGTTGTGTACCACCCCTTATTCTAATAATTTAGTCACAAACTGCAAATTTTGCTTTGTTTTTCTGTCACGCACTGGTGACTCTGAATTCTCTCGCTAGAGAACCCATCCCCAGTACCTCCTCGGGACAAAGAAAAACTAAACGGATTAAAAAACAAAAAATCACCTTACAAAATTCACCATATGAATAAAAGGAGAAATAAACAGTCTGTTTTTCTTTTCTTTTTTTTTAATTCTCAAAATCGTTGGTCAAATTTGTATTATAAATAAACTCTTATAAGATGCAGGAAAAAACATTTCAAGTAAAAACTTTCAGTTAGAATGCCACTCAGTTACGATCTTCCAACCTACTTCTTAACTGCTTCAGCAGATCCAGGAATAGCTTCACCACCTCCCTCATTAGCATTATAAAGGACGCCAGAAATATCGAGCAAAATTCCCCCAATTTTCTTTCTGAGCCAGGCCGGTCGATCTGCCATGTTGCGATTGTCCGATTATGTTAAAGATCGGTCTATGGCGAGACACTATCGATTGATCTCATTCTGACGTCTTGTCGACGAAAGTTACCGAAGATTGCCGAAGATCCCATTCGGTGAATTTTTATTTACTTACAAAGAGGTGCAGCAAGCATTTTGAGTTATTTCAGTTCTTTTAAGAGAGCGGTTTCGCTCTACAGATTTAGCATCCAGATTTCTTCGTATTTCTATGTACAGTGGATAGTTTCCAGGTTGTAGTTGTTCGTTTGACAGTTTATAGTGTGTACAGTTTCGTGTTGTGAGTTTCCCGCGCTTGACATTATCAAGCAGTATGCCTCTCCGAGATTCAGAAGGAAGGTTTTGTGGAACGCTTCAGCGTAAAGAAAGCGATGGACAGTGGGACCGCTATTACTTTGTACTGGACGAAGAAAAATGTTTGCTTCGTTATTTTTCCCCTTTGAACGAACAGGTCAGTAGGAAATTGTCTTTGATTTGTTTCTGTGTAAACGATTAATTCCCTCGATCAAGAGAACCTAATTAACACTCTGATCAATGAAAGACATACTGTCTACAAACGCTTCCGTATTCTTGATCACTATACACTAACTTTAATTTTCCATTGGTTGTTTCGCCAAAAAATATTTTCTGTTCAGGTACAGAAATTTCTAGAAAGTTATCTGAAATGTTGACATGTGAGAGCAGATATGTATTTTGGATATAACAGGAAATTGATAGACTATAGGTTTGATTGGGAATTAAACCATCGGAACCCAAGTCACGAATATTGCTAACTCAAAGGGTCGCCATCTGACACAATACAGGTGTAATTTTTTTAAAGTTAAAAGAAAACAATAGACAGTGAGGAAAAGGTTATGTTCATCGCAGCTATTTTTAGCTCTTCGTCGCGAACAGGTTACTGCAGTAACCGGCTTGTAATGTACAGGAAATATTTTGCTTTTTGATAGTAAAATTATTTTCATCTGTGAAGTTGCTTAGTCTGATTTGTTCTCTTAGAGGTGGGTACGCGGCGTTTCGATCGCATCTCAATCTGAACGTGTGACTGGTTTGAGACAACAGTCATTCAAACTGCTCTTGATATATTTTTTCCTGATCAATGTACCATTTTAACCAGCAGCTATACTTATAAATTTGGACACGTTTCTTGGTGCAAGAACCTGTCTGGTTTGGTTGAATCCTGAGGAAGATGTTTTTCAGTTAACTTGGGCTTTTAGGCAGAATGCTGTCACAATTTTTGGAGAAAATGAAATAGTTCCTAGGAATTATAAAAAAGAAATGCGAAAAATTAAGCTTATGTTACAGGTTCTAAATTACATCTTGTGGACTGTTTGTCAAGGTTACATCAGGGCATTGCCATGAAAACTGAGTAATCTGTCACAGTTATGGACCACTTCACTGAGGAAGTTCATCAACTTTAATAAGATTACTGACAGATGTAATACTATTTGAAGAAAAATAATCAGTGGTTTCCTTTTTGGTTTTACATAGAGTTGGTGAGGAAGTTTTTGTTACATAACTCAGCTCCATATCTTCTTGATCATCATTATGTTTAATTGCAACAGGTTATAACAAAGCTGACTCAGGAAACATATGCTTTTGTACATTACTGATTGCAGTTACAGTGCAAAAATCTCTCTCTCTCACTCACCAGTCACTCGAAGGAAGAAACTATTTGTTTTGGTTTCTTTGTGGTATATACTAATTAAAAACAATTATTCACCTCATATGCAATGTATTTTTTTCAGGCAACAAGAACTTTTTGTCATCCCCCACTTTGGGCATCTAAGTCAATCTACCCCAACTTGCTTTTTTATATCAACTCAACTGTTTTTAGCATAAGATGGACTGCAACAGCAAAATAATTTCTGAAAAGTTACAGCATTAAGAAACACATCGGTCACTTGAAGATTCCTAGAATAACGCTTAATAGCAATCATGAACATATAGCATTCCATTGAAAAAGGTTTCATTAAAATGTCACTATGTATTAGCCTATCAAACTAGGGAAAAAATAATTTTCTGTATTTCAGTCCAACCTTGTGAATTTATATTTAATGTTTTTTTTTCTCTTTTGTTGTTGTAGGAAAAAGTTAAATTGGATTGGGAGGATTATAAAGGGCAGATAAACATCAGGCTTATTACCAAGGTTAGACTGATTTAAAGTGAAATGTTTCACAATTATTTATATAAGTTCATAATGTACAGGTAAAATGTGTCTTTTGCACACACTTATAAGCTATTTCAGAAGTGATTAGAAAGTATCGTTCCCCTCTGAGCACCTGAAAAGAGAGACTGTATGTCAAGAGTAAGATTTCCTTTCATTTTTTGGTCTATATTGACAGAAACTTTTGTTTTGGTTTCTGTGTGGTACTATTATAATAATAATTTAAACCATTTCACCTCATATGCAATGTCGGTGATAGTGAATATTTACCTTCTACTTTAGTGAATAGTTGTGAAATATTTTCATTTTATCCTTGAATCTTATATCCTTTTAAGCAATAAAAAGCAATTTCTGTTAAAGCGTTTTACAAATTGTAATTTGCAAATAGAACATTACCCCTGTAGGAAGTTGAAACAACATGTTTGAATCACAAGCTTTTCAGTCCTGATTTGCTTGTTTTTTAAAAAAATTCTCACCTGGCAGAACAGATTTGATCTGTATTTAATTGATAAGCAAAAAGATCCTCACTATGTTTGATGACTTTCAATACATTTGATTTCGAAAAACATATCGTTCTATTACATTTTTATAAGTTTATATGAGACCTATGCAAGTTGTACAATATTGCTACAATTGCTGTCACTATACCATGTATTTAACCCTTTAACTCTCAGATCAAATTTGTAATTCTCCTTACTTTCAACCATACAATTCTTATAATGTCAGTTCAGAGAATTTTGTATTGGATCAACTAATTATCCCCAAATTGATATTTTTCTTTATTCTCATCTCTTATCTGGTTGATATTGTATTGATACTGTAAGGAGAAATTCTGTCTTGGTCACTCATGGGAGTTAAAGGGTTAAAATTGTAATGATTAAAGTGTTGGTTAACAAGAGTTAACTTGTGAGTAGCTATAATTGATTGTTTTTGTGTTTAATGCTCTTAAAACAGATTGAGGACAAGTCAAAAAATGAAGGATGTATTGGTAAGTTAAGTGAAAACCAGGCAAAGTGTGATGTTACTTAATATATTATTGTTAATTATCTCAATGATGTAAATACTGAAAATGGCTACAGTCCAATTGCAGTAATGATTAATTATTATTAAATAATATTAGTTTACTAGGGCATGTGGTAGATGCACTGGACTTGGCTGGGTCATTAATTGTGTTGTGTTCTTGGACAAGACACTACGCTGACAGTGTCCCTCTCCACCCAGGATTATAAATGGGTACTAGCCAATTGTCAGGGTAGCCTGGTGAAATGCTGGGGGGTTACCTTGCAATGGAATGGCTCCCCATCCTAGGGGGGGTAGTGATACTCTTGGTTGCTTCATGCTATGGAAACTGGAATTACCTCATGCTAAATGGGCCACTTGGAAGAGTACAGACTTAACCTTTTTTATATGGGCATAGGAGACAGTAGATAGAAAAATTATCAGGCAGTTGAGGTATCCAGTAATTTGTTAATTTTTTTCTCGCTAAGATATAATTTTGATACTTTGGTTCGTGTAATTCAAATTTTTTTGCATGCTTGTCTTTGTTGTGGAGCTTAATTTGAAGCATTTAAGCCCTATACCCTTTATTCCCAAAAGATATTAAAATATAACTTCTCCCAATAGTGTTCATACATATCCAGCAAACAGGTAATGAGAATACTCAATCTTATCAGGTGGAATTTTTTATCTTGATCTAACACCAAATTCTGGTAAATCATTTATAGGGAAATGTGTAGCAGCTAGAGGGGAGAATTATTGATCAGATCTTGGGGAATTTAAGGGTCAAAATTTGCTCTTTATACTTATTGTCTTTCAAGGATTCACATTATAAGCTGAAGAAGCAAATAGAATTGTGTTGTGCTATTGTTATTTTACTTTGACAGAGATTCAAACTTGTAATGAAAGATATTACGTACGAGCTGATACCAAAGAAGGAGGAGAAGAATGGATACGAACACTGCGCAAAGCTGCTGTAAGTATCAACCTGTTTGTATCATAAACAGGTTCAATTTGGAATAATTGATAAATTTTGTATTGATTTCATATAATAATAGGTTAAATTTACTTAATATTATGCTAAAAGTTGCCAATTGGATTGATCAACTTAAATAAAGGCAACTTAAGGCCTGAAATTGTGACCAGCTGGTCACCAAGGCAACTGAAAGTTGATTATATGAGATGGGTGGGAAAAGCAAAATCATGACCATGTGGGACTTTTCAACATATGAAAACCTGCCTTTAGTTAACAATTACATTGCAAACTCTTGTTGTTTCTTTACACTGCACCTACATTTCTCAATGAAAAGTCTTAAGCCAGCACTTTCATATCTAGTAAAGCTTCAACAGCCACTTTTTTTTGCTGATTCTAATAATTTGTCCTGGTCGTGAGGGTCTTTACACTCTCAGGATCTCCTGATTTACAAACTTTATTTCACAATGTCACTATCTTTGATTAACTGTGAAACCTCCCACCTTTGCCACATTTCAAGGTACATCCCACTAAGAGAAAGGATGACTCCACTGCCAGGGAAGAGAAATCAGCAAATCATCGCACAGTTGGGACTGACAAAGACAATACATCAGAAAAGACAGAACGTGTTGTGTATGAAACAAAAATTATTGGAGGAGTGGCTGTGAAAACTCCTGTGAAAAAGGTGCAACTTCTACCTAATACACTTTAAACAGTTCTTTTAATGGTAATTCTTAGCTGTGTATATGTTTTCATATGTGAGAAAGAATTGACAATGGAAATATTACACTTGATAGTGTAAACTTCCTACTTACAGTGTATTGTTTATTGCTTTCAACTTCAAAGTTTAAAACTCCATTCAAAGCAAAGCTGATGATTACAGTTAACGATTCTCCCTAATTATCATAAGAGATACTTAAAATCAGAGAGAAAAATTAAATTGCAATCTACCAATTACAACACAGGAATATAAGCTTTTGAACCTCTTATATGTTGTCCTTTTCCTCTAAGACTGGTGAGTTTGTGTTCATTTGATGGATCTAAAACTGCACAATAGTTCCTTGCTTGTTGGAAGATATTTATTTGAGAGTCACTAGTAAGATCTATTACATAGAGTTTGTGACACTTTCAGTTTGATTTAAAGAGGGTGCATGGCTACCTTAGTGCAGCACCCTCTGTGGAGCAATATTTTACACTTGATGATTTTAAGAGAAATGCTCTTTCTTCTCATGGAACTTATTTTGGATTCTAATGATATGTAATAAATTCCTTCAACAGAGTGACTAGTGTCTAATTTCTCCTAACAGTATCAACCTGAAATCACATGTTAAGGTCATAAGAATATTAGAAATGATCCCCAACTCAAAAAGCTCTTCATTGTTAAACAAATTCTCCTTGTCAGCACCTTAGAAAATGTAAAGAGAACAGTATGGAGAATATGCATACTGATAGTAGGGTGTAATTAGGTAAGACAGAGCTCTAATAAGATTCTGGTATCATTTGTTTTGTTGTATTAAGCTGCATGGAATGTTTGATATTCAGTTCCATGATGTAACAATGTATTTTTTTTTTATGTGACAGAATACTGATGTAGACAGTGAGGGAGGAAGTTTGCCTAGTGATTCTCTGATACGTTCTGGTTCAGCTGGTATGACGAGTACAATAAAACCCATTAAAGAAGGATACTTGACAAAGAAGGGAGCAGTGGTAGGTGGTATAAGACTTCAAGTTTTGGTTGCTGGCATGTTTTTATTTTTTTTTTCAGGACTGTTAATTTGTCTTTTAAAAGTATGTTTTGTTAATAGTGTTAGACAATTTTCCTGTTCCTCTTTTACATGTTATTTATTATCAGTTTACATTTAATTCACTATTCCTAATAAATATTAAGGTGAGTCAGGTGTAAAATTGCAGTTTTTTTCATCATTTTGATAATAGCATATAGGGTTACAAACTTTTGCATCCTTGTTGTTTTTCAGGTCAAGAGTTGGAAAAAGAGATATTTCAAGCTGGACACTTTTAGACTTGCATATTATGATAAATATAATGTAAGCTGTCAGATGATTTTAAAATGTGAATTTAAGTTAACATATTTGGAGCTTTGCCCTTAAATTGGCTTTAATGGAATGGTTCATGAATTTGTCATAAAATGTGGTGTTCTGATTTGATATTATTTCCTTGAAATGAAAAGTTAGTCACCTACAAGTGAGCTGGAAAAAAATTTTGGTAGGTTTTCAGCAAGATTAAAGACAAGGAAAATTGTTAATGATCTGCAAAAATATTGTGTAATTTGAGGGAAGGTTACTAAAAACAGACACTATACCCTATATCAACTTTTTAAAGTTAAATTTAGATTTTTTTTTCCATTCAGGACAAAGAGCCTATCAAAGTGATTAATTCAAATGAGCTTCTTGCTGTGAAACCAAGTCAGAGGTAAGAATATGATTTAATGAGTAACGATGGTGGGAAATGCCTGTTTATATGTCATTCCCAATGATGACTTATGACATTACAGGGGTGTTTATGTGGCAGGCTGATCAATCCAATATGGACAAGGAGGCCTCTGCCAGACATTGGCCAAACATTAGCCGGACATTTGCCACTTGTTAGCCACATGTTGGCCACAGGTTGGCCACACATTCATTTGGCAACATGTTAGCCACATGTTGGCCATGGGTGTACAATGGTTGTCATTGGTGAGAGGTGGTCCCTAGACTTTTGCATGTGCTTTCTTCCCACATCTTTCCTGTCATTGTTAGTATTTATGACATGTGTACTAATGTTGAGTTAACTTATGTTACAGTACAGATAACAATCGAGAGCATCTGTTTGAGGTGGTAACAAACACTAGAACATTCTTAATCCAGGTATGTTTATATATGATTGATTTTTTCATACTTATATTGAACATAACTGGAGCAATTTGGATTCTTTTTATCTTTTAAGCTGACTGGTACCAAAAGTTTTCTATTTCAAGAGAAACTGTTTGGTACTATTGCCCTTAAAAGCTGTTTCACAAAAATTTTGCAAGCTTGAAGACTGCAATGTATCCTACCTATTCTGACGCGGTGAATTTTCTTATACGGAAGGGAGGGTAATTGTGAAGAACAGCTCCCCTCTACCAACTGTTAGCCAACTGTTGGCAAACTGTTGGTCAACTGTTGGCTAACCATCAACCATTAGCAAGGTTTATCAGAGATTTGTTTTTCACAATTACTGAACAATGACCACAGTCAATGGTTTGACCCATTAACTCATAAAAATGATTCACATGTAGTTTCTCCTTATAATATCCATACTCTATCCAACAAACAGGTAATGAGAATACTCAAACTAATCAGGTAGAAGTTGTTGTCTTGATCTAACTTCAAATCCCTGTTACTGGTACTAATTTACAAGGAAATCTGTAGCAGCTAGAGGGGGGGGGGGGAGGGGAGAAATTAGCAATCAGATCTTGGGAGTTAAAGGGTTAAATCCAGAGTAACTCTTGGTAATATACTGTGATCATGAGGGTCAGGGCAATCGTGAAAAGAACTGTTAGTAGCAGTTATGTATTAACAAAGTTTTGCACTTGCCAACCTTGATGGAAGTTGTCATCTAGTACATTTTCTTCAACCAAAAGTACTACAGAAGAACCTCAATTTAATGAACTTCTATATAATGAAGTCCTCAGTATAACAAATGATACTCTTCAGCCTGGCCAAAGTTAAAGTAAATTTATGGGACAGAAACTCGTTAACACTAAAGTATTAAACCTGTGGCCCCCAAATATTTTTCTCACCTTCCTTAAAAAAAATTTTTAAATTTTTCACAATTTTGCCTGTTCCTCAGTTCATAAGTCCAGCCAAGCTTCTGTGGTCATTGGCCCCTGTAATAGCTGTTAACTACAGGCTTGTAGAGTTACTTGTAAAACTCCCTGAAGAAGTCTACCACAGTTAGATGAAACATGTTGGAGAATAAAAAAGTTTTACAAGCACTGTTTGCAGAGTGCTGCTTACTAGTTTAATTTTTTGAAAAAAATTAAAAAGAAATAATTCTTCATATAGACATTAAAGCACAAATGTATCTACAGCAATAGTTCTGATCCCAAAATGCTAAGTAGTGTAATGTCACACCACAAAAAAAAAGAAAAGAAAAATGAAAGCAGCTATTAACTATACCTTGATATAAATGAACCAATTCCCCTAGTCCCTTGGTACTTTGTCAAATTGAGGTTCCACTGTAGCATGTTTTCTTGGAAAATCAAAGTCTGGATTTGTTAATTAAAAAAAAAGAAAAAAAAACTACAACAAAAACAACTTTTGTGGTTCTTTGACACACCTCTTAACACCCAAAAATTGACAGTGATATGTTATCTTGCAGGGGAGATCTGAAGAAGAAATGCATTCATGGATTGATGCTATTGCTAGTGCACTGCTAAGAGGGAGGTCATCAAGTGAACCAGTATGTTAATTAATTTTTTTAGTGATTCCAAATTTTGCAATATGAGGGTCCTTATTTTGCACATATCTCTCTCAGTGCCAAGATCACTTTGTACAAACATAAATTACAGCATGTTTATTGAATTACCTTAAAAATTAAACAAATTTTCCTGAATTAAATTGACTAGAGTGAATAACCTTTTTTCTCCCATTGTTAACATGGATAAAATACTTAAAAAGTTTGGCTACAAAACGATTGAGCCTAGCTGGGTAGAAAAGACTGGGTACAAAACGACCAAGGATACAAAACTACTCATAAGTAGCACCAAACCTGCTTGTTTTGAGGCACGGAGATTATGCAAGAGGTCTCTGAGGGGTCTGCAATATGACCCTCAAACATGATACACATATTCCTCATGCTACAGATCTCTCAAATTAACCCCTCACACACTAACTTTGTCCTCTTGATCAAATCTGGTAGACTTTGCCTCTCATGCCACAGTGCCAAACAGAACCTGCTAGATGACAAGAATGAAAGTGTTTCCGATAACTTTGAGATCTAATTCCTTTTTTGTAGGATGCTAAAAAGAGTCAAGAGATATTTAGAAAAAGTGTAAATTATCCATATGCAGAGACGACAACCCTTTAGCAACAGAGAACAGTGAACAAGAGCATTGCTGAACGAGGACACCTATTCAAGATAAAGATTTGATATCAATGATGAATACTGCCTGTGAACAACTTTAACTGCAGAAAATTGTCAAAATTGCAAAAAAATGTTTGCTTTCCCCTCAATGACAATTGATGGGAAATGCAGAGGAGTTGTAAGGAAGCTAAAATTGAGAAAATCATCAAAAATTACAATATTTTCTTATTTTCAGCCATTTTTTGCAATTAGTGTGGAACGAATTGCCTGGTAAAAGGCTTTTGAAGCAGTGAGTCTAGGAGGAAACCATTTGACAAAAAAAATTGTGAAAATTACAAAAATTGCTTGACCTTGTTATAGTTACACAATTTTTTCAATTTTGTATATTTTTCAGTCCTGGACATAATGAGGAATAGGGGGGTGGAGAGGGGCATTCACTGGCCGTGGTACATTTGTCCTTCTTTTCTCACAAAAAGTGATAACTTAAAATATTCTCAAAACAAATGGTTTGTCTCTGTTTTCCTGTAAATATATGGGAATTGCAAAGACCTGAGGTTATCATATTGTGTAACGATGGTGTGAATTAACTGGTCCTTGTCAAATTTATAAAAGATTTATGGTGGTATGCCACATTAATCTTTCCAGTTGGGACCTACCTATGTGTTATTGATAGGTTATTAACATTTGAAAGTCAGTAAAACTAACAGAGGTTGTTTAATAATGGGAGTTGAACTGAATGAAGTGCAGTTTGGTTTGGTCTGAAGTCTTACTTTTGATTTATAATCCACAAGAGGTAAGTATGATTTTAGATCATAATTGTACAACATCAAGTTCAATTACCACAGTGCCTTTGTTGCATCCATTTTGAAATGTAAAAACTCAATTTCCCAAATGCAGGATTTTAGTCAGTACAAATGTTTCATTGCTGTTTCTCAAAAACTGTAAGAAATTAAATTCAGTGGTTGATTTGGAAAAAGAAAGGAGTTTTGTGAACAAAAGTTGCAAATTCTTCAACTAATGCTTTGTCTGTCACAGTCCTGCAATTTGAGTAGTATAACTTTTAAAAAGCCTTGAAATCTGATTGCTTGTCTTGTTTGAGTGCCTTTTCATTGGTTTGGAAGGAGGTGTGATTTGGAGCAAAAAAAATGCGACTTGTGAATAAATTGTACTGCTGAGAGCCAGTCAGATTTTAGGGATCACCAGTAATTTCAAAATGGAAGTAATAAAGTTAAAATTTCTATAAATATCTTAACATAACAATTAGAGGAGTGATTTTTATAACCTGAATGGTGACTAGCAAGAGGCGAAGCCCTTAGCTTGCAAGTTCAAAAGTTATGCCACTTAAACTTTTATGCATTTCATTTTGGGAGATTTTTAGAAATTTACTCAGTATTTATTGAGGGAAAACCTTGTAGTTGGGGTGCACAAGCTTATCATAGTATGAGAGTTTGCATTTATTTAGAATATTAAAGTAGAGGTTTGTTAAGTTTAGATAAACTAGAAAAATTTCATTATATTTTTGTAAAAACCGTTTTTTGCATATATTCATATACAAGAACATATTGAGAGATTCATTTATAGTAATGTAAGTAAAGAGATTTTTCCAACAATTATGAGCGCAGTAATTTTTTTAGGAATAATTTTTGAAAGTGCTGTAAGTTATTTTTTTAAGTGCTGAATGTAACTAAGTTAAAAGTGTCTCATTAAATATAACAACTTGGTGGTGGTTTAAGGACGTTTGAAGTGTTCATACCTTTACTGTACACTGGATTGTAGAAAGGGCTTTAGAAAGACCGAGACTAAGGGATAAGGGTTTGTCGGGACTCGACTCGCTTGAGAAGCCGCCACGCACTCTCAACCAATCAGAATCAAAACTGAAAACAAACACGACTTCGCCAGTCGCCTTTTCCCGCGAAAAATGTGTTTTCATTGGCTTTTTCCAATAAGTTTTCTTTCCTCTGAATAGCTGTTTTGGTAACTTAGATGTCGATGTAAGGATACTCAATCGAAAATGTGCAATACGAGTCCTGTGATGGGTCGTAAGTGTTTTTTTGGAAAAGCAACTCGGAAACTGACGCTAGGGAAGCTTACTGGAGCAGTATTGACGATTTTAAGGATACTCTGTTAAGGAACGCACTCTGAAAACGCACTTCAAGGAACTTAGGATCAAGCTTACGACTGAACTCACTTTGGTGTTACAGTTTGAATCATTTTAGAAGTCGTATTTTTAAATGATTTTCGAGAACGTTTCGTTGAAACACGCTCGGGAATCAAAATCTTGCACACTCCAAGAAACGTGTTGTTTCGTAAGAGCCAGGAAGTCATTTGATACGAGCAATTACAGAACGCAGTCCGAAATGAATTTTGAACCACATTTTGGGAGGGTAATTTCGGGGGAGGCAAAACATGGAGCAAATTATAGGTATTACTCATCTCGTTTACCTTAAATGTAGTCACTTTCGATGTAGACCGGGCCGTTTCGACGGCATATTATGAATACAGTGGACTAGCACGCATTGCTTTTTATGAAACATACTCCGCTGCGATTTATGGGGTATTCATCAGAAAATCCACGCAACGAATCCAGCACAGCAACTCGGAAGTTTGATTTGGAATCGCAATCCAAGTTTTTAATTCCCAGTTTGATGCTCTAGGCTATATATCTCGATTACCAACGTGAATTTGATTCTAAGATCCAAGTTGTGGATCTGTCCATTCTCAGGCCTTTTCTGGCGAGTGACATTCGAAAGACACTTTCCCGGATGTTAGACAAACTCCACGTTACATATCTATTTTACTGATGTTTTAGCTAAATGCATGTTAATGGCGTCTGATATCAGGAAATTCAAACTGAAATTGTGCGTAATATCTGATATATAAATTATAGTTTAATGTAACATTTTATCGTATTTACACAAGTTATAGTGCTTGCACTAAACTGGAGAAAATTAATAGCTTCACAAACACGTGCACCATGTGGCGGGAAAAGTGCGAATTTGATTCATCGCCAGTAATTCACTTTCACAAACGATTCTTACAAATCTTGATATTTAGACTTACTAACACTTGATCTAAAACAACACAGGGCACATTCAAGGCCCAAAAAGACACCAAAATATTGAAAGAAACAGCCTACTGTAGCTCACATGTACACGATTCAAACTGTTCATCCCAAATCTCATTAAACTTGTTCAACTTTTAGGCAAAAAAAATTATTACGGTGCCTCATTGAATTCTCTAACATAATTATAAATTGGCAACCAGGCATGTCCGATGCCGTGACTAAATATCTTGTCTAACGTTTGTGACTAGAGATTCTGACGCATGTCATTTATATTTTTCCACTGGCCTGCAGTCTTCTGTGCAGAAAGAGTGACATAAGCAGATTCTTAGGGAGGGATCTGAGCTGCTTTTGAAGGGTTGAATAACACTTGACCACTGTATCTGCACATAATCTAAGAGGAAAAAATTCACTATTCAGGCACTATATCAAATATTAACCAAAGTTTCTTGAGGCATCAAGACTTCTAAAACACACAGGAAATATGCTCCCCTGTCCCTCCCCTCCCCCTCTGTTGTTTGCATATAGAAAATGAAAAATAATTTCTTACAAGTTCAAAGGCTGAGGTGTAAACCTAAAGATCAGGATACTGTCACAGTGCTCCTGAAAAAAGAAAAAACCAAGAAAATATTACTTATTGTAGTTCAACTGACAAACTCTTTGAAGCTACCTCTTTTACCTTATGGTTTCTTAGAATGACTGTTGGTTATTGAATTTAGCTAGAAATAATCATACACATATATAACACCACACCAGGCTGGCCTTGTGAGTAGGCCTGGTAAACCTCTTTTGCTGATTCATGAGGGTGCTTGCTTTGTGTCTGTGATAACAAGAATCTGAACCACAATCAGTTGAAGTGAAAGTTAAAAAATAGTTCTATCAGGATGACTAGTCAGATATTGATAGCCTAAAAAAATTGCAAGAAAAACAGTCATCAAACTATTCCAACACTTGGTTGATAACAAACATGTATGTATTGCTACGATCCATATCATTAATGAGCGGCATTAGAAAGATACACTGTAGCATAGATAGAAACAGTACAGTAGATAATGCACACTGAAACATGAATTTGAAATTGTTGCCTATTCACCTGTTCAAGAATTAACACTGATGTGGCACATCCTCCAAAAATTAGAACCTCTCCAGGAGAAGTTGTACAACAAGCTGTATGCCACATTCGAGTCATGGGTTTACTGAAACCAAAGGTAAGCAAGTGTTACTCTTCTCTTTGAAAAACCCTTGTCCCCATGGTGCTTTTATATTTGGTTACATCACACAAGTTGTTGTTACCTTGGCCAAAAAGCAAAAAACAAGGGGGAATAAGAGCAAAGAGAGGTCCTGGTCTTTCCTCCTAAAAACCCAAACATTCTGTTGTCTGCTCATTCTTTCATCTTTACTGACCAAGAATCATCCACAGGCTGTTGACAACTGCTGTCTTCTGCTCTAGCCTGAACAGTTGTGGTAATGGTTTTGCTAATGAAGTCACACTGATTGGGTTTGCAAATAGTCTTTATTTGATAAGTTTGAGCATGAGATGGCATTATAATGGCATAGACTTGGGACAATAGATTTCCTCTCTACATGTGAGAACTTCGAGGAGAGGTGAAACCAAATCAAACAAGTAAACCACAAAAGTGAACTTTGTTTTTCATTCATTTTATTCAAGAACTTTCCCAATAGGCAGTGAAAACCCTTTTTTCATTGCAAATACCTTTGTATTGAAGGGACACTGAGTTGAAACCAGATCATTGTCGAGGTGTCAAGAGTATAAGCATCGCCTGAAAATATTAAATGTTATTTGAAAAAGAATTCTTTCATTCTGTCAAAACTTTCACCAAGGATTAGATCCCAACCATGTTAAAAAAGGTGGGAGTTGTAGTAAATCATGCTTGCCTTATTTAGATAAGAGTGGTCCTAAAATCAACCAATAATCCAAACTTCAATAATGCTGAACATGCTGCATTAAAAAAATTTTTTTGTTTTTGGAGTTTGAAGTTCTCTGAAGTCTCACCTAATGCTTCTCCTTGATTGTTAAAGCCTCCATAGAGAAATAAATGTTTGTCACTGACAGCAGATAGGGAATGCCATGTTCTTCCATCTGGCACTTTACCTGTTGTTGGAATACTAATTAAACCATTAATTATAAAAGTGTCATTATAATGTAATTTATAATCATACAATTGGCATAAGGCAATGAATTCAGTAAAAATAAAATCAGCATTGATAGCTGATCGGATTTAAGCTGTATTCACCTGCCACTCCATTCCATGCTGTCCATATCAAAGGCATGCAAATCATTACGTCGTTGTTCCTACCAGTCGAAATAAACAAGTTAACAAGACCTTACACAGCACATGGACTAAGTGTTTTTGTCTTTAATACTTAGTAATTCTCAACCTTGTTTTGTCCTTGTTTAGGAGCTAATTTGTCAAACAATGCAGAGGTCTCTGCTAGAATATAGACCAGTGAGGTATTGACTTTAAAATCATTATCTCTCCACTTATATCTTCAAGTTAGGGAAGGCTAAGTTCCAAATCAAAGATTTTCAAACACTCCTTGACCAACTAGTATGCACCTTTATAACCTATTGAAAAAAATTGCTATTTGTCATTTGCACTTGTTACCATTTAGCAAATTTGCATTTGTGTTATTTTAAAAAAATGCACTCATCTTCAGCCAATCAGAATTGCATCATTTTTTCGTGTATATTAGTGAGAACATTATCATTTTTCTCCATGTGGAGAAACACACAAAACAGAATATTTTTCAGTCTAAAAACTTTACTACATGATAAATCCTATGATGAACATTAAAGAGGGTATGTTTGCTGATGTCAACTACAATACCATGTATCTTCCACCAAAGATATAAGCAATATTTCCAAGTTTAGCTGCAGCCTGTGCTGCTCTTGGTGTGGGGGCTCTCCCCTACAGAGAAAAACAGCATCATCAGAAACAATGCAGCTGAGAAAAAACATGCTATGCAAGTTGAGAGTATCTCATTACATCACACATTTTATTTTATCCTACTGACCATTTTTATTGGTTTTTGTCAACGTGGGTTTTTCCTTGAAAGTATTAACGAAGCTATTTCAAAGTTACACATATTTATATAAAACTTATTTTATGCCACAGATTTTCTAAGTCCATCATTCTAATTTTTTTCCATTCCTGTACTATTCTGAATCAATCTACCCATAACTTATTCACTTCCTGTCCACCCTGGCTGAAAAATTATTAATGAGAGAGGTTTCTTTCTTTCCATTTGTTTTCTTCTTTGAAAAAGTCACAAATCAGGATAATAAAAACATTTCATACTGTTATTACACATACACATACTGTTGACCAGAGCAATTTAAATATTCAAGCAACACAAATAAATGTACTCAGTTTAAACCCACCTTTGTCTGTGGTTGGCTCCATGTTAAACGTTCTGTATCCAGAACAAACATGTGACTGTTCCATCCTCTGATGTCCTAATGAACCAAAATAAAAGAGAATGTGGAAATCAGCTTTCTCTTCTTTTCACCAAGGAAATCACAGACTGCATAAAAAAATTTGAAGTGATACAAATTTTAGTTCACTGGACATGTTGTACAGTCTTTAGGGTGTCACAGTTCCAAAGACCACTCTAGAGTGACCTACATGTAACTCTTCACAAATAGTTGCAAGATGTATTAAACATTTGAAAATGGATGGTATCATTTTGAAAGACAACTTAGCAACCAATATGAACATAAAGAGATACCAAAATATGCTGTTTATAAACAGAAGTTGTCACTGTCACATAAAAGCATTACAATTTGCTCTCCTGTGTACTGCTCAAACAGGTTGCCAAGAGACTGAATAAAAATGGCATCAGACTGTAACATGTCACAAGGGAATGGCCAGGTTTCTGTGAAATATCTAAATTGGCTGCATCCATTTCAAGTTTCCACAAGGTGAGCTTACAAACTCAGGAATCTCAAGTCATAATGCCTGCCATAGTTTCATAATTACATTGCAAAATCTTTGATTGGTAGGGGAAATAATCATTCTGGAGAATACCTCTCCTTTGAAATATATTTGGCACCAAAAACTTACAGTGAATTGGTCCTCAACACTGGTATTAAATTTGAAAAATCCGCAAGACTCATCCACTTTACGAGGATCTGGAGGTATTCCATAACCTCCAAAATACACTATTCTATACAAATGAAAAGATATATATTCAACTGTAATTTATCATCTAGCTAATTACTGTTTTTGGTTTCAACCCTCTACCTTTCACAATTACAACTATAACAATATTCTGCAAATTAAAGTTTGAATATCTGGTGTCAAATGCAGCTCAGTGAAGGCTACAAGAGTTCTACTGGTGCCTTTCACTGAGAAAAGACTGTTTTTCATAATTTATTCACTTTTACTAGCCAGTAGTTTCTCACAATCTTAGACATAAAGGTTGCCATTAAACAAACTGTGTGAGCAGAAGATAGCTCACAGGAAATCAGGAAATCTTTAAAGTTAAGATCAGGGGCTCTTTGAGGCCCAAATGGGTGCCCTGACCAGCAATGAAATTGTGGACTGTGATTCCAAGTCAGGTTTCTTCAACATATTAAGGTGCATCATGATCATGGTGGACATGAACGTTCTCAGTATTTCATTATAGTTGAAAGGTTTCGATTGATACAAGCAGGAGAATGGTCTAGAGCAATAAGAGAATCTAAATTAAAAAAAAAAAGGAAACAGGGTGTAAGTTTCTAAAGAAACTGTGGTGCTTTGCCAGTGTGGGAGTATAACAGCCTTGGTTTTATCAACCAAGCCGATGATGTAAACTGGCCACCCTGTGGAGTTTCTCAGTTAAAAAATTCAAGCATTGGCCCTTTGTCAGAGCAAAGGACAAAGAGCTTAATAATGCTTGATACATCAGCTTAGAAACTCTTTATGGAGGCTAATTTACATCATCAACTCAGTTAATAAAACTAAATTACCATTTAACCGTGAAATAGCTTGGGTGTAGAAAAAAATAGCTTCAGCATAGAATATTCTGTGTAGTAGCTGGAGAACTCTCTAATACCAAATAGATGCCCTGAGTCTATTTGAGGAGAACTGAAATGAAAATGAGGGATATGAAAAGAAACACAAAGGAGAAATGGTAAAATTATTATTTTCTACCTCAATTTTTTGGAAACAAATGAAATGATGCAATATTAAATAACTTACAAATCATTGTGTGTCCAACAACACAGCTTGTCCCTGTCTGAAGGGGGATTACCTTCAATCTTTTCTGTCAAATTTTGCCACACAAATTTGTTCAAATCTAAAACAAAAACCTATCAAAGAAAACATGCAGTTCCAATTAACTCAAACATGAAACCTTGTCATAGAACATAAAGGTTGGGAGACAGTCACACAATTTTAAAAAAAAGTTTTCAACTGATAATTATAACTCAGCTTTTGAAAGCTTACAAGATCCAAAATTAAGTTTTTCACCCTTTTACCGTCAGGAGAGATTCACGTGTAACTCCACCAAGTATAACATCCATACATTATCCAATAAACATGTAATGAGAATACTCAAACTAATCAGATAGAGGTTGTTGTCTTTATCCAACACCAAATTCTCCCAACTAGTTTAAAAAGAGACATGTTGCAGCTGGAGGGAAGAATTACATGTAACAATCAGATCTTGCAAGTTAAAGGCTTCATGTAGGTGCCACCTAGGTACAATTAATAATCGGAAATTTTTTGTAGCCAAAAAAGACTCACTGTCGAAGAGGGTCCTTCATCATGATGCCCAGCAAATATGTACATATATTTGCCACCAATTACACAAGCTGTTGATCCTGACATGGGTGGAGGTATGTCTCCACTTGTTTCAACATGTTTCCTAAAAACACAATTATTTAATGACAAGTGACTTGCTCTGAGAGTGTAAATGGCTTTCATTTTTATCCGGTATCTGCCGTGCCACTACATGTAGCTAGATATAGCACATCTGTCCGAGTTTCCCAAACAAGAACACATTAATTTAAAGTCAACTATTGCATTCTTAACCCTTTGATCACTATAAGTGACTACAATCTAATTTCTCCTCACAATGTCACCCCTGACTCACACATTAAGGTCATGAAAATATGGAAAATGATCAACAACCAAAGAGGCTCATGATTGCTAAACAATTCTCCTTGTCAGCCCCTTAGGAAATGTATAGAGAACAATATGGAGAAAATACATACTGATGTTGGTATATAAAGAGTTAAAGTCTGCTCATCATGCATCCTTACCATGCAGAAGTCTCAATGCAGTACAACCAAACTTCATTACTGGGATGATACCTGTCAACAAGAAACTGCAATCCAGGAAACTGTTCAGGATCACCCTTAGGTAGAAAAGTTATAAAAAAAAAATGAAAGACTGAAATTGTTTCAAAAAATTAGCAGAAAAGTTTATTAATACATTTCTAGTGTTGTTTTTGGTCACTCAACTCCAGTTATCAGCTTAGATTCCATCACCTTGTGTCAAAGTGCATTGTGCCAGCTGTTACAAAGCTGAAACAAACTCTACATATCCAAACGTTCAGGATTTAATGAAACTTAATAACACAATTATTCCATTCAAGCTTGTTGGGTTCAACATTGGTTATAACCAACTTGGTGTTATGCACCTCATTAGCTATTTAACATTTCATATCCAATGTCCAATCATAAAATAATTGTTTGTTCTCGCATGAGCTTTCAGTGATCTCAGACAATATTGACCTTTAAATATTTCATAATAGCTTTCAGTGATCTTGTAAAATGCTAACTTGAAATAATTCACAAGAGCTTTCAGTGATCTCGGACAATTTTGACCTTTATTCTGATTGACTGCCCCCTTAGTTTGATTTTGTTTCATGACAGTAGATGACCAAATGATCTTCAGTTTTCCCTTGGATTTCACAGGTTATCCCGGCCCAACTAGTTTTGTTCTCTGATTGGTCTTTTAAACTTGTGCCACCTCTTCAACCAAGAAGCTGGAAAACCAAAACCAACTATGATTTTATCAACTGAGTTGATACTGTGAATTGACCCATGTAGAGAGATTCTACAAATGGTGTTACAAGCATTAACTGTTCATTAGTGCACCCTTCACTCTTATAAAGGGCTAACGCTCGAAACATAAAATCTCTCTAAGGTGGCCAATTCACATCATCTACTCAAATAAATTATCTTGTAACACCCCTCCCCACCAGGTAGAACCACAGTTTCCTTGGAAACTTACCCCCAGCCCCTCTCCCCACAAAACTAATCATGACTTTGTAGCTCAATTTCCCTTGTTGGTTCTGCATGATATTTTCCTTTGACCTAATCGGTACTAAAATCTATTTTCATTCCATAAACCTTGGGTGACAAAGAAAGATTGATTGAGTTGCTAATTAATATTCAAGCTCACTTACGTTGCAATAGCCTCCCCAAACTACTAGATAACCATCATGGTGAACCGCTACATGACCACTTCTTTCTCTTGGCTTCACCGTGCCATTTATGGACGGAAACACAAATGTCATGTTCAGTTATTTAGAATAAAAAGAGGGGAATCGCAAAACCTGACATTCTACGCATATCTTCTTTCGTTTTACACAAAGGCACATAACATTAAAGCACGACTGCACTGAGCCATGGGAAAGCTCGTATCTTTACCACGTGATTTTTACTGTTGGATTTTATTGGCCCATTCAAATGTGGCACGGAAATCGAACGTCGGCGAATACCTTGCAGAGAGCGTAATACCTGTGTACTGTAAAAGAACTGCAAATCTTTGGACAAAAAAGGCCAGATCCGATCCCGTTCTTTGTTTGTAAAATTTAACATACTGAAAAGAGAGTTATTTGTTTTAAGATGGTCAAAAGCAAAGCGCCGCAAGAGAAGAACATCCAAGTGGTCGTGCGTTGTCGGTAAGTGAGATGAAAATCGACAGATTTCATGCACAGAATTATTTTATCTTAAGTCTCTCTGTTCTTTGATTAATCGGTAGTCGTAGCCAGTCGATCTATGAACAGACAGATTAGATTTAGGTGGTTAAATAACTCTAAGATGTGAGTTAGCGATGGATGATTCTTTGGCGTCTTCCACTGCTTTGGTGATCAAGTTACTTGTAATCTTACGTTCAAGAAATCACAAAAAAATTTCATATTTCCAAATTTCTCAGAATGAATTATCTCGCGCTCATATGGCTGTACATGTAAAAATATTTTTTTGTAAATAACGAGTGGAAATAGCACAGGCATCCAGAGGATCGGGTCCAGAGTCCGAATCCCTAAAGATTAGAGTGACCGAACTCAAGCTGTTTGCTACATCCCTGCCAAACCCACAACATAATGTTGGCAAATAAACGGAAGAGAGAATCTATCAGAAAGTAACAGATGTGTTTTCATTGATCTTTTTATTTTCACCCCGTATTTTTTTTAGGCCACGTAATGGAAAAGAAGTCAAAGAAAGCTCACCATCTGTGGTAAAGTGCCAGCCATTGAAGAGGGAGATTGTCGTCAAACACGACGTTGGAAATATTTCATCGGCCACATCTACAACAAAGACATTTACCTTTGATCGTGTTTTTGGTCCAGAAACCAAGCAGATTGATGTTTATCGCTCAGTTGTTGTGCCAATCTTAGATGAAGTGTTGATGGGATACAACTGTACAATCTTTGCGTAAGTCTACTGTAGTTTATTCTGCTCGTATTTTTCCTTCTTATGTTTTAGTTGATCATAATTCCTGACAACTGTAAGGTAAATCAGCCTTATATATCTTTTTATAGCTATGGCCAGACTGGAACAGGAAAAACATATACTATGGAAGGAGAGAGAAGTCAAGAAGATTGTTCTTGGGAAGAGGTTTGTGTATAATTAACAATTAGATTTCATGTTTGTGTGGGTCTGTTTAGTAACAGATCACAGATAACTTCAAAATGTGGTAAGAAAAAAAAAGTGGCACTTTGGGCTCAACTTAGTATGTCACTGATGCTTTTACCAAATCTTGATGTCTTCTGTGATCTATTACTGCACAGACCCATGGCGACATGGAATCTGTTTGTTTTATATGATAAAGAGCAAAATGTTTTTTTATGATGATGTCATCTACATGTCTGACCTCCATTAGATCATTAATAAGATTTAATCAAAATGCATGTTTAATTCAGCTTATCATATAATGATTATTATAGTTGTACCAGTCATTTCTCAACCAAAAAGAGAATGAAATCAGCTGTGCCCTGGGCAATGCACTCATTGACATGCCCAGTTAGTTGAAACATTTAATCCTCTTCTGGGGGTGGGGGGGGAATGCATCATTATACTGGTATAAGAGAGGATGATCATGGAAAGAGTTTAGGTACAGAAGAGGTTGGTAACAAGTTGCAGCTGTGATTTCTTTTTGTCTGAAATGAAATGAAAGGTATTCCTTTAAACTGGTGGTCGGAGATCAACAAACATGACAACTTGAGGTGGCTCAGAAAAGTTTTGAAAAATTTTGGTTTGGTTTTTTTGTCCATCATCTAAAGAACAGATGCTTTCCTCGTTTAAAAGGAAACATTGTTTCTTTGTAGTTTGTTGTTGAAGAAGCAAGAGTCTGTAAAAGGTTTTATGTGCACCAAAAGGGAAAACCTCCAACTTTTCTCCCTTTCTATCCTTTACATATGTAAGCCGTCATGGACTTGGGAAGTTAAATCAGATACTGTATGTGTACCATATAACAATCATGATGGGCATTTGAGCACCAGTTTTGGATAAAGGGGTTTCCCTTAAAGAGAATGTTCAGTAACTAAACTGATCCATAGGAAAACAGCTGATGACTATTTCTAAATACTATATGTTTTATAATTGGACTCTATAAATTCATTATTAAATTCTTGACTCATGTCTCCAAAATTACCTCATTCTTGATTGTTTTATCTTTTTTTTGGTGAAAATTATTAGATTGTTTTCTTACATGTTCCTTAATTCTAGGATCCCTCAGCTGGAATCATTCCACGAACCATGCATCAGTTGCTGGAGAAACTCAACAGTCAAACTGTAAGTTATTTGCATTAAGCTAGGATTTACTTTGTAAAAAATTTAGAAAGGACAGTGAAAGCTAACTTTCTGATCAGTATTCCTCACACACATGGTCAAATCTAATTCTGTGGAAAATTTGAAACCACTTCTTTGAGGGGTACAGAAAGGGTTCAAGAGAAGGGAGGTTCAGGTCCAGTTGTCCTCACCAGATAAATCATATTTTAATGATACCACCAATTGCATAAAACAAGCAGAAATCATTAAAACTATTCAACTTTTTGCATTCAGTAGTTATTGATAGCAATTACTTTTGTGCAATAATTTGAATTCAAGCTCCCATTTTTCATTAGGACTGTGAATTCTCTGTAAGGGTTTCATTTTTGGAGATCTACAATGAAGAACTGTTTGATTTGCTGAGCTCAAGTTTGGACAGCCAAAAAATGCGTCTTTTTGAAGACTCCTCTCGAAAAGTGAGTACATTACAATTAAAAGTGAAAGTTGAATGTGAAATATTTAAGCCTAATGAGCTACTGTCTTTAATTCGCACTTGACTGATTCCCTATCTTTTTTTATCACTACATTGTTCAAGTAAAGAAGTGAATTTTTACTGTAAAAAATGTTTCGCTCTTCAGCTTTGTAGCTGTGGGCCTTATTATTAAGGTTTACTCTTTCACCCCTAAGAGTGACCAGCATCTAAATTCTCCTCACAATATTAGCCCTGGATCAAACTTAAAGGTCACAAGAGTAAAGGAAATGATCATGAACTCAAGAAATTATTGATTATTAAACAAATTCTCCTTGTCAGCACCTTGGAAATGTGTAGAGAACAGTATGGGGAATATGGTTCATAATCATACCTCTCTATTCCATCAGGGGTCTGTTGTCATTCAAGGACTTGAAGAGCTTGTTGTTCATGACAAAGATGATGTGTATAACATTTTAGAAAGAGGCAGAGCAAAGCGTCAAACAGCAGCAACTCTGATGAATGCACATTCAAGGTAAAAAAGCCTATTAGGTATAATGAGAATGTCTTTGTTTTGTACTGGCATTAATTCTTTATGATTGTCTGATAAGATGAGTCAAGCATGAACACACTATGCTATAAAGGAAGATTGGTTAATTGATAAACATGTTCTCCTTTTCACATTAAATGTTAGCTGTCCTTGTTTCATGTAAAAGGAAGTTATCTCTGATTTTCTTGATTGCTAACAGCCCATATTTTTTGCTCTAATGAGTTCATGAAATCCCATAAACCTGTCTCTTTGGAAAAAATGAATAAAGAGGGTAAGTTTCTAAAGAAACTGTGGTGCTGTGTTGGTGGGAGAGTATAACAGGGTAATAAAGTATTATCAACTGAGTTGATAGTACTTGTAGTCTGATGAATAAGTATCAAACTTGATTTTTGCTGGTTCTTTGTGAATAAACTTGCATTTTTTTTCCACTTAAGAGCTTATTACCTATTGTTTGTTTCTAGTCGTTCCCATTCTGTGTTCTCTGTCACCATTCACATTAAAGAGAATTCTGTCAGTGGTGAGGAATTATTGAAGATTGGCAAGTTAAACTTGGTCAGTAAAAATGCAGTTTTCTAAAAGTATGTAATTTTTAACCTGATGATGAACCTTGCTGTAATACATTGGCAATGTTAGTGGGGAAGCAAGCTTGTACTCTGCAGTTATGTCTTTAAATGTACTGAACACTTAAAGTATATTGGTATATGATCATTGTTAGAATTAGTACACCTTACAGTACTTTAATACAGGGCGTGAAATTAATTTATTTTTCTGATAGCCACTTTTTTCTTCAAAGGGTACAAATTGATTTTAAGTTTGGGAAAAGATCTTTAACGTGTGGACACTAGGATGGACGATTTCATCTCCAGCGTCTAGTTATCAATCGAGATGCATCTGTTGCATTTTGGAAACAAACTTTCAAATTTGTGACTTTATCTTTGAAATGTATTTTCAAGTCGCCAATTTGGCAACTAATTTCCAGGATTTGGTCAAAACAAACCATTGTTTGTGCTATTTTCAAAATTTCAAATCTGAATGTATTTTCTTTTAAAAACAAACCTCTATAAAATTTACTTCATTTGGCCCACTCCTTGAAAATGCCTTTTAATTAATGACTTTGAAGAGAGCACACAGTGTAGACTGCATCAAGTGACTGTATGGGTATTTGAATTTTATAGGTGGATCTGGCAGGAAGTGAAAATGTTGGTAGATCAGGAGCAGTTGACAAAAGGCTCAGAGAAGCTGGTATGAATTCAGAATGTTATAGAATAACCTAAATAAACATACCCTATATTTAAAAAATATTTACTAATTAAGAGCAAATCAGAGGGCATGCTTGAACTCACAAGATATTTATGACCCCAACACCAGTATGTATATTCTCCATAATGTTCTACATGTATGCATTTGCTAAGGTGCTGAAAGGAGAATTTGTTTCACAATCAAGAGCTTCTTCAGTTGGTGATCATTTCCTTTATTCTTGTAACCTTAATGTATGATTCAGGGGGGGTATTGTAAGGAGAAATTGGATGATAGTCACTCTCAGGGGTTAAAGGATTAAATGCAGATCCAACCCTTATCCCTTCTCTTCAGAAAAAAGGTTTTTGTCTTGATTGTACGAGTTACTTATTTTCAGTCCAGTATTATCAATACAATTATGATAACACTTCTAAATATATTAACATGTTACAACTTCACTTTCCTTAGGAACAATCAATCAGAGCTTGTTGACTTTAGGAAGAGTGATTACATCACTGGTGGAACGAGCTCCTCACATACCTTACAGGTACCACAGTGTTGAGTTGCTAATTTCTTTAAGTATGGACATTGACAAGCCATAGAAATAGAGCAGTAGCCTGCAAACAGACAGCTTTTGGAAGGACTTAGGTGGAGTTTGCTTCTAATGAAGTGGCTGGAAGGGAAGGAGGGATGAGGAAGAGGAATGGCAGATTTTCTCTCCCCTCCCCACCCCTGTCCCCTCCTCTTTTTTTTCCCAGCTTTCATATTTTCCTCGTTCTTTAGCTTGCAAAACAGGCATAATTTGTTTTTGTGGCTCTCGGGAATGGAAGCAAGTGCAAAGTGCAAGTCATTTGCAAGGGAAGAAGTGCAAAAAAGCTTACCCTGCCCTTGCCTCTGTTTGCCCTACAAACACAAAAAGATTACTGCTGTTCTGTTAGCTACCTCATCCTTGTCTAGAGAGCCTGTTCAGAGGCTAATAGACCTGGCAAAAAATATGTGCATATACTGTATTGCAGCATCCATTCAGCATGCTTGCACTGATTTGAAAATAATGCTAAAGACCTGTTTTCCCCTTTGATTTCCAAATTCATTTTTCTTTCCTTTTGGGGGGTAGTTGTTGTTTCTTCCTCACTTTGAAAAGACCAAACCATTTCACTGGATGGGGCAGAAGGGTGTCCCTTGTATGCAGACCTTGTAATTTTTTGGTGATTGCTTCCCTCTTGCACAAACAGGGAGAGTAAATTAACAAGGATGTTGCAGGATTCACTTGGAGGTCGCACTAAAACCTCCATAATTGCCACCATATCCCCAGCACTGTGCAATTTGGAGGTAGGATCAGTAAATACATGTTGATGTTTACCACTGTTCATAAATCCATTAGATTTGTAAGACCATCCACTTCCCAAAAAGATACATGTATTCCCCTATGTTTCTTTGATGTGATGTGTGACATGGCATTTCATGGTACAGTCAGCACAAATAGAGAAAAGAACATCGACTTTTATGATGAAATTTTTGAAATTCCATGGAAAGTGGAAAGCCCTGATGGACTAAAGTCAGTGTGCTATGGCCTCATTTGATTGGCAGTCACTATGACATCTGACAGTTGATCATTAGCAGCTGACTTTTGATCTAAGGAGAAAGACCAACATAATGACAGAAGCAAATTATGGTACATACAGTACCGCTCGCATATATGTTAACCAAAAAATGCACATGAAATGCACCAAAAATCGCGTTCAAGTGCCAATTTAAAAAATGCATGTATCAAAAAATCGCATGTGCGCATAAGCTTGATACATCTGTCTCATTTTTATGTATGAGGTAGACCTTTTGTTTTTCTTTTGTTGGCGGTTTGTCATTTTAAAAAATAGGCTACAATATAAGAGCACTAAAATACTACATGGCCATGACAGGTAAACTTTTTCATTTCAATCTCCGTTCGAACCAACCTTCCCAATATGCTGTCACATACTGTATGATTTGATCTTCTTATTAAAGTAGAACTGAGGTTGAAGTGTGATCTTGTTTTGATATCAGCTGTGGTTACTGTTAAAGTTAGAGATTTGAATTTTTCTGATGTTGTAAAACCTTTTCTTTATTCCACTTGAGAACGTTCCTGTCTTTTCACCTCACTCAAACCTCCTCCGAGACCGAAGGCTTCACTCTAATGTTATCACATGCATGCTGCAAAGTGTTAGTAATTATCATAAACAGTATTAAAAGCACCAGATTGAGTTGTTGATTTAAAAGTCATTATTCATGATGTTTTGTCTTTCATTGTTAGGAAACTCTAAGCACTCTGGATTACGCTCACAGGGCCAAGAACATTCTCAACAGACCAGAAGTGAATCAAAAACTTACAAAGAAAACTTTAATTAAGGTACAGCATGATTGCTTAAAAATCAAGACAAACAGATCTTAATAAGTTTTGACAATTGTATAGCTATGTACAATGTGCCTGTGTAAGCAGCTGTCTCTAAAAACAACCTTGTATGCTTCACTACAAAAAGGATTGGTATTAATAACATTTATTTAATAACACATGATATTCTTTCAGGAGTACACTGAGGAAATAGAAAAACTTAAGAAAGATCTTCTGGCAGCCAGGGAGAAGAATGGCGTTTACATAGCAGAAGAGAATTACCAGTAAGTTTCCCTATAATGACAAGGTTGTCAAAGGTAGCTGGCAAAAAATCACAAACAAATATTGATTTTTTTTAAGACATTCCTTTTTCCTTTTTTGAAGTGTGGTTTATTCTATTCACTGTAAATTAAGAAATTTCAGAATGAAGTTCAAAATTTCATGTAGCGTCTTAAAGGAAAATGAATATGACTGCATTTTTTTTTTCAGTGCTATGCAGCAAGAGATCAAATCTCAGCAAGAGTTGAATGCTGAAAGAGAAGCTAAAATCCAGGCCCTCCAAGAAGAAATGCGAAAGATCAATGAATTGTTCACTGATACTCAGCAAGAGCTGGAAGAAAGATGCATGGAACTGGAAGAAAAGGAAACTGAACTGCAAAAAACCAACCTTTCACTGAAGGAAACTAAACATACTTTAAGAACAACAGTCATGGAGAGAGATCAGAATCAGTATCTTGTTGACAATCACAGCAGAAATGAGGATCATCTGCACAGTCAGGCTTCTTCTCTTCTTCACACAGTTGAAGATAGCCTTTCTGATGTACATGGTCTCCACTCAAAACTTGACCGCAAGCAAACTGTTGAGGCTCACAATGTCAATGCTCAAGATACATTTGGAGAGGATTGCAAGAATTTGATTCAAAAAGTGAGAAAGAATTTGAACCAGTTTCAAGGAGAGAACACTGTGTTCTTTGATGCAATGAAGAAAACCTTAGGTAGGTGAAGCCATCAACGTAAGTAGAATTGTTAAAAACTTGAGTTGTCTACTTAAATTTAAACTTACAAAATGTTGGACACTGAACATATCTTAACTTGGAATGTTACTAGATCAAGGATAGAAATCCAATTCCACTCAGTCTTAATAAGGAAAATACCAAGTAGGGGATTATTAGTTGATTCTACACCAATATCTCCAAACTAACATGATAATGATTGTATGTCAGACAGTAAAGAGAATTGCTAATGAGATCTTGGAAGTGTAAGAGCTAATAAGTCTGACCTAGCAATTTTCAGAAGAACCTGTGCACAAATATCATACTCTTAACTTTGCAATTTTGTGTCTACAGGGAACCTTGTTTCAAAGAAGACTGATGAATCATTAAAACTGCAAGATCAAATGCAGAGTTTTAAAGACAACATGATTGTGCAAATGCATGCACTGTCCTCCAGAGAGCAGGTATTGCTTATTAACCAAATTTGAGACATTGCTTATTAAGTGGTAAACTCATTTATTCTGTATCACTGAATACAATTATTCAAAATAAAAGAGCAAAAAATTACTTTATAGCCTTATGAATAATAAGGATATTCATGTTGATAGAGGACAGATTGGCCAACGTTTTCGCAAAATACACCTGTCCAATACTTGTCTCTGTATTTTGTCAACATGTCAACAATGTTATTGGTGAGTAGTACCATACAGATAGCATGAAATGGTTTTAGACAAACCAGATTTATGTTGTACTGGTTATCATTTTTTTAACTAAAGGAAAAAGACAGTTCCTGTAAAACCTGGCATAGTGATGTTTCCAGTAAGGTTCAAGAAAACAAGGTAAAAGGACAATTTTGTGTGTAAATTAAATAAACTATAAGTCATGGACACTGGCCAAGAATGAATTATGACACATCCTATGCACTAATGCTCTTCAATGATTTTTTGAAATTATAATTACTTTAAATTATAATTCTACTTGCACACTGATGCCTCTTGTGGTATATGAGGCTGTAAATTAAAGCTTGGGGAATAACCACGGTAATCTAATAAATGTGAAACTCAAACAGTCAGGCAGCTGGAAGAATACTTGATTTGATTCTGACTGGTTAATTATGTACAGACCAATGGCAATAAAGCTCAGTATTCATGTACACAAGAAAACCTAGTGAAAAGCCGGAAACCAGTTAACAAATAGATTCCAAATTGTGGTGCGTCTGTTCAGTAATAGATCACAAGTGACGTCAAAATGTGGTAAGAACAAAAAAGTGGCACATGAGGCGCAGCCGAGTGTGTCACTGATGTTCTTACCACATTTTGACGTCCTCTGTAATCTATTACTGAACAGACGCACAGCAACTTGGAATCTATTTGTTTTATATAATAAAGAATTAAAAAAAGTTTTAACGATGACGTCATCTATGCGTCTGTCCTCCAATAGATCATAAGTGAGAACCAATCAGAATGCGTGCATGACTGAGCTTATTATATAATTACCACTACTGTCTGTCATTTAGATTTCTGACACCTGATTTTCTTTTACATTGAAACACCTCCCTTGTTTTGCAATAAATGGCTGAGCTAAATCCCTCCACATAATGTTTGTTTTACTACATTCAGTTTTTGAGAGTTCTGATATTTTGTTTCAGGATAATATTTGCTCTGTGCTTCACACCCTCAAGAATGAGGAGTTTTTACCCAAAATGAGGGAACTTGAAATCTCAGTTCATTCAATGGCTGCCTTTCAGAAGCAGTTTGCCACATTTTTCAACGATAAGGTAGATGTGGCGCAATTCAGCTCCGAAACATTTAATATATTGCACACATACTGAGTGCCAAGCCAGTTTTTTTTTTTTTGCTTTAAATTGTTGTTAATTGAGTAAATGTTTAATGGCAAATTTTTATATATCAATTGTAAAATAATGTTATTTAATGCTTCAATCACAGCCTTTTATATCTTTTCATCTGGGTTTTGCTATCGGAATCTCAGGAAAAAAAATTTTCCTCTTAACACTATCACCACTGTTGCACATAGAGAGCTGGTCCAGCTGGCATCAAATTTTATTAACAATGAACTGCTGCCAAACTCACATGCAGAGGCTTTAATCCATTGTTTTGATTTATTTAGATGAGTAATTTGTCTTCGATGGTGAAAACCTTTGTGGAGGGCCAAGAGTCCATGCTGGAGAGTTTGGATGCAATGGTAGACAGACATTCACAAGAGCAGGTTAATAAATTGTTTACAATATGATTTGTTATTTCATTTCATGTTCTGACTGACTATTTGTTTAGGTGACAAGACAAGTTGTTGCTCTTCGTGATGATGCACTTTGTGTAGGGTCCAAAATTGGGACAGTTGGTCGCCAGTGCAGCATAAGAATTGACTGTTGACAATCGGAATGTTTGGCGATGATCTTCACGTCTCGTCAACGGTTTTCCTTTAGACCAGTCACCAATGCTCAAAAAAGATGAAACATCTTTGAGAAAATACAATCAAAACGTCTTTGAAACTTTACCCACTGTATTTTGCCGTGAGGTGAAAATCTTTCAATTGGCAGACTTTTGGGGACCAAACTGCTCCCTGGAGTGATTAAAACAGTAAACCTTAGTTATTTTGCTCTGATTTATTGTAAACATTGTTTGCAGTGACTTTAATTTTTCCGAAGGACTTAATTTCCTTCCCTTGCAGGTTCAAGCATTGGGAGAAATAACGAGTAAGACAGACTCGATGGTAAACAACCAGAAAACCCTTGTAAAGGTAAGACATTCATCTAAAATTTTATGGACAATTTCTTTATCAAACCAGACTCCATTTTGTCATGTCCGGGTTCAGTTCAAGGTGTTAAACAGTGAAGTCAATAGCGAGTGAGAACAAGACAGGAAGTTCTGTTACAGTTGTGGAAATCTTTTTATTTTTCATACCCATTTCCTTGTTAGGAGCTCCAGCAGACATTCTTCAAGCAGATGATGTCGCTATTTCAAGAAGTCAATGACAAACAAAGTGAAAAATTATCAGAAGATGCAAGCAAGGTAAGAGATCTCCTGTTACGTGAATTCAAAATAATTGAAACAAAATCTCTCAACTTTTAAACTAATTTTTTTTCCTTGCTTTATCATGATTATTTTTTCTTTTTTAATTTCACTTCTTCAGGTCACAGAAGTGACTTCAGAGGCTCGAAAACAAGTAGAAAGCGCTAATACCAATCTTAGAAGGTAATGTAATGAATGAAAGGTTGTATTGATTATCATAATATTTTATTTTCCGTTTTTTTCCTATAGCAGGGACTACAGGCTCTTCCCTTCGTTAGAGCGCCTCGAAGTCTACGTCTGCTAACGTTAGTTTTTAAAGTTAATTTTGTCTGTTTAATCTCTCGCTGTATTTTTATGATTTTAGTTACTGTGACTCTCTGAGGAACTGTGCGTCACAATTTTCTGAAAGCTGTGAACATGCTGTCAATGACAACGTTATCCAGGCACAGAAAAGTTTTAAACAGGTAATTGGAAGTAGCTCTGAGAACTGCATGTTCCAATCCTCTCAGAGGGTTTAGATTTTCTTTGTTTTTCTCTTCTACAGGCTGCAGAACAAATCCAGGAAACTTCAAACATTCATAAAAGCGTCGAGGACGGTGTGGTAAACTCCTCTCACAAAGTTGACCAGGTATACGAACTTGATAATATTTTGTTTTTATAGTTTTCTTTTTTTCATTTTATGTTTTTGTTTCGCTTTGTTTGTTCGTTTTGATATTTGGTTTGTTTTGTTCTGTTTTTGTTTTGTTTTTTTCTAGCGGGAAACGCAAAAATAATAGACCGTGTTTTAAGTTAAAGCATAAAAAGTGAAGAAAGTATTTTGACATAGTAGTCGTGATTTTGATTACTTCTACTGAAATTCCGCTTTCGTTTGCTATTTCGCAGCTGGCCATGCAATGGCAAAACATGTTGGAAGAATCGTTCACACAGCATCTTGATACACTGAAGGGCTGTTCATCTCAACAGCAGAATTCAGTCAAGGTAACAGGATCTTAGAGTGTTACCTTTTATTTCTCTAGAGATTGTATTCTTTCCTAAGGTGGCCTTTTTACGAGTAAGGGGAAAAAAATACAAACTCAAGCCTGTATCTTTTTTCCCACTCAGGAATGCGAAAAACAGGTAAAGCAACATTATAGTGACGTAGAAAATGCACTAGCCGCGCATGGACACTCGCTCGAAGAATTCACCAAGACCCAAGAGCGTCTGCTGTCCGACCAATCAGAAGGAGTAGACACATGGTCACATGACCAATATAAAACTGTTGACCAGGTTAATACCAGAGTGACCCAGTTCCTACAGAGAGATTTGAAGCAAGATCTACCAACAGGTTTGTGATCCGTTCATTCTTGTTGCTGCGCGACGTCATTTCATATAGCTTTGAAGTAAGTCATTCAAATGAACTTGGTTCAATGGCCTCAGCACTCTCTCTTAAATCAGATTTCGAGCTCATCGGCTCGTAGCCAGTAAGATTTAAAATTTTGTTCAGACTTAAGATTGTGTCCCCAAAATAGAGGTGTCCCCCCCAAAAAAAATAGTTGTGCCGCATGACGTTTTGTTCGGTGTCCACTTTTCTCACCGCAATCACGCAGGCAAACAATAGCGATACATTGTTTTCCAGGAGCCACTCCACAGAGACGTACATTTGAGTACCCCACCAAGCTGATAAGAACAGAGCCCCATGATGTTCTGAGAGAAAGGTTCCAAGGCAGTTACGTTCCGCCTGCACTATCGCCTGAACCACAGCCCATTAAGGTACATTGAAGTAAAACCATCATGCCATTTGAGGTGTAACCACTTGCTTTAGTAAAGCATGTCCCTAGATAACTGGCGGTCACGTATTTTCTTTGTGTTACTTTCTTAGCAAACCAGCACCTTCCTTTGCCTGCTTTTTCTTGTTTTCGTTTTCAGGAAGCTCTTTCATACTGTCGTGTTTTTTTACTCTCGCGTCTTTTAACCCATGTGTCCTTGAGGTCTGATGCACTTCGAGGCGACAGGTCTCTCGGATAAACTGCTTCGTTTGTTCTGCTTCCTTACCAATTGCTGCGATCATGGCATAAATTCAAACCAGTTTTAAGGTTTTTGTTACCAATCCCTCAAAGGAAAAAAAATTCCTTGTCAAACGACGCGAATTGGTCAGCTGTTCCTTAACATCTTGCTAATGAAGCTTGTCACTAATACTTAGACGTCATCGTGATACCTGATCTGTTTTTTCCCGCAGAGTGTATCAAGTGAAGACTCTGTACCAGTATTTGAGTTAAGTCGAACCAGCACTGTGAGTTCAGACAATGGCGTCTACCCACTTCGCAACAGTGAGGGAGATTTACTTGATGACGACAGCCTTGAGGATGGAGAAAATGATGCTCATACTACTGCTGATGAGGCTGTGTTTGCAGAACCACGGGTAAGAAAGATTGCACTGCATTACAAGTGCGCTCAATCGAAAGGCCAAGACTAAATTATCGAATAAGCCAATCGGAATAAAGGAAAACTTCATAGGTAGCCAATGGGAGCTCAAAGTGAAAATACGCTGACCCTTAAAGCGCGGGAAAAAGTGAGTGACTAAGGTGCGATTCGTGAGGTTTGTCATCTGATTGGTAGAGAGGGTGGCGTGAGCTTTAAGAGAAGCAAAGCCAGTGAAATATTGAGACAGAGAACATGATGCTGGGTTATTTTCGACAGTTTTTAAACTTGAAAGAATAAAAATCAAGAAAGGAAAAGCAAGGGATGGAGAAGATCAAAACAGATTCCCAATTCGATAAGGGCACTAACCGTGAGTTGGTCCTTAAACCACGCACAAGCTTTGGTTCCAAGTATGATAATAGTACTGCTGCACTACGGTCCCTTCAGACTATATAAGGAAGGGACCCCACGGGGGAATAGCATGCACTCTTCCGGATCAGCCATAGAGCTAATAACATAGAATCTGACGAAAGCGTTCTTTTTACTAATGACTCTTTTTTAACCAACAGGCTGCTGTACCACGCCCTAAGGTCTTGTCTGCCAAGAAGCCTGTAGACAAAGAGAATTTAAAGACGACAGTGAACAAAGCGTCAAGTATTCCTGACCTTACTGGCGTCGGCAGCAAGATTCCATTGGTAAACAAGTTTAAAACTCCTGTGGACCGGATTAAACGTCCCCTGAGATCGATGAACACCCAGTAAAATGATATTTACAAAGTAGAAACAATGATCAATGTAAAGTTTATTTGCTACAATTAAGGTGTAGGTGATTGAAATTGTACAGGGTTTTCATTTAGTTTTGCTAGACCTAACTCCCCCACGAAACTCAAATTCGACAACAGTTTCAGATTCTATCTGAAACTATCAATCAAAGGGGACCCGTTTTCTGCTCCCGTTAAAGGCGCAAACATTTACCTGGTATTGTTTATAGGTTTTGAATTTTCTTTGAGTTATTTTCAATCTCGTATGTGTAAACCAGATTGGCCGAGAGGTTTAATTGTGATAACAAGGCCAATTTCATTTATATTATTTTCATAATTTTGTGTATAATCGACTTGTATCAATGGATAGTCGATGGGGGACTTCTCTGAGCTCTGGCAGCCAGTGATATCATCAGTGATGACCAGTGATAAAGTAAAGTTGAGAATTTCTCATAATTTTGTCAAAGGCTTGTGATCATTGTCTTTATGCAAGATTAATGCTGTTAAAAAAAATTTTGTATGAACTTCCCAAATGTTCTATATATTTTACTAAAGATAAGTTTGTTTAATTATTGTTTGTCGTAAGATGCAATTGTGATTCTGTGTAAGGAAAAATACTCGAGATAATGCGAAAGTGCTATTGAGGCGTATCAAATGTATCCGAAGCGTATCAATTGTGACGATTCAAACGAATCTGACTTCAATGAACGCGTCCAAGTAAGCTTATTTTGATGGGGGCCTATTGTTCGTCTGAACAAACCCTTCAGGCTGTTCAATGTAATATAATTTATCTAATTGATAGATCCTAACTGAAGGTTGGCCAAATCAGTGAGAATGCGTCTCGTATTGGACAAGTTGGTGCTGTTATGGGTCGAACTTAAGTATTTGGGTAAACAAACACCAGATTTCTAAGATCAATAGGAAGACTGGTATATATTATGATCGTGTACATAGCTGCGTCAAATCTTACAATATTCTCTGTCGACTGGCTTTAATAAAAATACCAAAGTTTAACCCTTATGTTGTACTACTGTATTTTTGCTGATAGCAACGCGCAGATAAAGGGTGACAAACACATTCCCGCTTCCCCTCCCTCTGCGTATCGTTGCACCTCAATTTCTACCTAAAACCCCCTCTCCAAGCCAATTGATTCTTAACAAGATTAAATGTTTATGGCTTATTGGTTAGCGCGTTGAATTATAGGCTCAATTCCCGCCTTTTCTCGTTTCCAGTCTTCGATCCTTCCAAGAAGAAACCCTCTCTTCGAGGAAGAGCGCGGGCGCTTCTCCGAACAGAGGGTGGTAATCGAGCCTAATTGGATTCCGGTTCATGCATGCTACGCTTTCAAGGCAGCTCATTTGTTACACAAAAATACTTTTTGTTAAGCTCTGGTTGCATTGTCAAACAGCACTCGCTTGGGGGCTTGCCAACACCAATTTAGGATGTGCACGAGTTGGCATTCTCTAATCTTCTTCCACCAGCCAGCGCACTGAATACTGTATTTAATCTCACTGAGAATGTTAAGCCAAAAGTCGAACCAGATGAAGCGAAGGAACGCTATCAACAGCAAATGCGCGGGACTTAGGGTGTCACTCATGTGTTCCCTCAAATGTTCCAAGGCCTCAGCTTCACTTTCAGGTTCATTAAGACGAAACGAGCATCCACTGAATGGTGCGAACAAAGCCAACAACCAGCCGCGAGGATTGCGCCTCAGCAGCCTCCAGTAGTCTGGCTTTATTCCACAAAGGCTGCCGATATCATCAATATAGGTGTACCCATCCACCAAGGTAACCAATCTTCGGGATGAGTCTCTGAAGAAGTCGTCCCAGAATTCCTTGTCCTTAGTAGCCTCCTGGTAACGTTGGTCTCTCGATGGAAGGCGACACTTTCCCGAGAACACTTTTCCGACGAAACGCGACTGAATCTCCGTTATTCCCGAGATCGAGCCGACTACAGGACGAACGTAGCCAACAAATGCCAATGTTGGGTCTTCAATGTTAAAGATGTATTTGTAGTTATCCACGAGAGAAACGTTTCGGAATTCTTCCGGAAGGAGGGGGAATTCTGTTCTATACCCTGTGCATTGGATAATTACATCAACAACTTCTTCAGTACCGTCATTAAAGGTGATTCTGTTTCCTTTAATTCTCTTAATGGCTCCCTTAGGAATGCAACGTTGGTAATCCACTTTATCCAACACGTGCCCATTTTTGTTGATGAAGAAGCGAAAGAATTTAGCATCATTTTTCCACTCAGCAATACCATGGCCTTGATAGGCAAGAAGAGAACCGTTTGCGGTCCATTTGCAGATCCATGCCAAACCTACGAAAGAGACGAGAAATGGGAGGTTTTAAAATATACATCAAATACTTAATGCATCAACGGCTGAGGAAAAGATCAGCATCGTAAGAGTGCGGATAAAATTATGTCGAATCGCAAATGATCAGTGATTTCCTGCGTCCTTAAACCACTGTAAAAAAAGTCTTGCCTTCGCGAGGTCGCCTATACTCATCGCACGTACGCCCGCTTTCATGCAACGTCAATGAACGAAAAAAAATTGGAAAAAGGCAAAAAAAAAGGCAATAGAGTTCGGAGCGCTTATTCTAAATAAGTTGTTTAAAAGATAAAGATAAGTTACCTCACATTAGTATATACTAGAACAGTGGATAGCGTTAAAGGCGTGTTCTGATTGGCAACTCAAACTCTGAATATCTTTTGCCATTCGCCGCCGAACAACTAGCGCGGGATTTGCGCCTGAAAATATTGCAGTCGTTGCAGGAATGAATGGGTTAAAATCATCTTTTTGCGCAATATTATCTCACTGTTTTAGTATCTACTTAAAGCAACTATTCACCTTTTGGCTAACGATGGATATTTACCTACGGTGAGTAGTTGTTAGTTATTCATCGAATCAATCATCAATCAATCAATTAACTGATTGATATAATCGATGATCGATCCATCAGTTTTTCTAACCTGGTTTACTCCTCGTGAAGGGAGCAATAAACTTCATAACTCTAGAAGAGGCTTTGTCCAGTGCCTGAGGATGACGATGAGGAAGAATTTTTGCAAACTTCCGGAAGAAATGCATCCCACGTGGTATACACCAAATTAGGCGTGAAACGTGATCGTACCATTCCTCGACAACATCACTTGCTGTTTCTCCACCACCAATCAGCATTACGCGTTTATTAGCATGTTCGAGAATAAACGTCTTGAACTCGGAGCTATGGCGAATTTCTCCGACAAAGTCTTTAAGTAACGAATGCTGAAGATCGCGGTTGGGCTTCTGAACGCTTCCCGTACACACAATCAGAAACTTGCTCGTGTACTGTCGGCCGTTCTCGCACTTCACTCGCCAAAGTTCGCCGTCTTTCGTTATTTTCGTCACGCAATGATCAAGGCGAATATGCAGCCATAAATGAAAAGTATCACAGTACGACCTCAAATACTTGAGTACATCCTCGTGCTTTGGAAATTGGCCAATCTCCTCGGGCATCGGAAAGTCGGACATCTCAGTTACGGACGAAGAGGAAGTGGTTTTCGTGTTCCTCATGACGGTAATCACATCTGAATCTTCAGTGTAGCACCACAGCCCGCCCACGTCAGAGCGCTTCTCTAATGCCATTACAGTTAAACCTTCCTCTAACATGCATTTACAAGCCAAAAGACCCGACCAGCCTGCCCCTACCACGATCACATCCCTAAACACAATCCTTGATTTTGCCATGGTGTTATATGGATGAGTCGACTGTGAAAAATGAAAAAAATAAGACAAATCAGCCAATAGATAAGGTTTGAAAATAAGAAGATATGAAGCACTTATAACCTGTAAGGAGCGTTTTCTTTCGATTTCCAAATCAGTAAACGTGTATAGTCCCCAATGTAAATATTAACTCTCAGAATAAAAAAGAACAAATGTAGAAAAAGGTCACATCTTTCAGTTTTTTAAAGAAATATTCATGGATCTATGTTTACAGTTCATTTTCATTTTTATTCTTCTTCGCTTTCATCTGAAAATGTAAAAATGTTCATGAGTTATTATTTACATGTACTGAAAACGGAGGCAACATAAGCTGAGATGATGATGTAAATTGGCCTCTTTAAAGAGTTTTCAAAGCTGACGTCTCGAGCTTCAATACATCGTCAGACGTCGCAGGACTGTTACATGATGATGAAATTATACTGTCTTTTGCTCGCCTCTCATACTGTCAGTTCGATTGCTATTTTTGAAAGACTTTGAAATTTTTCGAGTTTCACAGAATCATTTACCTGGATGCATTTATGGTGAAAATGCCAGCTTCATATTTATGCTTACCGCCCTTGTCATCAATGCGTAATCATTTTCAAAAAAATGCAATAGTTTTTTCGGAAATTATATAGACTCCACGGAAAACTGTTCTTGTCCCTTGTCAGTACGTAACCTCGAATTCTTCCCTTTTGTACAGCTTACGGAAAAAGGATATGCAAACATAAAAAAAAATTTCGAAAAGTGATCTTTTCCTTCGCGAAACGAGTGCTTTCGTATCAAGATTAAGTTAATATAAGATGGCTTTAATGGTTCATTACCTACTAAATCATTCAAGTCTTTGATGGATCGATACTACTGCAATTCTTTTTTCTTTCGTGAAAGACGTTATCAAATGATACCCATTTATTTCTCAACGAGATGTCATTATTTTTTTTTCAGTTAATGTTTATATGACAACGTGACAACTTTGTACACTAGTAACTTATAGCCAGCCTACTTCTTCGATAATTTAAAAGTGGCCCCGAACTTGAAAGTGTTTGCCATCCCAAATCATTTTCTAAATGCTCAGCGTTCGAAAGCTTAAGTGCCTCGCTTTTTGCGATTTATTGCAGGCATTTTGATCGCATCATGCTATTTCCGCAAGTGCCAAGGTTACGGAAGCTTCAACGGAGGATACTGTGATCCAGCGGTGAAATTAAAGTTACAACATTTCAATTAAGCCGAGTGTCGTTTCTCAGGGGACAGTTCTTTATACACAGTTACAGAAAAATTGGCGAACGAACTGGCTCCTTTCAACACTGAACGTTTATTGAGCTCTTGAAGCTAAAGGAATGTCCTGTATAAATCGTGGCTTTCCCATCATTAGAAGTCGGTTCCACTGCGATAGATATACAGCTCTAAAAATTTCGCGTTTTTTATGCATAATTTTTTAAAGCTGATTGAACACTCAGAAATAAATTCTTTTTTTTTTTTTAATATTCAACGGTGTGGCTCGGTCTTGGTCTCAGTCCAAAGGCCCTTTCATGGATTATGTTGCCTTCTGCGACCTCTCTCTACCTCACTGGTTATAATATAGCAACAGTTTTTAGGGGGCGAAGCTAAAATAGGGGTGAGGGTACTCCGCCAAAACAAGTAATGCCCGACACAAACTGTAACAAAAACGCAAAATGCGATAACTTTTGACGCAAAACATAATTACACTTTAGAATTTCTGAAATTTTCATGAACACATCACGTTAGAAACTTTCAACAACGGAAAAGATAAACCATTTCATGTCTAGAACGTTATCTCCAGAATCTTTCCATTTATTTCTTGAAACAGTCTCATGGATTTGCCAGAGCAGAGTGTTTATTTTATCATATAATCTCAACCCTACATTACTTTTGGCCCCGTTTTTTTTCGTGATCATTGGTCGAAAGGCATCATGCGACCGGATATGCCACAGTTAAAACTGGGATATATCCGGTGATATACCCCAAGTAATATTCACCAATTTTCAAACCCAACGTCCTGGTTTTTGTCACTGCTTCCCGGTGCTAAACACCCGCCTCTGCGGCTGAGGGCTTCAGGCCGGATAATTCGAATTGGCACGTGGATGTTTTAATCGAATAGTTGAAATCTTCTCATAGTTGAGTTATTTATTACTGTGTCGTCTAGTTTTATGGATATGTGCTAGTCTCATTGAATGGAATACAGCGGACAAAGAGAGAGTTCGAAAATATGGCGTCTTGGTAGTAAAGTTAAGAATTATAGCAATATTGGAACTGATCTATTAGTCGGCCATTGAGCAGTCTAACAGTCACCTAATAGGCTATTTAATTCAGCGTTAGCGGTCCAGCCAGCCAGTTAGCTGGTCAGCTGGTGAGTTAACTTTACCTAACTAGCCCACCGCTCACCAATCAGTCCAGTGTCAGCCAGTCAGCCAGGCCAAAGGTTTGCCAGTCAGTCAGTCACCTTGTTAGATTGCTGGCTGTCTGGCTGCTGTCTGACTGCTGTCTGGCTGCTAGAGAGAAATCGAGTAAGTTATGTAGCCTGTGAGTCAGTCAGTCAGCTAGCCAATCAGCCATTTAATCAGCCAATTACACAGGTGGATCACCAGCCATCTCACCAGTCAGCTAGGCTTCCATTCAGTCTGTAAGCCTAATAGACTTTCAGCAAGTTAGTCTATTTCTTAGCGAGTCAGTTGGCACCACAGGCATCAGTTAGCTAAGACAAGCAGACGGATCACAAAGCAAATCAAACAAGGGCACAAGTTTTTCTTTATTTCGCTGGCTAATATGGAAGGATGATAACAGCATACCCACTCCTCTTATAAACACAAACATCAGCATGATTGAGTCGCATAGTACACCCAGAACTCAACCTTTAATCTGCATCAATTCTATGCCGACTGCTTTCAATTTATACATTCATCTCTAAAGCAAGTTAACCTGTGTACCTTTACCAACTTGACGAAATCTTTCTTCTAAAGCTTTGTCGAACAATTTTATAATACAGTATGGCGACGCCTCGTGTACAACAATCCACTTAGAATTGTACGCGCAATGCTTCTCTTCACTGTACGTTATGAATCCTGAATGATTGCTGGGGATCACGCCAATTCTTTCCGCCAACATTCCCATGTACACATCCTCGAGTTTCAAAGGTTTCTTCACGTCAAATATCTCTACAAATCGGCTGACAAGGTCTTTTGATAACACATAGCCAGGACCGAGACAGAATTTTGGAAGAAAATTGCTTTGGTATTCCTGGAGGGATAAAGCCCATTTTCCTCTTCGTCTCGTTTTCTGTCGTTGTGCGACATTTCCTAGATATAACTGTCTTTTGGGAGTCTGTGGTCTCCTTAAATAATCTACCAGTTTGTAAGGGTTCACGAAAACGTCGTCATCTGTTTTTAAAAGGAAATCAAAGTCACAATATTTTACTGCCCATTCTAAGCCCATTTCTGTTTTTAAGGTTAAATTGGAGTACGAATCTGTTTGGAGACCTTGGATGAGGTCACCATAAATGACTGCCTCCTCAATCAAGTATTTCGCTTCCATTGGATGTTTTGCTTGCCCCAATAAAAACATGGTTTTCCAAGTTTTGTCCATGGCATAATCTGTCCCCCAAGTTTGACGAATCACTCGTCGCTGTTGGAAGTTTAACGGACTGGAAAGAACCAGGATCAAAAGCGGAAATTTCTGAGGGCATCTTGCACTAGTTTTCAAATATGTCCGGTGTATGGTTGGTTGCTGTTTAGTTGTAGAAATCCATGAGCATATATTAATTGTAACGATACCCGCAAAACCAGTAATCAGTAACAAAAACACGATCCTCCTTCCTTTCGAAACTTTGACAAATTTCATCTTTTATAACAAACGTCTCTCACTCTTTTCCTTCCCCTGTTCAGTTCTGTAAATAATATCAAACAATTGAGAGAGAAAAATATTCTTCGACAAGTTACTCTCTCGTCTCCGACAAGTCATGCTAGCTTTTTACTTTCAAATTTGGCCAGCCTAATTATTAAAAAAACAGTTTCAAGGTCAAGTTGTAACCTTTGAGTAAACAAAATAAAAATAATTTCTCAGCGGGGTTGGCATTTGAATAAACGAATAAAAATTCAAAATAGAAGATTTAGTCACATTCTTGTATAATATTTAATTGCGAACAATTCCAATTGTTTTTTGAAATTCTTTGGTCCGTTTTTTCATGAAGAGATAGAGCGCCAAGCAACATTAATCAACCACGGGCCCCCATTTGTAAATAAAAAAGATAGATTGATATTACTCCACCAATTGAATTCTTCGAGCGAGTTTAATTTGAACAAATTATTTGCAGTATTAGTTGCACAGGTGTATTTGCGATCGGAACGGATAAAGGAAATCTTTTGTATTTTGTGTACAGACGTTGAAATTGAGGAAATTATAGTTGCAAAATAACTGAGGAGAATGCGTAGTTTGTACCAATCTTACAAAATTCATAAACGATTAGACTTTTTATTAGGCTTCGTCGTCTATATCTCTAATGCAGTTTGATTTGCTCGTGGAGGGACTTAAAAAAAACCGCATACTATTTCCAAAGATTAAGGCTTGGAAGCGTAGGTGTTGTCGTCTAGCCTTATTATACTCACCAAATATGGACTGATAACTGTACTTTGCGGCGCCAGTTAAGCTGATTTTCCATCTACCCGACATTACAAGCATTATAATTCGGGATACGTATGTCTGCTCACTTTTCATTGACCACGCTTTAAATATGAACGATGTTTCTTTTCGATATTCGGCAATCTTTGAATTACAAATTTGATACTCCTTTCCTTGAAACAAAAGTTGAGAAACTCTTGCCCGGGATGCATTAGAAAGTTATGCATTGATTTAAAGCTCCAAATAAAATGAAAGATCTTTCTTTTAGTTCTTGGGATGAACTGGGCTGCAAAAGATTTGCAGGGAACAAGAAGAAAGATAGAATTTGCTAGCATACCTTCAGTCGGAAGACAGATTTATAACTAGCGTTATACGAAATTCCATGGTGACTGATTTAAAAGGTGCAGTTAGTGGGAACTTACAAAGATGAAAGTATTGACTGAGAATATGGTATTTTGATCCCGAATTGTTGAATAAAATCTTGTAATGAAATTAGTGTAGTTTACTCTGTATGCTCCACTTGTCACCAATGTATCGGATCGATCAGGGTTTTAATAACTGGGGTGTGAAAATGTATCCAGTTTTGTCACCAATTTTTTTTTTCGTTTTTCGTTCAGGATCGATTTTTTCAGGGTTTTAATAACTGGGGCTAGTTAAGTTATTTGGATCTTCAAGAAATTGCTCCCAACTGCACATGGATTATGCAGTGATTCATCGTAAGGTGTCTTGTCAATTCTTTTGCTTTTATTATGAAACGGTCAGTTGAAGTACTGAAGTAAATATGCGATTATTTTCTTGTTCGCATGATTTACGTCAATTTTGACACTTGAGTTCATTTTTTTTCAGTGTACGAAAGACGTTGTCAAGATACGTAGGAAACGAGAGAAACTGCTTCATTACATGTTTTCAAGAGAAAATAATGGGACTTTTTTTTTTCTCTTGGCGTTTCCTAGGTGCCACTCAGGAGGGCAGTGTAAGGATACTTCTAAGTGATGTTTTATTTTGTAGAGCCACCTGCTATGGTGCTCTGGTTTAGAAATTGGCATGTAAAATTTGCATGGGAAATTGATATCGTTGTAGAAGAGTTCTCAGTGACATGCTAGACTACGTCGTGTTTTTAAGTATTTGCTTTAATTCTATTACTTAAGAATATCAATCGCTGGTATCTTCGTTTTCAGCGTACATCTGCACAGGACGGTTAACTCGTTAGTGTCAATTCACCATCTTTTGCTGCCTCTTTTGTCGAATATTGTCATGTCCATTCCTTCAAATATCGAGTTGATATCTGCGTCTCTTGTCACCATGTAATTTCCTCTTCGACCTGGAAATAAACAAGAACACTTTGAATTAAAAAGTAAGTCTAAAGTTACTAATTAATCAATTTGCATAAACATTTTTAAGGAGTTGCAATTCAGACAAACCTGGCGAAGTCCCTCAGCAAAGATCGTTTCTTTTATTTTTCAATATAATTGGGAAGTTCATTGTCGGTTTTCAAAGACTTCTCAACAATTTACCACTGAATTACAATTTTTGTTAACTTACAGTTTTCACACAAATAATTCACTTACTTGCCGTTAACTCCGTCAGTCTCCTGAACTCTGTGACTTTAAAGGTAAAATGAAAAAGGCAAGATGTATCAATCTCCTTTTGTTCTATAATTCTAAAATAACACAGTTTAACAAAAGAGAACTTTTGTAACTTTGTCTGTCTTTTGCCAATCCAGGCTTCACTTTTAAACTTATCTGATTGATTCTCTGTTTCGTTCTGTTTCTTTTAATTTTTCCTAAAATCATGAGTGCAATATGCAAGACGCAGTCCTTTTATGTATTATTAGTATTTACCCCACAAGTAAATAGTACTCTTCGTGTGCGCTGATTGGCTAGTTCGAAAGTCAATATCTAGTATTATTTACCTCCGAGCAGCCAAAGAGACACAATCACTCGTCGAGAGTTTAATTCCCGACCATTTTTCGGTATGTTGAAAGAAATAAACTACTTTTTTTGTATCTTTGTGGTATAAAATAAAACAATTATCCACCTTGGTGTCGTTGAAAGTGTTGGATATTTACTTCCACTTCGGTGAGTAATTGTTAATTAAATGTGAGAATTAAAATTAAATTTTTGCCTTTAGTTCTGCACTAGTGCCAACTGCCTTTAGGATTACCCGCTCTAGAAACAAATTTTCTTGGGTGCAACAGATACATTTGGGTATGATGAAAAGTTAACAAAATGAAAAAATTGAAGTTCGCTTTCCTATCTTTTTCCCCGTCTTGTTTTATAAAAATGTGTGAGGGAGGGATGCCAAGCAAATTATCACACGTTTTCCCCTGTAGCACAAAAGTTATGCTGCCCACTGTTCCTTAAAACTCTGAAAGTAAAGGGGACTTGAATCAAGTTGAAAAATAGTGCAAAACTAAGACAATATTTTAGGATCAAAATAGATCGAAGGAACAAAATTAATAGAATCGATTTTAGCTATCACTCTTGGGAAAAAAAAGAGTGCTGTCAACTTAAGTATATGGAAAGATGTCCTAACGTAAGTCAGAGCTTTTAAACGCCGGACATGGCTCGTGTATTGTCACACGGAGAAGGTTTACCTGTGTCTAGATTACCACCGTTCTCTCTTTTGAACTCCCTGATCTGTTTGATATGTTTTCTTCGTAAAGCAAGATACCTTCGTCGAAAGGATGCATGAAACTCGGCGATATCTTGTTTTAGCTGCTCTATTAATTCTTGACGAGTTATTGGTGATTTTCCTGACCCGTCGATTACCACTATGTCTTCGGCTGACAAGGAAATGACATGAAATTAAAATCACTGGGGACTGGAGACCATCACCACTGCTTTTCCATCCTTATTTGGGAACCAATCAATAGTATCCCCCTCGCAGGGGAGTGTCAGGGGATTTTTTTGCAGGTGGGGTAAATCACAGCCAAAGTACACGAACACCTCCTCTTTGTCAACAACAGTGATAATTTAAAATGACAAACCGCTTTTCATATTTCCAAAGGCCAAAGAAAGACTGATGGAATCATATTTACCTCCCAGAAATGAGGTACTAAAGAGAAAAATATATTATGACACCGCAGATTCCAAGAAACTTGTGGTGCGATTGAAGGAGAGTAATCTTTTCTCATGTTACGACAAAATAAATCGCGGAGAATAAAATCGGTGTAGTTTCATCATCTTATACCTGACTCAGAAGACTTTGGTGATAGCGTCCTCTTGTAGAAGCAATAATGCCACAAGAGACCACATAGGGTGAAGACACCTAAGGATGCACCGAGGATGATGACTGTATTGACATACACGTAGGACTCTTCCGTCAGCAACTCTGAAGATGTCTTTACGGCGAAAGGAACATCACCTGCCTGTAAAATGGAACGAAAAGTTGAAGTTGTTTGTCAATGGTTTAGCTGTGCTGTTACTGGTCTGGCAAGTTATCATGGGCTACCACTTCTCCCACACACAGCTAGCTTGCGGAAAAGACGTCTTTTTTTGCGTTTATTAGGCGCGTGAAGGCGAGGGCGCGGCGATTGCTAGCCAGGAGAAGTCAAGGAAAAATTATGCGCAAGAGGAAGAGTTTCTCCAATCCTCCTCATGTCCGCTTCGCGCTTGCCTCCACCCGCTTTAAAATGACTACACAAGTGCAAGACTGTGTATGACTGATGAGTTAAATATGAAATAACTAAAGAATTTTATCAAGCCAAAGTTGTTCCTGTCCTGATTACCCTCACCTCAATTGATCCAACGTTTTTCTGTATAATTCTATGAATGCTGTCTGTTTCCGATCTCACGTAGCGCCGAAAACAGCGCGCCAATCTAGTGGCATCTCCGGTCAGTACCAGGCCATTAGCAGATTCGTATCTGACGGGTATAATCTCTATCACTCGGATCCAGTCCTTGCTGAACAACTTGCTCTCACTCGCTGTCGAGTACGAATCCAAAAGTGCTGCATGCACCCGGTTATTTTCAAGGTCGTCATAAATATCATACAAGTTCCCGTATGATCGGTCTGAAAGAAGAAAAGTAAGTCGTTGTGACTTAAAATAGGATTATTTACACGTTCTCACACTATCTTTAAGTATTTTCCCTCTTGGATGGGATGCACGTCCATTCCAGAATGCATGCGAGAATTTGATTCTTGACAGTTTGTTGGTACCCACACATACCTGATAACATGGAAAGAGTATGAACTCAGAACCTTCGACCCAAAGTCCAGAAAACCAATCACAAGGTCAAGGGTCACAAGGTCACGGGGTCTCTCCCTAAAGCCACCTTTTACACTTCCATTGTCACTCTAAGTTTTTGAGCGAGAGCTGGTCTTGATGAATGTATCATAGATTAAGTTACTTTAACATCTGCATGCAATCACAAATAGTTAAACTTATACGCAAATCAGTAGAAGTAAACCTGAACATTTTACATAACGACTTTGAGTCGCTGAGTCTGAGTTTTTTTTTGGGAGGGTGAGTTTTTTTTAAAGCTAACTTATCATTTGGTAATATACTCTATGAGTATCAGTCTTGTATTCAAGCTAATGGCCATTTATCGTGTGACGTCATGGATGCCGCTAAATCAAATTCGTTGGAAATATTACTTGAGCCAAAAGTTACGGCAGGAAAGTGGCTAAACTGCCTAAACTGTTTTTTCTTTCACAAACTCAGTTAACAATATTGATATCGGTGCTGCAGGAGTTATTCCACATTGGTCTAACTTTACTCACCTGTGTCTAATATGGCATTTCGTCTGAGTCCCAGCTTGTATTCAGTGGAGTTAGAAATAGCGGCCAACTGAACAGATAAAAGAAAACAACTTTAGAGACGTGGGTTATTCGGGTGGTTAAAAATCATTTACAGCAGCCGCTTTTCGCCTAGTCCTGTCTTTAAAGCGGAGCTCCATGTGCGCAGCACATTAGCGCAGCCCCATAAATAAAGGAATATGGTAATCCATTGAGCAAGAACATTTTCTTGACGTTAGAAAGAATGACTCGCGCTAAAAGGTTAGGTCTTACTAGCCAAGTGGCTCATCAGCCGCGGAATTCATCCCAGTCTCAGTATCTTAGGGTAATTAGAAGTATTGCCATTCTTTCTGGAATGGAAGCTTTCCCAAATATAGGTAACTCAGTCTCCTCTCTCCTCCTCTGAGCTGACTGATACTAGCTAATCTTTTTTTTTTTTTTTTGTTGGAAAAGGCATTATGAAAAAAACATTCCCTGCGTAAGAATACCTCACGATGACTTGGATTAGAACGCAGAACAAAGCGCTGGTCTAAATTGGGTGTAACGGATCTCCTATCTCTCTGTTTTAAGTATATCTGGTTGATGTGGCCTTAACAATGGCTGATTAAACCGATCTGTGAGTAGTATTGACTCTGACAATGTGAGAAGACTACATCGTCGCCTGCTGAAAACTGCTGATGTGCCTTTTTGAAGCGCGCTGTTCTGAGCGCTAGAAGCTGGTTAACACGATGACAATCAAAGTCTTAACAACATTGTAACACTTTGCCTCTACCAGGTGTCAACTGGAAGTCTCAAGCTTGAAAAACACGCAATTGATTAAACTCCAAATATCTTATTACAAAGGTCATAACGTTCCACGTAACTGTAGTAATGTTGTTTTTTTTCCACGTTACTGAGATCTCTATTCATAACATACTCTTTCGAAGTTTAAAATTTAAAGATGTTACGTTCGGCTTGTCCAGCGCTCCTACCTTTGTTCCATATAGCATCTTTTCTGAACGGAACACCATACTCATTAAAGAAGCTGTAATGCTGCTTGTAACAACAGCCATTGTGGCGATACCAGTCCAAGTCCACAAAAAGGCAAATGACCGCGCGGGAATGGACTTTGGAATTCGATCACCGTACCTAAAAGAAAACCATCACCACGAAAACAAAATTTTGATACACTTTCGTTCACTCTCAGCACATAAATGTTTTAACAATTTAAAGACAGATATGGTAAGTGTTAGCTTTCTGAAATAACTCAATTTCTTTGATAACGCAAGACAGCCAGGTTTTTGAGGCAAACAAACATAAACTAATATCCAAAGATAATGTATTTGATAGTAGGTAACAGGTAGGTAACATTCTATTTGTTCAAAGCAGCATTTTTGTCTGAGGGACGCAATTGGCAGAAACTAACAACCTTTGACGTAGCGGTCATTTCTTTTTTGTCTCTAGCTACATTGACGGGCCTTGAGATCCAATGTCGAATATTACATAATTGAAGTAGTATTCACTTTGAAGGATTATAGAACTATTACGAATCAAACCTTGAGGAAAACAATAATCAAGGGGTAAGTTTCTAAAGAAACTGTGCTGCTACGTCGGTGGGGGAGTATAGAAAGGTAATTCAGTATTATCAACTGAGTTGATAATGTAAATTTGCCACCGTAAAGAGTTTCAAATCTGACGTTTCGAGCCACTCTTTACGGTGGCCAATTTAAATTATCAACTCAGTTAATAATACCAAATCAACTTCTTAAGGAAGTTATTTCATGGAAAATATTTACTTTGCCCTTCGATAACACTCGCACCGAGGTAGAGCTTCCCCTGCTTAGTCCTCTTGTGTATGTGGACAGTGTATGTGGATGCGTTCATTAATAATGCGAGTAACAAACTGATATCAGGAGCACACTTTGAGTCAACTATTACAAGCTGAAAGTGCTTACCCAACTGTTGTCATAGTAACAAACGACCACCAGAATCCTTCCAGTGATCCCGCTAAGAAAGATTTGGGGAAGTCAACATGATTCCAGTTCATGTCCTGCACAAAAACAAGAGCGCCGTCAGAAGATAATTTGACCTCCTTGTACAGGGTACCGTTTTACGCACCGCCCACCAGGAAAGTTTGTGTATATGGGAGGAGAAGTCTCAAGCTAACTTATTTGTATCTATATTCTTTTTGGTGAAATCTCCTTCACTTAAGCATTTGGAACTTTTTCTGCCTTGAGGTTTCTTTTTTGGAGGAGCCTCTCACAGTAGATTATTGTCTTTTAGCGCAGTTTCCGATTCCAGGAATTTTATTGGGTACTAAGCTAACCCCTCTTTCCCCAGACGATCTGCTTTTTATTTGATTCATATGAGTAACTTACCAAAGCCCACACCACGATTCCAGCGAGGTATGTCATAAAACAGGCGATAACTACAGCAGGCCAGCAGCTGAGGATCGCGAGTAGGACTTCCTTGTGAATATCTCTGCACAGAACACACAGGAATATGTATACTATATTTAAAGCTACTACAAGATGTAAATCATTTAAAACAGTTGCAATGTCGTGATAGACTACAATGATATTTCAAACTATTTTAAATTTACTAATTTTATGTCATTCTTTAACGAAACGACAGCTCGTCTCTATTTCGGTCCGGAGTTGTTGTATTTGCCGGTAGATGTTGTGTATGAAGGCATTTCAAGTAAGGAGATGAGTCGACAAAAAGTCGTGGGGAGAAACTAGCGATGGGTGCTCTGCAATGACACAGCAACGAATTTTGAAATAACGACGACAGAAGCAGGGGGAAAATGTAAGTTATCATTTGACGCCGAGTTAGTGGCGTTGATAAATGAAAATAAGATGATCTTAGCATAGATGATGTCAATGTACATCAATTTTCATGAAAAACCCCTGTTAGTTCCGAAACTGGATCGGGCAGAGAAGAGAGTTCATTATGAAATGAATATTTTCAGTGGTAGTCTATTGACGTTCTGATGTCAGCCAGTGATATTCGAGAATTTCTCACAGGCCTGGCCCACCTTCTTTCAGCAATGATAAACGCCACGCCTGGTGTCTCCATAATTGGTATATACTCGGCATTGCCATCCGGACTATGGTAGATCTCCTGTGGCATCACTCCAGCAATCCCAAAAGAAATCATCGTCTTGGTGCTGATAGCGTCCTTGACCTCTATGACGCCATACTTCTTGGCCTCTAACCCGTCCGCATCAGTGGTGAAGTCAACTGTCGTGGAACCAAACTCAGCGCAGGTTTGGCAGCAGTGAGTTACTATTTGCTCCAAGATGGTTGGTATAATGCCACTATCCTTACTGCTGTTGCTGTTAGGTTGAGAGCTTACGTATGGAGGATTGTTCCACCAGTTTGTTGGAATGGAAGAGCGACATCTGCAGGTTCCTGGAAGAGAGACAAAGGTTTAATCACAGCCTCACTGCATCTTTCCATCTTTCCATTTGCTGAAGTTGAGTGCAGGGTCGGTGGAAAGACTATTGTTACAGTTGTTTGTGTCGTTTTTAAAAAACGACACGCCTCCTCAACCTGAGACTAAGATGTGGTTAGTTAAAACGGCTTACAACTTGGATAAAAATTATGAAATTACTGTTTGTAACCTTGCGTCAAAGTAGGACCAGGTGGTGGAGTAACATGGAGGTGATAAAATCTCATAGGCGAGCTAGGAAATAACTTCAGTTACAGAATAGCATTAGACGACTAGAAGCAAAGCTTCTGCCCCCCTGGGTAAGATTCCAGTCCATTTCAGTCCACCTTCAGGATTAAACCCCCATGATTAACCCCCAGGGTTAAACCCCCATGATTAACCCCCAGGGTTAAACCCTCAGGGTTAAACCCCCAGGATTAGACTCCCAGGATTAAACCCCCTGGGTTTAGCCCCCAGGATTAAGCCAGGTTTCCCAACGGTTCGCCAATTCCCATCTATACTCACATATAGAAAAAGCAGTGTTGGGTTAGCATCCTCAAAGAAGATCAAGGCTGCAACCTGGAACCCTCGATCTAAAAACGAACGCCCTTACTATTTGGCTACCGCGAAACTCACTTAAAGTTACAAATAGAAACAAATGATACTAACTTGTGGTTATGTCTTTAGTGGGTCCATGTCCTTTGCTAGTAAAAGCTGCGATTTTTATGTCATATTTAGCGTAGCTCTCTAGATCAATAAGTACGTCGTCGTTCGAAGACGCTGATAATTGCTTCTTGACGTAGTCTCTTGGAAAAACTGGTGTTTTATCATTAATGCCAAGTCTAATGATGCTATACCATATAAAGTAGCCACGAAGAATACCGTGTAGGGAGGGCATGGGTGGACTTTGCCATGACACGTAGATTTTTGTGGCGCTCGCCTCATCCCTGGCGTAAACATTTTGTGGAGTCTCGCTTGGAACTGAAATAATTTTTACTGGGTTTACTGAGACGTAATCCACCTGTAACATGTAACACGGGGGAGGAGGGGGGGTAAGGTGAGATAGGGCCTGATATATTCCCAACCTATCATTATGAGAGTTTCTGTTTTTTTTAACATGCGAGCGCAACTGGTTCTTAGGGAAAGGATGTTCTTACGGGTGAAGGAAAATTTAAATTCTAAGTTCCCATCGAGGATACAAAACTCACGAAACTATTCTTCCTCACTTTAAAACTGCTAAGGCTGATCTGAAGTAAACTAAGAACCAGTTTCTTGACCATAAGCCTACTGCGTCACAACTACGGTATTACAAAAGGAGAAACTTTGTATAGCCCTGGATTAAAAAAATTAAGAATGGTAAGTTAATGACGATTGTAGCCAAATTAAAATATCTCACTGATACTCACTGTCTTCGTCTGTTGAAACTTTGATCGTTGGAGACTGAGCACCATCTCCTTTTATGGTGAATGCAAGGACCATTATGCTGTAGTTAGTAAATTTCTTTAGATCTTTTATTTCTATGTTTCTGACCCTGGGAGGAACAGTGATCTTTGTATACGGTGCTGAAGGCTTGTTCGTTTCTTTATATAGTACTCGGTAACCTCGTAATATGCCGTGAACAAATCCTGTTGGTACTGGGTTCCACGTGATATTTAGAGCTGTTGAACTGATATTGTTTGCCCAGAGATTTTGAGGAGGACGACTGGGAACTAAGGAAAGAGGCAATTTCATTTCAGGTGAGTGTATTGACACAAAGAGCAAAGTAATAAATCAATAAGCCAATCAAAGTAGAGTAAGTATTAAATAGCATATAGGAATATGAAGTCAAACATTCAAACTGCATGGAGCTCGAGAACATGAAAATGTCACTTGGCGTTGACCAAAGTGCAACATTCTTTGGGTATTATTTCACACAATGAATTTTGTTTAATTTATCTTTAGTGTTCCACGATTAATGTATGACTTAAACGCCATTGGTTCTAGCAAGGGAATATCAACTGAGAGAACTTATTCCACATAAATACCTCTTTTCCGATGATATTTTTTTAAAATCTAATTTTAGAGCGCATTCCTGTTCCTGATATTTTGGTTCTTGTTAATACTTTGTTATCATGTAACATTGACCCATTTTATAGCCGGCTCTTTCTTTGCGTGTAAAATATCATTTAATCAGTTTGCATCATACAAGAGAATATAAAGTTCATATTCTCTTGCATCAGATTGTTTTTGAAGCAGCTGTTAAACCAGTTTACACTTTTGATGTATTTCAAAATAAAGTACGTGTGCTTTAATCTAAATAATAACACCTAATATACGGGAACATCGACGTAAAAGCACGGAAACGACCTTGCTGTAGAAATTGTGAACTTTTTCATACCATCTTCATCAGTAGAAACAATGAATGGCGGTGACTTCGTTCCGTCTCCAATCCTGGTATAGGCAGCCAATTGTATCGTGTAGTTAGTAAACTTTTTCAACATCGTTAGTTCCTTGGACAGTTTGTTGGCAGACACAATGGTGTAAGGAACACTTATAGGTTGGTGTTGGGTTATACTGTAGACTACTCTGTAACCCAGTAATATACCGTGAACAAATCCGGTGGGAACCTCCAGCCACGTCACGTTCACACTTGTAGAGCTTGTGTTGAATGAGTGGACATTTTGAGGAGGAGAGCTGGGGACTGGCACAAACACAGTGGCGTGAAGGGGGGTAGCAAAGAGACATTCCTATCTCCCCGATGTAAACCCCCACCGTTTATTATCTTGGCTCTACACTCTACCAAGCTTCTTTATTTAACTTTCTCTAAATTGTTTCTTACACAACAGCCCTTTCAGGAAAAGGCCATAAAAATGTGTTATCCACATAAAGGCATAATTATTACGTTTTCATCGTTGGAATGAAGCAGTTTAATGGCTTACAGAGCACGTGTAATAACTTTACGACAGCCCTGTACGAGGGAATTAAGAGCAATTTTAGGTTAGGCGAGTAGAAAGCAGGCTTTGTCCGCAACACACCCACGCCTAAACTATTGTTTAGATTTTTCGAAAATTTTGCATATTGGATGGAAGCAGAGGCTTAAGTTATATGCTTCTCAAACATTGTGTAAATGCTTGAAAGATGAACTCGAATCTTACCATCTTCATCTGTCATAACAGAAATGTTATTGGAAACTTCTCCGTCGCCCTTTATTGTGAAAGCCAACACTTTCACTGAATATTCCGTGAACTTTTTCAAGCCTGTGATGTGAAGTTTACGCTCGGTTGGCCCTGTGGTGGAGTTAAGATAGTAGCTTTCCTCATCATCAGTCCTCCTGTGGAAGACTCGGTACCCCCGGAGAATTCCATGAATAAATCCCTTTGGTACCTCACCCCAGGTCATCAGAAGGCTGGTAGAGCTGGTATTGTGCGCTGTCACTTTAGATGGGGGTAGACTGGGTACTGAAATATATAGAAGACACAAGAAGATTTGCTTTTCTTCGGTGTTACATAAACAGCTGTCCTGTGAGGATTTGATCTGACCAAATTTGGTTATGACCATTTACAGTTTTTCATGTAATGAAATCAATACATTAATTGCAAATTATGTACGTATAATTAGTCATCATTATGTATGTCACTAATCAGATACTGTTAGCATTGGCTGAATGGAATAAACACAAGATTATATACAGTTCAGTCTGATTGATCTCTCCGAAATTTCATTGCTCAGGTATTCTACAAATGAATAAAGGAGTAAGTTTCTAAAGAAACTGTGGTGCTGCGTCGGTGGGAGAGTATAGCAGGTAATTTAGTGTTAACAACTGGGTTGAAAACGTAAATTAACCACCGTAAAGAGTAAAAAAAGCTGACGTTTCGAGCGTTAGCCCTTCGTCAGAGCGATACTGATACAACCCATTTAAAACTAAATTACCTATTCTACAAATGGTCTAAGTTTAAAAATTAGGGGTTCGTTCATCTTGGGTCATAAGTAAAGGCACATGCGTGAGTCCAAGTGTATGACTGGGAAAAACGCATGGTGCGTGCTAAATGCAATGTATCTAGATTTTCTGTTATTCATTCAGTCTGCACTCCGTCTGTATTGGGGAAGGAACAATGAATAGCACGTACGTATTTTGAACGAACTTTTCAGCTAATTAAATGCTACGTGGGTAAATAAACGATTGATTGATACTGAATAAATGAAAGAGTTAAGTTTTTAAAGAAACTGTGGTGCTACGTCGGTGAGAATATTACAAGACAATTTGTCTTTGTCAACTGAGTTGATAATACAAATTGGCAATCATGAAGAGTTTCTCTTGTAAAGCTGACTTTTTGAGCGTTACTCTTTCCTCAGAGCAAAGCAACAGAGGGCTTGACGTAATCTTCAAAAATATATTTGATGTTATTTTGCTATCCATAACTTACTGTCCTCGTCTGTTGAGACGAATAGTGCAGTAGAGTTGATTCCGTCTCCAATTCTTGTAAATGCTAAGACTGAAATCTCATAGATGGTGAATTTTTCTAATCCTTGCAATTCCTTTGATTTCACATTTGCTGTGACTGAAACAACGCTATGATTCTTTGATCCACTAGCTTCTTTGTACAGAACGCGGTAACCGAGTAGAATGCCGTGGACAAAGCCATGGAGCACCTCATGCCAGCTTACACGGATACTAGTCGAGCTTGTGTTGAAAGAGCTCACGTTTTGAGGTGGAAGACTTGGAACTACAAAATAAAACTTTAACAATTAGACTGAATTTCCATGCAGCCCTGATAGTGATAAAGATTTTCTTGGCTTTAACCACATTGCAGCGGTCTGTTGATTGCTTAGGAAACTTACGACCCCTGAGCCGACTCGGTTGGCTAGTTGGGACTTAAAGAATCAGATAATTTTTGTAAAGAGAGAACACCAAATAGATGCGAACTCACTTGTAGGAGGCTCTAAACCAAAGTCATGTAGTAGTAAAGTAAAATAACAGCTGGGTGGAATCGAAATTTTACAGAATTAGAAATGTGGATTCACCACAAGCATTTAATTTTCGTATTCCAAGGTAAGTTAGATTCATTCTGATGGTATTTATTTTAGAAGAAACTCTCTATCTACTTGCATCAGTGAAAATTCACCCAGGGTGTTATTAACAGAACAAAAATCAAATTTGTAGCCCCAGTTGTTAACACTAGATTACCTTTGTAGCTTAGTGACCGAGGCGAGTGATTGAAAAACTTTTCTCGCGTTTCTTCGACTTCTCAATTTAAATTTTTTTCTCAATAAACTGATAAGCAGTAAAGTCTATTGCTTTCACGAAATACCTTTAAGATGTTTGGGCCTTTTAAAAGCTTACTATGCAATGATGATCGGTTTTGACTAATGAATGCGTGCGAGTATCTACCATGGCTATTTTGTAACAGCATACATACTCTAAACGATATGCGTTTATTTGCCTAAGTTTGTAGATTCATTACCCAATGAGATTTAGAGGATTCTTACCATCCTCATCAGTCGGCACGATGACAGGGTCAGATTTATTTCCATCACCAATGCTAGTAAATGCCAAAACCTTCACAGTGTAATTAGTGAACTTCTCAAGGCCTGTCAACTCAAAGCTTTGATTGCCTGTTGTCACATTGCGGTAAGAACTTTCCTGATCTGTTTTAAACAGCACACGATAACCCCGTAGGATGCCATGCACGAATCCGTTAGGTACAGGTAACCACGTGACCGATAAACTGGTTGAACTGGTGTTTTGAGCTGCAAGTTGTTCGGGTGGTAGACTGGGAACTATAAAATGGAATAAACCAAACTGTTGATGGATTCGAGGGGTGTAAATGTATATCATCGAAAACGAATCACATACTTTTTGCCTTAATGAAGTAATCAAACAAGATCAAAACGGATTTTAAACAACCATTTTCAAATGAATCACACATTATGACTTATTCTAAAACTGTTTCCATGCGGGGGATATGTAACCGCTCATTATGCATGTACAGTTTTAACCTCCAGGCCACCGTTGGTCGAAGGGTGGATAATGCTATCCCCTTGATAAAAATCTATCCAGTGTATAGTGCAGCAAGTTTTTTTGGCATTTATCCGCTGGATAGCGATTTATCCGTCGGATAGCGTTATCCTCCCTTCGAACAACTGGGCCAAGAGTATAATCATAACGCAAATTTATAAACAGAAACCGCTAAACAACCTAACCTAAACAACTTGTGTAAAACAACGAGATTCAGTGTTCTGTTTTGATGAAAATACTGAGAGAGATTGTGTTCTTGAATTCGTCTGTGCATGTAGATACGAAGAACTTATGAACAGAAATGTTATAACATTTTAAATATGGAATATTGTACTAACCGTCCTCATGTGTTCTCTCATAAGTGTAATTTGTTATCGCTCCATTCCCTTTGATTGTAAACGCCAAAACTTTAATATTGTACATCGTAAATTTGTCAAGATTGGTGAGTTGTGCAGAGGTTACCACGCTTGTTATATTTGAGTAACTCTCATTTACATCTCTCTCTCTCTTGTACAACACCATGTATCCCAGAACAATCCCGTGAGTGAATCCCTGTGGAACGGGATTCCAGGTCACCATCAAACTCGTCGAGCTTGTGTTATATGCTGCAAGGTTGGTTGGTGGAAGACTGGGAACTAACGAAAAAAATTATAACCACGAAAAAGGTTTCGCATTAGCTTGAAAAGACTCATAAATGCTTATTGTTCTTGTATCAGTGTTTGGCCTTACTACTAAAACCTTAAACACGTCACTGACACGATATTTATTGTCTCTTTCACCACAGCACCCCCTGGGACTTGAAAAAATGTCCCTGAGGAGTGGTCTTCCATCAAGATAACAACTCCAAAGGTTATACCTTCCTTCTTCAATCAGATAAAGAGGCTTTAAGGTTGTAGGAGAATTTTTTTTTCAGTTTGGACCAACGTTTGCGTGTCTTGAATAAAAAGTTTCAAACTCGAAACTTCCAGAGACAACGATTTGTTCCAAGTGTAGCTGCACAAACTTCAGAGGGCGAGGTATCCTTACTTTTCACAACGTGACTTTTATGAATTGAAACAAACGAGAGTCACGCTAAAGTTGCGTTTCTGGTAAATCTTTTTCATTTGATCCCTTCTCCAAAGTTAGTTTTCCTAGGATCAAACTGATGAACATGTCATGATATAAAATAATACTACAATTTTTTTAAAAGTACTTTTTATACCTTGTCAATGTTTAATGACTTAAATTACTTTTTCTCACCGTCCTGATCTGTCGATACCGTCACATTGGCTTCTGGTCCGTTCCCAACACGAGTAAACGCCGAAACATTTACATCATAAGTTGTGAACTTTTCCAATCTAATGAGTATGGTGAAATTGACCGTCGCGTTCACGCTTTGCTCTAAGGCGTGTATTACCTCGTGTTTCTTGTAAGTCACTTTGTAACCCAACAAAATGCCATTGACTTGACTGACAGGAAGTGGTTCCCAGGCTACTTGAAGGCTTGTCGAGCTTGTGTTATGCGCGCGAAGATTTTTTGGAGCAAGACTGGGCACTTAAATTGAAATATAGGAGACGTGTCAGTTCTGCATAGTGTCAAAAAAAACCTCACATGATGCTGATGGATTTTTCCCATTTGTCCTCTTAATGGCTTTAAATTTGAACGCTAGGCAGAAAATGTGTTCTCTTTCTACTGGGTGGAACATGTTGGCTATACAAAACCCGTATGAAATGTACAGCTTAGTGGAAAATTCGAGTTTCACTTTGGTCTGGTTTAAGTTTGATATCACCTTTTCACCTAATTCCAGCAATTAATGCTTGAAACGATCTTCTTCGAAATGTTGCTAATTACTCCACTGTTATATTTAGAAATAAAGCAATTAACTACTTTTGCACAATTTCCTCAAGCTGTATAAGGCGGGCGCAAGCGGGCTCGAGAGTCCCGCGGGTGTCTTTACATATAGTCGTGCGGGTGTCCATCGAATAAAATCCTGCAAGCGTCTCTTAATATGCCCTTTCGGGTGTCCTTTAAAACAGTTCTGCAGGTATTCATTTGAAACAGTCACGTGCATGCCTATTTAATATAGTCTTGCAGGTGTCTATTCAATACTATCCCTTAAATTGTAGTCCCACCAGTGCCGCATAGTACTTACCCCGAGGGTGTCCTTAAAAAAAGCCCCACGGGTTTCCTTTTAACACTATTCAGCGGGAGTCCGTAGGTTTCTCTACACTTACCATCTTCTTGTGTTCGTATAGACAGTCGTTCACTCGATAAACCCTGTCCCCAGATCGTTATACTGGTCACGTATATCGTGTAGTTTGTGTACTTCTTCAGCCCAGTTATCAAGAGCTCCCTTACAGTCCTGTTCACAGATCGACCTACTGTCTGGTTATTGCTATTAGGTTTATAGGATACAAGAAATCCTACAGTGAAGTTGTGTTGTTGACAGTCGATACATAGCCAAGTGACTTCGATGGCGGTGGAGGTTTTAGATTTGGCGGTAACGTTGGTTGGCGGTTTACCAGGCACTGAAAGGAAAAAAATGAAAAATTCAAGGAACGAGGTCAAGTCCTGCTGAGAACCGTCCTGTATTTTCTCAGGATACAGATACAGTTCCGATCCTATATATTTTTCATCTTATTTAGGATTTTATATTTGATTATGGCCTTCAAGTAAAATATTATGTACCATTGTCGCTGACCGGTTGAACGGACAAGTTTCCCAGTCCTCCATCTTGATACAATGCTTTGTAAATAATACCAAACTGTTGGGGTCCCACATTTTGACCATAAACGATAGTCATATCTGCCAAGACACTTCCATTTCTGAAAAAATGTAAATAAATGAATACTTTCAGTATTAATGTGCTATTGCTAAGGGGGTGGTAAATTTATTTATGTTATCATTTCAAGCGAATTTCGAGTGATTGTCGGAACACAAAATCCAAGTTTCAACAGGGTTAAATCAAAGAAATCACCTCAAGGAGTTTATGAAAACTCAAAGTACACGGATGACAATACCGTACTAGGCTGGAGACTCGATAAAAAATCTTCCCTACTAACGATTATAATCAAATTTCTCGTGAATGACTCAAGGTGCGAGATATTGTTTGAAATATCTTGCCACTTACGTAAACCGATGACATCGCACATCTCGTAGATAGCTCGACTCCTGGCCATACAACACAAATACCTGAGGAAGAACAGCGTATTTGATCAACTTAATCCCCATTTGCCTTTTCTTGTCCCTTCGTTTGAATGCATGAGCTAATTTCATCGGGAAATATGATAAAATGTTGAGAGGCTGTGACTGGCCAAGGCCTATACTAATTCCTTCAAGCCTTTAATAAGCTTAAATGGTGGGGCGAAAAATATCTATGCATCTTTGATCTCTAGATGCATATCATTAGATAAAACTGATAGGCTAGAAACTCCCTTCCGCACATTTCGATTGGGGTTACCGCTGAGACTGAAAAACCCTGACCTGTTTTTGTAAAAACGTTTTTGTTTCACTGCTTTGTTCAAAGGATTGCCAAGGAGAGTATAAAAATGATCCTATGTAGCCAATTTAGCCGATTCAGACGGGATATTTGGAATTTGACTAAACAAAAATTGTCAATAGGTCATATGAAGAGTGTGCATGCAACATGCAATACTTATTCTGTTTAAAATGATCAGGGCTTTTTAAACGGTATAATCTTCGCAGCAGAAACTAAGCATAGCAACTTTTCTTACATTTTCTCTTATTATTTTAGACAGGTTGTTGAAGTTATCACTCTCTGGATTGGAAAGATTTACATTCCATTTCATGCTGGTGAAACGAACTGTCAAGTTGATTGGGACAACTAAATTGAAAAAAAAAAAGGAAGAACAGCAAGACCCATGTTATGAATACAATACTTATTTCGAACTTTAAATTCTGTTAAAAACATAGTTTGTAGAATTAAGATAAACAAATTTCAAGGTAAATGCCTCCTGTGTTCATATATAAAATAAAAGAAAGAAATAAGTCAATCAGTTTTCTCCATCAAGCTGGGAAAGGTTTCACGTGACCGGAAAGAAATCTAAGAGGACAAGTTAAAAATTAAAGCACGGAGACAATCCTTGCCTTCTTCCAATGTTCTGACGTAGATCGGAAGGCTGGAGACACCAAGACCTTGTCTTGAAACACTTCTCACCCAGACGGTATAGTTGACGAACTTTTTGAGTCTTCCAATCTCCACGCTGTCTTCTGTTACGTTGACGTTAATCATTGAGGTGGTTTCATTTTGACTGCTTGCTGTTTCGTAATAAACCTTAAACCGTATGATATCGGAGTCTCGTGGGACCTTGTTCCATTTCACTCGAATGCTCGTTGTACTTGAGGCAAGAGCTACTACGTTTTCTGGAGGTTTTCCTGGGACTGAAAAAAAATCATGAAAACTCATTTTCATAATTTAGAAATGGGATATCTATGACCAGGTCATCGCATGAGCTATAGGATAAATGAATGAATAATTGAAAAAAAGAAAAAAGAAAACTAACAAAGAAACAGAACCATACAAAGACGTACTATTGTCCCATATAGGGTGCACTGATAAGTCCCCAACTGAGCCGTTTCTGTAGAGTGCCTGGTAAAGAGTTATAAACTGTTCCATTTTCACTTGTTGACCAAAGGTAATTACTATATCAACCACGACTTCACCACTGTAATTCCTAAAGTGATAAGAGATAGGTATTAACTCGTGCCTAGAGTAATTGAGATAAATTTTGAGCCGTAAACTAAAAAAGGATAACCTTTTCTGTTATTTCCTGTCATTATTACAAACCAGAAGGCAACAACGACACCGTGATGATGTAGGGAGAGATCTATCAATTTAACGAAATGCAAACGAAAACAAACCCTTAAAACGACTGACTCTTTGACTTAATGACTCAAAGGATGGCTGAATGGAGGAGTGTGGGACTAAATGAACAAAATTACCTATGGCAGGACCTGCTTTTGGGACATCCCCATTAAGGGGGCACTTACATTCAAGGGACACAGATACTGTTCCCGACTATATCTGTTCGCCTCATTGAAGGAGCCTCTATCCAGGGACACTTTTTTGAGTCTCAAGGCTGTTCCATAAACGGAAATTCTATTGTTTGGTGATGGTTGGGTAAGAGAGTTTTGCTTGTAACAAGGTTACCTGAAGCGATGAATGACTATATCTCGCAGATGTATTTCATTTGGATAAAGACCTGCCACCTGTAAAAGAAACAAACAAGGGCTGATCAGATGCTGCCAAGATGAAAGGGTAGGTAGATTTTCTTTTCATCAGAAAATCTGTTGAATAAGACGTTCCAACCTTACTTACCTGAGTTTGTAACTGCTTTGTTAGATTCATGAAGAAGATCGATGTTGAATTTAACAACTCATCTGTCCATTCCTTGTGAATCAGTCGTACTGATGCGTTGATAGGGACTACTATAACAGGATTAAGGGCAAAAGAAGCCTTCAGAACTCTTTACATCGGCTCAGAACTAGCAAGTCACATATTCTCTAACTTTTCATACTGGAATGTATCTCATCACTCTATTTATTCACACTTAAGGTTAAAAAGAAAAGCAATCAACAGCATCGTGCAGAATGCAACGACATCATAGATTACTTAAAACCGACGCAGCAGAAAATTTTAATGCGACCTGTATCTAAATTGGGAAAGAATGGGCCACAACTGGCCTATCGGACAACAATACAAAAATGACTTGAAATGTTGTGAGAGAACTTCTTATAAAATAATTCTTTTGCTCTCTCACCTTTTTCTAACGTCCTCGTTAACACTGCTGTGCTTTTCGGCCCAAGGCCTCGTGGAGTTATTGTCTGTACCCGTAGCAAGTAATTTTCAAAATTTTCCAGATTTTGTATGACGATATGATTTGAAGGGCTTTTCACGTCCACGAATCGAATATTAGTCAAATTTGTTTGTAAAGAATAGAAAATACGAAATCCTTGAAGTGGGAAAACCTCACAGTGGTTCGATCGAGAAATTTCCCAGGTAACGCTGATGGCTGACGGACTTAGCGGTTTTGAAGTGACATTTTGGGGTGGCTTTCCTGGAACTAGATGAGAAACGAATGACAAAACAAACTTAGAAAATTCCAACGTAGTAACTGTGCTTCATTTTTAGCAAAGATATGATCGCCTAGGTGAACTACAAAGAAGAGAAGCCTGAAAAATTCAGGCTACGATAGGATTGAAACCCATGCCTCTAAGACATTAACGGGGAACTACACGAACCGCGAAATCAGCTTCAAAGTCACATGTTGGGAGTCAGTCAGATTGTAGTGCTTATCTTCGTTCTCGTTAAGATGTCTGATCACAATCAACTCATAAGTTACTTCAGTCGTTGCGATCCTAAACGATGTGTCTTATTAATTACCTCACTTGTTTCCGAGTTCAAAGGGAAGGGTCTGAGGGTATAAATAGGCACTGACAAACTATCGAGTAAAAAGCAGCGAGATGCGTATGCTAGCGATAACCTGCAGTGCCTCTCATTGAAAAAAATACATTTTAGGGGGAAATGCAATAATGCAAACTGGGATAAGCTCCAACAGTTACTCAAAAAATTCCCTTAAGAAGATGTTTCATTTCCTCTTCTTGCCATATTCTGGATCGAGTCTCAACTAATTGTGCATTTGAGTATATTTTAGGAATGTTACTCTTGAAAATTAAATGCATTCAGTTCTTTACAACTTACACACACGCGGATGTTGCGGGTTTAGCGCAACTCAATGGCGTGCTTGAGCCAAGCAAATTATTGATATCAATATAAATCAGGTTAGGACATGGAAAGAAAAAATAACATGTTTCAGTTTTAAATACGTACTGTTGTCATCAATCACTTCTATTCGAAGGTTCAGCAGCCTTTGCTCAACGTAGAGGGCCTCATATATGGTGTGAAAATCCCTCATTTTGCTGTTTGGATCGTAAAGGGCCTCGATGGAAACCATAGTCTCACCACTGTAGTTGCTGGAAAAAAAAGAAAGGAAAAAAAATGTATAAAACACGTGCATCTAATTTAAGTTTCCCTTTTTTTGATCAGGGAGAAGGTAAAAAATATGCTAAATGGCAGGTCTTTTGTAAGAACAAAATTGCCATCCCGAAAACCACTCAGAAAGACGTCGCGGGTCTCAGTGGGCAATCCTACAGTTGCATCTTGCGAACTTTTGCAAAAGACCTTCAAATCATGAAAGCGACTCTGTGCAATGTTGCTCATAGAAAGAGCTGATCGAGTGGAAAAAACGCGCTGGGTTCCAACACCAATTCTATAAACGTAACAATTAGGAAAGTTGTGATCATTTTCGCTTAGACTACGCCCGCTATATTTACAAAGTCTGTTTTTAACAGACGATATTTATTACAACCTCTGAGAGTTGGATCTCTTAATGATCTATCCACTTTGCCTGCAGCAAGGCTAAATCTAACCAATTCAATAATACCATGTACCTGAATAATACACTTGAAACGTTGTTATAGAATGAATCATTTTGATGTGAGACTCTAACCTGTGGAAATAGCAAATGACTTAAGTAGATTCTCTGTCTGCCTACGAGTGCTAAGAAAACCGGGGTAGGTGAAGGGCAGAAATGCCTTTAGGGGGATAGTAAAACGGTGTAATAGATTAATCAAGTCATAAGCACTTCTACTTTCCATCACTGCAAACCTATAGAGTGAGAGCGTACATAGATGTACTGTATTTCGCCTTGGTAATACTTCCTTAAAATGATTCCTCCCTGTCTAATAAACAGAATCTTTCAATAGATACAACGGTCCGTAGAATGCACTGATCAAGTATAACACGCCCTTTTCTCTGTTCTATCTAAAAATGGTCTAGATATGCGATACATTTTCGACTAAAGAACGCAAAAGCAAGTAGTTTATGAAATTCCTGTGTTCGTTGGTCAGGGCCCTTAACGACATCTTTGTAAGGCACAAAAAATTCACAGCTCTCTAGGATTTTCTTAACATTGCTTACGCTGTTTTCTATGACGGATGACAAATTCCTAGAAGTTTCGCTACTCTTGTTTCCAAGCTGAGCTTCCCATGACACATTTATCAGCAACACTCTGAAATGTATGATGATATCTTGTGGAGCTAAAAACAAACAAGAAATTTTATTGAATAATTTTTTTCCGCGATTGAACTGGGAGAAAGCGGAAGTAGTGAGAGAGTGGTTAGAATGTTGGACACGCTATCTGGAGGTCGTGGGCAACTTTTGTAAACAGCCAGCTGGTTTGACTCCTGCCCACTGGGATTCTTATCATTATTATATTCCATTTGATTTAAGACTGATGCTGGAAAACAAAGATATCACATTGATATTTTATTCAGTGGTTACGATGAACAGTTTTTGTATTTCGATGTAATTGTGGCCTCTGCTAAACTCCACTTATCCCATGTTGAACATTTCTGCAACCATCGCCAAATGGTTGCAAATTCGTTTCGATGGATAAATGTTGAATGCGACATGAAACATAGGCAAATCCATGAAAAATTAAAACTTAAGATATAAACACGTCATTGAAAACTTTGAATCGTAAGCGCCACCAAAATCATAAAAAAGGAAAAATGCACACGAAAGGAAGTTCTTTGATCTGAAAAAAGGAGGACAATTTTCTGTTTTCCAGTCGCAGGTGAACCTATTGTAAGGCCGAGTTAGCAGACAGGCTTTCTGTCCGCCTAGAACTGGCTGGGCCTCTCAGAGACTCGATTATTTTTCTTTTCCTCGCCTGTGAGAATTGGTTGACATATTTCTTAATTTTGTTTTCATTGTTTTTCTAGTTTCACCTTGATGTGGTGTGGTGATATTGCGGGCTTTAGAGGGAAGCCCGAACCCTTTTGAAGTCACGCGTACGGTCCAAATCGTGTATGTGGTACCAGGTTGTAGTTTTGATATTTTAACTTCTGATTGGTTATCATTTACTATGACAGAGCGTGTAATGTTATCAGCGGCTTTGTAAATGACCCTTAGTCCCCAGTTCTCTATCATCTGTTGTGTTCTCTCAGATAACCATGAGACATGAAGCACCGTTGACCCTCCTACGGTGACGTTTATTTTCCTGGGCGGCTTTCCTGGAACTGGAAGAGGAAATGATCGTCTTGTTATTTATTGATGCAATCACCTATTTAACGCTGTATAATTATCAAAAAACTCATGGAAATTTATAGTAATTTTCCTCACCTATCGAAAATTTCTTTGTAATGGGCTACTGAGACCTTTCTTGATATATAACTTACTTGTATCATTGATGACGCGTATTGGCATTGACCCTAAGCGTTCATTTTCGGAGAGGAAACTGTAAAAATAGTTCGTATGACGGATGTGGAACTGCTCTGAAAACGTGAGACGAACATCTGCGGAAACCAGGCCACTTGAATTCCTATTCAGGAAAAAAAAAAGAAATAATTTTTCTTGAATTAACATATTCAACCTGGTTAAAATGATATCTCAGCAAAATGAATGAGGATGTAGGTAGAATGATATAATGATGGCGCCCTCGATACTAATTTATAGTCGTTAAATTTTTCTATCTTAGCGAAAATTTGTAGTTTTGTTTTCTTTTATTTTTGACAATAACCCCTTGGGTAGTGCATTTATTAAGTTAATTGTTTTCGTTTAAAAAAATGTATAAATAAAAAATTAAATACTCTTAAAGAACAAACGGAAACAATTATACAATCATGCTTTTCCTTGGATTGAAAAAGAATAAGTATTCGCGAGACCTCTCAAGGAGAGAAATATATTTTTTTTTTACTGAGGTTCATATTTTGTAATCATTTGATATCTTTTACCTTAGTTGAAGAACTGATACTTGCAGAATGGAAGAAGCATTGCCCAAAGTTAGCAAGACCTGCAACCCAAGAAAGAGATTTACGAAAAACATATTCATTCAATGATTTTAGTCATGATTATGAAATCACATATTTTACCATTGAAAAAAATCTTTAAAATTGTAGAAAAACAAGAGGCGAGATAAGAAATGTGAGCTTAGCGCTTAAGCTACCTAATTTTGATCTTACTGTTAAAAAGATGTCTTACACTGGATAGGCGTGTATCAACACACCTGAACTGACGAAATTTTGATGTAAATCAATAGTAAATAGCTCAATTTTTATTCTTTGGACAGTTCTAGACGTTTTGCAGCTTATTTGCACAGCTTACTGTTTAAAATCATGTGCATTAAATAACTTACGTTTTGCTTCACGGTAGAAGATATGTTCATGAACATATCACTGCTTCTGTTTTCATAAGAAACTCTCCATGACTCATTTTTCAGTAGCAGCTTTACTTGAAAAGATAGGTTATTGCTTCCTAGAATTTAATTTCGTTGTTAGCGTTAGAGGTAATCTATTTCTTTGCTATAAGATAGTTTAACGAAGTATCAGAGTTATTTTTGACAGTACGACCTACATGTATAAATATTTCAGGAGGAGGTGACTCTCTTTAGTTTGAAAAACGTTGCAAAGCAATCCAATCTTTGTTTACATACTTTAGAGTTGGAAGGAATATTTACTCCTCTCTTTGGGAAAAGTAAGTTTACGATCACGACACAGACTTTTAGATTTTATCACAAATTTTTGTTTCATTTGGATGTTGCAATTTTTTGTGTAATGAAACAAAAGATTCGTTGAATTTCATAAACACATAATAACTGTGGTAGTTAACTTGTGAAAGCAATGGTGAAGGAAATAGCTGTAAAGGAGGGCCTTCAATGTACTAGCAGCCCGAGAAGCTCTTGGGACAATAAGCAGGAAAAATGAACTTTTTCTTTGATGAAACAAAATATTGTTGAGTTTCACAAAGACTTAATAACTGTGGACGTAGGCTTGTGAAAGTGAAATGGAAGGAAATAGCCGTATAGATAGATATATAACCTTACTAGCACTCCTTGAAGCTCCCAGTATTGTATAGAGGAAAAGTTATCTTACCGTTCTTTAACTTTGGTGTATCCTGAAAAGTCGCTATTGTGGTGGTAAGAGACGCGATTTGAGAAGCTGTGGATGGTCGAATGAAGCTTGTAGACAAAGAAGTCGAGGAAGGAACAGCTATACAGGACAATGTCTCATTTGGGCCTAGAAAATATGCAAATTATATACAGTAGACATTTGGGATTGGGCGAGTACAACACTAATAGGCCGAGAGAATTCCTTTTAAATTGCCAAAATCATTTTCGACTTTTTTTCCTTTCACCCTTCTTCTTCTTCCGTCGTAATCAGATTTTGCGTTTTTTTTAGGAAGAGATTTGATGAGTAAGCTCCTTTTTTTTATCAAATACGAGGGGCCAACTGCTAGATCTAGCAAATCACACGCGAAATTGAAACTTTGGGCTAAGGTTTGAAGTGTCGCGAGAAACAGATTTTTTTATTTGAACCACGCCCGTCAGAAGTGTACAATAAGTAAAATGAACTTATTAAACAGCGTTACGTAAGCACTGTCCTTTGGAATCGGAGAAAAGTTCTTTGGCACCCACTTTGTAACAATTCTGTGGGATGACTGCATAACCTTTCATTTTTTTTGACAATATGTTGTTTCTAGCTCTACTACCTAACAAAAAACAAAAACTACCTTTCAGTTGATAAAAGGATCTTGAGTTATCGATCAGCAGTTCACGATCTTTACAGGAGAGCTCCATCAAAAGACAATCACGTGTAGCTGTTATGTGTTCAAAGGAACTACAGTTGTAGATATTTAGTCGAGCCACTTGAAGACATAGCTGCGCACACTCCCCGACAGACAACTGCTGAAAAGATATTTTGTGGTGACCAGAGAGACGAAGGTCAGGATAAGGAAGAAACTCCGCCAGAGAGTCATTGATGTTGGATGGTGCTGCAGCTTTGTCTGAATAACATAAAAGGTCTTCTAAAGATTTTATTCAATATTATCGCAATTCTATGGCTAATAAATGAATAAATGATACAATTTTGTTGCCAAAAATAACCGTCAATTGTTTCAACGCGCCAAGTCATTGACGATGATTCAAGCACGACTTGGTTGCTAGAAAACCAAATTCCAACTTACCAAGGAATGCAATTTAAAAGAAATTGACAAAAATGTGATATCAAAAAAATAGCATTAATCAATCTCATAATGACTTTGCATTAACGCGAATAGTGAAAACAGTGGTAAAACTACTTAAATGACCCAAGCAAAGTAAAATTAAATACAGTATATGCAGTAAATAGATTACCTTGAACAAAAAGAACGCAAAACGAATAGAATAAAATGCTCATGCAAAACAAAACTGTCATGTGTGACCTGTAGACATGTAATGCATTTTTTCTGGGAGAACAACCGTAACAGATGAAAATGTGTGTTTTAGTGAAATTATTAACTTATTCTTATTTTTTTGTTTTTTTTTTATATCTGACTCGATTCTTGTGTAGAGTCAACGCTAGTGTCATCTACAGTGGTATGATGCTGAAAACGAGTTTACAATGCTGTCACAAATTCTAAGGAGCTGTATTCAGGCTCCTTTAATAGATGCTTTGTAGCTCAGACTTGTTATTATCACATGTTTTAATAACGTTTTTTTTAAAACTAACTACAATGGGCTGCTAAGTAACCAGGACATCCAAACTCCCCTTAAAAATATTTTTCCTTTTAAAAGTTTCCTTTTGTTTGAAGAGGATTTCCGGAGGTAGCAATATTTTGATTTTGTTCACCCGTAAACTAACTCGGTGTAGGTGAGAGGCAATCCCGTACATAATAAACATATTGTATTTTTATTTTTGAGCTCCTACTTTGGAGGTGAGGGGGAAATTAGACCTCGTCCTTCGGGGGGTAGGGAAGGCGGTTGGCAAGGCATTACCTTGCGTGAATACGTTAATCGCGCATTTTACATTTCCGTGTGATTATTAAGTCCATGAAGTATTCCTTAAGCCACGGTACAAAATTTCAAGTAAGGTCTCCTTCCAGCTCAGATAAATATTTTGATCTAAGATATAACTGATGAAGACTTAGATGTGGAAATGCATCATTTATATCGAAAGATCTCGAATAACAAAATAATTAGATGATTGCCAACCTTGTAATTCATACGATATTCACGCCTGGGCGATATTTATTGTCATTTCCTTCCAATATTCCCTTTGATAAATTTCTTCAGGGGCTTCCTTTGAGAAATCGTTTAACTTGGGTTTGATAGTGTCAAATCATTTACAAGTATTTCCCACTGAGCAGCGTTTAAGACAGGTCTCTCACTGACTTAACCGCACAGGACAGACAGTTAAGTTTTTTTTATCTTCAAAATTTGACTTTTTTAATTTGATTCATGTCGTTTACAACGAAAACAAGGTTTAAAAATCAGAACTGTTTCCTCTTTTAACCCCAATATTAGGTTCAATTAAACCTCTGAATTGTATTCCATGAAAGTATACGAAAGAGCTAGATTCAAATTGTGGTTTCCGTGGTTCTTTCACAGAAACAGAGAATGTATATTTTTTGACATGCAAATCACGCCTACGGCAGGTACCAGGCGATTATAATGAAGAGTGTACTCATTGGAAATCGTTTCAACCTCGAGGTGCCTTGGAAGTAAACAATTATTCCATTCCATAGGTTGTGAATGAATTCACAACTTCAAACAACACTAGATTGCCTATTATTATGTGATAAATTAATAATATCAGCAAAGTTTTATTATGATTTCGTTTTCTCGCATGAAAAATTATATTTATACTGAAAAAATACGCACTCTATATAAAAACTTCAATTTCACTTTTTAAACAAAAATCGGCTTTTTATTTTTAAAACAAACACTATTCGAACGATTTTTATTTATCCAACTTGCCATATTTATTTTTCTCTTATAAAGAAATCCGTACATCTGTTTTGGCGAAGTTCTTTCCAACATTATCTTCATTAGACGATTTCTAATTAAAAAAGCTAGCTTCAGTTCAGGCTACTATGCGACGATCCTAAACCTGATGTTTTGACAATTTTCAAAAAAAGATTTACAAAAGGGCGAACAAGACGTTATAGAATCTCAAAGAAGAAAAACAAGAACAGTCGAAAAAGTATTATGTGCCTTCCTTTCCATTCAGAATAAATGCATTATTCACTGGAAGTTGTATCGATTTAGATTCAATTTGCCTTCTCAACGTCGCAATATCGCAATATCACAAGTTCCCGCGGCGCGAGAAAGCCCTTCGGCAATACCTATTGGGTATATGTGAAGGAAGAACTCCTTTTTTCCGACTTTAGAAAGATTCCTCAATTCTTTCATCAGCAATCCGGCTTAAAAAAGGTAATATATCCCAGTTCATGCAGCATGCAGCCTTCCGACTAAAAGCCGTACATTTTTACGTGTGTGTTAACTAAAGGGTATTTTGTTACCATTTCAGATTAACAAAATTGTACAAATCAAAATAATTGCTGAAAAATTATCTCAGAATGAAAACTTACATTCGCAGAGTAAGGACTTTTGCTCTCGGACCAAACTCAAACAAAGGACCAGACATAAAATCTGTCGCAAAAGAAAAACAAAAGGTATATTTCATTTAGTTGTGACTTTCCGTACAAACTTAACGATGAGCTGTACACGAACCTGTTTCACCATTTGAGGAACAGACATCCTCAATCCATCTGCACTGGTCCGGCAATTCGTTGTGAGAACATTTATGCGCAAATTTATGTGCGCCTTTTAAAATGCCAATTCAAAGTGTCAATCTGTCGGGCACATTGCACTCTGACTTAAGAGGTTGTCTGCTGAAGCAACATCTACTATGCGGCTCAATTAAATATTTAAGATTATCCTGAGTCGAATTTTTCCAGTTGCGCATATTGTGTGTACAACCGGGGAGCACAAATTTACCTGCCAGCGAGAAGTACTTTCAAAACATCCTCATCAATCTTCTTGTGCAACAATACAATTCTTTGGCACCTAAAGCCAAATGCTCCTTTCTCACCAAGATTCTATCGTGCTCACAGTTAGCTGTTTAGTAGCTTCAGACTGTCAGCTGTTATAAGTATCGGCTGCTTTGTTTACGTTTAAAGGTGGTTTCTGGGGGACTTACAGATGTGTTGTCCATAATTAGTTGATACGATATACCTGTCACAAATCTCATTTTTAGGCCCTCAAAATTTGATAACTAAGTGACAGGAGCCGATGGTTTTAAACCTCTGATGTGCTTATGGATACGCGAGGAAAAAAAAGAATTCAGAATGCTAAGAATAAGCACTGATAATTACAATCAGTTACGACACCTGAGAGATTATTTTCTTCAATTTACATATTTCTATTAAAATACAATATACAATATTTAATAAACTATACGACAAACCGCTATTTTCCTATTGTTTAGATAAAATGAGGAGACCGATTATTTGAGTTTGAAATATTCTCGTCACGATTTACCGACTGTTCAAGCTTGGCGTGCTTACAATGAGATATGGATAAACGCGTGAAGGCTGGAGAGCTCGAGATAAACGAAAATGAAATAATCGCGCATTCTTTATCTCTCATTTCTTAAAATCATCTCTCAACATTTTTACAAAGGATACTTAGTGGGGCTTGTCTGACCCTGCCAAAACTGTTCTTAATTTAGATGGAAATTCTTTGTTATTTTGGCTATGATGTTATGAGCAACTCAATACTTTTCATTACTTAAGTGTCACGTTTATGAGATAAAAGGAAATGCTGGTCTGTAATTGGGTTTTTCCCACCCATAAATAAGAATATCGCATTGTTGATAAGTTCTGGTGAGCGAGCAGTTTGACAACGGTTTCGTAGGGAGCTTCTTTACTCTTCCTCAATTTTATATTCATGGAGAATTTTTCTTGAACAGGGATCGATGACTATCTATCGCCTGTGGGGAGGGGGGGAGGGGAGAAGGAATCGGAGGATTTTGTTTTTTTGCCATAAAATTTACCTGATTTTTACCCCCCCCCTCCCCTTCCAGGCCCTGTAGTATACTCAGGATCCCCCTGATTTGCAGTCAATTTCTGTAATCCCCTATTTTTGTTCTGTTTGCGACGACTAAACTGTTCCCCCCGAAAACCATGTGATCGGGGGGATCACCTACGACCTGAACCCCCTGCCAAATTCTCCGACCCTCCCAGCGGATAGATAATGACCATTCGTTGATGGGGCTGTGCCCACCCATAAATAAGAAGATTGGATCGTTACCAAGTTCCGCTGAACGAGCAGTTTGACAGTGTTTTTGTAGAGAGCTTCTTCGTCCTCCCACTGTCACACAGTCGGGAAAATAATTCATGTAGAATTTATTTTTGTACGGAAAACCAGGTGCTCAAAATAATGCTTTTAATATTTGCACATGAAATTAAAAAAACTGAAATGAAGACCACATAAAAATTGAATAACAAAAAATGATAATGAAATGGAAAAAATAAAAAAGATACTATCACTTAGAGTGCGCCTTACGTTTTGTTTCGACTTATCCGCAAGAAAGCGATTAATCCGTTGGATAGCATTATCTGCCCTTTGAACAACTAAACCTTGGCTCTTAAGCGAGGGGAATTTAACTGTGCTGAAAAAAGACCTGCATTCACGGTGTGCCTTCATTAACTTTGCTTCGTCTTTTTAAGCAACATTACTATTCAGGGAAATTTTTGAAGGGTATCCTTCGATCGGAAGCCATGAGTCCTTCTGCAATCTCTTACCAAAATGCATACGTAGCATTTTTCGTGTTCGTGGGAAATGTCTTTCTTGTCTTTCCTCTTCAGTTTTAGTTCCAAAGGAACTAACTACATTACACATGTAGTCGTTAAGGATATCATCAAGGAGTACTATCGCGGAGCCAATAGGAAAAATTTGAAAATTATAATGATGAACTCAACTTTTTAGTTTAACGTTGTGTAGTTGTAGATCGCAGGAAATTCTATTCCCCGAAAATATAAATGGCCTTTACATCCACAGGTGATATAAATCATGCGATCAGTTATATTGTAAATCTAATTTGAAGGCCCTGAAGAAGAAATGTGAGACAAAAAACGACTTTTCGATGCATTTTTGAAAATATCTCCTCCACGTGCGACTCTCCGGTTTTAGAACAAATAGGGCTAAACGTTTGAGTATACGACCTCGGCAGCCGTGTATCAGCGAGAAAATAGGGCAACCTCACAGACATTTGATTACTTTTGTTGCCATTGGTGAGTGTTTCATTGTACTTCTGTATGTGAGTAGTATAGTAGCACAGGTAAACATAACGCATCTCTGAAACGGTGACATGTAATTTGTTACCAGAAGATAAATTCCCTCCTTCATGACGAGAGTATGCCAGTGACAGAGTGCGCTTAAACCTGATATTAGAAGAAAACGAAAAAATAAAAATGAAAAACAACAACAACAAACAAACAAAAAAATAACAAAAAAACTTAAGTGTAGGGAAAATATAATCTTGAATTTACATTGTGTTTCTTTGATCATGTGTTTGACTTTGCTCCGGGAACTACCGAGTTTTCGACAAATTTCATGCCGCCATGCAGTGACGCAAGTTTCCTTGATGAACTCAAGGACAAAACAGTGTCTGGAAAACGATTAAATCAATTTATGCCGAGTGTTCACTACGAAGAATCAATTGATTTTAAACGGGCGTCTTTATACAAACAACATTTTGAAATCTGTTCACATCAATTCAATTTAATTTTTCTTTATCTGTTTATTTTATTTTTTTTTGTTAGCAAAACGTGTTGAAAGGAATTGTGTTATTGAAATGGAAAACTAACCTAATCAACATGCTTAGTTATATTGTGCTTTGAGACACTTTGCCTTGTTATCAGCAGCTTTTATCTCAAGCAGCATCGGCTGAAATGTGATAAAATTTGAATTCTGTTATCAAAGATGTTTTTTCCATTGGAACGGTGATATGCTCGCAAAATAAAACAAAAAACGAATTGGTGCATCTTAAAAAATTTACTAGAACAGGTGGAAGTTAATGTACTTGATACAATCCACTGTATAAAAAACGCACTTTAACCGCTATTATCATCACCTCAATCTTATTTGGACATTTCAAAAATAGCAAGGGAAATTTGGAAGCCTTTGAAAAAATGAAATCTTTCGTTTAATCCCTCGTCTTCTCACAAAAACGCCCACAAGTGATAAAAACTTCTCGCGAGATCCCGAGAATAAATCCCTACAATTTGTGAGAGAAGCATATTTTCAATATTTTTTTAGGCCGTTGCGGGCGAATGAATTATTAACAACTAAAGTTCTGTAGTTCGTGCAGAAGACTGTTATCTTTATCATGTTCTATCGTGATTGGCAGCATGGAACTGTTTTTGTCTTTATGATCCAGGTGATTGTAGCGTGTTATTGTTTAGCTGAGATTTCGGTGGGATGCAACAAAAGATTCTGTTGTATGCTAACGCTTTCGACAGCAATAACTTAAAAAGTATTCATAAGAGAAGTAGAAGAGTCGCTGTTACGCAAGGAACAGTAAGATCATTTTATTTTACTACTTTAATAAGTTTCACTTTCGTATGAGGGGAAACTGCAAAGCTGTAATATTAATTATGAATTCTCATCTATTTCTGTTGATATCTCCCTTTTTCTCCGTATCGACCTAAAACGTTTCCGTTCTTATTTGAAATTGAATTTTCGATGAATGTTTAAAACTGTCAGGATTTTATTACTCTAGAATAGTTTGTAAAGAAATCTGGAAATTTCCTTCGTAGACGTACATGTAGCAGTAACTGGTATTAGGTAATATGCATTTCTCTCGTATAAGTACACAGAGTTTACTTTTAATCTAATAAGTGTACAAAGTAATATATTATTTCGAGAGAAAAGTTTGTCGGTGGTACCGAGTGTGTAATTCAGCTTTGCTCCAATCTACTTTCATTTCTGACTTCAGCCGAATACTCGAAGCGTTTGACCGTTAATAAGTGTATTGTTAGTAAACAATCCACAAATGAGAAAGTCAAAACGTATCCTATAATTGGCCCAATTTACAAATAAAGCTCATCTCAATGCGGATTTAAAAGTGATACTTTTGAAAGACGGTAATGTTTGATCGCAAAACTGCTTAATAAAACTCATCTTCATGGCCTGCTCCTCGGGAAAATGTTGTTGAAAATGTTCGGTTGTACAGTAATTTTGCCATCCTTATTTTCATTCTCCTCCCATTATTGATGACCTTTCTAGAACGCAATACTTCAAATGTTTCTTTAAAGAACCATTCCATCATTAAAGGATTTTCATCAGTCGAGTGAGTCCCTACCGTGCACTGAAGCTTATCAATAAAAAGTTCGACATCTGAATAAACCTTATCGTCACTTGGTTTGCTATTGAAAAGTAGAACCGGTTGGGAACTAATATACCTGAGTAAGAACTGCATCACACAGTTTGCATTTCATATTCTTGCACGTACCCAAGTAACGTTGAAAGTTTGAGTGCCAAAGAAACAGTCGCGATTATTCCAAGCTTTATGACGTTTCCCCTTCTAAACGATGATACTTTACTGAAAATTAACAAAAGAGATCAGAAGTATGAAAATTAACTTGAAATTGCTAACAATTTTTCGTCAAGATCTATGTTTTTTTCAACTATATCAGTCAGTTTTATATGCGTTAATTGGAACAGAAAAGTACTCTGATTGCAGTCAAATTAGTTTTAAAATCCTATTAACATGCAGTGGAGTTCTTCGTAAATTTTTCATGCTTAAGGGAAAGCCTGATGATTTTCTTCCTTAAAGACACTTGGTAGTTAAAATCGGGGCGCAGTTTCAGTCTTACAAGTTATTTCCATTTAGTTGAACAAGAAGAACAAAAGGTTCTCTTTGTTATACACACTTCAATGCGGGAAAAGTGAGGTGTATCTTTGTGAGAAGGAATGTCGTTGTAATTTTGAATCTAATTTGTTATCGTTTTTTCAATTATTTCAGAAAATTTCAAGGCGTACACCTCGGTTTGTTGGATGATTATAGAGTCTTTATTAAGGAACTTGCTCTTTGATAATTGATTAAGCAGCAAGAGGTAAAGTCATTTGAGGTTACAGAGAAACCATATGACACACCTTACTATGCAGAATCGAGCTTTATAGGTCTTGTACACAAACAGGGTGGACATATGAATGATCACCTTTAGCTCCCGTAGCAGGTGAGACCCATGACTTGTAGCTCAGTCACTTTTAGCTCTCCTTCCTAGATATCACAGACCTGTTATAATGGAATTCAGACCAATCTTGTTAGTCGCGATCAGTCTTGCTTTAATGTTGGATTTCGTCAAAAGCGAGGATCCAATGTAAGTATTTTTTTGATGTCTTACACATTAAACCTCATCTGGTTGGAGAGGTTTATTTCATTCAAATGTATTACTTTGCATTTCAGTTGTAAAAACATGATAAGTTTTTCACTTAGTAACTTGTCACAGAAAAACCCGTCAAGAAAGAAATTTTATCAGCACACATACGTCTGAGTGTCTGTTTGTTAGTCCACGATCGTTATCGTTCCTTTAGACCAAGGGTAGAAGCGCACTTTGATTCTTCGAAAAAGCGCTTTATCCTTGCAGTTATCATCTCGATCGGGGAAGTTTACAAAATTTTCGTACAGCTGCCGCTCGAAGCAATGCAAGGATTGTGCAAGTTTAGAATAGTCTTATGCTTAGTTAATTTCTCTACTTCAATCGAGGTGATGAAAACACCCTACATATAACACCACGCCTTCTCTTGCATCTGTTTCAGTTCAAAATGAATCAGCCACCTGCACTCCAAATAAAGTAGTTATTTAAACAGAGAAAACAGCATCTATCTTTAAACGAGAAACCGTAGTCGCCTTCTTTGGTATTCGTTACAACAATATAAAGTATAAAACCCGATAGATATTTTGTTAAGTGCCATTATCGATAAGAAATTTCGAAAACGCATTTTCCACATATTAAACCTTTTTGTTTTTGTGCGAGGTATTAAATTAACCTATGAGCACACGAAATTATTTCTCTCAGGGAAAAGTACAAGAAAACGATGGAAGAGGCATACAATTTATCGGTGGCGATCAACAACAATTTGAAGAATTACGATAGAAAGTTGCGGCCTAATGCTGGGGGTAAGCGTTGAATTTGTATTTGAATTTTTAACTTTGTATTAGTACATGGTAGTTTACTTCACCTCGAATATATTCAACCATGCATGCATTTCTCATCTTGTATCTTCCCCTCATTTTTGAAGCTTTCTTTATTTACAAACTGCTGAGAATACAGACAAGTCTTTTGTAAGATTTTAACTGCACATATCATCTGAATTGAGAATAAAATTTATCATTTGCTAAATATTCGTGCAGGAGAGCCGGTCATGGTCCAAGTAGAGTTCAAAGTTATTTCATTCGGTGAAATTAAGGAAGTGAATATGGTGAGTTGTTGTTGACTTTAAAGTTTCTCCATTGAGGATATGATAGTCTGTTCTGATTGCTACGCGTTGCAATGTCAGCGTTATATTTCTGTAGCATTAATCTTCCGCGCCTTTATTTTGCCCTTCCGCCATTTTTTGAACGCAGTGGTTCGTCTTTCATAGCATCGGATTACACTGTAAGCAAATCACCGGTCAATGGATACTTTCTAGTGTACAACCCAAACTTAAAAATATGCATGAACCACTTTTGTAAAACAGCCTTGAGATAACGTCCCTGTATGGTACAAGTTCTTGAGGGTCGACACAACTTGGGATATCGACTCGTATCGATTTCTTCAACGTAAGATATTCTTTGTTGGTAAGTGGATACCTGTGGAAATCCTGAGCCGTGGAATTTGCCAGTAAAGACAGTTCGTCGCAAAAACATACACAATGCGAGAGATACATACCATAAGAAAAAGCAACTTGGTAAGGGGCACTTATTCCCTCGGCTTTGGTCTCTCTCACTTTCAAGTCATAAAGCAAACAGGCAAACAGAAACTCTGTCACACTCCGTTTATTGACCGGCTGTAAGAGAGCACATAAGGTGCTAAAAAACTATATCATGTCAAAGTAATATAGGGCCTAATGACATGTACAAAGGAACAAAATAACGAAAAGTTGATGAATCAGTAGGCCATTTGACTGAAACTGAAAAAAAAAGGTTACAGAATATGATTATAAAATAGCATCCAAATGTTAATTTATTTTCTATAATTTTATCAAGGAGAAGCGGTTTCACTTCAAACTACTGATGGTGGTGTTTATAATAAATTTTAGGAGTACAGCATGGACATATTCTTCCGCCAGTGGTGGAAAGATCCCCGAATGAGGCATAATTCTACTACTCCATTTAACATGGCGTTTGACCCAACAAATGTCTTCTGGACACCGGATACTTATTTCTGGAATGTTAAGCATGCAAAATATCACTACGTTACCAGAGAAAACATGCGGGTCAGAATTTCTGCGGATGGAGAGATATACTTCAGTACGAGGTGCACATAGAGTTTTTGTTCATTATTTATCAGAGCACGTGTTTTTTGTTAAGGGCTATACGTATACATTGTCAAAATTAGTTTTGAATTTTTTTGGAAGGCAGTTATTATCGTGTCGAAGGAAGAAGGCAAAGTCTGTTCTTAAGCCCGGTGGCCCTCACTACGTAGCAGCTAATTCCTGTTACCATCGCATGAAGCGGCTGGGATTATTTTTTTCCCAGTGGATAGCATGCTAGTCCATACATCGAAGCTAAGCCCCTCACGCGGTTTTTTTTAAGGGGGGGGGGGAAGGGGGTAGATACGGCTTTTGCAGTCGACTGGTTGTGGGATAATCAAAATTTACCCTCAGAGTTGTGTTAGGTTTTCCTGAGAATTTACCAGCATCTGGTTACGTTCTTTATTCACCCTGGGTGAATAAAGTATCTTTCCCGAGAACACAACTTTACGACTTACTAAATTGCAAAGGGCGATTGAAAAGTGACAACATGACGATCTCAGCCAAGGCTTGATCACGTCAATACTTCCAAGACAAGGAGTAGGAAGAGAAAAGCCCAAATTAAAGAAACACGTTTTTCATCACACAAAGGTTCAACTGATGAGGTGAAAAGTTGGTTTTGAGCGCTCTCAATATTGTCGGTCGGAGCGCAGGAAAACACATATCATCTTATATCCACGTCGAACAAACTCCTTTTTTATTTTCTCTCATATTATGTTCTGTTGCAACACCCAGAGGAAAAAGTTTACTTGGTACAATATCTATCTTATTTGTTTTGTTAGGATAACGATTGTGGCTCAATGTGACATGGATCTGCGGCTGTATCCAATGGATACCCAACACTGTGCATTGAGAATCGAGAGCTGTAAGTATGGTAATGGACCAGGCGCAAAGTAGCGGAAAATTTGCCCCTTAACTTTCGCTACTGCAAAGTGTTTAAATTTTTCCATTTGAAAACACTTATCAGTCAGACTATTGTTACAGTGCTGAGTTTCTTCTGATGATTTATGTGCATGTTTTTTTTTACTATTTTGTCCCTTATGGGGCTTATAGAAAACTTCGGTTAGGGTCGAAATATCAAAGGTAATCATGTAAGATAATTAAGCAAAATGAGTCAGATAGTGAGGAATCGAAAAAATTATAAAAGATAACATTAGACTGCCTTAGTCTTAAGGAAACGCGCACACCAGATAGCAAGTGGTTTTCTTTTGTTTCTGAATTGATGAAAGTGTATTTACAAGGTTCAAGCGAAACACATGCAAAAATGTAGTACGAATCTTCCTTTCACCGATTGCAGTTCTCGCCGATTGTGGTTCTAAAAACATTACCAGGCCAATCCTGTTTCTCTGTTTCTCCTCAGATGCCCACACAGTGGCAGACGTAGACTATAAGTGGAAAATTGGTAAAAATAAAGGGATCGAGATTGTCTCCTCAGAGTTGGCTCAGTTTGATCTTCTTCGCGTCGTGACTGAGAATAAAGCAAGCACTAATAGCAAAGGTGAGATAACACATGTATTCTTGGCGCATATCCCCTTATTACCTTAGCTTTCCCCAGTGAGGACCGAGGGGAAGGGGAGGGGGAGGGACGGTCTAGCCTTCTCAGCTTATCATTGTATCCTCTGCGTGAAATACCCAGCCAGGAGTTCTGCTTCTACCATATGCGAGACAGTGGCATCTCTTTACCCACCCAAAAATCTCTTTTAGTGCTCAGCTCTAATCTATGACAAACCATTTTCCACTGTTTAACTTATAAAGAAACTAAACTTGTAATATTTGCTCTCTATCCTTAAAAATCTTGAATCGGTATATTGGAATTTTATCAATGGCCGCATGGTTACTTAACGCATATTTGACTCATTCGAATAGGTCTCTATAGTGCCTCACGTATTCCACGAGTAACAAAGTTACTGATCCTCTGTTATTCCTTTTCCACTTCAAACAACTCTGTTATTTCCAACTATTTTAAGTATTTTAAGTATACAACAGAAGTACACTTAAATGGCGTCCATGGTTTTCTTCGCTCAGGTTCATTTGCCAAATTAGTAGCGGTGTTCTCCTTCAGACGTCGTCTTGATTATTACATTTCATCCGTGTACGTACCGGAAGTCATCTTGGTAGTGTTGTCATGGTGCACGTTTTTCATCACACCCTCAGCTGTTCCGGCAAGAATATCTCTCAGTATCACAACTATTCTGACCACCATCCTACTATCCAGCACCTTAAATTCAAATATTCCAAAGGTAAAACACACGGAAATTGCTTACTCGGGGCTGTTATTTAACCGTGTTCTGACCCATGCTCATCGAGACGTTGATTTTTGCCAACAATGTCAAGTATGCTTATCGCTAGCACGAGAAAAGAATGATTCATCTCAAAAAGTTATGCATAAAATATAATCGTACATCTTTAAATAAACCTTCTTCAATAACTGGCCTTTAGCATCTAGAAGTTAAGCCCTAGAAAATGTTAGATCATACGACCAAGGGTGTGTGTCGGACGAAAGTCGTTCCCAGGCTGTAGTAATTGTTAAACTGTTACTTTTAAATTTTAGGTCAGTTACATGAAAGCCGTAGACTACTTTATGCTAACGTCCTTCGGCTTTATCTTCACGGCTCTGGTGGAATACATTATTGTGCTGAACACCCCTGAGGCATTTTCAGATAGTTTCAACTGCTTCGAGAAAAAGCAGAAGAATGAACCAGTTCAAGTTCAGGTAACTTCTATTCAATGCTGTCCTTGAAATAACACCAACGAGTTAACTCATTGGCATAAATTCGGGGTCAGACAGTTTTATTGTGATCTTGCGTTACAAACTTCGTCTTACGCAAGCTAGATCCCCGGATTCTTCTTTTGCTGCCGTTTTGAAAAAGCTTTTATCGAGCACGTGTAAGGAGGAAGGATTAGCATATTTTGTCCTTGTGCATAGTTTATGACCTGTTTAGTAAAAATTGTGCTTATTACAGGACGGACCAGAGGAGTTGATTCTTAAAATCAATGCCTCCCCGAAGATGCTGGACCTGAGCAAGCCCAGGAAACCTCCTGAAACTAAACCGAGCCCTCCCAAGGATCACTGGGTCGACAAATGTTCCCGTATCCTTTTCCCCGCGTTTTATGCTCTTTTCCTCATGGCATATGTGATACATTACAAGAGAAAAGAGTGAGGGAAGGCTCCTGGGACTGGTCGTCTAATGGAATGTTGTCAGTCCAGGAGTAATTCGTGGTTATCTGTCTTCATAACTATACGGAGTACTCTTTAATTATTTAAACAAATCAGCATTACTTTGCAGTCATATTCGAATCTTACAGCTTAAAGTCTTCGCGACGTAAAATGACGCGAAGAATCATTACTGCTACGCGAAAACTTTGAAAGTTTGCATTATCTGTTCATATACATATGATATGCAATATTTATTTTGGTAGCTGAATTGAATTGCGTCGAGGCTTGCGCTCTTGTATGAAAAACTCAGGTAAAAATTGTACGTGCTCTGACGACAAACTGCAGCCTTTGCAAGTGCAAGTGCGACAATGCTAATACAGTGTACAATGAATATACAATTATTGTAATAAAATGATTAGAGTAATATTACTCCTATCAATAAGGAGGAATGTTCGGGAAATCGGCCAGAAAAACTTGAAAATGATGGTTATGGCCGCCGTAAATAGATTATGCAAATTTCAGCTGATCTTAATTAGGCGAGAATGCGACCTTTGGAATCAACGTAAAAAGAGCTGTCGAAGATCTTATTCCTCTCGCAAAGCAACATTGAAATCCTCCGTTCGTCTTCAATCATAAATATCTTAAATTCAACAACGAACTGCTTCTTTTAAGAGCTTCGAAAAAACCGCTGCCTTTTGGAGAGTGGGAGTTAAAACAATTTTTTTTTCAGTAGCTTAACATATATTTAACACTAGTCTTGGTTTCTCTCGACATTCGTAAAACAGCTTTAAGCCCTTCAATATATTGAAGGACCTCTCCCAAATCAATAGCTCCAAAATAAGCATATACTCCATATACGTAAAACTAAATTTTCCTACTGAGTGGGTTTATGTGTCCATCGTAATGATGCGGTAACAACCAGATAAACTAAATTCATATCTGTTATTATCGCTGCCCAAAATCTCCTTATCGTGTTATCAATAAGGACTATTTAAACCAAATGATATTTAAAACTTCATCAATCGCAAATCTACTTACTATTGTCGTATTTACAAACCAAGACCAGTGGCTGGCAAATCAATTTTTATTAATGTCATGTTTTTTTTTTTGTTAACATGATAAGAATTCGTGCGCTTTTCTTCAACTGAGCATACTGTAATAATTATATCAGGAAGAAGCCATCTATTTATCATGAATACATATCTTGATTAATGATTCATCTTATAAAGAGTAGAAAGTCTAGGATAGATACTTATTGAAATTGTTTATAAAAGGGTTAAAAAGGCAGGAACAATAATGTCAATTCCTTTACTCGAGGAGATGATTTGGTATTTTATCTTTACTCTTTTTAAGCTTATCCAGAACACCGTGAACTCAGTGAAAGCCCTTTCATCATCTTTTTTCCAGGATGACAATCTACGCCATACGTAGAGAGTCTTTTTATCAGCAATGAACTTTTCGGGTACTTGTTTATCATTTAAAGATACGTTTGTAACCGATGATCATTCAAAAAAGAGCTCGGGAGGTCGGATCTATAACATTAATTGCTTTTCTTGAGAAACCCAATTTTCTTTTACATTGAATGAAAAAAATTGGATTCCTTGAGCTAGCCCTACATCATAAATTATCAGTCCAGGCCCCCTACATCAAAATTGCGTTTTTCTATCAATCCCCCAATATTCTTCTATAAACCATATCAGATTCTCCGTGTTAGACACTAAATTTAAAATAGGACACTCATCACACGCAAAGAAACTCTTTGTCCCTCGCTTTTAAGAGTTCTAATTATCTTATCAATTGTAGTGGAAAGAAAGGTAGACGAGCGGATTGGCTAATATCAGTATGATAACTATTTTGATTCCCAATAGAAACCTTAGCCAGGGTGACCAGGGATTTGCTTCGGAATCCAGATAGGAATCTAAGTTTTTCTCAAGAGTGTTTTACCCTAAATTCGTGCTTTTCGAAACTGCATAGTAAAACCTCGTTTTTCAAAATCGGCATTGTTTTAATCGGTTGGTTTTTGTGCTTGGTACGTCAAAGTGGGCCGGTTCTGATACAGAAGGAATTATCGACTTTTATCTCATATCTACAGTTGTTCAAAAATGAATGGAAAGAAATTTCTTCAAATTTTATAGATAAATATCGTTGAAGACTCCACCGTAACTTTCTTGTTGAATTCTCTAGTCCAACACATGTCCCTTGGAGTCGCTCTCCTCCCTGAGCGCACTGTAGTATATGGTGTACGCGACGAGAAATGTGACGTACAAAGTTGGGAAGAGAAATCTTGACAATCGGTCGATCCAGTGCGCCTTAGTTTTTGTTGCTACTGGCGGCGTTAAGGGAAGTTGCTGTTTTGGTTGTGGCTTCAGCTTGATATTTCCCTTGTTATTCCTGATTCTACAAACTCCTTCATCCATCACTTGCACAATCAGATCAACACTTCCCTTGCTGTGTGCCTACAAAGAAGAGAAATCTTTCTTTACACTTTGATCACCGGGATTTTTGGTCATTGGGATCATCACAATCAGGAAATGTGGTGTCAGCTTATATAAAGTGATACTTGAAGCGCTATGATTAGATTATATAAGGAAAAAAAAACATTTGACGGCCAGAAATACATCGACATGACCAAGCTTTGAAAGCCTTCAAGGCTAGCTCAAGAGTTTCCTTTTACTATTCTTTTAATCCCTTCATAAGGAATTTGTTTCCAGCCACCTGATTGATAAACAGAGCTCATTAGAGACCAAAAAAGCCCACAAATTACTTCAACAAAACAGTCCACGTTGGACAGTCTGGGAGTAAAATTACAAAACATTTGAAACTTCCGACAACCTGATCTTACGTAACGAATGATAATAGGAATCCTCTGTACATTTGCCAAACTGAGGGCAATTATAAATTATTCAGCCGTGCCGTAACCATTCAATAGAGAGATAAGAGAAAATAGTCGTTTTTAAATGATTAAAGTTGAGGATAATCTTTTCCTCCACCACTTACTTCACATTCCATTGCAATTTCCTTTTTGTCTCCTCTTTTGTCCTTCTTGAACCAGGAAGGTGGAGAAAACACGGGACTGGTGTTGAGGACGATGATAAATTCGATTAAGGCGGCGAAGATGAAGCCAAAAGAGGTCAGCAAGAAATAATCAACGGCTTTCATGTAGCTGACCTTAGGCATGTCTCTGTTAACGTTGCCTTTGAGTAGAATGGAGGTTAAAATAGTGGTGATACTCAAAGCCACTCTGGCAGGAACAGCTGAAGGGGAGATGAAGAAGCAACACCACGACAAAACAACCAGGACTACTGCTGGGACAAATATGGCAGAAACAAAGCTCTCTGTGCGCCGTCGAAATGAAAACACTGCCTTGAGACTTGCGAAGGAACCTAAGAATGTTTGGAGGAAAGAGAGTCGTTTGATACGCACTCGGGCTTCTCTACAATTCTCTAAAATTGGTGCATTTTTTCGTTTGGTCGTTAGTCTGTTAGCTAGCATTATTTGGCACAGTGAAGAGAGCTAAACTTAACTACTTAAACCTCGCCCTCCTATTCAAAGTACTTTTTTTTATCTCCTCATGTCGTTCTCCTCAGGGAACTCGTTGGTGAAATAAACCTTCCAAAGAATAGTTATTAAACTTGAGTTTCTACTTTTCAATTTCTCAAGCGTAAATCAACGTTTTATCTCAACTTTTGTAAATTGGATCACTCCTCGGTCCAGTTCTGAGGATGATCCTATATTTTTGTCTTGAAAAGCCCCCTTATCTGTATCATTTTCATCCAGTTATGTGAAAGATATTGTAAGAAAGAATTTGTGAGAGATAAAGTACGGTTAGTCTCACCTTGTTGCCTCGAGTATTATTTATACTATCTAAAAATTACATTAGCCTGAAAATAAAACGAAAAAGAAAACTCTGTACAACGAAGAAAAAGTACAGGAAGAAAGTTTCTAGAGAAACCTCATTATTACACTGGTTTGATACCAAGTGAAGCTCGTTGCTTTTGTTCGTACGGATATGAGAATTACGGTCATTCCACTAAGTAATACCGTCCGCTTAACTTTGCTCATGATTTTATCCACTTTATTTTTAAAACTCACCTTTACTGTTCGTCTGCGACTTGGTGTAAGTTTTAACATCGGTCAGATCAAACTGAGCCATTTCCTTCGACACTATCTCTACACTTTGTTTATCTCCTCCCTTCCAGCGGTAATCAACATCTGCTGTCGTATACGCATCTAGAATGAGACGAAATAAAAAAAAAGTAAAAAGAATTACAGTGGACCTTGGCACAGTCCAGTTGATCTGTACGGTTTCGATTCATATCAGAAGAACTGTAGGACGAATTTCCACATAAACCAATTGTCATAAAGAGAGAAATGGCTCGGGAAGCCGCACTGGCATGCAGGAAGTTGCATGTGTTCCAAAATTAGTTCGGATTATGTGGTTTGTTAACAAAAAATCTTGTCTTTGGTTGCTGTGCCGTTGAATACTTACAGCTTTCTATGATAAGAGGACAATATTGAGTGTCCATTGGATAAAGGTGCAGATCCATATCACATTGAGCTGTTAGTGTTATCCTGGGAGAACAATAACAGAAAAGATCTCAAATAACAATGTTGATCCTTCTGCTCCAAGGAGCGACCCAAAAGTACTTTCTCCTCACAAAATCAGTACAATTTTATGCAAAAGAGAACTGAGAGGAAAACAAACGTATTGACACGGGGACACAATTCGATAAAACTCCAAACTTAATGCCTAAAATAAAAGCTAACGAAGAGGTTTGGCAGATAGAGCGGGAGTCGAAAGAGTGTATTTAGATCTTGCGATTAAAATTGAGGCGGACAAAGAATGAACTTTTTCAAGACTGATATGAAGTAGTGTTGAATCTTTCACCAAGAAAAAGATGCAGGATCGTCAGATCATCGTTGCTACGAGTTGTAATTATTTTTCTTTTGTTTTTATAAGTGCAAATTTACCTTGTGCTGTAATAAATCTCCCCATCGGGCGATATTTTCACTCTCATATTCTCTCGGGTGACGAAATGATATTTAGCATCTTTTACATTCCAGAAGTACGTATCTGGAGTCCAGAAAAGCTTTGTGGGATCCGCTGCCATATTGAACGGTTTGCTATAATTATTCTTAAACCTTGGATCATGCCACCATTGTCGCATAAAAATGTCCATCGAGTACTCCTAAAAGACAAAGAACGTACACTTCACTTTTCAATCAAGACTTTTTGGCAGCAAGATTTTCTTATTCCCATAAATCATGCTTTTGTTGTATCGAAAAAGCATAAATTGTTCCTTGATTTAAATCAGGAGTGGCTGATGTCATGGTTAGTTACCTGGGGATTTAGTCGCTTTTAGCTTCCTCGGCTTAGGTTTACTTGTTTACTCGGTAAAATGGTGATCAGTTTTCTTCACCTACAGGAATACGTTATATTATAAACTTGCACGATCTTTGGATCTGCTGTTATGGAATTTAGGCCCTTAAGTCAAAATATGCGAACCTAGTGAGGATAATACAGGCATACCATATTAGCTTCCTTGATTTCTCCAAAGGATATGACTTTAAATTCTATCTTCACGATGACAGGAGGTCCCCCTGCATTTGGCCTGACTTTCTTGTCATAACCGGTTAGACTACGGTTTATCGAGCGCGACAAGTTATAAGCTTCAATCATGCTACTTCTCACTTCGCTTGTAATTCTGAAATCAATAGAAAATAATTTTTTCCGGAACATTCTTACCTACGAAGGTAACAATTTATTATACCTGGTCTCAGTGAACCTGATAAAGGACCAAATCCTCTGAGAACTTCAATAATATTTTCCGTTAGCACTGTAGCAAATTTAATAATCCCAAATAGCCTCTGGGAAAGTGTTCTTGTACATTCTGATGATAAATAACTATTTGTTGCGTACATTTCCGTGTTAAGAGAATCGATATTCATTATGCTAATATGCTTAAACTTATTCTTTTAAATAATTGAATTTGGTTTTTTTCATAAGCCTACAGTGTACTATTTAGCTGCTAAACTAATTTTGAGGCGGTGTGGTACTCTGCAAGCATATTTATCTTTGTGATAAAAGCTAATAGAAAACTATTTTATTTTCAAAAACGAGAATTATAGGACAAGGTAGATTCATCCTCAAGACTTACTCTTTACCAAGCCCGTAAGCAACAAGACTGAGGCACATCAGAAGAGCTGCAGCTATTCGAAGACATGAGGTTGCCATCACGGATATGTCACTGCAATGAGTAGAAAGATGTGAACAACCTTTTCTATCAAGCAAACCGTTTGCGTTCGAAATTTCGTTTGTTCAAGTTATATATTAGTTGACTACCTATTTTGGTTACTTTGAAACTTTTCTCATTAGTTTGAAACTCCTAAAAATATTCTTCAGATGGATGAAATGTATTTTCTCGTGTGTAAGCCATTTTTTAACCTTTGTCTTGGCTACGGAGGCAGCTAATGAGCCACTTCGTATGATAGCGTCCCAAATTTTTTTCTTTTTGTATTCTGTGGTATTCGGACGAGGGAAATAACTTTTAAGTTTCTTCTTATTTTTCTTCATATAATCCTGTAATTACTTCCAATACTTACATAATTGATTGAACCAGAAAATTAGTCAAGATTTACGGTAACTGTAACAGCAAAGCTTTCCTCATCCATGATTTCTCGGACTAAAAACTATCGATGAAGGGGGTATTTTCGTCGTTTATTCTAATTCTAAATGTTGCCAATTATCAAGGCGAGTATATCCCCTGGAGATATATTTATGTTTTTGTATTTATCTGGAAATTTCCACCTGCCTTTAACCTGCAGCAACGCGGATGGGGTGTCTGTGGTCTCTCTTTGAAAACAACTTCCTTTCTTTAACACTTTTGTTGATAATATTGCTTTGCATTAGATAAGGTATGGTTATGATCGAGTGTTTGGGTGCTGCAGTAATAAATTTAAAATTTATTTTGTTAATGTTATCTTTATTTCTGTCTATGGATATCTTGATAGGAGATAAAACAAAATCGCGGCTACAGGTTTTGAATACGATGCGGGTTTGCGGGATATCAAACAATAACTGTGAGCTTCAGTGTTATTGTTTGGCAATCATGCTACATGTTTCGTGCACGTCTTGAAAGCGTCTGCTGCGTCCTTTGCTAAAAAAATTGATTTAACGCCAAAAAAAAACATCTAAAGGCAATTTTAAAGACAAGACAAGAACTAACATGGGGCGAAAAGGTAACATCGATTTCATGCTGAAAGACAGTGAATATTAAATATGAAATCAAAATTCAAAGCCTTTATTAAATACCTGTGAACTTGCTTCTCTCTTTCAGTCCCAAAAACTCATTTCATTTGTTTACAATGCTTTATCAGGCTGGCAACCGTGCTCAGTGCCCGCACAATCCACTATACATTCCAAAACGAAAATAATAGAAAATGACGTATCTATCTAAGTTTGTTTCTTTCGAATTGAGCACAAAATTACCTCTCTGTTCTTGGTTATGTCAGCTAACTTTACAACTTGTGCATTTTTTGCTTTTAATTTACTTATTTAACACAAAATGAGCCGTTCCATCATTTTTTCATCACAACCTCATCTCAAAAGTGTCCTACATTTGCATCTCCACATCCCCAGCCACACCATGCTGATAAGGCCTAATACGGCCGAAAGAAACGGTTGTCTCTGGCTGCGAACTTGGTGCCTTACGTTGTATATCTCACTCTTTTAAATAGCGGCGTTGAAATACCACCAGCATTGTGGCGTTTCTGTGCATTTTATGGCTCGTCATCATCATCATTTTGTACTTTTTACTTTGAAATAGCTCATGGAGATCTATTTGTTTGGAAGTTTTTAATGATACTAAAAATAAATCCTCTTTGTTTCTCTATTTTCAATCCTTTCTTAACTTCTAACGCACTCTTTAATAGCTTAATATATATTCTGCATGAACCTATCTCTAAAATGTAAACCACTTCATCAAAGAAGGGAATTCAATCGATTGACATAAAACAAACACAATGAATTCAACATTGAGAGTTTTCTTCATATATGCAAATTACAATTGTAAGGAAATCTGTTTTCTAGCAAACACAAACCTATTAAATAACTGAAAACACGCTTTAATGTCACATTATGTTCCTGTTGTAAACTGATGACAAATTATTTTTATCTAAATCAAGAAGAAAATAATGCTCAACACAATGAGGCATACTCATTCCGCTAGATTAGCATTTCTGTGCAAAAAGTCTGATACCCAACAGAGACGAAAAAGTTCCAGAAAAATGGATAGTTTGAAATTAAAACACTGAAAGTTAGTAGCAAACCTAAGAGTCTTTTAATCGGTGCGTAAATACCTTGACGAAGTCTTAGGTAGATAGAGATGTACCTTATATTCTCAATGCAAGGTTTGCCTCTAGTAAAAATGAGCGTTTTTGGCATAGAAGGTATCCGCAAAATATATTTTGTCTATTTTTAACTTGTCTATTTTAATACGTGTAATGGTTCGGCCACATATATATGTATAATTCAAACGGTTTTTAACTTGCCTCAGAAATTAGAATATAGTTACTTCTATGTTGGCTAAACACTGAGGAAACTTAAACGAAGAAATCAAGCAAGTATTTGGCCGCGTGCGTTCAGCAATCGCTATGTGGCCCTTGGTTATCTCGGTCGCGAGAAAACATGTCAGTAGTCGTTTGCAACTACATTGCAGATAAATGAAGCAAAATCTACCAAACGATTTAATAGATTTTTAAGAGGATACCGTCATTATTTTCAGTACTATGTAGAGCCAACTCGCTTATGTTGTTGAATATTCTATCAAATACCGGCTGATTGAAAGCAGATTTTAATCAAAGGCGTTGGATTTTTTATTGATAGAGATGAGAACCGACGACGAAAAACATTATATCTAAGGTAATACCCTAAATTAATATTGGAGCTTGAAGTTTTGAGATGCGTCTTATATCGTAAACGAACAAAGCAATTATTCATGAAATCCTTACCTCAGTTTCAAGCGCTCAGAGATTTCCTTTTATAAACCAAAATCTCGCTTCAGTCCGCTTGTGCCAGTCTTTACCGTTTCAAACCATTACTATACAGTTGAACATGATTAACTAATTTCATTTTACCCGAGGAACAGTTTGAGAAGAGCTGTTTGTTGATAAATCTCGTAGAACACTATTAAGGAGCTGGAAGCATCGATAGTGTAGTCTCAGGAGACAGTGAATAATTTATGCCATTCGATAATCGACTCAGCCTACATGATACAAATTCCCCTATCACCTGCAGCTGCTACCGAGTAATACCAATTGGTCTGATATCAAAAATTATTTGTTGGCACGGTGTTATTAAAGTAGAGGGAATGATCCGCAACTTTTTGAGATTATTCAAGTAGCATGAAATAAACTAATTTCAGAAGATTAAAAAGTTTAGTTCACCCATCGTGGCGTTAAACTTTAGGATACTTGTTTCTCAGATGAAGAATGTTTGTCAGCACGGCGTTATCGAAGCAAATAGAAAATGCTTTTTGCAGTTCTTTTAAATATGTTAAGAACGAGAAAATAAATCAATTTCAGAAGATAGAAAATGTTTAAGCTCACCCACCGTGGTGTTAAACCTTAGGACTTTAGTTTCTCAACGATTTCCATTGCTGCTGAAGCAATCATTATTGGTTTCGAACAAACTGGCATGAAATACACGTATTCATGAAAATTCTCTCGAAAAATTTCTCATTTGTTTAGACGTTGATCGAGCTCAGAGTTTTACTCGAACAATGCATAAAATTAAACGACGCAGCACCATGTGGCTAAAGAGTATCACGTCATTGTACACACAACGAAACCAAATATATATCAACGTAATCACATGCAAATGAGGTTCGCACACAAAGTCAAGATTAGTCGGTGCGATCAGGCTTAAATTCTTCAACCAAAAAGATTGATATTACTCTCTTTAAAATTTAAGGAGGTATTTTTCATTAGTTCTCAGAAATAAATGTAACAATTTTGCTTACGTATGAATTCAGTTAGGGAGTACGTCCGTTTTTGAAGAAAAAGAAACGGCGCGGAAATCAATTTTAAGATAATTTATTGTTTTCCACACTTTTTCAGTACATAATTTCTGATTAAAAACTGCAGAATAATTTACAACCTAATTTATATAGAGGAGAAGAAACATTTTCATGTTTTCTTGAATCACTCTGACATTGTGAAAATTGTGAATCGAGTTCAGGTTTTTTTTTTAAATATAAAAATAATATTGTTAAATTTTCAATGCCCTCATCAGTCTTTGTTTCAGTTCAAACCTTACGGCAGTCTACCAGTTCTTAATTGTTATAGATCACTTCTTAGCCAAACTGCAATTCAGAAACAGGAGACATGCAGAAAATACGTCGTTTGATTTTGCATAATCGTGTCTCTTATAGACTGAGATTTCGGGTTAATCAGAAAAATGAAATGCAAACCAATTACATAATAAGCCAAAACAATTTAAATTTTAGAGCAATTATTTTGCAGGTCATATATTACAAAATTCCTGGTATTTTGAGATTAATCAGCCGAATCATATCAAAAATAAACAACTTTCTGAAATTCCAAAAAAAAAAGGAAAAAAATAAAACTTAAAGGACGTTCAGAGTGAGGAATTTGTAAATATTTCTGGTATTAACAGTAGTTTTATGCATTTTGTGTTCAGCTACGTAAGAAATGGTGTGTTGCCTAGCGACGCTTTTTTAG